GTTTCTGGGACTCGGAAAAATGTGTATACAACACAAAGGAAGCAAATTCCCCCCCCAGAAGAACCCTGCATAATTACTCCAATCCCAGGCAGTAGGGTTCAACATATAGGGTGTCAACACACCACAGATGATAGCAACAACATTGTATAGGATGCGACCGAGCACCACAGTCTTGATTTGCAGCCGACGAGTAGAGATCTCTGCCACGAGCGAATAGGCCACAGTTCCGACGGAAAGCTGGTAGAATAATGCCCAGCAGAGCATCATTGAACCTGTTGCGAGTGATGCTTGATCCTTTTGTGCACTGGGGACTAGGCCAAGGAAACCAATCAAGACTAATACAGTGCATAGTCCACAGAGGCCATAGAGATACAGCGTTCTTCGGCCAATTCCAAAAGACATGAGGAGCCATGCCCCGAGGACACCAACCATGTTAATCCCATATTGTCCCATCGCGAATGAATAGGAATTGGATGCTGATAATCCTGCCTGTTCCAGAAAGTATGTGGAGTAATTAGAAAAGGAATTGCCGCTGAGGTTCTGAATAGCCCACACAAGACAGACAATCTCTGTGCGCCGCAAATTCGTCCCTTTGAAACAATCAAAGTATGAGGCTCCATCTGAAAGCTTCGCTTCAAGATCCGTAGTATGACGTATCATGGCAATGGTCTCGTCCGCATTGAAATCCACGTTCCGGTCAGGATTCGTGAGGCGTAGGAGTGCCTTCTTCGCATCTTCGTCCCTATTCTTTCTGACCAACCACCAAGGCGACTCCGGGCGAGAAAAATCCCAACAAAGAGAGGAACTGGCCACATCCACTGCAATCCATATGGAATTCTGTATGACCATTGATCATCCCGATTTAACATCGATTTGATGACTCCAATACCTATAAGTTGCCCTAGGCCCCAGCAGAAATTGACATATGACGTGAGGTATCCTCTTAGAACGACAGGACAAACTTCAGAAGCATAGGTCACCGTGAGCGTTTGAAAAATGCCCCATGGAACTCCGGCGAGGATTTCCGCTGCGAGCAGAGTTTGGATGTTTGGCGCCGTGAAAAAGATCGCTGTGAATGCGGTGATCAGGGCTAGGGAAGTCAGAATTGTATAGCGGTACCCGAATCGCTCCGAAGCCCATCCATTGATAAAGAGGCCAATGATTTCTCCACAGTAGGCGCCGTTGCTGAGGCCGGCTTGCCACTACATGCAATAATAGTGTTAGTAATATACCATGCATACCTATCCGAAAGGAAGGTGGAAAAGGATCCAAAAGGAAAGAATGGGGAAGGAAAAATGGGTAATAACCACTGGCTCGACGTACTGGAGCTGTTACTTCATAGGAGCCATCTGATGTCAATTCACCGTACTTGCGTGTGAATTGCGGAAACGCATAGAAATTATTGACCAGACTGATATCATAACCCTCCATCGCGATACATGTGGAAATGAGAACACTCCACGCGATCGCCTTCGGATAAGTTCTGATACCTTGTAGCAAGGTCATTTTATGCTCCGCTTCAGCACCTGATTTCGCATTATTGGTTGTCTTAGCCATCGACACAGAGCCCTGGCGTTCGATATCCGCCAGGGCATTCCCTGTCGACAAAATGTCATCCTTGGCCATGACTGTCCTTTCCGGAATTGGACTCCCAGGCTTTAGATGCGAACAAGAGGAGAAGAAGTAGTCGTATGACTGAGTCACAGGAGGCTGTGGAGAGAAGATTATTGGGACACGGAGACATTCTCTTGTTGAGTCAAGAGCGCCTATTTATGCGAAAGGAGCGGTAACCCTCGTGTCTCTGAGGCTGTCGGCTATTCCCAGCCTTGGAAGTGGCTTTCTGAATAGCTAAATTGTCGAATGTGAAAGGATTGGTCCGCCCAGTGATGTGAAGCTGATTTCGAAAAAATAAGCACAATCAACAGAAGATTGACTTTGACGCATGGCTGCTTTCTATTGCCTTCAAAGGCCGTCCAATATACCCTCGTATAAAGGATAGTCCCAATTGGTTAGTTTGGCAACGTGTAAGGAAACATGATTCCGGGAACGAGATGCTAACCAATAGATAGACGAGATCTTAGCCGTTGGGTTATGCGGGAAAAGCTTAAAGCTTGCCGAGACAACCGGAATACGGGGACATGCAGGTGCCCGGGTATTGCCGGGAAAAACGCGGGGCCCCGCGGGGAAGTGACATTGGTCACATGTTATTGCACTTAGACCTTTTTCACAACATATAACCGATATTTCACAATAGCAGTAGTCAGTAGTATGGGAGGAAATATGTAAAAAAATGTTTCCGAAAAATACTACCAAAAATGACCGCTACAAAGACCGCTAAAAGATATGACGGCAGGCCGCATAAGCGGCCATACGGTATTCGCGTTCTTTATACTACGAATTTTCGATCTGGATTATTTAACGGTTGAATTACCTATACTATGGGTCTTAGAATAATTGCTATGACGACTTATTCGCGTAATTTATGGTTTGCTGCTCAGAAATAAGGCAATTATCTAGCACAAGGTACCTACCTAGTAAGGAGTATGGAAAAGACCAGCGGTGAGGCAGGGGACCAAATTTTATCATAGGAAATCTGAAAACCTAGCGCACTGACGATAATTGGCTGCCCTACTACGGGGATGTAACCTTGGAAGTATGTACACTAGGTAGATCGTCTATCATCTCCACTTGTGTCGCCATGGGACCAATTGATCGGAAATTGCCGACAAGGATCGGCTAATGATAAGCAATAACTAGATACTAATGCGGTTTGGCGCCAGGGCTCTCCGCATCCCCAAAGAAGCAATCTGAGCCGGATCGTTCTATAAAAGATTCCGACAGGACCGTAAGGCGGGGAAAGGGAGAACACCAAGGAGAACGGTTGTTGAGCTTCTATCGATCATATTTACCCAGACTTACTCGTGCGGCGATGCATATCTCTTCTCAGTTTCTACTTCTTGGTGCGACAGCCGTGAATGCTGGAGTCGTGAAGCTAAGAGGAACATCCACAATTCCGGATTATTTTCAGACCAGCTATGGTCCGTTTGCTGGTATTATATTCCCCAACTCCTACTACCAATGCGCCCACCAAGTGTTGACATATATGTAAAAACAGGTCCAACTGAGGCCGGAAGTGCACCCTTTCTGGCGCAAACAAACCTGGCTCCGTTTGGGCAACATTCTTATGTCCCCAATACCCCGGTGGTGACCGACGTGCCTATCATCGGAAAGACTGATGGCGCTGAAGCATTCAAGAATATGGGCAATCTGTCGTACGTATGGACACAGCTCATCGTTTTCTAGTGACTAACCATGGGACCAAGACCTTACATGCCAAATCCATCAGGATTCGGGGTCAAAGAATATCCACTTCCCCCAGGCACCAATATCACACAGATGCATATGGTACACCGACACGGATCTCGATATCCCACTTCGAGTGCCTCTGTAGCCACCTTTCCAGACCGTGTAGCAGAACTTCTAGGCAACGGGACTCGCTTCACTGGTAATCTGGCGTTCCTCAATAGTTGGGAATATCAACTGGGAAAAGAAGAGCTGACGGCTCTTGGGCGCCAACAGCTCTTTGACAGCGGTGTGCTTAATTGGTTTAACTATGGTCGACTTTATGATCCCTCCTCACCACTTGTCGCCCGTACGACCACTCAAGTGCGAATGTTGCAATCAGCCGAGAACTTCCTGAACGGCTTCTTTGGCCCTAACTGGACCAAGAACGTTACTTTGGAAGTTCTTATCGAGGAAACTGGATTCAAGAATCCTCTTGCCGGAGATAAGGCATGTCCCAATAACGACAACGATCGGTCAGCCGCCGGAGACTGGGCAAGCACCCAATGGCAGGAGAAATATCTGAAGAGTGCAACGGATAGATTCCGTCAGTCGATGACGGGCAACCCGAACTGGACAATTGAAGACACCTATAATGCTCAGACTATGTGTCCATACGAAACCGTCGGCTTGGGGTACAGCCCTTTTTGCTCCCTCTTTACCATGGAAGAGTGGCTAGGGTTTGAGTATAGCATTGACCTAAGCTACTACGGAGGGAACGGATTTGCGTCTCCCACCGGACGGGCAGTGGGCGTGGGCTACGTCGAGGAGCTCATCGCCCGACTGCAACACCAGTACCCTCAACCGGACGAGGGGTCTACTGCCATCAATGAAACATTGGACGCCAGCCCTTCAACCTTCCCTTTGAACCAGAACTTGTATTTGGACTTTAGTCACGATACCACCATATTCTCGATGTTGACGGCTCTTGGCCTCACACAGTTTGGAGAGTTCCTGCCCACCTCTGGTCCGCCGCCGAACCGACAATTGGTTGTCAGCCATATTGTTCCATTCGCTGGCCGCTTCAATATAGAGGTAATCAAGGCGCCGCGGCCCGTACTTGCGAGGCGCTCGGAGGATCCTCAGGCCTCCGCATATGAGTCCGAGGGAGGTGAAACAACCTATGTGCATTTGTTAATGAATCAGAGGACAATTCCTCTGGGACGCAGTATTACAGAGTGCGGGGAGAGGGATGACGGATGGTGTGAGCTGCAGACGTTCATCAAGGTTCAGAAGGAAAACATTGCAAAGGCGAAGTATGAGGAGAGTTGTTCCGGCAACTATTCGATCCCGGCGTACGGGGACATCACGACGGGTGCAATCTGAAGCTATGTCCATTGCCACATCTCGTGATTCGGAGTCGTACAGTCACTATCTTCGTTACAGTGAAGAAGCTTTTGACAGATGCTGAACAAAGTCTCAACTCACTAAGTTGTTCCAACTTTAAATTATTTAGATTAATTTCAGCCGCATGCACAAATCCGAATCAGTCATTATAAGAATATTTAACCGCTCTGTATCGAGTAAACTAAAAATTGTATACATGAATATAATAAATTGTTGTGTTTATATGCCGAGCGGGAAGCAAGGTCAGATTGATGATGGACCCACGCAAGCAAGTCTATTCAACCAGAGTCATAAAACTACCTGTAAACATTTTACAGGTTCTGAGCGACGGTGGTGAGGATGGCACCGACGGGGGTGGCAACGGTGGGGAGACCGAGGCCAGTGACAAGGCCAACAACGGAGGGAGACAGCTTGATGAGGAGGTGCTTGCCGTCCTTGGCGACGATGTGGAGAAGGTCCTCAACGGGGCCGGAGACGTCCTTGACAAGGTCACCGACGGAAGAGGCCTCAGCGACAATGGAGCCAACGGGGCCGGCGATGGTAGTGAGACCGAGACCAGCAACGAGGGTGGTGACGGAGGGGGAGAGCTCGACGAGGAGGTTCTTGGCGTTCAGGCCGGTGACGGTGAGGGTGTTCTTGACCTTAGGAGCAACGTCATGGACGATCTCGCCACGCTTGAGGTTCTTGCCGAGAGTAGCAACAACGGTACCGACGGGGACACCAACGTTAGGGAGACCAAGGCCGGAAACGAGGCCACCAACCTCAGGGGAGAGGCTGATGAGGAGAGCACCAACGTCAGCACCAACAACAGTGACGAGACCGTCAACGACGGGGCCAAGGCCGGTGACGAGACCACCAAGGCCGGAGGCGGAGGCGACAATAGAACCGAGGGGAACGCCGAGGCCAGGGAGACCAAGGCCGGAGACGAGGGCGGTAACCTCGGGGGAGAGCTGAATGAGCAGGGTAGTGGCGTCGGGGCCGACAACGGTCAGGATGTTGTCGAGCTGGGGTCCGAGGTTCTGGACGAGGTGACCGTCCTGGACAGCGGGGGTGCCGCTGGCAGAGGGGGAGGCGGGGGCGGGAAGGTTCAGGACCTTGGTTACGTCGCTGAGCTTAGAGACAACGGGGAGCTCGTTAAGCTTGAGCTCCTTGGTAAGGTCGCCAATCTTGAGATCCTTGGTGATGTCTCCAACATTGAGATCCTTGGTGATGTCTCCAGCATTGAGATCCTTGGTGATGTCACCAGCCTTGAGGCCGCTGAGGAGGCTATCAACACCGCCAACAGGGGTGGGAGCAGCGAAAGCAGAGCCGGCCAGAGCGGCGACGGCAGCGATGAAAGAGGCCTTCATTTTGGAATTAATGGGTATATAGAAACTTAAAAGAGTGACTGCAGTTTTGCTCAAAGAATGACTGTGGTAAGAAGCTTGGGAGAAGAAGAAAACTTAGATGGGAATGTAGAGAAAGACTGTATTTATACACTGTGGACCGAAGGTACGATCTTGCCCCTGTCCAGTGTTCAGGATTTTACAGCTTGTCACAGGGCAGTATCCTAGACTGGCGGGTCAGGCCGCCCCATAGTTGGCGTGATTTCAATATGATCAATATAATGGAGTCTAAGAGAGATATTAAGTGGGACTAGCATCCCAGTTATGCCGAGATGGACCGAATCAGCTAGAATGGGGTCAGCATAGGGTCCTGCCTAGATGGGGACTATTACCAGGATGGGAGGCAAGAAACATTAAATATATGGGGACATATTATTGTCGAACCCTGGCACTTGTGAGGATTATCCGTACCTAGGTAACAGTATACAACATAGTTCCCTGAATTCAGCCCTAGAAATAGGATTTTCACACATCGAATCCTTAAATCCTATTCTCATTTAAATCGACTCAAATCGTAGAATTCTTGAAATCGGAATGTCAATCCGGGAGAGTACCGGATAAGGCAAATTAAGATCTGCAAGCTCGTGTTTTAGGGCTCATGGATCGAGTATTCCAAGGTTATGTATCCTTAGATTGGGCTAGCGTGAGCTTATACTCGAGGGCTTATGATTCCTCCGAGTAGCTCCAGGAATTAACCATAAAATTAGTTTTTGGGGTCCGGGAAATGAGACCTCATCTGCTACTGCTGGGTAAACATACAATATTCAACTTGGACTATACAATACATCTACAGAGTACGGAGTACAGTTAAACAACCGATATTCTCAGTCCACTTTAAATAGGGGATATATGTCATAACACACTCGAGCATCTCTATTATTTGCCCTGTTTTCTTTTTACTCTCTGATGTCATTTTAATGGAAATTAGAGTGGGGAAACTCCACGAGCAAACAAAGAATGATCTGCAGAGCAGGGGAATTAGACTGCCTGAAAGAGCTACTAGCTACTCCGCACGGAATAAGTTGGCTCTAAATCCAATAGCGCGGAACTATGTTGCCAATCAGCCGGTACCTGGGCAGAATTACCGACTCTCCATTTAACCGCCAAGGTCCCTTATTGGCCATTGACAGTCAACGGACACAATATTAACTTTAAGAGACCCCCTTTCCGTTGTAAATGCCCCAAGTCCCCAGGCCACGTTCTCGATAAAATGATGAATATGAATTTTCATTGGGTGATCGGAATTGAAACAAACGCGATGGGATTTAACTTGTCTGGATATTTCCAGCCTTGGAAGGTTACCTTCGGAGTACAATATCAGTCAGCCACTACCGGGACTTCCAAGGTTGGGACCCAAGATCGTGTTGCCAAAAGCTTGGGTGCCACCTACATTACCCGGAAGGGTATTTTTTTGGTATTTTTCTGGTATTTTTCTTTGTTTTCTTTATTTCCCTACTGGGGTTTGCAGGAAACCGCCTGTTGTTGGGACAATGACTCGACCTACTTCAGCATCCAAGTTTGATCGCTAGAGATATCCAGAACATATGTGAGAGCACTGATAGCGGAAATAATCCGGAGAATTTTGACAGCAGGCACTTGCATGATGCAGATGCATCGAAGGTTCTATTCGTATATCCGGTGGGCTCTGTCGATCAGCGGATGGACTTCACAATATCCTGTTCAATATCCTGTTAATATTATCTCGGACTAGACCGACAATCCCTTATAGCCAAGAGGACTATCACTATCTTAAATTTTCCCATCATAGGGCGATGTCATGTCGTGATTCACTGGTTTTTAGACATATTGCCGTAATATCGGATATCTCCAAACTATAGGGGGTACCTGCCTAATTTGGGAGAAAATGATGCAATAACTCAAATAATCATCCTTCTATTCGATTGTTCGGAGACAGCATGCTAGTTCCCTCAAATTTCAAAGTGATATTAAACGAACCGTGGTTTCATATACATCCATGGATACCTAGGTAGCTGATGGGGATATTGCAAATGGTTTGTAATGGAAAGTTCGATAGCTGGTTTGTAAACATTTGTCGATCTGCCCCGAACTTCACCGACCCGGTCTCGATCTGGTTATCACCATCCACTATGTGCGGAGTATATCTATCCACTCTGTCTAGAAGGAGTAGTTCATCGGAGTGGGACTGGTAGGCCTGCACCAAGGTCACATCCACAAGTAAATGGTTGGGTCAGTCAGTCCAGCAGCTCCATGTTAAATCCACAATAGAGCTCGTTCCTAGCTGACCAGATCCATAGTGGATTCATGACTCGGACATGGTCAGCCGCTTTCCTTGGTTTGCTTGCAGAACACGGTAACCAAGGTCCTTCGTACTCTGTACTCCACACAAGACATAAATCAGTCTTTATGTTGTGATCTCCGCAATAAACCAGTTTATATGTTGTAGAAGTTCTAGTAATATGCCGCTTAAACGGCAGTTTGAATATACTTTGCCGCATCGCCATCGCCATCAGCATCAAATCATCTTACTCATTTATGGTAAATCCTTCGTGGAACTGTTTTATTCCACAACAATTCCCAAACCTAAAGTCCTGGAACCTCGAAATGATTGCTAGTATGCTTAAACCAACCAGGCTATGGCAAATAATGCTAGAATGTGGACCGGCTATGGGACTATCTCGGGGTATTGGCTCAGCTCGCCACAGTAACATCGTATCCCCGGGACAAATAAAAGAATGAGGTTAGAATGGGTCCCATTTCTCCTATAAGCGTACGGAGCACTCTACGTCGTGTGTCTCCATATCCCATAGTCGTAATAATGGGGTAGAGGCAAATATCATCGAACTCCCACGAGACAGCTAAGACGTAGGGAAAGCATAAAATGCAATAGATCCCTTCAAGAACCCCACGAGGAGGCCCAAACTTGGAATATGCTCGTATTGCTATTCCCCTACTCCGTAGAGCATATTTGGTAGGAGCACTTGGCACGGGTGGGAGAGCTGCGAGTTGACTGGACGATGATGAGCAATCCGTGAAGCCCAAGCTTTGACTGCAGGCGAACGGATAACTTAACGATCGACATATGATCATTTTATACTCCGTATAGTCCACAGAATTAGAGTTGAAGGGCTGGCATCATTCCTATCATTCAAAATTAGTTAATGATGGAAACCATTGCAGCCCAACCCTAGTTGTCGAGATATTGGGCGACCAATGGTGATTTGCGACGCTATTGTTCATGCCCTATTTCCGGGGTCTTTCAGGACTCAAGCGGCGTTCGTTGATTTGTCTAGAGATGCCCCAGCACGTTTTGCTCCGACGAGGTCGTGGCAAAAAGAATGACATTTTCGGGGAGAACAAGTGGAGGATGTGAGGATGATCGAAGATTGCGAGCAAAGTCTATAACTCGATGTAGAACTTGCTCTGCTACCTCACCGGTGCCATAGTCCTTATCATCTCACATCGAAGTCCAGATTAGCCCAAAAATTATGTAGTGACGAAATTGTTCGAAAATCACTGTATGCATAAGCATTTTTGTCTTTGCGCTGCGATCTCCGCCGTGTCAACAATCGGGGCGCAGCAGATGGGCTTTCAAGATTCTCCGAACGCGATGCAGGCTGAATTATGCGCTTGGGCACGCCGTAGCCTCGTGATCGCATTGGAAATGAGCGTTAAAATTGCGATGTGTCATTGACGCACACTAGTAGCGGTGAAGTTTTGATTTGGATCGGAGGTCGAATGTTGGTATATGTTATCCTTGCAAGTATGCACGTAGACGTTGTACAACTGTAGGCCGTGCTACAGCCCGAAGAAATATCCAGCCAAGTGCAAGCATCCTCCATTCGATGGACCAATTCGCAGTATATATTATTCATTATGCACAGCATGCGGAGGGGTATTTCACAAAAAGGGAATCACGCTCATTTCTTTTCCAAATTCATACAAAAATATTACAAAAATGATTTCACAGCCCGATATGGTACCCCGAGTATGCATCGCCGGCCAGCGGCATCCCTGACAACGGGTCTTGGGAATACATCTGATTCGACATATAGCCCATCGAGCCATCCACCAGAGTGCTCTCTATGGAGGCAGACTCGATCTCGAACTGCTCAAGATGCCCATGCATGTCCCACTTCCTATCACAATATTTGAGCAAGTCGCGAATATAGGACAGGCAGCGGATGGCACGCGCGTGGCAATTGAACAAGTCCTCGACGCCCAGTACTGGTGGCTCTGGAGTCCCAGCGGGGACAGACGGGGGTGCCGGGACAGCAGCGCTAATGAGTTTGTCGTAATTGTCGGATAGGACATCGACAAATAATCGACCCACTTGGTGCACGCGCTGCATGTCCAGGTATGTCAGGAAGGGCAGGGCGCTGGGGTTTTCTAGGACCTGGTGAATTTGGCTGATGTAGTCCATGCACCGGTCGAATAGGAGAGCTTTGTTGTAGTCGTGGAGTGTTGGATATCGGTGCGAAGGGGATAGCAGGATGATAATGGTGTATAATAATTCCAGTCGGTATAGAAGTGAAAAGTGGTTGGGAGCATTCTTCGGGCATTGATGGAACCACTCACGAGCTCGCCAGCACAGAGTCCAGATGAGGACCAGGGGTTGCGGGGATGGATCGCGTCCACTGTAATGCATTTCTTGGTAGCCTGCGGACAGAATCTGTCGGATTTTAACGATATGCAAGGCGGGTGCCGGGCTGCGTAAGAAAATGTGACTTTGCTCTATGGGGGCACCTGGTGCGGCAATTGATGGCAATGCGACATTCACAGATCCATCGGAGAACGAGTACGTTCTCTGCATAGCAGGACTCAATCCTCTGTAACAAAAGATTAGCAGGGCGGCAATTGAGGAACAGAACAAAAACCAACCTGTCCAGACAATAGATGCAATGGAACACACGCCGGCGAATATCAAGTCGGTCAGGATTAGTCGAGACTTCAGCAGGGGGGTCTTGATGCAAGCCCAGATCGATCGCAACCTTGACAGCCATTCCAACCAAATACCAGCTGCGGAAGCGTATCGGGTCAACCAAAGAATATTGAGCAAGCAGTAGAATTGCTTGTATTCCCGAGATTGACCCGGGGCGAAGAACTTCCTCGGCATATGTCAAAGCATCTGAGACGAGAGCCCATGCCCTTTGATGACTTTTATCATTGTAATGGTATGATACTGACGCCGAAGCAATAGCAAGAACCATGCGCAGCATCCAATGGTCGAACGGTTTGGCGAACCGGCCACCTGACTGATATACGGCATCCACCGAGGTCCAGAAGCTCGTTTCGACAAAGAAAGGCAGCTGGACAAAAACGTTATCGAAATAGTGTTGTAGCAACGGGGTCGCTTCGTGCCGCGCGGGTAGTGAATAAGGAGAGGATGGTGGGGAAGAATCGGCTAGAGCGACTGAGAGGAGAAGGTTGGCGAAGGAGGTATTCGATGTGATGCCGTGAAAGTCTCGCGATGTCGCATTGACGGACCTTTTTGAGATGTTAGCGGGGCCAAGACAAAAAAGCAATTTAGCCATACTAACAAGAAACCAAAATCGCCCACTAAATCATCAATATCCGAGACCTCTCTACGGTGGGCAGGACCCAATGCACTTTCAGACGAGACGGAGGTGATCGACATCTCCCGAGGGATGCCATCACCCTCAGCAGACAGTGAGGTTGATCGGGCACGCATCTGACTGATCTTCTTTTCCAGCTTCTCACAATATCCTTCCAGTGACGCGACATAACTCCTTTCTTTTCCCTTGGCGAATTCATCACTTGCCCGGAGCAAGTGGTCGCCTTGCCGACCCTTTCGCAAGCCGAACATGCGGGGAGCTTGCCGTCGCATTTGATCTTCGCAGTCCGACATCTCGAGCAGGCAGCGACTGGACGACTCACCTTAAGCAGGGGATTATCCAAGAAGGTCGTGGCTGTGACGGACATATCTGCTCATTATACTGGTCATATACGGTCAGTAAATTCGAGGATATGTGACCCCCCACTATTTCTCCCCCCTGCATCTCCACTCCCAAGACCAAAATGGTAAAAAGCACTCACGTGATGTGAAATAAATATGTTTTAACACAAAAGCAAATGGACGTGCATGAGTCCCGGGGAGGGAAAGGATTAGCGACTAAAGTAAAGAAATAAGCCTCGTAGACGTTGAAAAAGAAGGAGCAACTCCACTGAAATCCAGTGATCTTTTTTAACACGAAACAGCCCCTGGAGATTATTATAGGACAGGAATTGGAGGGGGGAAGGGAGATCGGTGGAACCGCACGGACTTTGGCGAGAATCTCCCCGTCTCTAAATTGTTAGCTGTGATAGTATTATGTCGATTATGTCTATTAAAGATGCCTATTAAAACTTATTATATCACTATTAAATAGCTATCAAAATACTATTAGACCAATATTAAATACTACTATACAGTTATCAACCATTTCTATGTATATTATATTCATTTAAGACCAAGGTCTCTCATTTCAGCTGCCTTGTGCCTCCACATATCCACCCTCACCTTGTCCCACGCCCAACCTTTTTCTCCAGATCTGGACCGAGGCCCCCTCTCTTGGAAAATCACATTATGGCCCCATTCCCATTCCAGACACTTCTTCCTCGTTTCATATCCCCTTAGACCCTGGGATCACCATGTCGACTGTTCGCAATTTTGATCTTCGAAAGGTACATTGGGTATAAATCCCCTATGTGATTGGACCTTTCTTTTCCTTTTATCATATACCCTTTTTGGCCCACCATGACCCCGAGTCCCGACTCCTCAACAGGGTTGAAATCGCCGGAATTACACTCCCTAGAGCCACCAGACGGTCGCATTGCTCACACATTAACAGCCTGCACAAGGTGTAGACAGGTATGATGCGACATCGGCCCCTCTCCGCCGCCTCCCCCGCGATCTCGGGTTTTTCGCCCCTCTGTCCCTTAGCGTCATGAGCTTCTTTTCCCTTGTTTCGCAGTTGCTGTTTCAAAACTGACCCACCTCCCGTTGTAGCGAAAGTCCAGATGTGACCCCGGGATTCCGCGATGTGCGCCCTGCGAACGAAGCAATGCCAAGTGCGTGTATTATGACTCGGCCCGAGACAGAACCATACCTCGAACCTATATCGTATCGCTCAGAGAGAGAGCCCGGGCCTTAGAAAAAGAGCTTGCCGAAGCTGAGAACGAGATACAACATGCTGCCGATGCCGAGTTGATGGTGCGGGGCGCCGGGCGCATCCGGTTTAAGGAGAATGATGAGCCGCGATATCTCGGTGCCTCGAGTGGCATCGCCATGACTCGTTTGGTCATGGAGATGGCCAAGCAAAACACCGACTCCAAAAGTATCAAGGATGTTGTCCCCGAATTCACCGCACAAGAGATCAAAGATGCGTTCGCCGAAGAAGACTCGAAACCGACATCAAAAGTCTATCCCATGATAAGCTCGATCCCGCAACCCAACCTACCTCCAAAGGCCCTGACCTATAAATTGATTGATCTTTTTGTGGCCAAAGGTACTGCGATCACTTTTTATTCGGACCTTTTTCTTTTTCTTTTTTTTTTTCTTGTAGCTAGTGTGACTGATTCGTTGTATAGCACAAGCGCTACTTCCTACCCTGCACGAGCCCACATTTCGACAAGAGGTTGAGGAGGTGTTCAATGGCTCAACAGATCCCTGCAAAAATTTCCAACTGCGGATGGTCATCGCCATCAGCATGCAGAAGATGAGTACAGAATATGCTGGTCTCGCTGATAGTTATTATCTTGCGGCCTTGCCCTACCTGGAACCTACGCTGAAACGATTGGACTTGGGGGCTCTACAATGCCTTGTGCTCATTGCCTCATATTCAATGGTCACGCCCACTCGCACAGCTGCGTACTGGGTCGTGGGGACGGCTGCCAAACTTTGTCAGGATTTGGGATTGACCGAAGAAGCCACTGTCACCAAATCACCTTGTGGGAAACCACTGAATCCGTTGGAGATTGACATGCGACGAAGGTTATTTTGGATCGTCTCGTCAATGGAGTTCGGTCTTTCCCATAGTCTGGGTCGGTGCAGCAGTTACTGCGTCAGCCACGACCATATCAATGTGAAATTCTTTGAACTAGTGGATGACCGGTACATCACCGCCGAGGGCATCACCCCTGGAGCGAAACCCGTTCTAGCAAAATGTATTGCGGTTCACTTTTTCAAAATGCGACTGCTCCAATTGGAGCCCAGAAGAATGCTCTACTCTAACAGACGGGAGACCCCAGTTGATGATCAGGACCCATGGTTTTCTCAAATGTTGGCCAAAATTGACCATTGGATGGCCACTACTCCCAAGAACGATGATGGCAGTGGGCTGAATGTGAAATGGTTCGTCAATTATTCTCATTTTCCGAAGTGCGGCTTTGCTGACAATAACTTCTGCAGGTTCCAAGGGAGACGGAACACCATCATTATTCTCATGTATCGTCCCTCACCACAAATCCCCGAGCCAACAGTCAATGCCGCCAAAATCTGTTACGACGCGGCCATCTCCAATATCGCTATGCATAAGGAACAGATGATCACCGGATCTGTCGACCTGACATGGGTGTTTGTGCAAGCTCTCTTCATGGCTTTAAATACTGTTCTCTGGACCCTCTCATACCCCGAAATTCGAAAAGAGCATACCATTGAGGAAGTCCAAGGACACCTGGATATGGCCCTTGAAGTGATTGTATTTTCCGCCGAGCGTTGGCCAGGTGTTCAATCTGCCTTTCTTCTTTACAGGCGCCTTGTTGCTGCGTGCTTGAAAGCGTACAGGACTGAAGAATCGTTTGTCGTACACTCGCCTTCTAATCATCCAACGCCAACCTCCTCGCAGGGCATGACCCCTCCAGCGATGTCCAGCCCATCGGGCAGTACGCCTGCCTCATATTATTCCAACAATCACCGTGGCGGCAACCTATCAATCGGCGATACCGCCTCAAACGGTACCTACTCCAGAGGACAATCGGCTGATCCTACATTCACTCAAGAATCAACCCCACCTGCAGTGGCCCCTGGACCGTCCAAAGAACCACCAATGCCATCGGTTTCCTCTGCATTTGACATGCAGCCACCACTTACAGCCCAGAGTGTGGCACCACATTATACATCAGAAACCTACGTGGGGCCGACGCTCTATCCTGATATATCAATCGACCCAAACACCCCTTATAACACGATACCTTCGGTTGTGCCCGGCCTGCAAGGCTGGGACCCCAATTTCTCACTGGCCTCAACAACCGCGGGTCATTTGGCATACACCGATGCGACCGTCGATCCCATGAACTGGTCCACCATTGGAGACCAGTACTCTCAATACTTTAATGAGCCATTCCCGGTACCCTCATGGCGTGAACGCACCCTCAGCCAACAAGAGCAAATCGAGCTTCTGGCTTCCCTCGAACACAATATACCCGATGTATCTGCCCAACTGGTTAATGAGTATCATGCTTACTATCAGTCCTGAGGTTCTGGTGCAATTGGTCTCACTCCGTCTGCGGAGATCATTTTGTATTGAGGAGCTTAGTTGGGAGTTGTGCTTTATTCCTGGTCTATATCAGTCATATTCTGGCATCCACCAAATATGTCTTCTGTAATGGTCATGTTACCAACCAGGCTGGAGGTCGCCCATGCCGAAAAAGGCATCTTAGACCACCTGACTTTGTTTTCTCGGCGAATAGTCTTTCAATAGTAAGAGATACCATGTTCCATTGTTTCAAGTCTCATTTAACATCTTTTTCTTTCATGACTTGGGGGGTTGGGATAATAATAATGGACGCAGGTAAGACCCGGGATCTGCCACCCCAGCATCTCAAGAGTGCCGCATAATCTGATTTACATATTGTAGATATATTAATGTAACGAATATTTGAACAATTACTGGGGAATTTAGTCCCGGCAAATATAGCTAAAAGTCCCTTTCAATAAAGTTTTGTTTTCCACTTGTTGTTCTCGCCACTCACTAAGGGGGTGATTGTTTGCAAGTATTCAATTGACGCACTCCTATTGTCGCATTGTATTGAGATGAAAGAGACAACTAAGAGAATAACAATGAATAGACGAGTACATGAATCTATACTGCATTCATCAACCTTGGAATAGAATATACAATGCAGGTAATAAAGTACATCGGGCCAAGACCGGTCACGTGAATTGATCAATTCGCCGTCATCCTCGTCGGCTTTGACCACAGGATTGTCTCCATCACCACCCTCCTTCACCACAGCCACTCATCAGCCACCCAATCTGCACCACTTCTAGGGATTCATTCTAGTCCCTTGGAATGCAGATGATCTAGTCGGCCTATTGAATGACCTGCTCGCCTGCTTGAGCGACCGTCGATCGAGACCGGGTTCCCCCTCTCCAGGCACTGGTATCAAACTTTGCGATTCGGATCCAGAGCCGCTCTGGTTAATACCGTCTCTGCATGCTGAACTTCTCCTCGGGCTCTCATGTCTGATCGCACTCACCCCACATCCTTTCAAGCAAGACCTCCTTCACCTTCCTCGCCCGCCGGGTCTCTGAAAGAGAACCATCGGTTACCCATTTCTTCGGAACACATTCCCCAGACCCCGACATCCCCTCCGTTGATGTCGGTGAGCGAACCAAGTCATGCCGCCAACTTCATATCCTCGCATACATCACCGAATCAGGCGACGGTCCAACCTCCGAATATCTCCTCCCCTCCGTCCTCTGCGCCGATGTCTACCCAAGTCTCCCAACAGCCCACAATGAGCACTACCACTTCATTCCCCACTCCGGCCAGTAGTGTCAGCGGTCACCCTGTGAATGCGACTGCGGAGGATGTGGATCAGGGGAGAAAATCTTTCAATATGGGGATACAGGACTCGGCAGAAAACTCGGGAGCAGGTGCCGCTCAGCAACCAGCACAACAACAAACACAACACAGACCGACCGACCACGATCGGCAGTCTTTGCAAACAGACCGCACTAACGATTTTGCCACCGGGCAAGGTCAGCACTCAACAGACCCCGACGCTATGGATGTAGATACAGACCCGACTCGCCGGGCAAATACCCTCAGTCTCGATCTGGACTCTCTTCAGAAAGAGCTAACCTCGGCTTTTCATCTTTGCAAGAGATGTAAGATTCCCCAAAATGCATCAAGGCGTTTTTGTTGCATGCAGCTGCATGAATGCACTGACCTTGCACATTCTTGGAACCGAAGTTGTTAACACTGCTTTTTACTCCTTGACAGCTCCGATCGTTACTGGTCCAGACCCTTCAGTGGATCTCGTTTCTCTCTATGGGTTAGGTCCAATCGCGAACTCGGTAGCACGCACAGATCCCGTGACAGGGGAGAAAATCAACCGCCTCAGGAAATCATACGAAGGGAAGCTAAAAGGACTGGGACTTGCTGGACGGAACAAGCCCCACAAGCAGGAGATTGGCGCACCTGGCAGTCTGAGACACATGACTCTATGGCCGGAAGAGGAATGGCAGAACCAGAAGGTGCATGGCAAGGCCATCAAGGTTGCAGACATGGATTCGGCGCTACAAGATCTTCAATCGCGAGCCATGCAAATGGAACCCGGACCAATTCCTAACAATGATTTCTGGGAAGATATCCTGGGTCACGAAAAGGCGGCCAAGAATCCACCCTCAAGCGAGACTGGCAAGAAGGCTGCCGCAGCTCCAAGTGCTGGTCGCTCCTCTACTCAATCCTATGCCGCAACTCCACAAGCACAGGAAGCGGAGCGGCCGCGGCCTAGCAGGGGTCGCAAGAGACATTACGATGATAATAGCTTTGCCGGCTATGGCGAAGGGTTTGTGGATGATGATGATGACCCCGGATTCTACTCGAACGGCGAGGGAACTGGGAAGAAGAAACGCAAGAAGGTATTGCATTCCCACGGTAACCATTTCTGTTGATATAAATTAATCTAACCAGGACCACGTTGCTAAGGTGTCAACCCCCCATGTCCGAAAGAAGCGCTAGCTACGGGGTCGGCATGTTCGGCATTGGGGCCAGATGACGAAATGGGGTTTATGATCATTTCGAATCAACCAAAAGCTGTTTCTGTTTATTTCTTTTCGATGAAACACCAATTCTGCCCATATTAACCTAGGGGTGATGGGGTGATGGCTCAACCCGGGTCTCGCTACTGTGCAAGGCACGGGAATTTGATGCCTCGTTCCCCCCTTGGATCTCTTTTTATTCATTCTCAGTACATGTTGCATTACGGTGCTGGATATACCCGGCTTCATCAATCGGACGGCGTTTTTGGGCGGGAGACAAAGTTATCCAAAGTGGATATGATCAATTGCTTTTATTTCGTAAGCTTTGTTTCTTCCCCTTGTTTTTCTCTTTCCTCTTTTTTCTTTTTTCATCTTTCTATATCTCCCGCACAGCTATTCGAGATCTGCACTGCTGTAATGGTTGGTTATTCTGATTTTCTTGACGGGGTCTTATGCTTGCAGCTTGTTTCCATGATTCTTCTATCGGGATGGTCCGCTGTGTTCATCAATGATTACAGGGAGTGTGCATGACACTTCCTTACATTTTTTTTTCAACATGAGTCTTTGCAGCCTTGGCCTTGGCAGCGTGGAGATATTATTCCACGATGACGAGACGAGAATTAAATTGATTCAATAGATGACAAGATGCTTCATTGTAAGGTAGAAGTATTTGGAATATGTTAGTTGATATATCTCACTCCAAATAGCTTCTTTTTCACTGGAATATATTAAGCCGAACAAGCACTTAGTTATAAAAGAGAATAGACCAGATGCAGATGAAGTCGAGTGGTCTGAGCATCAAAATGTGCTATCAAGGCCAATACCAAAATCAATACCGTTACGGCGATCCAACGAAGCAGATCCCCCTCCCACAGCTGATCCTGATCGCCAATCACGCGTGTCCGCTTTGAACTCTCGAACCGCGAAGGACCTGAACGTCGCTGTTTCGTGATTCTTCCCGATTGGCTGCGTTTGCGGGTTCCTGGCCGAGTGGGCGTTGGGTTTTGGATTTCTTCATAGGGACCTCTGTACTCGGGGTATTCTATTTCTGCATCAGCCTACGATTTATCCAGGTGTGTTGTGATGGGAGCTTAGGCTCCAGGTTTCCGACCCCGGCTGTTTTGGGTAAGCAATAGACTCTATCACAATACACTCTCATTTTCTTGGTTTCTTGCCTGACACGGTCACTTAGAATCAGCTGAAATGTAGACCGGATCGGCGATATGAAAGGAGATTATCTCTGTTCTTCCTACTGGTATCACACTATCACATGTCATGTCAGCTGTCATGCAGGTATTGTGGGGTATGAAGTTTTCAGCTGAGCACCTCGAGCTTCTGACCTCGTCCAATTGGAAGATACGGAATATCCAGGTCCATCACAATGTCACTCAAGGTACGCCGTGATCGTGGACCATTCAGAGGCTTGCTATTTCAATAGTCATGTGTCACGAAGGCTGCGAGCTCCTAGCTCATGCACTCGTGGCACTTGTGACGAGTCCTCCTGTCCTACTATTGATAAGTGAAAGTGCTTCGCCATTACATTCTGAGAGACACTCAGCTCAATCACTCTCTAGTGTACGAACAATATGCCTTCGCCTATTCCTCAGCCCCAGGGGCTTCCAATTCTTGGAAACATCTTTGATATGCTCCCTGGCAATACTTGGGCTTCGTTGAATAAGCTGGCGGCAGAACATGGTGGTGCTGGTATCTTCAAAATCAAAATCCTCACCAAGCAACTTGTCTTCATTACAAACGCCGCTCTCCTCGAGGAAGTCTGTGATGAGAAACGATTCCGAAAATGTGTCACCGGTCCTATTGTCGAGATCCGCAGTCTTGCCCACGACAGTCTCTTCACTGCGTTTGACAACGAGGAAAGCTGGGGCATCGCGCACCGTATCATGGCTCCTTACGTTTTGCCCGAGGCCGTCAAGGAAATGCACAGGGATATACAACTCACAGCAGACGACTTAATCTGGAAATGGACTTCGACGGACAGCACCAGGCAGCGTGTGGACGTCGTTAATGACTTGGACCGACTCAACCACGCCGCCAACATGAAATGCTTCTTCAGTCAGCACATAGACTGTGTCCTTGGCGAAGAACCCGCCGTCATCAAAGCTATGTCAGATACAACCTTTGAAGCCGTACGTCGACCCACGCGACCTAAGCTCCTCACTCGGCTCTTGTACCAGAGTACATTCGACAAGGATATCAAGGCCTGTCGCGACTATTGCGCCCAGATGATCGCAAAGCGCCGTGATAATCCTATAGAGCAGAGAGATTTACTACACGCCCTACTTCACGAAAGGGACCCGAAGACCGGACAATCCCTTCCAGACAGCCGGGTCATCGACGAGATAATCAACATTCTCATCGGTAGTGCCACAACCCCGAACCTCGTCTCCTTTACCCTGTACTATCTCGCCAAAAACCCAAACGCGGTCACCCGTGCCCGTGAGGAGATTGACGCCCTCATCGGTCCCTCCGGCCAAATCGAACACTTCCATCTATCGCAATTACCCTACTGCGAAGCCATCCTCCGCGAATCATTCCGTCTCTGCGCCCCAGCTCCGGGTTTCAATATCGAGCCTTTGCCAACAGACGGTCCGGTCCTGCTCGGTGGAGGAGAATACGAGATTCCCAAGACCCAGCCCATGATTGCAATCCTGGCCGCTGTTAACCGTGATCCTGCTATATTTGATGACCCCAATGCTTTCAAGCCCGAACGCATGCTCGGTGAGGCCTTTGATTGGCTTCCCAGCGGTGTGAAGAAGGGGTTCGGAAACGGGAAGCGTGAGTGTTATGGTAAGCGGTATGCTTGGGAATGGTCGTTGCATGTACTCGTTCGCATCATTAAGGATGTTGATTTTGAATTGGCGGATAAGGGGTATACATTTGATATGGAAGGGAAGAATTTCAATGGCGCCTTTACTGTCAAGCCATACGGCATGTTTGCAAGGACTAAGAAGAGAAACGCTGCTGTTTAGTTTGGACATATGAGATGGATACCATGTCTTGAAATTCTGTTTTGAATATTCCGGGTTATATTGATACCGGGTTATTGCCCTGCTGAGAATCTACTTGCGACATTAATAAAGCCGACAATGATATTAATCTTGTTTACTTTTACTCTGTGGCCGTATGACATTCCTAGACATTGGAGACCAGCTCATGATATAACCAAAGCTCCTCACACAGCATTTCCATCGGTCTGCTTTTCGCTTTTAGACCATAATCGTTTCACCAAAGCTCGGATGGAATGTTTCGCTCCACCAATATCATACAGCGGTCTGTGTTCCTCATTGACATCATGCATGTAATCATAATCGACATGCACAAAGGCCCGCTCGACATCCGCGAGACCTTCCAATTTACGCTGCAACGCTTGGCTTACATCGTGAGACTCCCGAAGCTTAGTCTCAGGGTCCATGACGATATCAACCTCGACATAGAGTTGCTGTCCGGAATGATAAGCGCGACACTATGTACCGTTAGCCAAGATGCCAATAACCAATCCACCTTCACAACTCACCGTATCCACCTTCTGAATCCTCTGATCATGAGTCAGTGTCACATAGATACACTTATTCACAAATTCCCGCGGAGCACATTTGCCCACAATCAACCACATATTCTCAAACGCAGTCGACGCCCACGAGAACAGGATAAGCAGCGCAATACAGCACGCACCCACGGGATCAAGATACCAAACAAATCGGTCACCAACAACCGACATGACCAACCCAAACCCATTAACAACCAGATCATTACGGTGATCAATGTAAAAGACATGAGCAGCCGGATACCGACGCAAGCCATAGCAGTAGATACACATACATAACTTGGAGAAGATAGCAATCCCCACACAAATCAGCGGCACGATATGCAGCTGCTCAGACTCAGTCTTGCCGGCCGCAAGAGCCTTGGCAGATTCAATAATCAGCTCCACCGCGACGATGGTCATCAACGCACAGAACATGATGACTCCCATTGTTTCGACGCGGCGTCGTCCGACGGGGTACTTGTATGGCTTTGGACGCGAGGATATGCGTGATGTGACGAGCATAACGAGCGACGAGACGAGGTCCATGAAGGCGTCTGCGGCTGTGGCGAAGAGGGCTAGAGAGCCCGTGGTGATGGCTGCGTAGAGTTGGATCACGAAGAGGAAGAAGTTGACTGTGAAGCTGGCGCGCACGGCGAGCTTTACTTTGCCGCCGTTTTGGGCTTCGTCTTCGGCTTTGAGGCGCTCTTCTTCGCTCGCGCTGAGGAAGCACTCGATCATTTCATTTTGGTCTTTGTAAAACCCTGTGAGCTTTTTCTTTTTATTGGAAGAGTAGACCCAGTTCTTTTTTGGTTCGGATATAGTTGTTTTGTATTGGTTGAGGTTTAGAGGGTCGTCGAGAAGGGTCATTTTGGGTGGTTTGATTGGGGTTAGTCAAAGATAGCTCGGTGTAAGACTCTGATGGTACAGGTATAGGGCTCAAGATGGAGATCAGATAAGACAGAAAATCTCTCTGAGATCTAAGGTTTCAGGGTTAGCAAGGACTCCGTCCCTAGGTACGCCAAGACACCTGGTGTCTCGAACATCTTCAGCATCTTGGCACTGTGGCTGCCTGCGAAGTTTCTCTTGGCTTAGTATGATTGACGAGTGAGAGTATGAGGGATGAGAGATACTAAATTAGTGAGGTCTTGGGAGTCTCGGGATTTCTCCGGTGGATGACTGAAAACTGGAGCTCCCAATCCCGTAAGGATTTGAGTACTCATGTCGGTAGTTTATATGCCTCCAATTTTCCCGACAGCACAGCTTTATATTTAATCTAGAAATAGGAGTAATGAATTACTACTCCATGTCGGGTCTGCAGTACCCTATTAACGTTGTGTGGGCGGGAAATTGTCCGACTTTCATCGCCTTGGCATATCTCAGACATACATATTTCTCCGAATACATATATCCACATTTTTATGACCTATTAAAAGTCACGTAGAATAGCTGGAGATGTACGTTTTCAAGGCAAACGAAGATACTTGCACGATATATCTAATGCATATAGCCTTCTACCTAGGTAGGGTCCACGTCACTAAGCTTTTGAAGTACCAAGGTACCAAGTTTGCGAACCAAGAACTATAAGCTCGAACAGCTCTAACCTTGAAAATTGACCATCTTGGATTCCACTTCGAAAGATATTGCTATAATACTTGACATTTTTAGAGCTTCAGCGAAAAGGAAGTGACTTGAGTAAATTCTACCCTGTGTGTGATATCTAGCCAAGTCCATTTATTAAGTCACTAATCATCCTCTGTGGTAACGGGACTCCTCTTGCATAGTTCCATACAAGTGTAGCTTACACCAATCTCACTATTTTATTTCATGCTTCATGATCTCATCTACTAGCCAGTAGTATCTTTAGCAGTGATATCCAAGTCATATCTATACAGTAAACTTTATTACTGTGAACCTGCTTCAACTCGTAAGCAGGGGGAAACCATAAGTCACCGGGATACCCTGATGAGTTTTCCGATTGGTGCCATAAGGCTGTCCACGTCAGAACCAAGTAATATCATTCCACGCCGCTATGCCTTCCTGATTCAAGATTCTCCTTGATCAGACCTTTTCAAATATCAAGTGACGTAGGATAGCTAGAGGAGGTACACCGAACTGGCTCTCAAAATCAAGGAAGAAAAGGAAATGCAATTCAGTTCCCTATAAGGTCTGTGGAGGATCTCTTCCTTACAGCGTTTCCCCAGAGACAAGTCCCTGCACAAGGGTGAGTCGATCTAACGCGAATCAATAATCAAGGGAATCCATACAGAGGCTATAGCTACGAATCCCGAGGCTAAACTTAGGCAACTGAGGAAACGATCCCCGTGGCCAAAGGTGAGGGGACAGAGCTATGAGAGCTACAAGCATTCCTGAAGCATCCGAGCTCACCAAGGCCTTGGAAGCTCACCTTCCAATCGCCATCTGTAAGCAGGCATGTTGACAGGCGTATCACATCCAGACTCTTGGATTAGAGCAAACTAAGAAATATTGTCCGGTGATCGGATCATTTGACTTCCCTCCCTACATTCCTACTCCTTAGCTACAGCTGTAACCTCGCGCGGAGAGCTCGGGTCCTGGACAAATGTGAGGAATGTTGGGGCGGGATTATCATTCGGAGCTTTTTTTTACGAATTAATCTTTAGTGTTTAAATATACGAGCTTGACAGCTCGGGTTGTAGGTTCGGAAAAATACTCCACGAGTTTCACTGCCTTCCCAGCACATCGCCAAATATGGCCTCCAAGGTCTTACAGAACAACACCAACAGCAACTGGATGAAAGATCCAGGGCTGCGGAGACTAAACCTGGGGATCGGGTTTATGCTATCTGCATCAGCCACGGCTGGATATTGTGCTAGCATGATCAATGGCCTTCTGGTGCTTCCCGAATGTAAGCATCTTGTCTTATATATCTATATAAGAACACAAGGCTAAACAAAACAAAACCAGTCTCAACTTTCTTGAAAGGACTCGACGCAAATGAGAGAGGTCTTATTATCGCAGCTGTCTCGCTGGGATCTTTTTGCGCGTTCATCCCTGGATCTTACATCGCCGACAATCTGGGGCGGAGGATCTGTGTTCTCATCGGTTCCTCCCTAGTGATCATTGCCTCGATTATTCAAATTTCCACGCAAGATCACTGGGTCTTCTTTGGTGCTCGTGTTCTGGCTGGAATGGGAGTTGGCATCTCACAAACTGCTGCACCATTGCTCATTACCGAATCCTCTCATCCACGCCAGCGACAGACCTTCACAGGTCTATACAACGCTCTTTGGTTCATCGGGTCAATCACATCGGCCACTATTGGTTTTGCTGGGCTCACAATTGCAGGGAGTTGGTCATGGAAACTCCCCTGCTTGACGCAGGTGTTTTATCCAGTCCTTCAATTGATAGGACTTTGCTTTGTTTCCGAGAGCCCCAGATGGTTGGTCTCTCGGGGCAGGAAAGAGGATGGGATGGCTATACTGGCGAGATATCACGCCAACGGGGATGAAAACGACGAACTTGTTCAGGACGAATTCTACCAGATTTGCAAGAGCATCAATGCGGAGGCCGACAAGAGCTGCCGCCGCTGGAGCAGTTTCTTCGCAACCCGGAGCAACATGCATCGTTTATCCATCTGTGTGATTCTGGGCTTCATGCAAGAATGGTCAGGAAATGGTATGGGAAAAAAAAGTCCCCTTTTCTTACAGTCCGTTTTTCTAACCAAGTTTCTCGTTGCAGGCGTGGTCTCTTATTATCTAGCACCGATTCTAGAATCAGTCGGTATATATAACGCATCTCACCAAGCTGCCATCAATATAAGCATGCAGGTGTGGAACCTGTGCTTCGCGGTTGGTGGAGCAATGGCAGCAGACCGATACGGTCGACGGAAACTCTGGCTAAGCGCAACAATGCTGATGTTCATCTATCTATCTGCCGCGACGACTATGTCTGGTCTCTTCCAAGAGCTACATGTGCTAGAGGCCGGCATTGCGGTGGTTCCCATGCTTTTCCTCTTTTGCAGCGCTTACGATATGGCATATATGCCTTTGTTTATTGCATACCCAGCTGAAATCCTGCCCTTCCAGCTCCGCGCCAAGGGCCTTGCCATTACACTGACCACCGATTCAATGGCTTGCTTCTTCAACCAGTTCATAAACCCGGTCGCCTTGGATGCAATCCACTGGAAGTACTTTACGGTGTATCTGGGTTGTCTTGTGATTTTCATGGCGACGATCTATTTCCTTCTCCCGGAGACTAAAGGCCTATCCCTGGAGGAAGTGGCACGCATCTTTGAAAAGGAGAAGCCTTATCAGGTGGAGACACCCTCGGATGTTTCGCAAGAGCTGCTTGTGTTCCCGAAAAAGAGCAGCACTTCATCGTGATTGTGATCTAATTTTTGTTGCTGCTGCGTGTTGTAATTACGACAGTGCTCGGTCCAGAAACAGTTCCCCGCAGGCTAATCCCCAGCAGGCCGGATACTGATGTTATGTAGGTGTCTTTGTTCAAAGTTCATGTGCAAGACCAAATCCTATAGATAGATATGTAGAGATTATCCACCATTGTCTTGTGGTGTCACTTTGAATTGGATGTTTTAATAGAAAGAGATATAACGGTCATGATCATAATAATTAGCCATCGGTGTCATTGCTTTGTGAAGTCAACATGTATGTAGTTGTACGATGCACGATACATCCGGATGTCCATCAGGTGGATGGATCCCTCGATGTATACAAATCCATCCACCAATTAGAAGCGTCCAGTTACGACTCACACTAAGCCATATCTGGAATAGCGTACATTCTTATCCAAAACCGCATATCAATCGACTCAGACAGCTCTCAAGCGCAAACAAGTCCAATTGATCCCAAGCCTAAACTCTTCTCGCCAGGCCACACCACTCAAAATAGACAACCTACCTCATTGTCCGCATCCAACCTCACAAGAATGACCAAATTCGAGACAGCCCTCGAGCGCATCGACGCAGCGCACGCCGACGATCCCCGCCAAACCCAAACAGCCACCGGCCCAATCCCGTACGAACTGCACTATGCGCAAAAAATGACCAGCTACCTCTCAACCCTGAACCCCTCCGCACCAGAGCTCCTTCAGCTCGCAATCCGCGCCCAACACCTGCGCCGTTGGGAAGTGCCGCGGGACAGCTACCCCGCCACAAAGATCGGGTATCACTCGTGGCGGGCGGGCCTGCAGAGGCGACAGGCTGCGCTGGTCGAGCAGATCTGTGTTGAGAGCGGGTACTCGGCCGAGGAGGCGGCGAGGGTTGGCGCTCTGGTGCGCAAGGCGGATCTTAAGCAGGGAGATTCTGATACGCAGACTTTGGAGGATGTTGCTTGTCTTGTCTTTTTGGATGATCAGTTTGATAAGTTTGAGGCGGAGATCGCAGATGAGGAGAAGATGGTTGACATTTTGAGGAAGACTTGGGGAAGATGTCGGAGCGGGGGAGGGAGGAGGCTTTGAAGATTCAGTTGTCGGATAAGGCGAAGAAGTTGGTTGGGATTGCGTTGAGTGGGTGATTCTTTGTCTCATATATCCATATACCTAAGGTAACCAGTACTAATGCTTTTTCGTATTTGAAATCATGTAACTTGATATTGTCAATGTGAAATGAATTACGCTTCGCTAAATGTGTATAGTAAAGCTTTTTATAGCCCCCCGAAACGCCCGCTGATAGACCCATGGCCGAGTCAAACCAGAATGAAAAACAGTAGGAGTAGAGAGAAAGCAAAACTCCGACTGCTGCAATGCCGTGAGCGCTTAATGCAACGTGAAAATCATCAGTACCATGACCACCAGGCTAATCAAGTACTGCCCATGTCAATGAATCGAACCAATCCAATCGCCGCGCCAGCAGCGACACCTCCGACACAACACATCTGCACTCCACCCCAGATCGCAGCCAGCACATTGGCCCGGCCAGACCAGCCTCGCACAACACAGGTCTTAACATACCCAAACACAAGCAGGGTAATCGCCATAACACCAATACTCCAGTACAGCGCTGTCATAACCTGCGAAACAATGAAGTACGGGATAAGCGGAATAAATCCGCCAATAAAATAACCCAGCGCGAGAGTGATGGCCGAAGTCCACGCTTGGTTACAGTCAGGGGCCGTCTCACGATGATAGAAAGTAATCAGGAACTCAAGCAGGCGGTCTTGAGACGCATGCAAGTCACGCGTGATATCCGCAACCGCCGAGTCTGACAGCCCGTACGGAGAAAAAGGTCTCGCACACCATGGCGCGAGTCTCTTGTGAATCCGTCTGGATTAACTGTTGTGTTTCACGGACTGTTGTTTGGTATGATTCACTGGTGTTCATTAGGACATGTGGATGATTGGTTGCCATGTGTGGACGACTTACGCTTCACTCTTTGCGCCGACGTATCCACCAAGCCCCATTGAGATGGCTCCGGCTGCCAGCTCAGCGAGTCCACCCAGCACAACCACTTTTGTGTTTCCGAGTGCGGATAGACCGGCGCTCAGGGCGAAGGGTACGGTCAGCCCGTCTGAGAGGCCGAGAATGGCATCTGAGACGATACGCGGGTTGATGCGCACGCGAGTGCTGGAGTTGCTGGCGGTGGTTGATGTTGATTCGTCCGGGCTGTTGCACCGTCCGAAGGTATCGTAGGAGCGGGTGCTTTGGGACTCGAGATCTTGATCGGAGTCTCCGCGGATGGTATCATCGTCGTCAATGCGGGCGAGGAGGCGCTTGCCTGGAGTTGAATTGTTGTAAGTATATGCCTCTCTCTGTGTGTATCCTCTTTCCATTACTTACCTGATCGTATTTTGTCCGCATCGTTTGTAGGGAAAAGCTTCTGCTTAATGAAGAGGAATGCCATGATGCTGATCCGGAAAACTGCTACCAAGGTACGATGTACAGCAGAAGTTCACCACGCAATTACAAGTCGGCGAGAGGGAGAGGACAAGATGATGAAGGCTGAGCTGGGAAGTAATTGCACTTTATTTAATCCAGCAAAGAATCCGTATGCGTGTCTTAGTCTTTGACGGACATCAACAATGACTATGAGACGAAGTATGAAGAGAAGAAGAAAAAAAGAATCATCTACAACAATCGGCCGCGTCTCACCCCTTTTAAAATCCAGTCCCACGGACTCTGACCAGTCTCAGTAATCAATTCAGGCGCCATAGGAAAAAAATCGACAAAAGCCCACAGATAATGCAAGTCAAACAGGAAATAATGGAGGTTTAGTCGCCAAAGAGGGGCCCAGGACCAATCACCGGGCTCTCAAATGTCAGCATTGACAGTCAATTGAAGGTCTAGGAGCTGCAAGGAATGAGCTTTGTCCACTTTTGGTGAGAAAATGGCAACAACCTTGGAAGTCACTTCAAATTCAACTGATACGATTGGTGAAGTATGTTGTGCTGACCTTTGCCTGTGATGTGATTGGCTGCAAACGGCGACCCGCATTCCGGTGGGTCCATTGGAGATCTGTAGATCCACTAGGCTATTTAATGGATTCTGATTGGTTGGCTATATTATTCAAGGGCCCGGAACGATCGCGGCTTTCCCATTTTGATATTCACCCGGTCCGATTGTTAACTCCGGAGTCCTCCATATACAGCGTTGAACAGAGGGAACTTTTTACTCTTGACTCCTAGTATTCGGATACCCGAAAAGCTGGAGTCTGTTATCTCCGAGGGTTAGCTGAAGAAAAGAACGAGTATCCCGAGCATTCTAAAATGATCGGAATTACCTTTTTCGGAAAGTACAGTGGACGGACGCCTATCACAACCCGACACTCCTCAGTTAAACATCATTACACAGTCTTTATGAATTGTTTGGTGATATGTGAGGATTAGGGTGCACGGACGAACACAAACATCAAAGATAATGGAAACAAAGCGTAGGCGACGTATCCTACAGCCACTGTTGTCTTTCCCTAAACCCTCGGAGACCTATAGGAATGCCATTGGTTTATAGTCTAGATAGTGTTAGAGTTAGTAAATTATTGCATCTTCAAATTTAACAATATACATCTTTCTTCTTGCACATATGACATCATGTAAGACATCAGGAGTAATATCTCGGTTGTTCCCGAGGCCAGTCTTGCTGAACGCCTGGTTGTACCAGAGACGGTCGAATATGTAGCTTGGATTACATACCAAGGTTTGCTCAGCAATATGTAAGGCATGGGCCTATTGCAATCCTCGCCTAGGGCAAAGGTTGGATATCTTGAATAGGTACATTTTTGTTCACAATGTCAATCCACTTGATGCACAGTAAAAAGACCGGTCGCTTATCGGCCTTCCGCACGCTCAACCAGCTGATCCTCCAATCCCATTGGCTCCCATATCTCCTTAGCCTTCTTATTTTGCACCCACACCACATCTCCTTGGACAAACGCCACGACTCCACCCTTGCCCGTGGCACTAGCCGTAATGCGGAACAGGGGCTGGCCATTTTGTGGATGGGCCTCACGCAAGGGTAGCATGATAAGCCCCTGCTCCAAACACCAGCCCTCCAGGATATCCTTGAACGCAACTTCTTCCACGACTGGTGCCTTAACCCGAGGTTCAGGGGCAGCCGCAGCGGCAGTTGCAGCGGCTGCCGCCACCTTATCTTCCCGAGTAGGAAGCGGCGCCCGTGCCGTAGTTGGACGCGGGAGTTCGGCAGCAGCACGGTCACCCAGCTGTAAGGCAAGGTCCATAGTTTGCAAGCCCTTGTTCCATTCATCGTCGACGATGGTAAGCTCGTTGACCTCCTCCGGTATCTGAGCGCGCCACCAAGAGAACCAAGCTCCAACCTCCTCGTAGTTGGGGTCGTTGGTGAGCCAGATGTAGAGGATCTCGTGCCACTTCGGGAAGAAATCAGAGACTAGTAATAGTCCCATGACGTTAGGCTGGAAGAATACCTTCCAGCATAAGACATCCTTGAGCGCCGTGAGATCTTGATCCTGCGGGTTCACGGTGAAGTCCTCGCGGAGATGGCGCGCAAGGCGTGGCAGCAGGTGGTTGCGTAGGCATACATCAAATTCGGATCCTAGGGCATCCCGCCAGATCTCAACGCGGTCGACTAGGCCCTTGCGCAGACTCCATGTATCGAGTACCGAGCGGAACTTTCTCTTCGCGTCAGACATGAGACCAGTGGGCTGTTTCGGGTTTGTGTGCCGTTCATCCAAGTATTGGAGCCAAGTGAAAAGCCACCACGGGAACTTTCCATCCTGTTCAGAGCCGGGATGTCGTCGACTAGCTCGAGGTTTCCAATTCTTCAGGGCCAGGCCCACTTTGGGAATGACCAATTGGTCGAGAACGTTTGCATACACAAATGGCGGTACAATCGCCTTCCAGGCCACGACCAGCGCGGTTGCTTTGGATGGATCGTAGACGTCCCAATCATTCAGGAGTGCTGAGCGCACTCGTGGGAGCCAGAGGGTATAGATCATCGTTTCGTAAGGTGAGGTGGATGCCCGTTTCCGGGGTTCTTCTAACCCGTTCGTGCGAGACAGAAGAGGCTGAAGACGAGTGAGGTTGGACACGAGGAAAGTGGGATCTTGCAGAGGCTCCCACTCCTCCATGGCCTGGCGGAATAACGGATGTAGAGCCGCGACTGCGGTCTCAGGGAGTCGATGCTCATCGACAGCATCTCGATATTTGGATTCCAAATCTTCAAGCTTGTTGGTTAACTCGTCGAATTTGGTCGCGATGCTTTCGTCGTTTTCAAAGATGTCCAGTTCTTCCACTGCGGCGATTAGGCCCGTGAGATGGTTGACCCGGGATTGATATGCATCCAATTCGTCCACCACCTGAGCTTCTTCGAGTTCAATGAACTGTTTTCTCTCCTTTAATCCCTTCCACTCATCCGCAAATGCTTCCAGGTCATTCCGAGCTCGCTGGGTAATCTTTAACGCTTCTCCTTCCTCTTGGCTGACGAATTGTTGTGTCGACATCAGGCCAGCAGTCGAAGTAAGAACACGCTGCTCTTTTCCGGTGGCATCGACGAGCGATTTGAGAACATTAGGAACTTCCAGTCCTTCCATATCATCTTCAATTTCACGCGCTGTGCGGAATTTGGGCTTCGCACGCTGGATCGGTGTACCTGTGGCGCTCCGACCCTGTGCCTTGCGCTCCTCCTTCTTCTTTCGTCGCCGCTGCCGTTCTTCCTCGGAGCTGTCTTCGAGAATTTCGCCCCTCTGTGCAGCTGCTCGTCGCTCTTCTTCGCGAGTCTTTTTCGACTTCTCGCTCACTGCGCCCAAGCCTGCACCCTGAGGTCGCGCCTGTACCTCAATCGGATTGACGATACCCTGGCCAGTAGTTCCGAGACCTTGTCCTTCCCTGTAGCCCATCTTTGCCATCATGCGCGCGGCAAAACTGTTGGCTCCTCCCCCTCCACCGCCACCTCCCATGGCTTTCCCACCTCGTGACGATCCTCCACCTCGAGAGTTGGCCATGGTGTTTCGGTTGTTGTGGGCTCCGCTACCTAGTCCACCCATAGTGGGAGGTGTCAAGGAACGAGAGGCAGCTCTGGCGAACCCACGAAAGCCGGTGGTCGGGCGCGCGTCTTCTTCATCGGAGCTCATGTCAGCGACCTTGCGCTTTTGGCCAGAAAACGAAGGCGACTCCATCTCTTCAGGGGCTCATTGGCAGCTAGTGGCCAAATCAACTGTCCCCTCTGTTTTCAGCGAAAGAGTAAAAATGAGCAAGTAGTGTCATGTGAAATAATGAGTCTCAGTCAAGAGCTCATGAAATTCACGTGGGGACCGGAGCGGAACAACCGAGCTCCGAACCGACGAAAACAAGATGACGTTTAGGTCGGTTACTTCATAGCTCCGCTGCCACTTTTTTCCTTTGGATTCATTCATCTCACAATTGACACCCTCTTTATTCTTTCTCGCCGCATATTAGTCCTCAACATATACATTCACAATGGCCGCTCTTCTTAACAACTCGGCCCGCGTTGCCCTTCGCTCGGGAGCTTCGGCTACCTCCAAGGCCGGAGCTGCGGGCTTGACCTTTGCCCGCGGCAAGGCCACCCTCCCCGACCTTTCCTGTAAGTAGGGGTGTTTCAGTACCGCTTGGAGCTTAGAGAAACTGTATCTATATATTTGGAGTAAAGTCATTTAGACTAACATCTAAAACAAGACGACTATGGCGCCCTTGAGCCCTCCATTTCCGGCAAGATCATGGAGGTTCACCACAAGAACCACCACAACACCTACGTGACCAGCTACAACAACACCCTTGAGCAGCTGCAGGAGGCTCAGGCTAAGGGCGACATCGCTACTCAGATCGCTCTCAAGCCCGCTGTCAACTTCCACGGCGGTGGCCACCTCAACCACACTCTCTTCTGGGAGAACCTTGCCCCCAAGAGTGCCGGCGGTGGTGAGCCCCCTTCTGGTGCTCTGTCCAAGGCGATTGACTCCACCTACGGTAGCCTCGGCGAGTTCCAGTCCAAGATGAACGCTGCTCTCGCTGGCATCCAGGGCAGTGGCTGGGCTTGGCTCGTGAAGGACAAGCAGACCGGACAGATCGGCATCCGCACCTATGCTGTAAGTTATGAACAGCGATTACTCGCCTTTGATATGAACTGTTCTAGTTACTAACTCCTTACCAGAACCAGGACCCTGTCGTCGGCCAGTTCCAGCCTCTGCTCGGTATTGACGCTTGGGAGCACGCCTACTAGTAAGAATTCCTGTTTAGATGGTCCTTTGCCTATACTAACCATTTCTCTAGCCTCCAATACCAGAACCGCAAGGCCGAGTACTTCTCCGCCATCTGGGATGTCATCAACTGGAAGACCGTCGAGAAGCGCTTCACTTAAATAAAGTTGGAACGCTATTCGTTTTGTAAATGCTGCTATGATATGCGCTTAATTTCCCCTGTATTGTAGCATGTGTTTTCAATATTATCAATTATCTGGTACTATAAGATTTTATTTTATTCAGCTATTTCTTGTTCCTATCAAATGTCAACCAATCTCGTAGGCCGGGCCGGGCGGACCGCGTAATGCGGAAGATCACCGCAAGCATCCGAAACACAAGACCCCGATATTCTCCAACTGGGCCTCGAACACTTGCATTTATTGCCAACTCCATTATGTCGGCAGAAAGTCCTGGCCAGAAGAATGGCTTCAAGTCATTTTTCTCCAACGCATTGCGTCCCAAGAAATCACGTCAAACCCTTCGCAAGGGTAGCAGATCGACAACAGACCTGCGACTGGCCGCGCGCTCCAGTATCGAGGAAGCCCCTCCAATGCCAGAGCTGGCTCCATTGCACGCCCATAGACTCAAATACAGGGAATTACATGCGCAAGTGGACTTACAACTGGGTGAGCGAAGGGACTACACGGAAATCATCCATACGCTAGGCGCATTGGACCTCAACGATGCCAGCTCTCCAACCCACGAGCAAAATGATCACCGACCCCCCGGCGAGGGCGATATAGCAAGTCTCCCACCAAAGCTATGGGCGCAAATAGCAGGTTATCTGAATCCCGCCGAAGCAGCAAGCCTAGCAATGGCCAGCATCACATTATACCGACGACTAGGCCCAAGATACCTCGCGGCTCTAGACAACCCAGACAACCACACGCACAAAATTAACTTCCTCTCCAGTCTGGACATCTCCCTCCCGCACCACCTCCTCTGCTTCCCCTGCATACAATACCACCGACGCACACAAGAAGGAACCGAACGTATCCGCCCAAGCCACGTCCTAAACCCGCTCTTCAACTGCTCAAACTCAAGAAACGCCCTGAAACCCCCACCCCGCCACCGCATAACCCACGGCCGCAACCTGCCCTTCGCATTCGTGCAACTAGCCATGCGCGCCCACCGCTTCGGCCCCAGCTACGGACTGGCCCCAGACGCACTCGGTCGACGCTGGCAGCGAGATAACTGGTCGCATACATCGCGCTTCCACATCCACGAAGGCAGGCTCCTAATGCGCGTCACCAGCCAGACCTTTGCGGCGCCGGCTCTCACGCCGTCCGCGCAGCGCATGCTGCTGTACTCGCGCGAAGACTACTGTCCGTACTTTAGTGTGTGCGCGCACTGGCGGGACGGCGAGCTCATGCCGGCGTGTAAGTGTGCGCTGGAGCATATTCCGCGGCCGCGGAGTAGTGGTGGGTTGCAGGCACTCGAGCACCGGGTAAAGGACCGGATTGCGGGACAGGCGTTTGATCCGAATGCGCTGACGACGCTGTGTGGGTTCTGTCGGCCGATGCGGAGGTGTCCTGAGTGTCCGACTGAGTATCTGACTGAGGTCAAGCTGAGTGAGGATCTGGTGGATCGTAGATTCAAGCAATCTATTGTGATTACGCGGTGGAGTGATCTTGGGGACGGGACTACGCCGGATGGGATTGAGTGGGGGGGCTATTAATGGGAAGAGAGATGATTATGATTCTTTTGCGCATTACGCTAAGCGTGGGATCGCCAGTATCTTTGAGGCGGCTTTTACGGCGGATACGCTTCCTGGGCAGCGGGTTGTTTCACTGAATCCGAAGAAGAAGAAGCTTGGGGAGGAGGGAAATAAGTGGTATTAGGCCTTGGGCTGAGATCTATTGGAGAGGGCATCTGTTTCTGCTTCGACTTACTGTATACATATCATGTCTTTTGGGCGTTTTGGAAGAAAAAAGACGGAGTTGGGACAAAACTGGAAGACCTGGAGCTTGGAGTTACCTGAATTTGATACTGATATTCTGATATTCTGCATTCGAGTGATGCTGCACCCTGTGCCTTTGCTTCAAGTAGCCTATCCAGGACTAACAGCGTCGAAGGGCTGCTAACATGTCTACGCATATGTAACAACTCTCGAGGTCAATTGCAGACATCCGTTTGTTTATGATGAGCTTAAGCACCCTCTTCCACCCAGCACGTGCTCCATTCACACTCGTCTTCGCTACATTGAAGTCATCTGTCAAAACTCGACATTGAATAAGACAACACACCCATTGACACCTCTGCTGCCTGGCTCTTCAGGTGGTTGCAATATAACTTCTCTGCTTTCTCCTCTCTCTACTTCCTCTCCTGGTCTACGTCTATTACCACATCAACCCAACCTTACCCAACCTTACCCAACTCGTACTCGCGATATCCATCACGATGTCCGCTCCTCAAACTCCCAGCGCTGGGAACAATGACTACCCTGACCCTGCCCCCAACACCGGCCCCAACACTGGCACTAGCACTTCCACTGGCACTAGTACCGGTACTGACTCGACATCCCAGGGCAGCTACGGAAGCTACTGGAGGGGATATAGCATCAACCCGCCCCGACGTTGGTCGTAAGTTTCGAAGTCAACCCACCTACATTGATCCTGGCTAATGAATATCCTATATCAGACGAACCAAAAAACGGATTTGTGACTGCCCAAACCACGTCCAGGAGGATTGGCCTTTCGACTTTGCCGAGCTGGTGCGTACCCCAAACACCCTTCCAGGGTCTGTAACTCTTCTTGAGAACGTTTGCTAACACCCATTGCACCTAGATAATCGCTCCCTGCGCATACAAGTGTCCCTTCTGCAATGATTTTAACAAGGCGCTAAAGACAAAACATATGGCTTCGAACCTCCGTCGCCACATCACGAAGACGCACATTGTAAGACTTCGATACCCCTGCCTGATTGACGTCTTGCTAATACCTACTAGGAGGGAAACCCTGACGTCTACAGTACTCTTGTTGTCGCCCCTGGGGGGATGAAGTAAGCCTGCAATCGAAGACTGCAAATGATTCGCCCTTCTAAGTGATATGTCTCCGTACAGCGATAAGAACGATCGGTCCGCCCCGCAGGGTCGGGGCTACGGGTCAGGAAGGATCATCCAAGACATGATGAAGATACGAAGTGGAGGGAGAACAGGTTTGTGCTCATTACAGTACTATCAATTAGTCAACTCGTGTGATAACACAATACAGGCCTGATTGGGATAACTTCAGATCGTATGTCACTTTCGGTAGAATCATTACTCTGTAACGTAGCATACTAGACGATGTAACACATTTCAGATCAACCCTGCCAGCAGGGTCGACGTCAAAGCATTGACAAAAATGCATAGGCCTGGTCATTATTCGCATGCATCAAGAAAGGAGAACATGAAATGAGGTGGAACGAGCTCATAACTCACATATGGAGTGAAAAATAAGAGCAAAAATCAATGTAGCCATGCTACTGTGCACACAGGGCCGGGTATCATATAGTACAAAATGAAAAAAAGAAGTGGGATGGAGGCAGCAGAGACGTAAGGAAACAGACAATGAGGAGTGAAGCCGTAATGACCAGCCATATAGAAGCTCAGCCCCTGCGAGCACGACGGCCCATATACCGAGGGCGTCTTGCATGTTCATCAGAATGGACAACCATCTCGAAATGGGGTCTAACGTGGGCCTCCATAGAGTCCGGTGTCTCGGCGCGCGGGATTCCAAGCCCATGAGTAGTTTCGTAGGCTAGACGCGAGGGAGCGCGATTCTCTTTTGGCGCGGAGTCAATGGACTTCTCCATGCCGTGGACGGACACGGAATCAGAACGTTTACCCTTCATCCAGCCGAAGATGCCAAGTGAGCTGCGCCGCTTGTGTTCTATGCCATGGGATGTGGAGGGGCGTCCTGAGACTGTTGCGGAGCCGGGGTGGTCGGCAAGTGTTGACATTGTCAAAGATTGCGGGAATCCTCGTGGTCTGAAGGCTTGGGGCTGCTCTCCATTGTGGATTGGGGGGTTGGAAGAGTATAGGTCAGTTGGGGCGGTGATTATTTGAGACATGGGTCTTTGAGAGGCGCCGCCCATTGTTCTGGTCTTGGGAATTACTGGAGACGGGGCGCCCTCTTCATCGTCGTCTTCAAATTCGTTCGGAACTGGGGAGCCTTGTACACGACGGGGGTTGTTGCTTGACCGGTTGAAGAATGGAGGTATGAAACTAAGGCGTCGACGGGGCTCGTGGTTGGTTTCAGATTTAGGCTTTGACTGGCCGAGGTCGAGAGGTTGTTCCAGGATGTCCAGAGTGGTCATGTCAAGTGTTGGGATACCAGGGACTTCGGGCTCGCTTGGATCAGAAGCGATGCTGCTGTCGTCATGGAAGGAAGCTGGCCTGACGGCAGTGCGTGCTGGCAGCTCTGTCTGTTGAATTCCCTGGCGGATCTCAAGGGGCTTGGGCTTGCAAGTCCGTGGACTCTGCTTTGCAGCGGCAACCCAGTCTTGAGGTGTGAGTGGCGATGAAGAGTTGCGGTCACTAGTGTGTGCCTCCGGAGTCATAGCTTTGGTTGGGCTACGGACACGTTTAATTGTTGGTGTTGATGCTTCGTTGGCATTTGCGTGATACAGATCTCCAAAGGTCTCGATAGCAGGGTTGTTGGGGCTTCCGGGCCCAAGAAGGGCGCTGGCTTTGGAGGAAACAGTGTTGAATGAGGGCAAGATAGTGCGCGACTCGTCAGCTGTGACTCCTGAGACGTGGAGTACCACTGCAGTTGGTTTGCATGCTATCATCAACCTCACTGCCATCAAAACTGTAGCGACTGGCCATCTCTTCCGCCGAACGTGGGCGGTTAACTCGCCTACCAGAGAAAAACAAATCCTGTTCAGTCTGCGGGCTCTTCCGAGCTGTAATGCTCCCATTCGACCCATTCGATCGGTTGGCACCGGTAGCATATGCCGTACTCATAGTGTCAGGAGTGGGAGGAAGCCTGACGCCTCCGAAGAGAGATGCATCCAGTCGCCCACGTCCGCGCGGCTTGGGAGCATACAAGTCTGTTGTAAAACTGGGAATGCTAGCCATGGTAGCATCAGATGATGCTCGGTTCCTGCGTCTCGTGATTATAGTCTGGTTCACGTCTTCGCGGGACTGCATCCACCGATCAATCTGATCTTTCTTGCTTTCTTCCCGCCCAGCGGGGGAACATAGCTATCCAAGCTGCCTGTCGAAGACGATCTCCGAACAGGAATCTCGAGCTGGTCAAATTCTTGCCACCTCGTAGGCGTGTCGAACGGATTCAGCTCACTGCATTCACTCAGAACGCTCAATCTGGGTGACTCAGGCTCCATAACCTCGGTAGTCGTGTGGAAGCTTTCTGATTTCGTAAGTTCAGTCTTTGCAGTGCGTGATTGGGTTTCTTCTTCGGGAGCATAAAGGCTTCGCAAAGTGGCAGTACTTTTGTTGTCCGCTCGTAGAAAGGAGGGTGCTTTCGAAAGTTTGCGTAGCTCAGAAGATGTCTGGCGCTGAGCTACGCTCAAGACACTTGAATTTCGCTTAGAAGAGGTTCTCTCTGGGATGTCTACCATGGCCCGGGATTTCGTTGCTAAGGCTTCGGACCCATCGGCGGTCATAGGCCGGGACATAGACAGCCTGGAGGCCCGGCCGCCATTTTCCAACATGTCAATCTTCGATTCCAACTGGCAGATGAGCTCGACGGCTTCGGTAACAGCCATATCTCGCTTGTCAAGGTCGATGCGTAGTTGCTCGTTGGAATCACGCAGGATCTGGTTGTCCTTCTCGGTGGTTCGAAGCTCCTCCACTTCTGCTATCAACTCATCCATGTGCGCGAGTTGTTCTTCCATCTCAGCCATCCGCTCCAGCTTCTTTTCATAGATAGCCATCTGTTGTGTGCGGTGGAAGACCTCGAGCTTCAAATCGAAATTGAGCTTGTTCATTTTCGAGACATACTTCAAACGAGTCAGCTAGTCAACTAGTGCATATGGGGTTCCCGTGCTTATGACTCACTTGGTCCATTTCCCGCATGCCCATTTCTTTTGGCTTTCTCTGACCGGCAGAGAAAACATCACTCGCTTTGCGTGCTTTTTCAGATGCAGTATCTTCCTGGGTTCGAGTGGTCTCGGGAGTCTGAGGAGCATTTTCTTTGAATTGGTCTGATATGGTTCCTCGAGAACTTCGGTGTGCGCGTTCTTCTTTGAGTAGATCCTGCAAGAGAGCCGAGGCAGGGTTTACTAGTGTAGGGGTACCGGGTTCGGGGGTTTCTGAGCCACAAACAATCAGTCACTTGTGCTCTAGATCCATCCAACGCCGCTGGTAATCGGAAGACATACCAGATGAGCGGACCGGGGTCTTTGTGCCCGGGTGAATAGGTGACTGGTCTCTTAGCCATGAGACCTCTGCATTCATTCGAGGCGGAGTGAACATATTCGCTCGGCCCTTGACACGGGACAGTGATGGGTGCTGAGGACGTTCTGACAAGTCTTGAAGAAGCAATGTCAGCTTTAATCAATTAACCCTGAGTTTTGACACTCAATTCAAGCAGGTGCGAGTCCAGGTATCACGTACTGGAGGAGTGGTCTTTAGAGGAAACGATGCGTTTGGGTGCAGACTTGGGATGATATACGGGGCCTTGAGAGTGTGAAGGAGCGGGCTGACCAGCAGCCGAGCTCCTTCTTTGAGTTTTCCCATCCATAATGGCTGCCGGCATAGTGTTTACCGAATGCGCATAATTGACGTGCCGCAAGAAGCCCCCGGTTTCCCAGTTTGGACGCAGCTCTGCAGTATCCTGGTCAATCAGTGGACACCACGGTAACAATTTCCTGCACAATCCACCAGCCGCATCGGAGATTAATAGATGGATCCAGGGAGATCGATATCGATTGGATGGTGGTGGGTAACACGCAGGCGCGATGCGAGGGATGCAGATGTGTTGCAGGTGGGGAGCAATCAGAGGCGGGTTCGGTCGAACCTGTGGAGTGCAAGGTAGGTTTGTAGAGTCAATAGACCCGAATCAAGGCACAGAGGTGTTCTCCCTTCAAACCCAAGACTCAAGGGAGAATGCGGGACACTGGGACAAGTCAAACGAAGCGAGGGCGATGTCGCAAACGAATTGTGATGAGTCGCCAAAAAAGAAAAAGAAAAGGGTGCAGTCACAGGCCCCACTTTGTAGATGTTATTTGTTTTGAGCCTTCGAGTTAGAGACAGTTGCCATGAGAGAGGTAAGGAATGGAAGAATCGAAGAATGGAAGAACAGAAAATCAACAGTCTTGCAAAGATTCAAAGATGTTACTTCTACTTCGTACTCCGTACGTACTTTTCTTCTTTTTTTTTCCAGCCCCCCCGAGGCTAGATTCAATAGGCTCCTTAGCCACGACGATCAATTCGCTATTAGCGTTAAGTCGCTCTTTTTCCTCGACACCAATCGGATCGGGGCCGTGGGGTCTCACTTTGGCCCTTACGCGGGGTTTCTCCTGAGTGTTAGATCCTGACTTCATAATTGTTACAGAATTCTTGTTTCAGTTGGAAGTACTCCGAAGTATGAATGAATTATATTCTATGAATTATCTGGATTCAATCAATTGATTCAATATTCTATGACAGGGAAAATAAATGTATAGAAATCGCATACAAACTGTTTTGATATATCAACATTCCATTTCCATGGATCCAAATCTTATGTCTCCACCTGGCTTGGAAGTCAACATTTAAAGTATTGGACATCGTCAAGATCTGATATATTCGTTTATAACATCCTCCATGTCTCATATTCTTCGTTAAATTGTAGTCCAATAGGAATTCCGATTACGGAGTATAGAAGATAAAATAAACTCAGACCAGGCTAAAATCCTGTCCTACGTCACACGCAACCTATCAGAATTGAAGAATCATATTGTCGCATAAAATGTATCACCTTCATGAGCGAGCGCAGCTCAGAGCCCATGAGAAATGCCTCGTCACAGACCATTACTCGTGTATTACTTACGTTTCGCCTCTCCAGACCAGATCCGCATGTCCTTGGCCCGATCATGAGCAACGCGGAACACTATCGAACCATATCTGTTAGTGACCTCATTCCTCCACCCACATATCCGAAACAGGGACATGACCTACATTGTCGCTCAGTCTCATCCAACCCGCGAAGGAAATCAACCCCGCCACCGACCGCACCACGCGAGTTGTGCGCATGATCAGCGATATCTGCCGCTCGTTTCTTGAATGCCTGACAGCTTGTTAGTCCCAGCTTGGCCAATGAGGTGCTTTAACCAGCCGCGGAGATCGGAGCCACCTACATCTCCGAGAACATCGACCATCTCTTCTTCCTCGAAGAGTTCGAGGATCCGCTCGCTTAGGTTGTAGAAATGCGGTGCCAAAGCGCGCAAGTCAAGCGTGCGCGGATCTGCCTTCAGGGCATTCATTACCCGCTCCGAAAGCGCTTCGGGCATGTCGAGGGTAACTAGACGGGACGTTCCGAGACGCGCTCTATAACAACCACATATAGCGCGTTAGGAAAATAATGAACTTCATGCCTGGTCCTCTGAGTAGACTGGTCTGGGTGGGACCTTACCCGATCGAGAGCATTTCACCTAGCCATAGTGGAAGATCAATCCGGGTTCCGGCTTTGATCTGTGCATGGGTCAGTAAGCTGTGTGGCCGGATAGTGAAAACCGTAGCGTAGACTCACATCTTCGCCCGCATTGCCCTCTAAAATACCGAGTCCGGGTACTTCAAGCTCGAATGTACACGGCAGTTTCTGGATCCAACGATGTTAGCAATTGTTCATTTCTAAGGGTTGGTGTTAGGGGTATGTGTTCGCAATAGACCCACCTGTGCATCAGTCAAGATGGAGTCAATATCATAGTAAGACATGATGACAAGCCGGAATATTCATGTTCTGTTGATCGCAAAGTTGTGAGATTGAGGCGCGTCGATAACGGCGCGCGGTCACGTGCTACCCGCGCAATGGGAAATTGGTGGAGAAACCGACGGTATCCACTACAACTGCTGGAAGTTATGGGCTTTGGGAGCTCTGCCTCTGTTCTGTCCTCGAATGACTATGAGAAATTTACTACGACCTGGCAGATGGGGGAAATAGCTCGATTGCCCAGGTCGGTAATGTAGCACTTTGAGTCATCTCCAGATACATCTACAACATACGACTCACACCCGTCATTACACAAACCACTTTTTTTTCTAGAAGTCGCAGAAAGCCGCTGTAACTTCAAGAAAGCCAGTGCAATCTTATGCCGGCCCCAGGCTTGCAATGTCAGGCTCAGTCGCTAACCTCAGACATAAGATATCACATATGCACCCTACGTGACACTTGCGCACATGGATGCATGCACGCCACAGTGTCTCCGTGTGATAGATGTATTTGAATATGATTTTGTTGCATAGACAGATATTGACTCGACGGTATCAGCAAAGTTGAGCATACGCTTTCCTCGCATAGAACAGTCAGCGTCGTATGCAACGGTCTGGGTTTCCTTTCCATAATTTTCCAAATAGAGTGAAGACCCCCATATATAAATACAAAACGTGAAATCAAACATGACCTAATCCCCGACTCAAAGCCCATGCAGTTCAGCAAATGGATCGTGAATAGGGTCCTCATGTTGAGTATACTCAATGCTATTTGAGATCTTCCTCGCCACCTCACTCCCATAGACCTCTTCAATCCAAGCAAGAGTAACATCAATGCCAGCACTAACCCCAGAGGAAGACCAGATATTACCATCAACGACCCATCTCGCACGAGGCACCCAATCAACATTCACCGCCAAACCCGTAGTCTCAGCCCAGGCCATCTTATTCGTCGTGGCTCGTTTCCCATCCAGAACCCCAGCTCTAGCTGCAAGCCCCGAGCCGGTACACACTGTAATGAGATAACCCAGCTGGGGGTAGACGTTTCGGATGTACGAGATGGCTTCTTCGATTGCTGTGTTCGAGCCGCGCGTGCCCAGGCCGCCGGGGACGAGAAGCAGATCCAAAGACGGTGCTGTTGCAAACGTGTGGGTTGGAACCACGCTTTGGCCTATGGCATTGGTGGATGCCGGTGACTTTGTTGTTACTGGCTCTAGGGTTGAGGATATGAGTGCGAATGTCACGCTGTGGCTCCATGAGAGGACGTTGATGCAGTCCACTGGGCCGAATACATCCAGGGCCTGAAAGCCTGGGAACAGCACTACGCCCACACGGAGCGGGGCGGATTTGTCTTGAGGTTCTGGATACTCAATCTGTTAATATGTGGAATATGTGTTGGAAGTGAGGGTCATACTAGACATTCTTTTGTGGTCTCGCTGTTGCTAGGGATAATGTGCAAGCCCTCCGATCTGTTCTTTAAGAGGTAGTTCCTTCTATCAGTGTTGGCACTAAAATGCGTGATCTGGTCTTTATAAGCACGGCCAGGTGTTGGAATGACTTGGCCACAGCCTTGCGTCCGTTTTGAGCAGATTAGCGCGTAAGCAGGAATGGACCCGTTTTAGGAGAGCCGAAGCTTCCAAGGTTGCCAATGTATCATTTGATAACAGGGAAAAGCGTAGGAATTGCTTCAATGGAAAATCTGCTTGGCTGTTATTTGTCTGATTTGTCTGATATATGTTAACATGACGCCGACGACGGCAGCTCAAAATAACCTTATTTCCCCGGCGGACCTCGGAACAGTGATCGCCTTAATAATAACCGGGCCGCCATAGAAAGCTTCCGAGCTCCAAGATACAAGTCGGAGATTATGCAGGATAGATGGGGACTACCAATACCTGCTTGTTCTCGAAGCCCGACCAGTGGGAAAAGCATTGGGCATCACCCTAAAGCCTACTCAGGTCCTGACAATCCGAGCTAGTCACTTTTTCCAAGATGGCTGCCGCGGACCCCTGGCTTCTGTGCTGCAGTAATTTATCGAAAGGGCTCAGGGCCAGATGCAAGAAATCGCCATCGTCATGAAAGACCCTTCTGCAACCTCGGCGTGGCCAAACAGTCAGCAGAAGACCTCCCAAGTTTTAGGACAAATGAGTAGGACTGTTTGCTATCATCTCCGGTATGCGCGCAATCATGGCATGCATATGGATGCAGCTAGATCCTCTGAGGCCAGGATATGAGTTGGGTCATGATTTCCAGGAGAAAAACAGGAACTCTGTGCCGGCGAGAGTTATGAAATATAGTTTCACAGGATGCCTTCATCGGGCTCGATTACTCCGAGGAGATTGAGCAGACAGATAATATTGCAGTACGTCGTTTCTCAGTAGGGACGGATGAGCAGAAGATGAGATTTACGCAACCTACATATGTAGGTTACTGTTTGATATCACATAGGTCACACGACCATCTCGAGTCTTGAGCGCCCAATCGAAGTATTTTTATTAGTCAGTTCCTAGCAAGGCAGAGCACGCCAATGGAAAAACAACTGAGGCCACGATATCTATTGATGGTCTGATTGGTCCGGGGTTGTCAAGTACTGCAGCCCAAATGTAAACACCTCGGTATTGCCTATTTGGGCCATTTTATGTATGTTACCGGGAAGTCTGCAGAAAGGCAACGAGGCAAAGCAGAAATAGTGAGAGTACTCGAAGGGATTTATCCAAGACCTCCTTATATTCCTTGAAAGTACTCCTTATATCGTGGATATACAAAAATGCCAAGACCTCTCGAACCGAGTGGAGAGTCAAAGCCAGCAAAGATCGTGACTGGTCTAAGACACAGGTGAACGCAAAGCCCCCGTAAGTGGCTTAGTGCTTTCATTCCTTGTTTTGGGGTTAGGAGATTAAAATTACGATATAATTAGCATCAAGATAGCTTTAGTTTCAGACATTCCAGGGCAAATTATTGTACGACGGCGAACTTTCAAAATTAAGACTTTCCCTGGCTTTTTCTTTTCATCCCTCCTTTTCTTTGTCTGGCATCCCTGTTATTCCGAGTCCCTTTGATCCCGAAACCCACTCTATCAATTTGAACTGGTCTGGATGGATGGTCGGTGATTAAAACCTATATTATGGCGTACAATGCCGTCGCTCAAGTTGACCATGAGGTGGCTTCTATTTCTTCCGCTTCTGCGTCACGCAGCCCCTCACCGGCTCATGGACATGTATTTGAGCAGCTGCCGCTTGATACCGACCATATTGGAGGAGGAAGCCACCTAGAAGCGGCAAAAACCACGGACAACCCCAGTTTCAGTCAGTTAGGTTCGATGATCCGCTCCATGACTTCTACCAGCTACGATGTGGTGGAGGACGATGACTATGACGCCGATCCTTCCCCCGAAGAGCGATCCAATAGCCTCCGTATTCCACCACTCAATACGACTGTCGCGCGACATTCTCCTCCCGAGCCCCCGATCCATAGCGCATGCAGCGAGGCTTCCGTACCTCTCAGTCACCCTACTCCGGATTTGCAGTCGATACAAGGAGCCTACAAAGGAAATGTAACGCGGTTGGAACAAAGCGCGGAGCAGCTGAGCTCGTGCTCGGCGGACATTGAAAGCGAAATCCGTCGCATCGACCAAGAACAAAAGCGACGCTCAGTCAGTTCCGCGTCTAATTCAATCATTCACCGGAATGGTGCATTCTCCCCGGCAGGGACAGTTTCCTCCGCCCACGGATCGAATATGTCCCCCGCGCGCCAGCGCTCCGTATCAGGGGCACGCCTCGCTCAGCTCTCCGAGCCTGCACTCGATGAGCGTGAGCATGAAGTGGATGAATTTCCCGGGCTCCCTAATCTACCACCGCCACAACCTCTTTTCAATACCCAGAGCGATTACCACTACGATCAATATGTTCCGCAAGGAGTTCCCGCAGAGGCGGAGTTGGAGCGCCGGGCCTCGGTCGCATCGAACGATACCTACCAGCAGGCACGGACATTATTCACCGACTTTGATGGCGTCCATTTCACACACTTAGAACCGGGTCGCCAGGTACCTTTGGAGCAGCCGCCGCTCGCCCGCAAGCCGGAACATTACAAACAGCCGCAAGCAGGAGAGAATATGGTGTTTTATCCTGCCCCTGTCCCACGCATGTTGAATCTGCCGCCGAAGTTGTCGCGCAAATCAAACATAGACCGGGATAAACGTCGGACACAGCTCGCAGGCGCCATCGCCGCTGAGGATAGAAAGTCAACCGCTGTGCTAGCTGACGCTGATCAGCCAGATCCACGCGATAGCAATAACGATAAACGCAAATCGGCAATACCACCACATCTCCGTGCGAGTGTGTTCTTTGATCAACCAAGTACATCACTCCAGATCGAGGTTAAACAAGAGTCTGCCGTTGCTACGCTGGAGAGCATTTTGGACGCCTCTGCGAATGCACCCGTTTCGGCTTTCACTGATCACCCTTATGCTGGTCAGGTTGGCGGGTTCATCTACAAATCAAAACGCAAGACCCTGACAAAGGATCTGACAGGGCAAAAGGCAAATCGTATTTCGCGAGCCACGATTGGCCAGCCTTATAGCACTAATAATGTAGACGAGGACGGGGGCCCCGTCACTTCGCGACGTGGGTCGGAAGCCGGGAATGACACGGATAGAGATCATGATGAGCATGGTCGTGAGCGTGGGTCGGAAGGCACTGATGCCGAAAGTGATGAGCAATCTGAAGACGAAGACGAAGAGGACGAGGAAGACGGGGAATTGGATTATGTTGGTCCACCGAATACGCTCATCGCCGAATTGGAGTTGCGGAAGCATGAGTTGAAGCACCGACGCCGGACGGCTGTGCCTGTGCCTTTCCAAGGTATGCAGACCACTCTGCTAGAAATGGATGAGATGGTCCAAAAACAAAGTGATAAACGGCGGCAACGTCCTGTGGCTTTGGCCTGGGAAGGCCGGGACGAAGACGAAGACGTTCCCCTGGCTATGTTGTACCCCGAGAAAGCCGGTGCCGAAAATGATGATCGACCTTTGGGGTTGTTAGCCAAGCGGCAACAAGAAGAAAATGAGCCTCTGAGCTCACGGCGTGCCAGGCTGCGGGGTGAGCCAATCCCGCAGCCGGAGCAACGGCCTGCTACAGTGTATGCAGCAGAGCCCCCCGGCGCATGTTCCTGAGCCGGCCGCCGAGAGTGAGGAAGAGACAGAGACAGAGACCCTTGCCGAGAGACTCCAACGGTTGAAGGGACATAATCGCTCGGAGAGCAAATTCGCCAGCGACTTGATGGCCGAAATTGATAGCCGGGCTGGAATTGCGCCCAAAGCCGCCCAAGAAGTCCCGGCCGCCGACGAGGAAGAGACACTCGCACAACGACGCAGTCGCCTTCAGAAAGAGGCCGCTGCCCAACCCGGCTCCCCAAAGAACCCGCGAATGCGCCGCAGCATGGCCGCGCTTACACAGGGTCGTCCTTCCCACCTTGCTCGCCAGTCGTCGCATGATGTTTTCAATCAGCGGCCTGTCACCATGTCCCAGTATGGGAACCGGATGTCTATGCAACAATTCCCAACACAAATGGGATACCCGACACCTGCAGGATACCCGATGGCACGGCAATATGGGTATCCTATGAGCCCTGCGATGATGGGCACGAATGGCGTGGGCTATGCTCCAAGTATGGCCCAAACCCCTGGGCCGGTCAAAACCGACGTGATCGACCGCTGGAGGCAAAGCATTCGTTGAAAGCGTCATCAACTAATTTTTGCTTCATGTTTTGTTTGTTAGCATAGCATATGGTCGTTTGAGCGTGTCATTTTTTTGATCTATTTTTTTTGTCGAAGGATATCTATGTAGCATAGCTGTACGATTTATAGAGGAATTAGCGCATACATTTCTAGGTGTAATGACCTATCTAGGCAAAGAGTCCAAAGACCAAAAGCAAGTAGGGGCAAGAATGTGAATTGATATTGCAGATAGGCCCAGGCACTCCAGCAGGCCAGATGGGTGTAACGTCACTTTCAGCCGCGCGTTACTTTGATCTTTTCTCTTCTATATAATTAGACATAAAAATTGATATCTTTGCTGCAATATTTACTATGGATTGTTGATTTACCCCTTTCGTCCGAGTTTAGTAGGCTTACAGGAGCTCGAAGCTTACGAACCTTGAAAGCCCACGGGTGGGTTCTGCGTTCCCCACGGTCCGTTGTCTATATATGACAGCGTCTTTGTTCAACACTCAGCACTTGCAGTTGATGACTGCAATGGAATATTACGCCCCTTGTTAATCATTGCGACTCGATTTGGCGTGAGGGCCCCAGATAACTGCCATGCCACCGTCTACTGTCTTCTCGTATTGGCGCCGAGACCATCGACGTTCGTCCGCGTCGCCTGCTTCAATCCCCGCGCCCTCACCTGTCAAAGGAGCGAATGGAAGCCCGATTAGCAGTCCTCCCCAGCTTCCTCAGATCCCGGATACACCGACTCTCACCACTACCTTCGACACTCACTCCTCACCCGATGGCCCCTCCTCCAACGAGTCGCCGCTGGACATCGATACTTCCAAGCTCAACATCAGCTCATCGGTCGCGCCGATACCCTCCTCAATCACCCTGGCTGTCCCATCCCCGGCATTTGAAAGAGAGAATCGTCCTCATTCCAGCCCCGGCGACTCCGGGGAAGAACAGTTTACATCCCAGTCGAACAATTCTCAACTGTCTGTGACCGGTCGACGGTCCGATCAAGGAGACACAGACTCGAATTTCAAATCAAGTTCGCCCTTTCGACGTTCATTTGCCAAGCAAAAACGATCGCCAACTGCTCCAACGGGGTCAGGTCATTTCCGGTTCAGAAGCTCACCGGACGATTCGCCGGATAAACAAACAATGCCACAGAAGGATTTCAAGCTCGATGGTGTGCCCGTAGAACAGACACATCATAAGTCGGGCAAGGCGATGCTCCATCTCTTGAATCCGATGTCTCTTCTTGCGCGCAGGCGCTCCTCGCAGGTGATTGGCTCCCGGACAGAAGATATCAAGATCAAGAACCGGAATGTTCCTGCTATGCCAGATGACTATGATCCCAGAATTCGTGGAAAGATCATCCATGACTTCTCTGCGCCACGGCCTCGTCGGAATATTTCGGCTACCCAGCCGGACACAGGTCTGAATGGACAGGATACTTCACCTCCGCAAATACCCAGTCAACCTCGTGCAGCCAGCTGGAATGACCAGATAAAACGGCACAGTGACCACTCGCCTGTTTTCAAGGAACATTTTGAGGACCAGAATGTTCTACAGGTGGAAAACAAGGGTTATCTTCAGTCTTCACTTCTGACAGGCCAGTCACAGCCTGGTTATGATAGCTCATTGCCGGTCTTTGCGCGGAACCTTCCTTCTCATCTACCAGAAAGAACTATAGATGCCCCGGAGCAGCTTGAGCCTGGGGTGGAGCAACCTCCAAGCCCACCTAAAGCAGTCTCCCATGCTCATCCTCAACAACCTCAAGACCAAGATACTATTCCTAATGTACCCTTTAATCCCTCGGCATTGCCGAAACATCTCAAGAGCAATGCCTCTCGATTCAGCTTCGATATGAGCGGAGTGGAATCATCTACGCAAGAGAAGATGCTGGAAGAGAAGCATAAGGCCAAGGAGGCTTCTCGCAGGATGGAGGATGGTTATTTTGACGACTTCGATGAGGACTTCGATGATGACATGATGGACGATTTGGATGGCCTGGAAGAGAAGATCCCCGGCGTCAATGCAGATGCCGAGGATGATGACTTCGATGATTTCTCTATTTCGAGAAACATCAACGAGCCCAAGTCCTGGGCTATTCCGGGATTGTCACCTGTAGTTGCTAGCCCGGTCACTGCTGCACCGCCAGAGCCCACAAACACCTCTCACCTCGCCTCCGAGGCCACACAATTAGACTATGGCCCCAGCCAGCAAATCCCAAATCAACAACCATCCCTAGGTGCCACCACTGATGCGACAGCAACCATTCCCCAGGCTCCTATGACGAAACAAGCGACCCAAATCCTTGACGATGATGATGATCTTTATTTTGATGATGGCGATTTCGGTGATCTCGATGCCGATAATCAAGGTGGTGGATTTGATGAATCTATATTTGATGATGTAAACAGTCATTTATACGAACGAAAACCTGTCGTTGCCCCTGCAGCACCTTTGGCGACGGACAGTGCGGGCCCTGATGAGGACGACTCTTCACTAGGCAAGGAAAGCCCGGTGGCAGAAAGAGGAAATCAAGCACTGCAGCACATGCCTAGTGTGGCCAGTGACTATCGTGTCACAGGATCAGTCAAGCGTGGTCCCCTCGGCGAGCCAATACCAAATATGGGCCCTGTCCGTGCCCATGGTGCCGGTGTGCTCACAGAGCAAAATCTAGACATCTTACACAATGCTTTAGCTTTTGCAGCCAATGAAGCATCTTATAGTGGGCGCTTCGAGCGCACTTTCAGCACCAGCGAACGATCCCAGGGGCAAGAGAGTGCAGCTCAAACATCGCAGACAATAGACTCGCAACCGGGTCTAGTTTCCGATGACAGCCGGATCACCCAAGCTGCGGATGCCATGGCATTTGAAGACGTTTTCGATACTCAGGTCTACGATGATCAGTTCTACGATGATAACGACGATGCGTACTTCGACGATGCAATCGTTGCTGCCGCTAATGCCGAAGCTCTTGAGAACGATGACGATGGCTTCTACGGCCAAGAGTTCGGCTTCTACGCACAGGCAGATGGCACCGGCGCCTCTGAGCTAACTAACGGCGGATACTTTGGTCCGCGACGGATCGAAGGCATCACACGGAATCACAGTAGCCGTGGCAAATTTCAGGAGCCCAGCTTGACCCCTATCACTGAAAAAAGTGAATGGAGCACACGCAACTCCATGATCTCCGTCAAGGCCCACGGGGGTACCCATCCAAATTCAGCTCTAGCGAGCCCTGGACTGGCGCAGCTGGTTGACATGGGCAATCTTGACGATGAAATGTCACTGAGCGCACTCATGAAGCTACGTCGGGGAGCCTGGGGTGGAAGCAACGGTAGCCTGCGCAGCAGTGCAGGTAGTCCACCGCCACATACAATCTCGCCCTCTCACCGTGCAAGCTTGAATGGCGCTGAAGCAAGCCCAACAGTATCTGAACCAAGGCCTTTCAGCTCCGGTGAGGGGGCCTCAAACGGTGTCGGTTATTTCCATGATGATAGCCACACGCGTACTGCTTCGCCGTTGTCGGGGCGGCCTGATTCTGAAGAGATTCCAAGCAGCGGACTTCAGCGACTTAATGTCTTGTAATATGCCTGATTTCCCTGTCTGGGTATAATGATCTATTATTTCTCTGCATATGCTCTTTGTGCGGCGATCTTGCAATGTCACGATTTCATGAATTATTTATTGTTCTATAGTTTTAGATGTTAATATTAATACAGATCGTAATTGAAACACTTTCAGATTCGAAGCAGATCCCATCAAAAACAGGACTTGGCATTGGGTAAATCAGGGAATTGAGGGAGATCCATGATTAATAGTAATACATTTTAGGTCCCATTGGGCCGAAAACTCCCGCAAACCAGCCCGAAAGCTTTAGCCGGTTTCTCTGTGGAGAGCAACTTCTTCGGGTCGTCTCCCGAGGTCCTGCGTCCTGCGTCCTGCGTCCTGCACTGAGTGGCGCCTTAGCCCGGCCCGGCTATAGGGGCTGAGTCAGCGCACCAGCCTCAATGCCGTGACACCCGTCATTCTCAGCTTCCTTTAACTCTTTCGCTTCATTTTTCCTCTAACCTCCACACTTTGTTTTCTTATCTAGAGCCTTTTAGCTCTCTGATGAGTCCCGATTCTATACAGGTGCTACGGCAATACTAGTCGACACCTGCTCTGTGATTTAATTCGTACGTGTACCTTGACGCCTCATTCCTTTCCTCTGTTTCCGGTTTGCTACCTGCAGGACAACATGGCAATATCAGGCTGACAGTATAGCATGCAGTGAATCTGCCTCTTTATCGTCTGATTTGGCCAGAATCTCGAACTACTGTCTTCCAATTCCCCTTTTCTTCGAAAACTTCGTTGGACCTTGATCCAAGAAAAATCCCGCAATGTTTAGAAACACTGCCTTGAAGGCCACCAACAGCGGTATGCTGCGTGGTGCGACCTCCTCATCATGCCGGCGCTCATTCCACCTCGCCACTAGCGCTCGCAGCGCTTCAAAAAGCTCCGGCTTCAGCATGACCGCCCGTCGGCCTCTTGCTGTTGTCGACCGTGCTTTCAACGGTGCTCGGTCCTACGCGGCCCCCGCGGAGGGCCCCAGCCAAGGAGTGGTAAGCAACAACAATCTTCAGAATCGGTAGCGATCCGATCTGGGTTCCCGAAAATTCAAATAAACAAACAGGCATTCGACTAATGCGACGGCGCGATCTCGCCATTACGTGAACAGGACCCCAACGATTCTTTCCTTACTGGTAGCACTGCCAACTACATCGATGAGATGTACATGGCATGGAAGAACGATGCCTCGAGTGTTCACATCTCGTGGCAGACTTACTTCAAGAACATGGAGGAGGGTAAGATGCCTATCTCCCAGGCCTTCACTCCTCCTCCTACCCTCGTCCCCACCCCTACCGGTGGTGTCCCCCAAGACATGCCCGGCCAGGGACTCGCCGCTGGCGCTGACGTGACGAACCACTTGAAGGTTCAGCTCCTCTGCCGCGCCTACCAGGCTCGCGGTCACCACAAGGCCAAGATCGACCCTCTCGGCATTCGCGGAGAGGCTGAGGCCTTTGGCTACGACAAGCCCAAGGAGCTCGAGTTGGACCACTACGGTTTCACCGAGCGTGACTTGGACCAGGAGTTTGCCCTTGGACCCGGTATCTTGCCCCGTTTCATCACCGAATCCCGCAAGAAGATGACTCTGCGCGAGATCATCGCCGCCTGCGAGAAGATCTACTGCGGCTCTTACGGTGTCGAGTACATTCACATTCCTGACCGCAAGCCCTGCGAGTGGATCCGTGACCGCTTCGAGATCCCTCAACCTTACAACTACTCGGTTGACGACAAGCGCCGCATCCTTGACCGTCTGATTTGGTCTTCCAGCTTCGAGTCCTTCCTCGCTACCAAGTTCCCCAACGACAAGCGTTTCGGTCTGGAGGGTTGCGAGACCCTGGTCCCCGGTATGAAGGCCCTGATCGATCGTAGCGTCGACTACGGCATCAAGGACATCGTCATTGGTATGCCTCACCGCGGTCGTCTTAATGTTCTGTCCAACGTTGTCCGCAAGCCCAATGAGTCCATCTTCAGCGAGTTTGCCGGTTCCACTGAGCCTTCCGATGAGGGCTCCGGCGATGTCAAGTACCACTTGGGTATGAACTTCGAGCGCCCTACTCCCTCCGGTAAGCGGGTGCAGCTGTCTCTGGTTGCCAACCCCTCTCACCTCGAGGCTGAGGACCCCGTTGTTCTTGGAAAGACTCGTGCCATCCAGCACTACAACAATGACGAGACCAACTACGACTCCGCTATGGGTGTTCTGCTGCACGGTGATGCTGCCTTTGCTGGCCAGGGTGTTGTCTACGAGACCATGGGATTCCACTCTCTTCCGGCCTACTCCACCGGTGGTACCATCCACCTTGTCGTGAACAACCAGATTGGTTTCACCACTGATCCCCGTTACTCCCGGTCTACCCCGTACTGTTCCGACATTGCCAAGTCCATCGACGCTCCCGTCTTCCACGTGAACGCCGACGATGTTGAGGCTGTCAACTACGTTTGCCAGGTCGCTGCTGACTGGCGTGCCGAGTTCAAGCGTGACGTTGTCATTGACATGGTCTGCTACCGTAAGCAGGGTCACAACGAGACTGACCAGCCTTCGTTCACCCAGCCCCTGATGTACAAGCGCATTGCCGAGCAGAAGGCTCAGCTTGACAAGTACGTCGAGAAGCTGATTGCCGAGGGTACCTTCAGTAAGGAGGACATTGATGAGCACAAGAACTGGGTCTGGGGAATGCTCGGCGACAGCTTCGACCGCAGCAAGGACTACCAGCCCACTGGAAAGGAGTGGTTGACTTCCGCCTGGAACAACTTCAAGTCCCCCAAGGAGCTGGCCAATGAGGTCCTGCCTCACCTACCCACAGCCGTTCCTGCCAAGTCCCTGCAGCACATTGCTGACAAGATCTCCGGTACCGGTGTTCCCGAGGGCTTCGAGCTCCACCGTAACCTCAAGCGTATTCTGGCCGGACGCAAGAAGGCCGTCGACGAGGGCAAGAACATCGATTGGGCCACTGCTGAGGCTCTCGCTTTCGGTTCTCTCGTTGACGAGGGATACCACGTCCGTGTTTCCGGTCAGGATGTTGAGCGTGGTACCTTCTCTCAGCGCCACGCCGTCCTGCACGACCAGCAGACTGAGCGCACTTACACTCCCCTGAAACACATCGGTGACAAGCAGGGAAGCTTCGTCATCTCTAACTCCTCCCTGAGTGAGTTTGGTTGGTAAGTTTTTGAATTGAAACTCTTTGCGTAACAACGATTCTAACAGACAATCTAGTCTCGGCTTCGAGTACGGTTACTCTCTGACCTCCCCCAACGCTCTGGTGATGTGGGAGGCTCAGTTCGGTGACTTCGCCAACAACGCTCAGTGTATCATTGATCAGTTCATCGCCTCCGGTGAATCCAAGTGGCTGCAGCGTTCCGGTCTGGTTGTGTCTCTGCCCCACGGTTATGATGGCCAAGGTCCTGAGCACTCTTCCGGACGTATGGAGCGTTGGCTCCAGCTTTGCAACGAAGAGCCCCGTTCGTACCCCGAGGCTGACAAGCTGGACCGTCAGCACCAGGACTGCAACATGCAGATTGCCTGCATGACCACCCCTGCCAACCTGTTCCACATCCTCCGTCGCCAGATCCACCGCCAGTTCCGCAAGCCTCTGGTCCTCTTCTTCTCCAAGTCTTTGCTGCGTCACCCCCTTGCCCGCTCTGACATCGAGGAGCTGACGGCCGAGGACTCCCACTTCCAGTGGATCATCCCCGACCAGGGCCACGGCACCGCTATCGAAGCTCCTAAGGACATCGAGCGCGTCATCCTGTGCTCCGGACAGGTCTACGCTGCCTTGACTAAGCACCGCGAGGCCAACGGTATCCGCAACACTGCTATCACCCGTATTGAGCAGCTGCACCCCTTCCCTTGGGCTCAGCTGAAGGAGAACCTGGACAGCTACCCCAACGCTAAGGATATCGTCTGGTGCCAGGAGGAGCCTCTCAACGCCGGTGCCTGGTCCTATGCCCAGCCCCGTATTGAGAGCCTGCTGAACGCTACCGAGCACCACAACCGCCGCCATGTCCTGTACGCTGGTCGCGCTGGCAGCGCTTCCGTCGCCACTGGTCTCAAGGCCGTCCACCTCAAGGAGGAGCAGGACTTCCTGGAGGAAGCTTTCTCCATTCACCAGGATCACCTGAAGGGCGAGTAAGCGCCTTCCTAGAGATTTGATTCGACCTTTGTTGTTGATGAGATACTTGGGATCTTGCACTGACACTTGCATTGAGTTGGGTGTCATATATTCATCGGTTTCCTTAGAACCTAGCGTGTAATTCATTGTTGTACTACCTCTTTTATTATACTGATTTCCTTTGTGTGTTTCGATGTGTCCTAGGTTCATAGTCATAGGCTATGCCAGGACAAGTCTTTTGGTTGTCCTAATGTAAGGTCCCCCGTCTATACCTAGAACCCATTCTATATGTAAAATACAAAGAATCCTTGACTGTTGAAGACTTATGCTATGTTTTCTTTGTTTTAATTCTCCGTAGCTATATGAACTGTGTTGTATGCTCACCTGGACATTGTTCCTGGTATGACGTCACCCGCGTGCTCGAGTGATTCAGCAATTGATGCCTGATTGGTGCCGCAGGCAGCAATCTCACCTGATCCGATTGCCAATCACTCTTCTCCGCACTCAAACTTCCCAGCAGCAGCTTCTCCTGCATCGATGCCCTTCTGTTGCTACTCGAGTCGTTGACTATTGTACATGGTCCCAGATCATTGCCGAACACCATTGGTTCTTCGAAACTTACTATTTCCTCCTCAATCGAGGTAGGCTCACCTCAACCCTCCTCCAGCGGCGCAGCTCCTAGTCTGAGACGATGCCATTCACCATGTCCGCCGTCTCATCGTCAGTCAATAATCCCCCGGGTCAAGGAATCCGACAGTCTGCCCGTCAGACACGTACAAACCCGTCTCGAACCTCCAAAACGATTGGACGGTCGTCCTTCGCGTTCGGCCGCGGCTCAACAGCTGAAATTCCTTCCACGCCCCCTGTTCCCCACGGCTTTTACCCTGCGCTCACGCATTTTACTGATGCGATAACAGCGCTTCCGCGCGAGTTCCGTCGCCACAACTCTCTTCTCAAGGAAGTTGATGCGAAGGCGTGGGCTCTCGAGGAAAATTTACTGCAGTTACTCCAGTTCTCCTCCGAGTCGCAGCCCGTTCCCCATCCTCCCCACCCGGCGCCTATTATTGAGGGTGTGATTCGGGAGGATGTTTTGCCCAAGGTGAGTTCTGCCCGCGATTTGTCTAACTGTCTACTTTCAACGTTTACTGATAACGTCTCTCGCATCAGGAGCTATCTCAGTCACCGGAATCGCCCGAGAGCAAAAACCGTCGGCTTCTCTTCGACCGTGTACGTCAGAGTCTGTCGGACCTGATGATGACCGCCGATGAGAAGAACCACGTCATTTCGAACGCGAACGAGGAATTAGATCGCCAAGTTGTCCGACTGGATACGGTGTTCCCATACATTGCAGGCGAGATCAGCGAGGAGGCTCGTCTAGGCAGTCTGACACACTGGGCGTACTCCAACAAGAGTACCGCGAAGGCAGCGACTAATGAACGCCCGCGCCGGGAAGCAGTAGCGCAAAGACAGGATCTGTCGCACGTGCTTCAAGAAGCCGAAGCTGCTAGTCGCAGCGAGGCGCGGCGCGATGCTGTTCTGGCACGGAAGCAACGTCGGGCACAGGCCGACGCGGACTATGAGGATACACGCAGCTCGGGCGCCCGCAAGACCAACAACGCGAAATCTCGAGGTGGAGATCATGCGGCTGACCCGAACGCTGCACCCAAGCGTCGGAAGGTGGAACGACCACTACCGGTAGACACTAGTGTTCCGATGGAGCGCTCTGCTAGCGGCGCTACGAGCCAGAGAGCTGCGAATAAAGACCCGGCAGAGAAGAAGCGGTCTCGCGCCCCCAATCAGGCTGCTGCTGCACGCAAGAAGTACGTCTCATTTCGCTGCGCTCACTACCGCATCCGACTGACTTTATTCTAGGGCCAACGCTTCCAATGCTGCATCGCCCGTTCTGGCCCCTTCGCCTTTGATTGGGACATTCAATGGCCCAAGGGGTGCTGCCAGTCCAGGACCCAACACATCAAGGCCACAGTCTTCACGAGCGCAGCAGAATTCTGGACCAAGCAATCCGCGCGCGCGGCCATCATCATCGGCTTCAAACCTTCCCAGCAACAGTATGCCGCTTCAACCACCCCTCCCGGAATTCCCAATTAACCATATCCCCTACACAGACAAAACTGCCGACTCCAGGTCTACAACCCGGGACGGGCCCGTCAAAAACGAACTCGCAGATACACACCGTGACTATGAAGGCGACACCAACGGTAGAACGTCCGTACCAGCAGGATCCAAGCGTGAGGATCTGGATGGAAAAGCCGGTTCCGTCGAGGTCGAGACGACCAAGGGACGCAATTCCAAGACATCAACCCCCATCCTCCCCGCATTTACAGAGCCCAGTCAACATGCACGACCCACGCGAAGTCGAGACCCAGCCTCTACCAAACGAACTCAGAAGAAGCCCATCCCACAGCCTGCAATACCCTCTGACGACGAGTCGCTACACGAGGGCGATGACGAAGATGAGGAGGGTGAGCCGCGCTACTGTTACTGTAATGAAATCAGTTTCGGCGAGATGGTGGCTTGCGATAATGACGCCTGTCCGCGTGAATGGTTCCATCTGTCGTGTGTGGGCTTGACGAAACCGCCTGGGAAGAATGGTAAGAGTTTTCTTTGCCTTGTTGAAATCGTCCAGGTTGCTAACAGGTTCTATTAGTCAAATGGTATTGTAACGAGTGCAAGGAAAATATGAGACGGAGTCGCAATGGGCGGTAGTATGTCCCATTCAAGGTTATAGACGTTGATGATATGGCGTTATGTGGTGTTTTCAGTTGGCACAGCACATACTCTGGCGTAGATACGGCCTTGCTAGTTGATATTACAGACTTGATGCATTTGAGGATATTGTCTGACTTTTCTTCCTAGTAGTACCTATCTCTTTAAACACAGAGTATTGTAGTATTGTATATACGAATTAAAGGCGAGAATTGCAAAGGGGATAGATACCACTTGTGCTCATGAATTGATCGAGGATGAAAGTATGAAGATAGGCCTTTAAAGACGGGCTATGTCTAATAGCACCAGGTAACCCTATGATCCATCCCGTCCGCAGTACATCTATACCAGATAGTGACCAACCAGCCTTGCATAGCTCAATCAAAGAAACAAGATACTCTACCAATCACGAGTCAACCGATTAACAAACGCGCCAGCCTCCGTACTATTCGCACGTCTCTGAGCCTGCGCACCAGACCCCTCCAAGCCCGAAGCCGAAGCAACCTCACCCTCCAACCTCCGTCGCAGATCCTCGTACCTCTCTCTCTCCGCACCACCAGACCCAGAGTCCGAACCACCCCTCCGCTCCTGCTCGCCAACTACCCAAGCCGGAACGCGGAAGCCAGTGCTAGCCGGGGACAAACCCGGTAGCAGCTCCGCGCGCCAGGCTACGCCGACGATCCAGCCCACGGCTGACGGGAGGAGCATTGCGGGGAACTGGGAGAGGGCTAGCTGGGCGGCGACGATGTAGGTGGTTGATTTGTCGGAGAGGAGGAGGGATAGGCTTGGTGGTTGGGGTTTTGGCTGTGGCTGTGGCTGTGTGGTATTGGAGGAATCATTGCTGGTATTGTTGGTGTTTGTTGCGGGGGAGGATGTTGACCCGATGCGGTAGCGGTAGGTGTATGGGATGGTGGCGTGGTACTGCGCCAGCAGAGCGAAGATGGTAGCTGTTGGGCCCGAGGGGAGGTAATTGAGGTTGTTTAGGGATAGAGGGCGGATTAGGAGGGCGAGGAGAATTGGCGGGAGGAGAGTTGTATAGGGTAGTGTGCTGAGTAGGAACGTCTGTGGCAAGCAGGATCATGTTAGCAATCGGGTTCCAGATATACGGAAGTCTCCAGCTTCTCTGTTCCTTCGTCGCATATTTCTATGCGTGTCTGCAGGAGCGAGGACAATAAAATGAAAAAAGGACTAACCGCCATCTTCCGCTTCCCCCACGCGCGTTCGACAACCCGTAGATGGTAGACTAGCATTGCGGCGAAGAGGGCCTCGGTGGAATTGGTGAAGCCAGCGACTTGCCACACCATTGCACGCCAGAACTGGGCGTAGGGCCAGATATGAGGCGATACATAGATCACGGCGAGGTGTTTTATGTCGAAGAGGGAGAGGGCGATCGATGAGGCGATCGTGTAGATGAGGAGGGATTTGGTGAGGGGCGCATTTGTGAGGCCGGAGGTGAGCATCTTGAGGCCCCTTGTGTTTCTCTTGTTTAGTGTGATTCTGGCTCGGGGATCATCCGGGTTGGGGGAGATATGGAGGAAGTTTAGTGCAGTTGAGGGGGACAGATGGCACGAAATTCCCGAAGTCCGGGGAAGATCGGCATGCCGACTTTGGTCTCTACATTATGTCATTTTATATGCCAATTTATATGTAGATTAATGGGATATTGGATTATCCGTACGAGTCACACATTGAAGCTCTTGTAAAAGTATTCATATTATACACCCTATGCCCCAGTATCAAACGCCAGGGTTGTTTCCTTCTATGTCCCTGCCATCTCTTGACTAGCCATGGCCGCTTCTTTACTTTTCTGTTCGGCCAATTCTTTTTGATATCGAGTCGATGCGACCTCCAGTGCATGAAGCGTAGGCCCAAGAAGTTGGTTCACAACCTTCTGGCCACCCTCCACGCCTTCTAAGTTGACCCGCAATTTTCGCCCGGTGCTCTCATACATGTCACGAGCCTGCTTCTTTAGCCGGTCAACTTCGACCTTCCGCTCAGCCTCTGCGTCATTAGCAACGGCCTCAATACGCTCTCTTGCTCGCTGAAGAGACTCCGCTAAGGACGCGACCTCCCCAGCGCGGTCGGGGTTCCCTGATAGAAACGCCTGCCAGAACTGGTGCAGAAACTCCGTGGTTGTGGCGTGTGTCAATGTCAAGCGGTCAAAGAGCGCCATCGACAGCCCATATGTTTCTGATGCTGCTCGCTCGGTCATCTGCGCACGACGCACGCGCAATGCTTCCAAGAGCTGAGAGAATGCATCATGCAGAGCGGCGGACGATCCGACAGGTCGACGGCTAGCAGGTGCATCCTCCATCTCCTCGTCTTCATCATCGCCGGGGTCCACCAACTTGCGCAGTTGTGTATTACCCTGCGACGGGAGACTTTGATTGATCTCCGCACGGAGGGTCTGAAGAAGCTGGTCCGGATCTTGTTTCGCAAATTGCTTGGTTTTATCCTCCTCCTGGCCATGAGTGAAGAACCGACTTTGATCACGGATGTTTAAAGTGATGCGGCTTTGCGCTTCTTCTCCGCGAAGGTCCTGCAGCTGGAGCTTTTTCCATGCCTCTTCGTTGATGCCTATGGGAGCACTCATATCGCCGTCGGCCGGAGCCACATTGGCCATGATCTTTTCACTGAGGCTGTTCAGTGTCCGGATAATGGGCACTTTGTCGACGCCAGACGGTCTCATATGCAGGTCAGGTCGGTTTCCGCGACGCTGACTGTGGTTTAGTTCATTGCCAGCCAGATCCAAGAAGTGATGGATATTTGTGTCCCGGTCCGGCTTAGCGGCTTCGTCCGTTCGGAGGTATTTGTCCAGCACGGCATCGGTTGCATCGGCCTCCGTAATGCGCTCTCCGCGCAGCTTTTTGAACAGCCGACTCTGGAAGAACCGTGACCAGAACTGTTGCTCGCTGAGTTTCGGCACATTCTCATCATACACGCGTTTAACCAGTGGGTGTTGTGAGAAGATGAGCTGGATTTGCTCTTTGCTGATATTCAATCGTGTCACGTTATCCTCGACTCGAGGCTTAAGTGATGACAGCACATTATATGAGCCACGAATTTGCCCCTGTTCGATTGCATGCGCTCGCAGTAAATGCAGTCGTGTTGACCAGAACTGTGATACGAACGATCCAGACGACAAGGCTTCCGGTTTTGTGTGCAAGCCCTCGAAAAACATCCGCTGCAGATTTGAATCGGATCTTAATAACGACTGCTGCAGCTCTATGTCGGACCGAAGCTTATTCTCGTCGTCCAAAGGACTCTTCGATGTCCCCGCGGATGTCACAGCATTCGCAATCGCCATTGCCGCTGACAGACCCTCAGAACCACCTCTAGGCCCCGGCGTCTGGGATGGTGTGGCCGACTTCGCTGAATTGATCCGAGCACTCAATGTGTCTTTGATGACATCGGCCTGCGGGCGGGCGTCTGCTCCAGCCGTGAACTGAAAGACATATTGATCGGGGGTACTATTGGGAGGCGCATCGGGAGCTTGGGCAAAAATTTTGAGCATCACTTTCGGATTCGAGGCTGGGGTCTGCTGTAGATCTGGCAGTCGCGCGAGTCAGCAAAGAGACGAATACACGGCCTTGGAGCCACTGCATACTAGTGATGTTGATCACGGGGATTGTGATCATGTTCCCAGCCCCTGCAACTGCAGGACTCCATGAGACTGACTTCTCATCTGCAGATATAGCTAGGGTCCCATCTTTCTTCTTGTAAGAGGCCGCTCCGCTCGGTGACATCGTCGCGTGTCTTGACAGCTTGCACTGTCTTCAAAGGCGATAACGCATCCACCCATCGGGATGAGCAATTCCCCAAGGGCGGAAGTTAGCAAGGTAGGTCTGAGGCCTTCGTGATGGACAGGGCGTGCAGAGGTGAAACCAATAACGAGAAATGCGGCTCTTCAGCGGTTCATCACATGACGCTTGACGTTTGCCAAGCGTCACCTGGTAGCCAAGCCCTAAGTGAACAGAGCTACAGTTTCATTTGTGAGGTTTAGTCTATGTAAAAATGAGAAGGACCTATTGAATTTATGCTTAATTTTGTTCTCTTATCTATTTGTTTGGCTTGATTTTGGCGAGTTGGATTTGCACGCAGACACAATAGTGACCAATGTGCCAAAGCTCTCTCAGGTTGAGAGTTTCTGTAAACAACATGAGTGGATATAGATACATAACAATGGCTTATGACTCAAGAAGAAAGGGGATCGAGTGAGGAAATACAGCAAGAGATACCATGAAAAAGAGAATATTGGTCGATAGTTTACAAAAACAAAATGGTTCAGACATACTAATCAACTGCAGTGCAGATCCGTTCCCAGGTTGGCCCATAGATTCAGGTAGATCGTTTTCGATCGACGCTGCGAGTCCATGGTGTATGTGCTGATAAATCGCAGATATCCTTCCCTGTACTTGAAAAACTTCTCCAACTTCTTCTTGCGCACCTCGATGAGGATCTCCTCGAACATGGGCCTGGCTTCCTCCAGAATTGCCTTCCGAATTGCATGCTTGAGCACCTTTTGGTTGTCATTGTAGTCCACAAAGTCAACCTCCTCCAGCACTTTCTTTAGCCCAGCGTCAAAGTTCCTCATCAATACCGGCCCATAACCAGGAAAGCCATTATCGCAATTGCCTGCCTGCGCCACCTTGAATGGCCTCTCTACCGCTTTAAGTATCACCACCCTGATTAGGCTGAGAGTGCTTTCTTCCGCTCTATCGCTGAGCGGGTTCGGCAGTTTCTGTATCACGTCCATATACACTCTCACGCCCACACGTACAGCCATTGCGTGCATACGTTTCTGATCTCTGCGGTATTCTTCTTCTTCATAACCTTTGTCAGTATCGGTTCATAAGTACTTTGGTGATTTGCGCTTCGTCTGTGAGATCGGGGTTTGGCAAAGGCAGTTCGTCCACAACCTGCAAATCGAAATGAATTCTTACCGGTGGTCACTTCCCGTGCTGCAGGGGATGCCATACGGGCACCAGGCGGAACCAAAGCATCATCAAAGATCGACATGAGAATCACAATGGTATCTTCGTGGTACTTTCCGCTCCGGCATTGTGTTTCAGCCGTCTATGTATATCATTAGCATCAAGTAATCTCCTATAAGCATCTTAGTATACATACCTGGCCCTCCTCGCTCATGCGAAAGAACCTGAAGAGATCACCATCTGTTGCAAGTGCATATGCAATGCGGTCCTCTTTCTTCAGACGCCTCTGGTCGGTACGGATCACACCTTTGGCTAGTTAGTAATGACTGAAGTGCAATGCCATGGTCACAAACCTCACCGGTAAGCCTTATCATCTCCGAGCTGATTGCCTTGGTACTCAAAACGTTTTGAGGGTCGCATCACAGCCAGGAAATTGATGCTCTTGTCCTCTGCCCCGTACCAAAAAGAATGTTCACCATGTCCATGTTCGCGAGCCCTGAGTAGAACTGCCACATACACCCATGTAAGAAGAACCAAAGCGAGATTGGACGTCTAGGGGTGATGGCTCGAGCATGTGTCCCTTCATCACTTGGAAGTGGACGGTGGAGAGGAGTGACTCAACTCGGCGTCTTTGGGATGCTTCATTTTCCGGTTTGGACCTCAGTGCCTTGAGAGATTTGAAGAGGTCCTCTTGATTGGATTAAATCGGGTTTTCTTGGTGAACTTGGTACGGGAAACACAACTTACCACCCGAGCCTTCCATTGATAGAGCCATGGCGAAGAGTGGCAGACTAGGTGCAGTTCAGCGCGGTGGTCGAGAAGGCAAAAGAGTTAGCCAAGGAGATTTGAGACCGAGATAGTTGATGGAGAGAGAGGTGATGATGAGGAAGAGAGGGGACGGGAGTTCTGGAAGTTTGTCGCCAGGTAGTTGCCTATTTGGGACCGCAGTGGTACCTATGTACTTGGATTTCCTCTGCCATTTCTTTCCCTTTCCGCTTTAGTGCTCTCGCTCACTGATCGTGCACATGTGCACCTGGGCAGTGTACTGGGATGATGTAATTTTCCGAGTTAGGCTGCGGATGGGGTCCCAAAGTACATATACACGTACATGTACATATATAGCAACCCTCAATCAATCTCCTTCTTTCCCCTCCCTCAAAGCACCATCATCATCATTCGCTTTCCTTGGTCCTCGCCCTATCGAGATTTATATCGACATAATGCGCAACACCCGGCCGTCCCCTATGGCCCGCAAATTCCTTCGCGCCGACGCCTCAGCAGACCCGCCAAGGCCGTCGTTGTTGCCCTCATCTGACAATTCTGCCGAGAATTCCTGGCCTCAAGACCCTATCCGAGACGAATATTGCTTCTTCTACGGGACATTAATGGATCCAGATACATTATCCAAAGTCTTAGGATCGTCAAAACCACCACCTATGATGCGCCCTGCTAGGATGATTGGTTACGAAATCAAACTTTGGGGCCCATACCCTGCTCTCCTCGATAAGCCGCTTCATCCAGTCGATGGAATAGTGTGTGGCCTCTTATCGCCGGCGCAACTTGATCGACTTGCCGCCTACGAAACGGATAAATATCGTCTTCAAGCTTGCTTGATTAACGTTCTGAATAATGACGGTAGCACCGAGAAAACTATCGAGGGAGTTTCTTTCATGTGGAATGGTCGACAGGATGAGCTTCGGGATGGTACTTTTGACCTGAAGCAATGGAGGAAGGACAGACAGCTACGTGAACTGGACTGAGAATTACAGAAATGTCCAGGTTGGTTATTCGATGCTTTACGTCAGCGCTGGACTTACCTACCTGAGGAGGGTATACTCGAACAGGATGTTTACTTAAGAATTCGAAATTTGCTTTAAGACGTTTTGCTTCAGAAAATGTTGCTTTGAGACCTCGTGCTAAGCTACATACCACATAGTTTCTTTATAACAATATTCTTTCACCTTCACTCTCTTTCACCTTAAGCATCTCTTGCTCTGCAATGATATATCTAAGTGCCCTCGTAAAAGCGGCGGCAGCTAAGATAGGAAAGTCCCGGCAGAGGAAAACTGGTACATATAGCTACCTAGGTAGCACCTTCCCGAGGCACAAGGCTATGTCAGACCGAGTCTACGAAACAGCCTATAAGAAGATGAAGTAGAGACTAAGTAGGTATTTATGAGCAGAGTAGTAAAGATCCAGATAGATACAGTAACGCCATATGAAGCCAATGATATAAGAGAAAACAAAAAAAAAAAAGGAACCAGACACCGCTGAAGAGATAGATCCCAATGCTATGCAAAACCAAAAGACAAAACGCGACCGAGAGCACGAACCCGAAGCCAGGAGCCAGAATGCCGAAATTCGTAAACCATGTTGCGCGCCGCCATGCATAGACCGGATATCATCATTCATGATCGTCAAAAAAAACAATAAGCAATAAAAAGCAATACCCCTCCAACGAAACGCAAGCCGTGAAAATGAAGGATATCAAATCAAGGGTATTAGCAAAAGTGAAAAACGATCCATCCAAACGCTTTTTTTTCGAAAATAGACGCTCATAGTAGATCACTTTTTGAACATGTAGTGGCCGTAGAGGCCACCGACCTCGCCAACGGCCATGGGGATCTTGCGCATACCCCACCAGCGCGCACCCATCTTCCAGTAGCGGGCACCATCGTCAAGGGGTTCGTGGGGCATTGAGGCTGGTTCGCGAACGTACCAGCCGCGACGGCCAAGGTCCCGCACAGTCCAGCCAACGGATACACGCTGGGTCTTAGCACGCTCACGCAGCGGGGTAATAATCTTGTCACTGAACTCAACGACCTGCAAGGGGTAGCTTTGGTTCGAGAGCAGCGAACAAGTGCTGGTGTTGAAAATGGCACCGATGGTCATCTGCGGCACCTTGGCAAGATCGAGGTAGCAGAGAGTGCTGGGGGCATCGATTTCGACTCCCGTTGCTGGGTTGCGGTACCGACCGAAGAACGAGTTTACATCCGTGACTGAAAGATCCGCAGAGCTAAGACCCAGCTCCTCCAAGTGTTTGGTCAGAGGCACCAAGTGTGGTACATGGTCCGAGGTGACCTTAGCTCCACCCAGGTTGAGGGAGCGGAGAGTATCAGGAAGGTTCGGCAGCAGAGCAGAAACATCGGTCTCCTCCAGAAGACGGAAGCGGGTCGGGTCCGTCAACAAGTTCAAATAAACGAGGGACTCGTTGACCGAGGGGTGGGTGGTGAGGAATTTAACCAGGGCGCAAGGGCGGAGGCGAGTGCATCGGGACAAGCTCAAATGCGAGATACGGGCAGTCTCAGGGATGGCGACGAGAGCTGAATCGTTAACTTGAGTGTGAGTAAGGTCAAGGTGCGTCAAATTGACCAATCGCGGGAGGAGGTAGTCGAACATGGGAGCGGGGATAGTGCTGCATTCGTGAAGTGAGAGCCGCTTCAGGTTGGGCAAGGTCATGGACAGCGCAGGCCCACCGACCAAGGCCTCCTGGAAAACCCCAGAGAATGCCTGAGTCGAGCAACCGCAGAAATCCACGGCGCGCAAGTTCGGCAGCCCCATGAAGAGCTTCCGGATCACATCCACACTAATGTCGCCTTCCAGGTGTTCCTGCAGCAGGCATTCCTTCAAGTTGGGTAGAAGTTCCAAGCACTGCAAGAGGGTCCTGGAGGTCAGGTTCTGGATTTCAGCGTTCATCTGCTTAGTGCGACCCAGACCGACGGAGGTGAAGTGCGAGAAGTCTAGACGGCGCACCAATGTCCCCAAAGCCGGATACTGCGACATATGGTTAAGTGCCTTGGAGAAAATAATGGAGTGTGGGAAAGTCATGTTCCTGTACAAGACACCCAAAGTAGCAGCGTGCAACGTGTGAGAGGTAAGCAGGCACGAGACCAGATCCACATTTCGAGGGGCGTAGCCATTTGGTGGAAGATCGATCGCAAGGTTAGAGATGATCTGGTCTACCAGGAGTTAGCACATGAAGCAAGAAGCAAGAACGGCAGGTGCACTGCTTACCAAGAACCTCTGGAGGGAGCCTCTCCAAAGCCGATGTACCGGGAGGGGTCTGCTGCAGAACCTCCGCCTCTGGGACCTTGGGAGGGAGAAGCTCCATTTTCTCAGGCTCCTGGGCTTCCCATGCCCATCCCTTTGCTTGTAGGTTTCCAAGTCCACGAAGATCGCTGTAGCTGCGGCTCAAACTCTTCCCGCCCAATCGAATCTGCTTCCACCCGAGGAATCCACCACAAGGACAGCAGAAGTCCGGGGTCTGTTGCATTTGGAAGGGGCGCTCAACCTTGCGCTGTTGGTCTTGCTCTTTGGGAGATGGTGCTTGTTGGGTGTCCACGAAGGATTGCGCAATTCCTAGATTACCCATCACGTCAGCCTCCAGCCCGGATTCGCACGTTGCCGGTACGTACCGTCCTCCGTGTCTTCTTTGATAGAACCGAATGAGGGGCGACGTTGGCTGCTCGACCTGGACCCGTCTGGGGTACTGCAGGGTGAGGGAGACGAGTCGCGTGAGTGGAAGTGATCACCACAGGGAATTGAAGAAAGTCGCGGGAAGGCCGGCTTGGACTGCGAAGGGGCAGGAGTAATGGAGGTCATGGTGAAGAGGATTTAGGCCCTCTATAAAGGGCCCTAAGTGTACAGTGACTAGTGGAGTACCTTGGAGCAGGTGGAAACACAAAAAAAAAAATATAAGTCTACCGAAATTAAAAATCAGATGGCTTCTCTTTGGTGAAAAAAGAAAAAAAAATGGCCCTCAAAAGAAGTGTTTAGAGGGCAAGTTTTAGGGCTCCCTCAAGAGTGGGCGGGGAAGAAAAAAAACGAAGCTGTTAGTCACGGAAACGGATGAACCGATGTTGCACAACTTTGGAGGTAAGATGGGCTTTTTCCGATGTGGATTCCAAGACTTTGGACTTTGGAGATTTGTAAAATGAAGAGAAAGAGTGAAAGGAAGTTGAAGGTTGAAATGAAGAAGAAATGCACCCACGGGTCATGGCCACATGGGGCGAACTTTTTATTTTTTTTATTTTTTTTCTTAAAAAAAAAAAAATAACGGGTGAACTGATTGATTACGGTGGCGGATCTGTACTTCTTTTTCTTAATTATTCTTTAAATATGTAAGTTATATGAATATTAAATTGAAGAATTAAGTACTAAATGAAATATACACTGATAATGTCAAAATTATATACTCCATATACCAATGCTATACTTCCTTATATCACAACTAGACTGATTAAGTTCGTTTAGTTCCCCAAGCTACCCCTGCAGACCCCATTTGCTTTTTTTTCCTTTTTTATGCATGCGGAAAAATGGCGTCACTTGCCCACATTTGGACCTGACAGCGATATTTTTATATTTTAGAGATGCACCTAGGCAAATTAGGAATATAACTTTGGAATAGTTACATACTTATTATAAAGTATACCTACATGTACTAAAAGGGCATGAATTCTATGACATAATCTCAAACCTTCCTAGATCCACGGGTACAGATGTACCTACCCTAAGGTAGCCTCAATATTTTTCTTAAAAGTGACAGGTCAGCAGATCAAAGAGTCCGATGCATCCGCCTTGGATCCAGAGTTGCTGTTACCTAACAATTAGCTATTCCATGCAGCTACCTAGGTAACATATCAACAGCCCTGGGCAGATTCGCCTCTTTCTTTTTTTGGAGATGCGGGGATAGACGCGTTATTACATAATGAGAACCACTGATTTCCCGTCACCTGATATTATTACGGCCCGTGTCCCCTTTCGCATTGGGTGATCCTCGAGTTCGGAGTCCTCCGCAAGTCAATTCAACTCTCGGGATTCCGTAATAGACTAGAATTGGCCAAATTCCGTACTTCCAACTCCCTCCTCCTCCATACTTCCATAGTACGAAAGTACAACATACAATATCCATACTCTCACCGACTCCCAGCCAAGCCCGGTGATCCACAGTAATGCCACGATTATGCAGTCGATCGCCAAAGCCAAGCCTATAGTTTCTCCCATTAAATATGTACACATATCCCCCGCTTCCTGCCTCCTCCCTCCCATCCTTGGAATCTCTCGGCTTCTGCCCAGCCCGGTCCTGCATTCTTGTCCATCCTGAGTTGAAGTCGGACCAGATTGCTGACTAGCATCGCATCTTTGGTACGACTTGCCCAACAGCGTTGGCAAAGGCTTAGTTCTCGCGCTGCAGCTGAACTTACCTAGGAGCAATGCAACCCAGTCTAGATCCAAAGCCTTGATAGGGTGGGTTGGCGTCATTCGAGTCACAGCTCTCTCCTGGCCTCTTGGGTTTGGCTGTCGGAGTGAGTACAGCAGGTGAGCACAGTATCGGGCTTGACTGCATGCCAGCCAAGCACTTCCGCGGGATTACGTTTGCCGCCAAGGCCTCCGCATTGCTCGACAACACAAGGAGGCAGATCTAGTTTTGATCCTTCTCTCCTTGCTCTACTCCGTACTTCTTGGTGCTCTTGAACTAATCATTCAATATTCATGCTCAACAAAGAATGTCACCATATATGGCCAAATGGTGTGACTGCGTTGAAATTGTGAGTCCGACCCCCTTGGTTTGTCTTTCGAGTCTTCCCCTGCGAGAACCTACCCTTTCCCTGATGAACGTTTTTTTAAGCGTTTCCTATTACCTGACACCCCAATCGTACTATGTATTTTTGGGTATGTTGAAATTTATGTGGATACTGAACGGAAAATAACAATGTCATTGTGTGATACCATCATGATATATCGTGTGCGAATTTGTCTTGTTTTCAGAAACTACTTGAATATATGTTGACAATGGCCTACTCGCAGCAATTCTAGTTTTCGTTTCGATCAGTCCCGCAGTATCTCGGGCTGTAATCCGGGTCGGGCCAGGCCAGATCATGGATGGATCAAGGCTACCTGGGTAGCTCAGCCCCACGACAAACCAGGGAAACGCCCAGGCCGCCATGACAAGTCCCCCGGGTATCTAGGTCGCCCGCTATTCCAATAACATCTTGGATGGGATATATCATGTTCTATATAGAACATCAGTATATATGTGAATTGTACGTCCTTGGGTATATAGTCAAGGAAAGCATTATGAACGCTTGTCTTCAAGTTGCAAGTTCCTCATCGTTTGGTCTGTTGAGGATAAATATAGTAAAACCAACTCGTCGGCGGTCCAAATATGTAACGCTCTCAGAACCCCTGCGTTTCTTGGAAGCAATCTGCAGCGCATCAACAGTAATGGGTCTTTTGTAATAACAGAGTATCAGACCAAAGCTCCAACTCCATCCACATACGAAGAGTATCCCAATCTTGAAAGCTGTGTGTTCAATAACGCATACTGCATCATCCGCCATACACCAGATCTGCCTGGACTAGATAGAAACCCTACAACACCCAGGACCTCAGTCCAAGTACCAAGACTTGTTAAGAATCGTAATGAAGAATATAACCAATCAGAAGACTTAACTAGTAACCGGCCCTTACCCTCAATTTTTCCATTCTTATTTTGCTTGTTATTGTACAGTGGTACTGATAGTTTGCTCTAGGGAACTGTTTTCTTCTTGCATATATTATTTCCCTTCTAGAGTAATAGCCCTACACAGGATCCTAAATGTGTAAGGAATTAGAATGTGAGCCGAAATGACGTTCATGTAATGGCTTTTGGCAGCCTAAAGTGGCAGGCACGTTCATATATATTTCCCTATCAGGCAGTGAGTTTTCCTCCTAATGTTGTTAGAATCTTCAACCTATAGCACGTGGATCCAATTCTACATATTTTCCAAGATTGCTATCTCGCCAATGTCAGGTGAATATATATTTGAACCTTTAATACCCACGGGCTAGGGTGCAAGCGCGTCAGCGACTACTATAAAAGGATTCGAGAATCTCCTGTTTACTTCCCTTTTCTGATCTTATGAGATTCCTCATCCTGTCTGAAACACTATCAATCTCAACTTGCCAAATACATCCACCGAGTGCTACAATGCCCTGGGAATCCAGCAACAGCATTGTCCTCACCCTCGGATGTACGATCTATCCTATCGGCGTCCTCGGATACAATGAAGTCTCCCCGCACCCCATTTCTCCGACTAAGGAACAAAAATAATCTCATCATTCGACAATACGGCCTCTCGCTTTCATGGAGCCTTACTGCACTGCCAGGTTCTAGAGGTACCTATGAATGAAGTCCGGTATATCTCTTTCGCCGGGTGAACACGATCAAGCGGAACAGAACCTCAACCTGCACGACTACATGAGGTAAGAATAAGTGGGAGTGAAGTAAAAGTGAAGCTTACCAACATCAAACCCCAGGCAACAGTTCCAACCCCTAAGGCCATGGCGTACAGGACGCCAGTTCCGTAACACGGCTGACACTTCAATAACAACCAACAGCTACGCAAGTATAGGTCCTACAATGGTAGACGTCCCGAAGTGGGCCCGTCCCGACCCCTGCAAGTGCCTATACCGCCATTGTACACTCCAGCGTGCTGTTCTTTTGAACCTCCCAACAAGTTTATTGAACCTCCTCTAACAAGCCATCGGTTCATAACCGCCACCAGCAGTGCGAACACGCATTCCCCCGCCTGCCGGTCTCAGACTTTGCTGTTATGAATCGATAAGGTAAAGCAAAAGCTGTAGGCGAAGCGAAAGTGCCGTGGGTAGGGTGCAAGATTCTTGTCCCCTCAACCAAGCATTTGCTAATTAAAATCTCGGAACCTTGGGAAGCTTTCGAGCTCAGGCGCCGTTCGGTATCGCCGCGAGCAAGGGAAGGTTGACAATCTTCCCTGGAAAAGTACCAGCAATAGGATGGGCAAGATGATCAGTACCGCAGACCACGGGAATTCTTTTCCTGCTGTAGAGCGATTTAACAGCTTCTTAAAATGTTCATCCGGTTATATTCCCTCGGCACTCGTCACTTGCTGGTACCGAGCAAAAACCTCCTCACTTCGACATATATGAAGATGCGAGCTGGAGACATACACTCGCCTATTTGTCCTGTCTCCGCAGCCACACTCTAGACTCCTCCGAGTCTAACCACGAAGTACCTGGTCCTTCAAGCGCTTCCCTTTCATCGATAATCCAAGACGCAGAAACTTGATGAGCACCTTCGTCATTGTAGTATTCGCTTCGCTGCATTTGGCTTCTTCTCAAGGTCATGAAATGGAAAATAGCACGCAGAGGGTAATATCTCTCTCTTACCGATTGGAATTTCACAGTACTGAAAATAGTTGCATATAACATAGGAATGAACCATCCGCAGAAACAATACTGCGAGCCTCAAACTCATTTATCCTGTTGAAAGATCTATGGGAGCACTTCCACTCCTGCCAATGTAAGATTTTCCTATACATAGTTATTGGTACCATGTTAAAGAGCCTGAGAAACTAATTGCCCCTCGTCAGCTACCAGGGACCCGCCAATCACGATGCAATCGACGACGACGGCGCTGCAGATAGGCTGAACTCAGCTCGCCATGCCCGGAATCTCAATGGGGAGAACTCAACTCCCCAAGGCAATGATAGCAACGGCGATCAAGGAAACTCGATTCCCCAGACACAATGGAAAGGAGTAGGGTTTCATGGATTCTTGAGTGAATGTGAGACGATGGATCAAGCGGATAATTTCTTTCTATTTCCTTTTCTTGCATGTCCACTAGTTTATCCTTACATGGGAGAAATTATTGGAAAGCACATATCCCAAGATATGTTAATCAGGGCTAAAGGTTGCGATTCTAGACCATGTCCCTTTCTATATAGGAAAGTGGGGTTCAGGGAAACATGATATTTTGTTTTTGATGCTAGACCTATACACGAGCGTACTATCAGCATATCATGATCCAGGGAATCACATTGAAGGCGGGGAGAGGACAGAATTTGCAAGAGAGCTATGATTTGCGGCAATAGCATGAGGCTCAATCTACTTTCCACAGAGCGACTCATTAGTAGCTATAGAGAAAGTGAAGTAGACATGCATGATCGTGTTCACTCTAGTCTACGAGAGACCTGGCGCTCTCGCTATGCCTAGTTCGATATCCGGAAACCTACATATCCTATGATGTACTAGGTAGGCGATATCTCTGGTACTCCAGCCACAACCTTCCCCAGAGAACAACTCAACCAGCGCAAACGCAACCCGAGACAATATTACCGTCCCGGTACCTCGTTGCCGGGGAAAGACATGCATACCCGTTCAAACACCTGGTCTAGAAGCCCGGAGTAGAACGTAAAATGATCTAGAAATGCGTACCTACCCGACTCATAGCGTGCGTGCATGTCTTAGAAGATCCCGGGTTGTGTTGTTTGCCACTCTGGCGGTTAAATACGAGGTAAGTGTCTTGGTATCTTGGCTATGTCTTAGGTTTTTTTGCTTCTTCCTTTTTCTTCTATTAGAAGTTCCTGGTTTTCCCGAGACATTCGTGTTCTAGACGTGGAAGTTTAGAAAATTGAAGATGGATACTATGGATTTTTGATATACAGTGGTGTAAATATACTGCTTTTAACAAGGCTTGTTTTTATGCCGTGTAAAGGTCAAGTATCAAAAGAATATTATACGGAGAATCCATGGGAAGAGAATAGAAATGGTCTCCACACGAGCTCTGCTAATAAGGGAGGATACATCACCATGTCGTCAATGATTGCTTTTAAAACTTGAAATTCTGAAAAATAGAAACTTTAGAAATTTAGGATACGCAGATTTCAAGAAAGAGAAAATTACAAATAGTTAAAAGACCGATTTGACGACATCAATGATGAAAATTGCATGATATGGTATTGGCATATTGGGGGATATAACTGCATGCGGAAATGTGTAAAAAAGGGAAAAGACAAAACAAAAGCTTCTTTGCATCATGGCACATGAAATGTAGGAATCCAGTCTAAAAAAGGGGGAAAAAGCCAGGTCGAATCCACCGACCATCCACATTGTAAAAAGTAGAAAGTAAATCTCAGTCTTTTCTCAAGCCAAACCGACGTGACAAAAGGATATCAGAAGTCCTAAGCCCCAAAAATCCAAGGGGCACATGCATCAGAGAAATGGTAGAAAGAAAAGAATTCTATGAAATAGGAAAACGCCACGGGAGAGAAATCCTTCTCAAGCCCAGTATCACATGTTTTTTTGAGTTTCGTTTCAGCATAAAAAGATCAGGGTGATCAAGTGTTCCCTTTTTACTCAATGGCGGAGGCACCCTCGCCGTGAGTGACGGGGTTGACCTTGGGGTCCCACTTGAGCTTGAAGTCGGCGCCAAGCTCCTTAGCAATGGCAGCCTTGACGGCCTCGAGGACGTTGTTGAAGACACCGAAGTTGGCAGGGCTGTTGGGGTCGTTCTCGCCCTCCTTGCCCTGGAAGACACCAGTGCGGACCAAGCAAGTGTTCCAGCCGTACATGTTTCCACCGATGATATCGGAGGCGGGATTGTCACCGACCATGTAGATGTTATCGGGCAGACGGGCGACGCCGTGGAGCTCCTCCATCCAGGCCTTCATGACCTCGTCGGCGTAGGTGTAGGTAGCACGCTCGGGCTTACCGTAGACAACACGCTCAAGGTCGACACCGGTGAGAGTCTTGTACTGAGCCTCAACGGAGATACGGAAGGCACCCTGGGTGAGACGGGGGAGACCCTTGTGCTCGGTGGGCATGAGAAGATCACCCTGGGAGAAGTAGATGGGAATGCGGGTGGCGACGGGATCCTTGGCCTTGGTCATGAGCTTGCCGTCCTCGGCGAGCAGCAGATCCATAATGACCTGGAAATCGGTCTGGTAGTCACGAGAATCAGCGAAGACCATGATGGCGTCGAACTTCATCTGGGAGAAGTCGCGGGGCTTGGCCTCGGCGCGCTCGGCGTCGGTGAGAGTGGCCCAGGGAGAGATGGAGGGGTCCCAGGCGAGGAGATCCTTGGGGTGGACGACAGTCTTGAAACCGTAGTTCTCAGCAACCTCGCGGATCTTGAAGCCTTCACCACCAAGAACCAGAACGGTCTCATAGTACTCAGCCAAAGCCTGCATGGGAGTGTGGGACTGGATGAACTGGTCGGTGGAGATGGGCTGCTCGAGGATCTCGGAGAGCTGAGCACAGCGAGCCTCCTCGGTCTTACCACCACCGTTGGTCAAGAGAATGTGGGGATGCGGATGCCCAGCTCGTTGTCACCGTTGAGCATCTTGAGGGCGACCTTGGCCTCCTCAATGGCGTGGCTACCGTGTGCCAGTACACCATCAATGTCGAAAGCGAAAGCCATGTTCTTGGCCTTGGCAGTCTTCTCCTTGTTAATATCCTGGACCTGAGAGGCCAGAATATCCCGGGAGACCGAAGGACGACCGCGCTGAGCAGATGAGAGGCGGGACAGGCGGGGGGAGCGGGGGATAGGGAGCGAAGTGCCGAAGGAGTTACGCGGACCCCGGCGGTCCTTCATGGATGGAGACAAGCTCAGGTTGTGCATAAATTGAGCGGCATCACTGATGGCGCTGCGGGTGGCGGGGATCTCGACGGTGTTACCGCTTGCCGATGGGATGGCGAGGCCGGAAGCAGCACGCTGGTCCCGGGGAGAGAGAGCACCCTGGGGATCCTGGGCGCGGGGATCCTGGGAAGCCGGATCGACTGCGAGGTCGGAATCCTCGAAGCGAGTCATGACGAAGGTATTGAAATGGAGGGGAGGAAGTAGAAGGATGGATGAACTTCTACTTGGGAGTCACTGGATTCAGGACTCAGGGAAGAATTGAGGTTGTAAAACAAGGAGGAGAATAAAAAATGGACTGATAAGGAAACAAGATGGTAAAGGAGGGAGTACAGCAGAGTATATATACAAGCCATATCTGATACCGAACTCAACGGAGACAAACGAAATTGGTATTTTGCCATTGAGGTTACGAGGGCTCCACTCACCGGGTATCATCATTCCTAGGAATTATCGTCATCATTTGGCAAGATATATAAGGGTGGACCATTTCTCGCAATGAGACAGGCCTGTACAGGGTACCTGCGTCATTGTGGCTGACACGGTGTCTTTCCATGTACCTAATACACGGCACGTTCTCCTTCCCGCGGCCGAATTTAATCAGAAAGCTGTTGATTGGACAGGACCAGACTTGCTGGGCCGAGTATGAAGCAACGCAGCACGCCGAGTGGGTAGGAAGAGGCCTGAGTCGGACGGACGATTGGACTGGAGCGCAGTTCGCCCGTGGACCGACATGAGATCGATGGAGCCGATGACGATCAGGCCAAACGCTCAAAACACCGTTTCGGTTGGTGATGTCATAGCCAGGAGGTTTGAAAATTACCAGTGGTAATTTTGCGCTTTTTCCCTATTTTTTTTCATTTTTCTATTATTATTTTAATTATTTTTTCTTACATATTTATTTTAATTTATTTAATATTTATTTTATTCTATAAATTTATCTTTTTCGTTCTCATTTTGTCAGGGCACGGTGATCTTCAAAGAAAGAACAAGAGTCAGGGTCTCGGATCGACGTATAGAAAAGGAAAGTAAGGCTAAGTTGCAATATACGTATATTTTGTATGTAGTGCAATATAAATGCACATTGCAACGCAAAAGATTGAAAATTAAATCAAACGGAAATTATATAATTCCCATTCCCAAGGTTCTCCTGCCCCTCCAACCCCTCCAACCCCTCCACCCCACTCCCCTCGTCATCGCTCGCAAGCTTCCCCCACTCTTTACCTTCTTATCTTCCAACAGCTCGTATCTTCCCTCTTCCTATTCTTTAACTATATCCTAACTAAATTTCAATCATGTCATCTGGAAAGACTTTCACATTGAGCAACGGGGTGACTATCCCTGCCGTTGGTTTCGGTACCTTCGCTAGCGAGGGCTCTAAGGGCGAGACCTACGCCGCCGTCACTGCTGCCCTCAACATTGGCTACCGTCACCTTGACTGCGCCTGGTTCTACCTCAATGAGGATGAGGTCGGTGAGGGTATCCGTGATTTCCTCAAGGCCAACCCCTCCGTCAAGCGTTCGGACATCTTCGTGACCACCAAGGTCTGGAACCACCTGCACCGTTACGATGACGTCCTCTGGTCCATCAACAACTCTCTCGAGCGTATGAAGCTCGACTACGTTGACCTCTTCCTTGTTCACTGGCCCATTGCTGCCGAGAAGGATGGCCAGGAGAAGCCCAAGATTGGCCCTGATGGAAAGGTAAAGAGAAGCTTTCCCCGCAAGCACACGAGCAGCTCCCAATTAACCTTCTATAGTACGTCATCCTCAAGGACTTGACCGAGAACCACGAGGAGACATGGCGCGCCATGGAGAAGCTGTACGCCGACGGCAAGGCCAAGGCCATCGGTGTATCCAACTGGACCATCCCCCAGCTTGAGGCCATGGCCAAGTTCGCCAAGGTCCAGCCCATGGTCAACCAGATTGAGATCCACCCCTTCCTGGCCAACGACGAGCTGGTGCAGTACTGCTTCTCCCACAACATCCTGCCCCAGGCCTACTCGCCTCTGGGATCCCAGAACCAGGTCCCCACGACTGGCGAGCGTGTCAGTGAGAACAAGACCCTGAACGACATTGCCGAGAAGGGCGGCAACACTCTCGCCCAAGTTCTCATTGCCTGGGGTCTGCGTCGTGGTTACAGTGTCCTCCCCAAGAGCTCTAACCCCAAGCGCATTGAGTCCAACTTCAAGAGCATCGAGCTCAACGATGCCGACTTCGAGGCTGTCAACGAGGTGGCCAAGACCCACCACTGCCGCTTCGTGAACATGCGGGATACCTTCGGCTACGATGTCTGGCCCGAGGAGACTGCTTCTGGTCTGTCCATTTAGATTTTGTGACCAATTTACAAAAAGACAAGAATAATACCCCCCAAACGGGGATTTCGGTGGAAATGAGTTAATGAACGGACTACGGACCCTGTTAGATGAATTGGACATACCATTGATCTCACTCTTATTTACTGTGTTTCAGCTGTACCGTAGATTGAACAACCTATAACTCGGGACCTTTTGAGCTCTTTCATTTGGCCACTAATCAACCAACCTCACACACCGGCTGCCACAGCCTTCATTTCGTAGGCCCAAACACCCGCACAAGATCCACCCGTGAATAGTGTCTACATCCAATGAACGAGGCGAGTCGGACCAAATGAACCTGGAATAAGATTACACCCAATATTGAGAGACCGCTGGTAAGAAAATAATTGAAATGGAATCTCGCAAAATTGCAAAAGGACCCTACAGTTGTAACAGTGTCGTGCACTACTATGTATTCCCCGCAAGTATAGCGAAGCATCATCCTCCACCAATAAGCCAAGCCAATTACCCTCAAATGAGAAACCAAAAAAAAAAATATAACCCGGTAGGGTTACACTGTACCTGACAAGGCAACCCCTTCCAAGGTTAGTCGGAAATATAGTGTTACAGCCTAAAAAAAAGGTGCACATGTGTCCATACAACCGTTGTATAAGTATAACAGTACAACATGCCTACATGTACTCCGTAGGTATAACAAGTTAAAAAATACAACTCTAAAAAGCGGACATTTGCAGAACAGGAGCAGTGTGCTCCGAGCCCTGCAAACGATGTCATCTCGCGTTGACTTGTGGCTCTCGGAACCCCCTGCGCCACTCAAGGGGCTTAGCGGTTCTCGCGCGCTTACCGCATCGGGTCTTAGCGTTGCTGACTACTGTCCAACCCGGGAAATGTCGGATGTCCTTGGGCTATGGGATATTAGAAGATGGACATACTGGTTGCTGTTAACACCGAAACGCCGAATAGGGTAATGCTTTTTTTGATTATTTGGATGTTGTACATTTTCTTTTGAATATTGTTTAGCGCTTGCGGTTTTTATTCGCTATTGGTTTACCCGCCGAGTACATTTGTAGTGTCTATGTATTGTACTAGTATAGTGCCATTTCTCTTTTGGATCAGTGTCCGGGTTCATTTACTATTTACGGGATTTAATGCCTCATTTCCTTTTGTAATGAAACACTCTTTGACTTTTTACCTGAGACTTTTTGGGTCGGGTTCGTCGATGCCGAGTGTTGAGATCGGATATCCCGATTGACCCGATAGGGGAAGAACTTCGGGGGATTGTGAATACATAGTCGAAGTTTGTTGGCCTGTTTCCGAGTCTACAATGGGGTAGTGGGTAGCATATTGCTGCACTATTGAGATGGTGCAGTCTGGTTTGGGATTCATATGTTGTATTGGACATGCTCGTAGTACAACATGCGCCCTCGACGCGAGGTAGGACGCCATGTGAAATACAGCTGCATCCATAAGATACGTTGTGTCAAAGACATTGCAAATCCCAGTGCAGTCACTTTGCAAATATGAAGAGAGATCAGCATGTATCGGCTACCAGTACGGAGTACAGGTAACAATCTTCAAATGTTAGACGACAACATGTACTTTTTGTGTGGAGGTAACTCAATTCAAAAAGGACCGATGCAAGCCACTGGCAGGGATCAACGGAACAGATGCGCAGCCCGCAGCACTATCCTAAAGCCCAAGCTTGTCAAAGCGGTTAGGTGCATAAGCTAAGACTACGCGAATGCAACACGAGGATTGCCCAAAAAAGAGAACAGGACAACCTTCCAAGATAGGAAAATCGAATGCCCCTCATACAAATCCCGAAGTTTGGAGGGGCAGCGTGGCGCAACGGCACAGACGTCATTCTGCATAAGGCAGGTGAACCGTGCAGATAATCTTATCTTGATCAAGATGAAGTGAAAAAAGGTCGTGTTCAATAAGAATGCATACATAGAATAAAGAAAAGCAAAAGCAATTGGTATCTCAAAAACAGCAACTCCCCCGATAAATAAAGAGCGTCACAATGGGAACGGGGTATAGAAGGGCCGTAGACCGGCCAGAAAGGTAAAAGAGTCATATAATCCAACAAGAATAGAACATATTCAGTGAGAATCAAGATCTCGACCGAACGCGCCGAGCCGTGGGCGTGCACCCTGCGCTCATCTGAAGCATACTCTGTCGCTGTCCATCGTCTGTGCTCTGTGAGCTGCGAGTGGGGATACCGCTGACGAAAGGTTGATCCGTGGTTTTATTAGCCCTCGTAGAGGCTTGTGCGGGAAGCTTGGACGAAATGGGGGATTTGGGAGCAAGCTTGCGGCGGCCCTTGGTAGGTGTGGAAGGGGCAACAGCAGCCACGGACGCCGTGGCTGCGGGAGGCTTGCTTGTGCTGCGACTTCCAGTCTTGACTGGAGTACCAGACCCCAGAATTCCCGAGTCACCCAAACGCCTCACCCGGCGAGAGCGCGGGGTTAAGGTAGCAGGTGCAGTAGTCGGGGCGGTTGGGCCGCTTTCGGTGGCTCCACTGTCTGCATTGTCTGCTGCCTTTTGTGTTTGGCTACGGCTGCTGCGATGACCGGACTCTGCTTTCTTCGCCAAGCGCTTGCTTTCTGTTCGCGGCCGAGGCGTTGCGCCCACGTCATTCGTGCATCGGTCACCCTCTTCATCTTCCTCTTCCATTGGTTCTCTGTACTCTTCATACTCGGCCATGCGCTCCTCATTCCACGACACTTGCTTCCGCGGTTTGGCCAGCACACGAGAGTTAGCATCCTTGTGGTTCGAGCCCCCGTTCTGTAGATTGTCCGGCTGAAGCTCTTCCTCGCTAGACTGTTGAGCAAGAGCTTCCAGGGCGACCATGGGAGTTACAGATTTGCCTTTGTTGATCCGTGTATTGCGCTTTGTGGCCATAGCCACCTGCTGGGACTCAGTTCGCTGTTGAAAAACGAATTCTGTTCCTTTGGCTCGGCGGAACGAGATAGTGTTGCGCATACTAGGGGTGCTCGAGCCTTTGGTACGGGTGCTTCGGCGATATGCAGGGCTTGAAGGGGCTTGTTCTTCCTTGATATCTTTGGGGATGATATCCTCCGGATCATCGGCGCCATCGGCGCCATCGGCGCCACGCTTGGCGTCATATTTACTAGGCGAGAATTGCAACTTGACAGGTGAAGGAGAATTGGTTGTCAGTTCCTCTAGCACGCGGCGTGGTGGTGTTGAGCATTCCACTTCTGGCGACTCCTCCGGGCTGGAAGACATCTCCGTTGATTTAGCATCTTCGGGATGCGTAGCCTTGGCGGCCCGCTTCGCATTCGCCTTGGACAGGAATTCGTTGAGCAGCGCTGCGTCCTCTCCATCCAAGGAGCTTCGTAGTGCCGATCGCACCAACTTGATCTCCTGCTCTTGCGTCAGGTCTTGCACGGACTCCGTGGTGGACACGACATTGGTCTTGTCCTCTTCTGCATTGTCGATCACAGTCGGCGCGTCTTGAACAGATGATCTAGACTGTAGATCATGCGCTGTCTTCGCGTCGGATGCTGTAAGATCCTGGTCGATGGCCATAGCGTCGTTGTAGACCGGCGTCTTGGAAGTCTTCCACAAATCGCTGAGCGGCTGGGGGGACGGATTGGTAGCCACGTCGCCGACAACGTCTTTGGGCGTTCCTTCCGGCTGGTTCGCAGTGAAACCAAACACCTCATTGGAAGCATCCTCGTGGATGTTGAAGTTGAATTCGGGCATCTTGCCTGCAAATTATCAGATAAAAGGTTCTTCTAAATGCAGGACCGCGGGATGCCATGCGCGATGTGTACACGGCCCGCATAATATAGAAAGAAACTTACGTCGTTTCCGAGACGCCTGCATCTCCCATTTAGTCTCAAGGAAAGACCGACCACGTTGCTCAGCCTCAGTCTCGCGGTCCGCATCACCGGGGTCAACACACAGGCGCTTCACACCGCGCTGATAATCCGAGGTTTTGGAGGCACCAATCCCCGGGGCCTGGGCTGCTGTCGCAGTATTCATGCCAGTAAACGGAAAGCGAATGCGCTTCCACAGTTTTCGTGTCTTGTCTCCGGCCCGGACAGGCGTCGAAGGTTTGCGATCCCACAGTCGCGGCAAAGCGCTCAGGGCTTTGATAGGCGTAAAACTGAAGGAATTTTCAGTGGGAGGGTTGGCAGAGCTGCTGGCGCGTGAGGTAATTTGCGTTAGCGACAAGTCTATATGGCGGTGTGTCTCAAAATAAAGGGGAAAGAGAGACCAAACCCCTGAGCAAGAGGCGCGAATATCCTCTTGACACAAAGAGAAAAACAAATATCGGATCCAAAGGCAGAAAGAAAAAAAAGAGTTGACATACCATGCTTGCGGCGAGGGAGGATGGTTCTCCATTGTTGTTGACACGCGTGGAATGTGTCAAAGCCGTTGGAATTCGAATTGGCGACAAAGTATGTTGGAGTAATTTAGATGAATCAAGGCAAGCTATCTAATATAAAGTCCCCAAAAAAATGCAAATCAAAAGTATGCAACCCCCCTCAGTAAAATGTCGAATTTGTCGCTGATAGATGCAAAAGTCATGAAGCGGGTGGTGGTTTTGCTTTGATATGCCGTTGACCCGCCGTTGCCCTGCCAACTGCATGAGCCCAACGTGGACATGGCGATCATGAATGTATAGAACCTCATTAGGATATGTCTATCAAAGGTTATCCTTAGAAAAGTCGCTTTTGCAAATTAACCCTTTTTTGGCGCTTTTCTACTGTACAAATTGAGAAAGGGGCAGAAAATATCTATAAAACCAGACACCTAAAGTGACCAACTGATGAGACGAGCCCAAAAAATATATACTACCACAAAGACATATAAATGACTATCGGAGAAGACTATCTGGGAAGACTACGAGACTAAGTAACCGGCTATTCTTGTAGAATCTCACTAGGAGTCGTGTGATGCCTGCTAATGCAATTCCAGTCGTTGCTATAGCTCGCTGGAATGGTCAAGGGTTTGATATATCCGCCGACTATATATGTTAACGAAGACTAGTAACCTACTAGCTAAGCACTGCGAGCATTAATAACCCGGGAAAGCCCAGGAATGAAAGCAGGCTGGAATCGCACAGTGCCTCTGAGGGTTTACCACATCTATTTCCCTAAAGCTCGGGCACAGAATGTCTTTCGGGCAAAGCCATGCACAACGGTGGCAGGAAATAACACTCCCAGATAGCATGGAATTCGCCCGGAGTAGCTTTCGTCTATGCTGTATGACAGTGAACAGAAGCAATCCCGCCTACAAATTCCCCTCACGGGTGAGCAAAGACTGCCGGCTCATCGTAGACCAAATGTACCCAAAGAACTTGCGCCGCAAGCTAAAGAATCAAGTCGTATCTCATTATTCATATCGTATGCTGCCCATGTGGCGCAGTCTCCAAAACATGCAGAGACTCATAGCAGCTTCTCCTCCAAGTCACGTTCATCAAAAGGATCCCCAAATTCATCTGAACACAATCTAGTCAGCACACTGCACAGGCATCCATGGACGGAACACGACACAAGCTAAGCCAAGTAGACATAGAAAAGCCACATACCTAGCTTAAAATCCTTGTCAACGACAAACTCCATCGCACGCTGATAATCCTCTTGCGCGCGCTTGCTCTTCCACGCCGCAATATTGGAGTCGGCAGTCTTCTCCGCAGACTGGACCCCGCGCTGTTCCAGCGCAGTTGCAATGTCACCGACATAAGCACCAGCTTCTTGCTTTGTCTGGGAGCCAGGGGGAGAAAGCTCCGATACATCAGCGCCAGCTGAGGAAGCTTGGCCGGTGCCGGTCGGAGTGCGGGCGCCACTTCTAGTACCGTCGTCGGGGCGGATGGACTCGACGGAAGAGGTCATTGTAGAGTCGCCGTCTGGGTCTCTTGGGTCTAGTAGGTTTTGTTAATGGATGTAACCCCGAGTTTGTAGTTCGTAGCAAGGAAGACGAGGCGGGTGCACATGTGGGTATGGAGCGCTATCGATATCGCGGGCCCACTGTGCTCTCTCGGCTACATCGTATAGATGTGAGGGAATAGGGGAGACTTACCAATCGCCATTGTTGGAAATTAGCAATAATGGGTTAGATGGTCGATTTGTAGTTTCAAAAGTTCGCAGACCTCAAGGCGCGGGGAGTGGAGAGATCACCGGTCGACAGGCGGTGGCCCCGGGGGCTCACTCTCGCATGAATTTTCTTCTTCTTTCTTCCCCAGTCTATATACTGCATGAACATACAAATTATTGCTGGCCTTTGTGATTAGCATATCTTCATTAGATTTGTTTTCGATATACCTCTCTATTCTTAATCCTGCTACCGTCGTTCTGTGTGCAATGAATGCAAACTCCGGTGCAGTTCCCGATGCGTGGGAGGATTCATGGGAAAGCCAAGCCGATGTATGTAATAGCAAGGGGACTATTGTGACATTTGGGAACAGACACTAGTCTGATATTCAAGTCTACTCAATGCTTGCAAATGATGAATGACATGCTGATGGTCATCGCTTACAGAAACTCGACTCCAAGCCTACCCCGCCGGCCGAGAAGAAAGTCTCATCCAAGGTGACCAAGGCGCAACGCAGAGCGGAACAGGCAGAGTTCAATCGTCAGCTATGGGCTGAAGCGTAAGTTTCAATCGTCAACTAACGTCTGCCGCATTTCTTTGGGTTGTTCAGGAGGCTGAACTGGGTTGCAGCGAATCCACAGAAACATTCCACTTCGTTGAAGCGCGCGCGGATGTTCCCCTTAAGCAAGACTTCAAGCCCGCAGTTACATTACTGAGTCGGAAACCTCAGCTCGTGACAAGAAATCCATCATCCTCGAGAACAATTGGTGCCACAACGGCTGGACTTGGCCGACTCGGACTGGACGATGATGATGACTCGGACGAGGAACCCAAACCGCCCCAGCCAACACCCGAGGAGCGCCATGCTATTGCGCTAAAGAATCGGGAAGAGAAGCAGCGGAAGTACGAAGAAGTGCGCGAACGTCTGTTCGGAAGCCCATCTGCTACAGCTTCGGGCGCCTCATCGCCCGGCAGTACGACCCCGCCTCGTCAAACTCACACAGGCGAGGGCAGAGCGAGAGGCAAAGGACGTGGCGGCGGAAGAGATCACCAGAAGAGAGATTCCTCGTCAGCCTCGAGCAAGTCCTCCAGGCATCTCTACGATCCCTCTACTTCGGCCAAGTCAAATGCACCCTTCCTACAAAGAGGTGGCCGTCCGCAGGTTGAGCGAAGCGGCTCCGACAATCAAGCTCCACAGCAGCCGATGCGCAGTCCTCGAGGCCCTGATGCAAGTGGGAGGGGTGGCTTCAATTTCAATCGAGGTGCTCGAACAGGCTAATGTACATTTGGCCAATAAATTTTCGTCCCAGGACACTGGCCGTCACTTACCCTTTTCTTTTCTTTTGCATTAAGGGAGGCCCCGTCCTGCGTTAATTGCGTTTGCGACCTGGGATGTGTTTGGGCGGTTCTCTGACATGAAATATTAGCAGTGCCCTTGGAGAGGAGCCATGAGATACTCACGGGCATATCGCTCATAGCTGTCATGGTACAGCTCGTCTGTGCTGGTTGTCGCCTGCACATGCTGGTCGGTCTCGATTGCATTCACCCAAGAGGCCAGCCTGGTTCCATCCTCAGCATCTGGCCATCCTCGGTATGGTTTCAACACCCGCCGCAGCCGAATGATCCACGGGGCAGCTTGAACGTCCACAAGGGACATCTGCGGGCCCATGAAGAAGGGCCCCTTGGGATGCGCCGCTTCGAGCAGCTTCTCCATCGCGTCTCGCAGCTCCTGTGTCTTCTCTATCTGTTTCTGTTGGTCCTGCTCTTGCAGGATACGGTAGAAACTCGGCACGATATGCCGATTGACCTGGAGGGCTATCAGTGGTGATTACCAGAACAGACTTGTTGTCTGTCTACTTACATGATCCGCCCACAACCGACAATGGGCGCGCAGCTTTGGGTCTGCTGGAAGCATTGCAGCTCCCACACCCAGGTCCTCCAGCTGCGAGGGATTGGTCAGCGAAGGAAATGGGAAATTGCCTATTTGGCTCTCTTACATATTCCAACAACACGCTGCTTTCATAGCATCCCCAGTCATCGTGCCGCAAAGCAGGAACAAGTCCTCGTGGATTTACCTCTAATAGCGACTGGGGCTTCTCATATGGGTCCACTTCGATGTATTGGTACGGGATACCTTTCAGTTCTAATGCAATCCATACCCGTTGAACGAACGGGCTATAAACATGCAGGCCAAGTCAATACACAACAAGCTTTTGTCAGAACGAGTCGGATCTGAGGGGTCCTCACCAGAAGCAGCTTCCATATAGCTTGAGATTAACATCGGCGGAGTGTTTGATTGCAGTTTCAGCAGCCAGACCCGTCGCTTTTGTATGGTATGACTTTTGGCCTGCTCGAGACATGACTCGGTCCTATTGCGTATTCGGTGTCAAAGCTGCAAAATTAAAAAAGCGAAGAAATGGAAACCAAAGAAGAATTGATCATCACATGTGAGAAGATAAAAGTCAATGTAGACGTGTGACGTAGGCGGGATCATGCGGGGACACGTTGGATCAAATGAACAAACAAAACAGGATTAACATACCGTTCTCGTCCTTTTGTCTTTCTTTTCCTTCAGAACATACCGTTGCACACTACTCTTTTTGACACGATCGCTCTCTTCAAGCGTATGTTGATGACCACCACTTACTCCGTCATTCTTCCCGTTGGCACCATTACCATTCACCCGCTGTATCGTGAAATATCTCCCACCATTCGATCCCGGATGATTTGGTGGTAGACCAGGGTTTGGCGTGAGCATACCGAATGTTTGGACATTTCGGATCGCAGGATCATCATTCAGAGAGAAAGTATACATGCCAGGTAGGATGTTAGATGGCAAGGGCTCGACAGCATGGGTCGTATTTGCTATTTCGGACGATGGGAAGTATTCCACGACTTTGATCTTGACATGGCAGAGATCCCGTTCTCTAGCCGTACGCTTGCGTTTCTTCTTTTCTGGGTCGTCGGATTTGGGGGTTCCAGGTGGTCGTCCTTTGAGTCGACAGTCCCAGTAATGGGAGACGAAGGGTTTTCGCTTGTACCGCTGGGTTGAGCGATGAGAGTATACATTGTCAACGTGGGGGAAGTATGTTTGGAATCTGTAGAAAAGGATGATGCAAGTCAGCCTCCCAGTAGGGTAGAAATAATCCCAACAATGGAGTCTGCATACTCCCTCTTCGCTCAGGGTGATCATTTCATCAACATTGAACAACCTCTCTCTCCAGTAGTCCAGATGTGGAGGGTTCGGGACCAATTTAAAGCCTTGCAGCTCCCCAGGCCCAGTGAAGGCCGCTGGATCCGCAGAGCCAGGATCTAGCTCGATAAAGTCCGGTTGAAACGGTTGACTTGAGGACTGCAGCGTTGTTAAGCTGTTATTAGCTTGATGCGCGTTGTTTCCCATCGGTAGCTCGTGCTGGGACAGCGATGCTGGAGGCGCTATTTGTCCAGCAGCAGCGCCATGTAATGCACCGCTCATATTCGCTGCATGAGCGATGCCATTGTTGTAGTCCTGCGATTGATGTATACCACTGGAGGGTTGCCCTTGTGGTTGTAAGTGCGAGGCAAGTCCATTGCTAGGGTGGCCTTGGTGCGATTGGTGCTGTGTGGACTGAGACGCGGTGATGAAGTTGGTCGCAGGCTCGCCTTGTCGTGGAGGACGAATAAACGCATGCGTTGCGTTCTGGAGCTGTGATTCAGCTTCGGTCGGGGACGGAATGACCCGAAGGTTTGCGATTCCGGGTCAAATTGGCCCAACTGTAGATTAGACTGGTCATTTATCGGTATAGAAGATCCCAAGCGGGGCGACGACAGTCGCAGCTCAGAGTCCATCTTGTAAATTACATAAAGTTGTGGAGAGGCGTGCTGCTTTTGAGGAGAAGAAGGACGGTTGAAGCGGCATTGTGGGGTTAAAGGAAGCTCGGATCATCATGAGGTTCTCAGGTACAAAAATCATGTCTGGCTTCCTATGGGCTTCTATGAGTTCTCTTTTTTGAATTGGTAATGTATAGCACATTTATATTACTTCGACGATTGGAATATTGAGTCACATATTACATTTAGTTGCATTGAATCCCTAGACGCAGTATTGATTCCACCCTCTGCAGCTTACAGACCCTTGCCATGTTTCTTCGCTGCTTCCGAATTCTTGAAAGGGAACCCCGTCGTCCTCTTGTCTGCACCGTTACGGCGACTGATCTTGCCGTGGCTGCTAGCAAAGAGCATACACCACAACCCAATGGCCGCAATACTAGAGTATCCAGCAACTCCAACAGCAAAGAGACCTTGTCCACCGGTGACATACCAGGTGTACGCGTAGAAAGCACATGCGGCATGGAAGATAGAGGTCACCATCAGAGTTGGCACAGCGTAGGGCGCCTTGGGGTCATCCTCCTCTGTTGTCACAGACTCCTTGATGTCGGCCGTCAGAGGGATGGAGCCGGTTAGCATCACGGTTAAGACGGCGATAGTGAGAAAACTGAAGCCGAGGCATCGGGCGAAGTATATCTCCATGGCTTTGGCAAAGGATTAGCACGGCTCGTAAATGGATGCGAGCGGCACTTTCAGGGGATGTGGGCCACATACGGGAAACAGGCCGAGTCTCATCTAGCAGCATGGTCACCATCATGCTCGGTCCGGTAATCAGAGGTAAGCTCTGAAGCGACAGCCATGCGGCCGTCGAGTATGTGTAGGCGCGAAACACCTGTGGGGTTAGCTTTAGCTCCAGTTTCGAAGTCTATCTCCCATAGCTTTGGAGACAGTAGGATTGGCTCACATCCATGATGGCAGTTCGCTGGTACGGGTTTCAATGGTATTAAGATCTTCTTGCTGTATTGAAGTGACTATTGATTGGTCAAAAAGGCCAGATCTTGAGAAGATGAAGCTACTAAAGGATCTTTTTTTCAAGGCTGAAGCATTATAAACAGGTGACGTCATACACCTGGCATTACAATGCCGTTTGACTTGTTTGCAAAGGTCCAAGTACATCAAGACGAAGAGAAGGGTATATAAGATCAAAACAATATTTGATTATTCTGTTATATCGACTAGGGTGAATGCAATAAAATGCGCCTCTAAGACCACAAACTCCTTAAGCCCGAAAGAGCCCATCGAAAACAATTAAGACCCATCAAATGTTGACTTCTGTTTCGTGAAAGATTTCTTCACTTTTGCATATTGCTCGCGCGCAAATACCTTGTGAAGCTGTTGTCTTGGTCGGTTGCAGCACTTTGGGAACCTGACAGAGCCGCCTGGTAACGCTGGGAGAGACCCTCATCATCGCCAGCGTGAGGGCCCACGTAGTCCTCATAATCACTGTCTTCCCCATCTGCCAACCCGCGCTTGATTATCTCATCTTCTTCATCCTCGGCTTCACTGACAGTCTCAGGCTCTTCGGCATGTTTTCTCGGGGGCTGCCGGCTTGACCCAGACACACTCATGTCTTTCATTAATTTTCCAAGTTCAAGCTCCCGCTGGGAAGCTGTCTGCTCTTCCCGCTCTTTCTTCTTGCGCTCCAATTCGGGCTTGTAATCACGTTCAAACTCCTGTCGCTTCGTCTCCACGGCCTCGAAGAACTCTTCAACGCCATCACCGGTCATTGAGCTGACGCCAACGACGCTTAGGTGTCGATAGAACTCTTCCAACATGAGACTCATGCTGTTCAGAAGGGATCCCATGTATCCACTGCCAGCGCCAAAGCCACCGGCACCACCTTCAGCTCCAAATGCACCTGAGTCTTCCTCCTGCCGCAGAGCCTGCTGGAATGCATCAAAGTCAGTCATCCATTCCTTGGCAAACTCAGCATCCCTAACATCAGTCTTGTTGAAAACCAAGATCATGGGGAGCTTGGTCTTGTACAAGATACTGCAAGCGTAGAGCATGTTGCTCATAAAGGTGCTAGTAGAGCTTGCGCGAGGTGTATCGATAACATATGCGATGACCGTCGGGAACGATGTCGCCATAGTCTCGAGAAGGATACTGCCCGATGCACTCCAGACAAAGACTTCGATTTGGCCGGGGTGTCGACTAGGATGTGTTCGATTGGCTTTGCGGAAGGGTTTTCGGGGTTTGGAGAGGTGCGTTTTTCCAAGAGCGAAATGATTTGATCAACCTTGGTGGCGAACAGATTTAACGAGGTCAAAATTCCTCCATTGGGGCCCAGGTTGTATTGCTTCATCACTTCTTTGTAATTAATGGAGTCACGGATATCGATGTTGCTCTCGAAGGGCACCGAGTGCACCGCGGGGTCGAGATTGACCACATACGGCACGTTCTTCTTTTCATGCAGATAGGAGTTGATTCTTTGCATGAAGGTAGTTTTGCCTGAGCCTATTCAATTCATAATAATTGACGATTAGATCACAGCAGATAGGTGAGGGGCGATCAGCATATCAGTATTCTTACCTGCCATGCCCACGCAGACCACGGACACCGGAGATGGCATAGTGAAGGTAGTTTATAAAGAAAGATTCGATTAAGCGGAAAAACAGGGACCTCCGTGGTTGAAATGTATTGTTCAAGGGTGGAAGACAAGTGAAGAAAGATAAGCTTCTTTTTTCTGCTCGAAATCTTTTTTGTCGCGGGGAAAGATCTACGGTTGGACCGCCCGGCATTTTAAAAACGTCATTTCCAACTTTTGCCTTTTGCTACAGCTTCACCCCTTTTTCACATACCAGGAGCACCATGACTCTAGAAGATTTTGAGAAGTCATTGGCAGAGGGGAGAGAGCAGCGACACGAAAAAAGCGAAGGGCGACATCATCGAGACCGAAATCGTGATCGCGACCGCAGCAAAGAGCGCTCGAGACAGCACCACCATCGTTCCAGCCACCATCACCGGCGGCATTCCTCCAGATCTCGCGACCGGGACAGCGAGCGAGTTCGTGAGTCCCGGCATCGCGACAACGATGGCCACCGGCACAAGCGTTCACGTCGTTCCGACGACCAAGGAGACGAGCATGGCCATAAACGCCATCACCGGAACTCCAAAGACGAGGGGGAAGGTGTTCCTCTAGTGGTAGTACAAGAGGAGCCCAAAAATATCAAACGGGACGCCTGGATGGAGGCACCCTCAGCTCTTGACGTTGATTATGTTCATCGACCGGATGCGACGCGACAGGAGGAGCCGAAACCAATAATGCTTTCGGCAGACTACGAACTCAAGATCCACGACAAGGAGCTCAACGACCATCTGCGTGATCTCAAGGATGGAAAAACAGTCGACGAAATAGAAGATGAGCCTGCCCAGCATGAGGTGGACTATACCTTTGGTGATTCGGGGTCACAATGGAGAATGACGAAACTCAAAGGCGTATACAGAGAGGCGAAAGAAAACGGCAGGGCTATTGACGACATTGCTATCGAGCGTTTTGGAGACCTTCGCTCATTTGACGACGCTCGGGAGGAGGAAACCGAGCTTGATCGGCGCAACACATATGGTAAGGCCTACGTGGGCAAAGATAAACCTAGTGGGGAGCTGTTTCAGGAAAGGAAACTCCAAAGTGATATCAGAAGAGATCCACGCGAACATCTTCGTGATCCAGAGCAAGAACTCAACGCCGGAGGCCAAGGCAAGAAGATAGACACTGCACCTCCTTCGCAGACTAGCCGTCACCTCGATATGACGGCATTGAATCGGCTGAAAGCCCAGATGATGAAGGCAAAGCTCAGGAAAGCACCAGATGCCGCCAATCTTGAGGAACAGTACAATACAGCCGCAGCAGCAATGTCAAACCGCAAGGAATCCGATGTCGTGGTCCTTGATGTTATGCATAACCCGATGCTAGCAGGCGCAAGGAATGAGGTCAAAGCCATTGATACTAAGAGAGGTAGGGAAGAGGGCCAGGTGGAAGCAAATGAAGATATGACCATTGAGGATATGGTGCGAGAAGAGCGCAAAACCCGTGGCCAACCGGGCGGAGAGGGCCGGCGGTTAGCGGATCAAATTGGCCGTGATGCCAAGTTTGAGGTCAGTCCTAGAGTTATATGTGATGACCCATGTTTCCCCTGCTAACCAATATCTAGAACCGTTTGGAATATATGGATGACAATGCGTCCAAGCTAGCCAAAAGAGTCCATCGATCTGAGATTGACCTCAAGAACTCAACGATCAATGACTTCCACAAGATGAACCGGATATTGGACAACTGCCCCCTTTGTCACAATGAAGACAAGGGCACGCCTCCACTTGCCCCGGTGGTATCCCTCGCGACTAGGGTCTTCCTCACGCTTCCTACCGAACCTGAGATCAGCGAAGGAGGTGCTACCATCGTGCCAACCCAACATCGCACTAATTTGATGGAATGTGATGACGATGAGTGGGAAGAAATCCGCAACTTCATGAAGAGTCTCACGCGTATGTACCACGATCAAGGTCGAGATGTAATCTTCTACGAGAATGCAGCCCAGCCAGAGCGCAAGCGACATGCATCCATGGAAGTCGTGCCTTTACCCTACAGTCTAGGAGAGACCTCTCCAGCATTCTTCAAGGAAGCAATTCTCAGTGCAGAGTCGGAATGGTCGCAGCACCGCAAGCTTATCGATACCCTTGCCAAATCAAAGCAAGGGTTAGGCCGGTCTGCCTTCCGCCGAACCCTCGTGAAGGAGATGCCCTACTTCCACGTTTGGTTTGAACTAGACGGTGGCCTGGGCCATATTGTGGAAGACAGCCACCGCTGGCCTCGTGGGGATCTCTTTGCCCGAGAGATCATCGGCGGAATGCTGGATGTTGCGCCGGACGTCATCAAACGACAAGGACGCTGGAACCGTGGTGACCGCAGGGTTGAAGGATTCAGAAAGCGCTGGAAGAAGTTTGACTGGACCCGTATTCTGGTTGAAGGCTAGTGAGCCTGGAATTGGTCCCTCGGCGCACTGTATTGTACACATGCTCAGACATTTACTTGAACCGTAGCGAGTTTCGTTTCGAAAATTGAAAACGCGAAGTCGCCGTGGTCTCTTAATCTTTTTCATTTCATTTTTTTTTTTCATTCCACACAATATCACACTGGGCTAGGATAAAAGCACTACTCATAGCCAACATTCCAGTATGTCAGTTGACACAGATAACGACATCGGCATTCAAGCCCGTGACTACGTACGGGTCGAGACACTGGTCTCCGCAGCTGAGCACTAGAAGTTTATATCCCTGTATAGAACCGGAGTTAGCCTAGCAGCCGATATCAGTTTCGGGAAATTAAAGGATTCCAAAAACTACACATGTGTATTATTGCCCACTCCCTCTTTTAGAGCGCCGGGCACAACCATCCTCTAAGCGGCTCACTAAGCCATACATAACTACCTAGGTACCTAGGTAAGCTCTTGCCCATGCCTAGGTGCGCAGATGCTCAGAACTGTCCGTTTCCTACTATCGTGCTGTCATAGTATCCTTAGTTTCCTCGCGGGAAAACGAGTCGAAACGGAAGGAAGTACCGCAGTACCTACGATGTACGAACAAAAAGTCCTCGACCAACGCTCTGTGATACACTCCGAAGTAGTTCAAGACCATAGAGACGACGGGTTTCTCACGAGTCAGACGACGAGTCCATGGTCTACGAGATTCCCGTACGCGGCTTTGGCACGCCAGCAGCACGACCGCCTCATGGCCGAGGACGCCGATCTTGCTTCCGTCATTCTCCAAAGCGAACTATATAATCATATCATACGGCGAGAAGGCTAGTCTATTGACGACTACATGAAGCGTTACTCCGATACTACGAATGCCATGATTCATCGCGGCGTTTCTATTCTGAATGATCTGCTTACTGCTGATATGGTGCCATCCGGATTCCGAACCGAAGATGGAAGGTTTTTCGATTTGGGCGCGGAATCGGGCGCGACGAAGGGGGAGTATCGAGAATTTAGTCAGTGGCTCTCGGGGGTATCGGTAGCAGGACAGACGTATGAGGTGCCGGAGAAGTGGTCGAAGTTTGAGAAGCCAGCGGGGATAGGCCATAATCGTATGTAGAAGACGGGGAACTGCCCGATAAGCGCGGGGCACTTTTTCTCCTTGTCGGCCGATGCTTAGTATAATAAATGAAATTATGGCTATTAACTCGAATTTATCTATTTTCTATACCTTGAATCTAGTGTCTTCGCACACTCTTGCAACAAGTAGGTCAATTGGCGCCTCGATCGGACATCGACCCTGGGCTTGCTTATCGGTAAGTTCAGATGTCAAGAGAAGGCGTCGGAATACTTTGACCCGAAGAATTGGAGAGAGAATCTCTTGGAATTGACTCGGAGTTGATATTTTCACATCACTATACATTCCTCAACCGCTCAAATAACTAATTGTCTCGCTTGACACAGGATCATCTATCAATAACATCAGAATGAGTTCTACCGGCCCAAAGCCTAAGGTTCTACAACTCGGTAATATCGATCAGTATGTTCACCCCCGTTCCTTTGCACCATTGAGATCCGTTTCATGATATTAACATTCTTCAAACCAGTTCGCAGGCAGCCTGGAGTGCATTGGGTGAAGTGGCAGAGCTAGTTGAGTCAGCGGCAACCAACAGAGCTGAGTTCATCCAAGAGTGCAAGGATGGAAAGCTAGATGGAGTTGTTGCGATATACCGAACAATTGGCTCTGTGGTCCAAACAGGGCTTGTAGACGAGGAGCTATTGAATGTGCTACCAAGCTCACTCCGGTATATCGCGCACTGTGGTACGTGGAGCTTGGGATGCGAGTACTCAAACGTTTATATGCTGAGATGGAGCCTCTGTAGGAGCCGGATATGACCAAGTGGATGTTCATGCCTGCAGTGCACGCAATCCCCCGGTCCGGGTCTCCAATGTCCCAACTGCAGTGGACGATGCCACTGCTGACGTGAACATGTTCCTCATCCTTGGCGCATTGCGCAACTTCAACACTGGTATGAACGCCCTGCGTGAGGGCAAATGGCGTGGCCAGCCAGCGCCTCCTCTCGGCCATGATCCCCAGGGAAAGGTTCTTGGGATTCTGGGAATGGGTGGTATTGGACGTAATTTGAAGAAGAAGGCAGAGGCCTTTGGGATGAAGGTCATCTACCATAATCGCCGGAAGCTCAGTGATGAGATGTCTGCGGGTGCTCAATATGTTTCTTTTGATGAGCTCTTGTCCACCAGTGACGTGGTTAGCTTGAACCTGCCATTGAATGTAAGAGATTCCCATTTCCAAAAGAAAACAAACTGTGTTCTGGTACTAATCTGCTTGAAGAAAAACACACGCCATATCATCGGCAAAGCCGAGTTCAATAAGATGAAGGACGGCGTGGTAGTTGTCAACACTGCCCGCGGTGCTGTGATGGACGAGGCTGCCCTGGTTGATGCTCTGGATAGTGGTAAAGTGTTCTCAGCTGGGCTCGACGTTTTTGAGGAAGAGCCTCGGATTCATCCTGGGCTGCTCAGTAACCAGAATGTAATGCTGGTTCCCCATATGGGCACTTGGACCAGTGAGGTGAGTTAGTATTTTCCCATGAAGATAGTATAAAACTGACTTGTCAAAAGACAATGCTCGCCATGGAAGAATGGACAATTGGAAACATCCGTATGGCTCTTGAAGTTGGAAAACTGAAGAGCCCAGTTCCGGAACAGGCGGACCTTTGAACTGTATTCTCATAGCCTAGTACATTGTATCGGGAAATGTCCCTTACGACCTTCGAGCTCACCCAAGGCTAATCTCTGACTTGACTTGAGCAGTGAGAGAGGTATACTAAAGAAACGAATCGGGTTCCTGGCTAGGTATTCTCTATAAAGATGTCAGTGGTTGTTTCCCACATTCGGAGTTTATGATATGTCTCACTTACAGTAAAATTTACTCTTTTTCTTCGTCCGATCACTGGCATAGTAGTATCAGGAAGATTAAAATAGGAACATTGAAGATATAGACAGCTGTGTAGGTTATGTAGTTACCTTCTACATTGTAGGTACAGGGAATTCCCTATTGGCCAATAGAGTGGGGCAACTACGTACCTAGGTAGTTTTTCTGCCAGGCAATACGATCATAGTCGCGATCAACTTATCTTATTGCCCAGCACATCATGGCTGAATTCTGGAAATCAGCAGTAAGTGTGTATATTTACCCGTCTACAACCCCGCTAACCATTTCACAGCCGCGCTACTGGTGCAAGCAGTGCAAGGTCTTCATCCGTGACACGCCCTTCGAAAAGACCCAACACGAAGCTAGCCCAAAACATCAAGGCAGCCTCAAGCGCTTCCTGAGACAAATTCACAATGACAATGAACAAAAACAAAGAGACTCACAACTCGCAAAAACCGAGGTCGAGCGACTGCGAAAGGCCGTCGGTGGCGGGTCCTCCACTGACAAAGACAGTGCGAAAGGAAACGCACCACCACCAGCCCCCAAATCCGCAGAACGGCCTGCTTCCCTAGAGGACCGAAAGAAACAGATGGCACAGCTGGCAGCAATGGGAGTCGCTGTCCCCCAGGAATTCCGCGCCGATATGGCCATAGCGGGGGATTGGCAGACGACATCAGAGACAGTCATCGAGGTCAAGCAGGGATTAGAGGGCCCCACAAAGTCAGTTGGAATACGCAAGCGCAAACTTGAAGGCGAGGAGGAGGATGAGCATGCGCCTGAACCTATTATCAACAAAGGCTGGGGCTCGAGGATGAGGCAGTACCCAGGTGCACAAGAGGAAGAAGGCCTGGATGACCTGCTCGCATCCACCAAAGATATCAAGAGGACAAAAACCTTCACCCCGAAAGTCGAACTTGATGAACAGGAGACAGCCACCGAACCCCCTGCCCCAACCATGAAGACAGAAGATGATCCCACCAAGCCAGGGGCCCAAGAGACGAATGGGTCAGTTACAGTCAAGTCTGAAGAGCCCGCTCAATCTTTGGTAGAGCCTATCGTTGAAGAGAAGCCGCAGAGTGAAGATGCTGCGCCCGGTGTCGTCTTCAAGAAACGCAAGCCGAAGGCAATGAGGAAATAACCACACCTTGAGAGGATGTAGTATCCGCAAAACTTCCTTGTCATGGCTCAGATTGAGATGCCCATGCACTTGATCATCCCAACTGCCCGTGGGGCCTTATACATCCGATTCCAATCCGTTGGCCGTGGCCCATGGCCCTGCAAGTCTGCAAGTCTGTAACTGTGTTGCTTCAAGCAAAAGGCACACAATTTTACGGCCTTTACTGTGCCAAACGATACAGAGATGGACCAAATTCTTCGACAAAAGACTTGTGGCAGAATTCCCGCTCCACAGGATGTACACATCGGACCCATTAATCCAGAGGATCATTTGCAAGCCTAAGCTTACTGCGTTGAAAGCCTGTCTTCCAATGAAACCCCATATTACATGCAGACTTGAAGCATGAACCTTTGGTTATGTATCGTTGAATCATGCCAAGCCTTTTCCCAGGACAATCTATAACTTTCATGGATTTCGTCCCTGAATTTTGACTAGAACGGCTGAGTGCAACACTACTAATTCGAGCCTATTAATTGAATTTAAGATAAGACATAATACCAGCAAAATATTCAGAAAACTAATAAACCAAGTGTAGATGTAAATAAAGCCAAGTATAAAACCTCGGAATATAGCCATGTTGGGGTAGAAAGCGGTGTTTGCCACTATAATTTTTTTTCCCTTCACAATCAAAGCGGAGAGTTTCAACGCCGGAAAGGAAAGCTCCTTAAGCCTCTCTTTCGCCCTTTGCCTGACCGACGACCCTCGCATTTGCATAGTCTCCTTGCGATTTGTGTTTCTGTCGATCTAAATCTATAAATCTATTTACCTGGTAAGTCTTCGAAATTCGAGCAAGTCGTGATCCCCGCAGCCCTGCCAATCCCTCGACATGCGCATCTCGCGCCGGAGCCTCACCGTGTGCGATACCGTGTCCAGTATTTCCGCTGTCAAACGAGGTCATTGAGTGCTGAATTCTACCTTGTGATGCTATTACATGACCCCGTGGCAGTTGTGAACAGATGGTTGCATTCGAGGCTGGTCGGCCACTGCGAATGCGACCTACAAAACCTCAATTGACCAGGATATCTGGACATGCCACGAGGCGTCTATACCATCGATACGGAAATCCGTACAAATGCACGGTCCTTGCGCTCAGTACTATATTCCACGCATGGTTTATTCGCCGATCGGATTTACAGACGTGGAAAACGGAGGGCCTGCGCTAGCACGGCGCTTCTTTTCCTGGCGATACTCATGATCGACACCGAGGACTCTGCCTTTACCGTGCCTTAGCACTCTCCGCTGCAGAACACTCACGATATTGCTGGTCGAATATTTTGACTAACGAATGCTGGACCCCGCAGATCATAGGGAATAAATGATTTCTAACTCCCCATCCGTTCGACCTGGTGTGATTTCTTCGCTCCGCCGCAAACCAGACGACCTTTGACCTTGCCTACTCGAATACTCGACCTTTACTCAAGACCTTGTCTTCGAACCCTACTTGCAAAATACCTACCAGTTTTCCCATCCGATCCATACTTTCATTGGGGCTGCGAATTCCAATATGGCGGAGCCGACGGACTCGAGCGCCCCGCCTGGCGAGTCCACCAATCCTGCGACCGAACCGAATGCGCCAGCTGTTGAGACAGCACAATCTTTAGCCCAGAATGAGCCGCTCCCAGTGGGAACAAACCAACCCCCCATGGAAACAAGCCAAGAACCGGTAGCGCCGCCGACACAACCAGCTCAACCAGCAGAACCAGCACCGTCAGAAGCGCCGGTCGAACAAACAGCATCAGAGGTGCAACCAATACCAGAAGTGCCACGACCATCAGATGTACCAGCCACACCAGAAGTGCCAACAGAACCAAATTCGTCCACCGCAGGCCCTTCACACGATGCGAACACGTATCAGCCAGAAGAAGTCACCCAGCCAGCACGAGGTCCAGATGTGACTTTACCGTCTGTCGAATCATCTCTTCCAGCCATTGATCCATCACTTCCAGCCATGGACACATCAAATGGCTTTGATGATTCAGAATTGCACTCCTTTGATGCGTTGCCTTCAATAGGTTCATCTGCGCCCCACGATATGTCACTGCCTGCCATTGATACAAGCCTCCCCTCTCTCGACCACTCCTTGCCAGCGATTGGAACCGATGATATCCCAACAATGGATGGCCATGATTTTAGCGACAATAGCCATTTGGATCATCACAATTCGAACGCAGGCATGGCAGACTCTACGGGTGGACATGACAATGGTGATGTGAATGGTGCATCTCATTATCATCCGACCAATGGTTCGTACCAATATTCGCATAGTCCTGCTCAATCACAACAACCAGGAAGCCAGCAGTCACCGCAAGCGCATACCCACCAGTTTCAGGCACAGCCGCAACACTATCAGCAAAACGACATGTATCACAATTCCGGTTCCCAAGGACAGGTGCCACAGGCACCGATTGGATCGCCGCTCCCAAACAATATGCCTCCAATGGCTTCTATGGGGCAATACATGGCTGGATATCCTTCCAACATGGGGAATGCGCAAATGCGATATCAACTCCCGGGCGACCCGAACAAGATGTTGTCAGGCAATAGACACAAGAAAGAAGTCAAGCGACGCACAAAAACCGGTTGTTTGACTTGTCGCAAACGAAGAATCAAGGTAAGCGCAAAGTAGTTTTCGCGGGCGGAGTCTCGCTTGTGCCCGCCAGACCCCGCCATTTATTTTGTCCGCTTAAATCCACCTCCCTCTCAATCTCCAACTTTTTTTTTCATTCGGTTTTTTTTGGAATATTTGGGATCTTTTCAACTACTAACTCTCTTTTAGTGTGACGAAGCACACCCGGTCTGCAGAAATTGCGTGAAAAGCAAACGTGAATGTTTAGGTTACGATCCTGTGTTTCGGACTCAAGCATCTACACCATCGGCTATCCAACCAGCCCCTAACCCACCACCTTCGCTGGTTGTCAATCCCCAGGGCCCTTCTACTTCATCCACACCTTCATATCCTTCATACCCTTCTGCGCCTCCCGGGTACATGCCCGCGTCGTCTCAGCCATTCGCACCTTCCCTTCACTCCGAATCGCCCACTGCGTCTGCCGACCAACACGATCACGCAGCTTCCATTGATTCTTCTTTGGCTACGACCCATCAATCCAATCACACAGAAATGCAGAACGCCGGCGTACAACGTCAACAGGGCTCCGACCCTTCATACAAAGGTGAGTTCATATTATTGGTTTTCTGAATCTGCGCATTGCAGTATTGCGGATGGGTAGCTAACAATCACTCTCCACAGCCAAAAACCTCTATGTCAATGACCTCTTCTCTTTGAGAGGAATCGCCCCTCCTCCTCCCCACCCCGTCGGAACTCTTCCACCCGGCCGCCTCGAAGAGATCCAGGCAGTTTTCCTGGCCACCTACGCACCTGCGATTGACAAGCTTCTTGAGGTTCGGTGGTATTCAGAGAATGCTCTTTCATTCCTCATGGCCGATGCCCAGCTTATGGCAGATTATTCGGCCTTGATCAGCGCGTTCAATGAATGGGATCTTCAGGACGGTGAAACTCTTGCTCGTCTAGAGAGTTTCGAGGCCTCGATCATTTGGAAAAGCATGTCGTTATGTCGTCAGGTACCGGATGGGGAAACTGGACAACAGGGGCGGGACTGGAATCTCTGTGTGTCTTGCGCCCGATTAAACGTAATCGAGGCATTGCTTACTTGGAACCACCTGGACTCAAACCCCTTGTCGCGGGAGCTGGTCATGGATGCCGCTAACCCCCCGAACACACCAGATCAGTTCCAGAACCGCCAATTGGATTTCTGGGACCAGGTCGGAGAATTCCTCACGCTCTATGACAACGAAGCAAGCTCGGCCAAGCAGATCGACGACACTCTGGGTCGGTGTCGACAGTTGCTGGACACATACGAGAACCGTGATATAATCTACTCCATCTCTGTCGCACGTCACTTGGGACAGCGCTGGGCTGACTTCCCCAACAGCCTGCCCAAGGTCGGCTACACCACCGAGAAAGAGGCGGGAACCAGACTTTTTGTCGCACAGAAGTTCCTCGAAGAAGAAGCCGAGGGCAAGGGCACAACTCAGGTCTACAAGCGAGTTTGCTGTATGGCAGTCCGCTCATGGTGGGTTGCTCGCGGGTAATCCACACTATTGTGACCAAGATCGCTTCCAAGCGTCTGCATTGCCCCTCATACTCTTTCATTACTCCTTGCATAATGAGTTCCTTACCAAGGGCCATTACACCCTCTCGATCCTGCGTCCTCACGGGGTTTTCATCTTGTTCTTTTGCGGTCGACAAAACAAAAGCATCATGGTCAGGCGTTGTTTCTTTTGCTCTGAATGATACGATCTCAATCTCTGCCAGTTTACATTTCTTTTCCTTTTCTTTTATTTTCTATTGGGGGCTTAGGGGATTGGCCAATGAGCGAGCAAAGCACTACGGCGTTTTGGCCTTTTCTTCCCCCTAACATGTGGAATCATGATGATTCTACCTGTCTTGTGTACATATAGACCGGATAATGTCTGTCACTTGAAATCCTTTTGTAGTTCTTTTACGTCTTACAAGGATCCATTCACAAGTAAAACATCTTCACTTGATATACAACTTGTTTGATCTAACAATACGATTAGAAAAGGTAGGCCTTTTTATTCAGCTCTAGATGTTTTCCAAGGTTATATGTTACCTACATATGTAGATATGTAGGTAGGTAGCCTTAGTCTCACTTGGACATGTGCGTATCCATCGCACCTTCCTCTTTTTACATGTCTTTTCAGTGGTCTGTTTTGGTAGTCTCATGTAATGTTTTTATATGTACTCATGCGATCATCCCGAACAAGGATAGTCTGTGGTCTTCTCACGTGGTCTTCTCCGATAGTGTTCTTTGATTCCAGAGCGTCCGTTTGGGAGCCCGATTTATAGAGTACCTTCCTAAGCAGTTAGAACTTGGATTCTGTCAACATCCCCCATCCCCCTCCCACTCTCTTCCTCTCTTCCTCTCTTCCTCTCTTCCTATACATATTGGAGATTATATCCTTCTCCCTTTCAAGGTTTCTATGAAATGTTTTTGCTGTCATGGCTATACTGCCTTCCAAGCTAAATGGAATGGCCACGCTACATCCAATGACTGATGGATGTGTACTTGCATATCGGCTGAACCACACAGAGGCCATACTGGATCGATCGCTCGCAAGATGCGTTAAGATCTCCCTCACTCGCATCGGTTGGCCGACTTGCAGGCTTCATCATGGCCATGGCCCAGGCGCGGCCGGGAAAAGCTGACATTGGAGACTGTCAAGACATCCATGTTACTCTGGCTCCAGCGTAAAGGCTTAACGCTACAGACGTTGGAGCGAATAGACGGAATCGCCGGCAGTCTCTCACGGGGATCTCGATGATACGTATCTTCATTCATTGCTTTGCAGATGTCCAATCACCGCTTAACTCGAAGCGCACGAAAGCTCCAAGACATCTTGCACTACAGAATTCCCCATAGGAACCAGCTCATCGATGCGTACCATCACTTCATCGCTATGGCACAACATGACATTTTCGATCTGACTGTTCCGCATTCTCAAGCCTGTGCGCCAGCCAGGATCCAACACGGAGACCGCTGCACTATCTTTTTACGTTTCTCACTTACTTTCTATTCTCCATACACCTACTATATACTCTTTTACCATACCCACCTAAGTCCAAACGCTAGTATGGAAAACCTAGGTGTCCATCCAGATCTTGGGCCAACACGGCACTCGACAACCCTGCCGATGTAGCAGCCGTGAAGCCCGAACCTCGCCAACCCCGGATGGCACATAGGCGAGATCGTCGTCTCCCCAAAGAAGCTCCGTCCGCCGTCCGACACCACTTTTAGCGTCGACTTCGAGACGTATGATTGGTCAAAGTTTACACCCGTACCGACACTGAACTGCGCGACCAAACGCCTACTCCTAGCCTTCCAGGGCTCAACCCTTCTTCTGACCCCGCCGACCAACATCCGCAGCTTCCACCCTGCTGTGGGCCCCGCGAAGACAAGCCTGGCAAACCTGCACCATCTTTGTAGGTCAGCTTGGTATATAAAGCGGCTTCGAAACCCATGCACGCTGGGCTTTTGACCATCGACGCGGGAGAAACGCACCTATATCACTTATGTGCAGAATGCAGAGCACGTACATGTTGGTGACGAGCACGGCCTACAAGGACGCTTCCAAAAGAGAGTTGGCCAGATTCTTAGCCACATTGCCCACCAGATCTATATAACAGACGCCTTTTGGAGCGATGCAGAAAAGAACTTCTGGCTCTAGGGCAGATGTTACTCGAGCGTCGACGGCTGTTGACAACCAGCCGCTGACCCGAGACGAGTATCTACAACAAAATGTAGCGACCCAGCCTATGTCCTTGAACTCCGACCGCGAGGCGTGGTCCCATCGACAGAGAAGGTACCCACCAAAGACCTACCAGACGAAGTCTAAACCGCTGAATCTACCCTCGTTGCTGAATTCCAGACACTTGATGTTCGCGTCAAGGTCACGTTATAACCGTTCCATCACGAAAGCGAACTCCTAGAGCTCGACGGGCGTGAGTTTACCTCCTGGACCGATACATATGCGCACTGTCAGGCCTACCACGCCCAACCCGATGATCGTTACGGCCGTGATGTCGACGAGACCCCAGAGGACCTGTTTGAGGTTTCGGCGCATGAGGAGGAGGACGAGCCGCCTCGTTCCAGGCAGGATTTAGCAGGGCGCGCAACAAACCGCGACCCTGCCACCCACCTCCAGGACCCGGACAAACTTGGAGAACGCGACGTCGACCGTGCGTACGACTGGACCCCGCATATGGACCGTAATATGGACCTGCACATTACCCCGGATTACTGGAAGGAGGCATATCCGCGGATCCTGCGCTACTTGAAGCCCGATCTAACGCTTCCCCTAGCACCTGCAGGCTAAGCAGCGCCAAGTCTTCGAAATACACTACCATTTCAACCGACCCTTCTCCAAACGTTCCTCCGGATACTGCTCTTAGCAACCCTTCTGAGGATCCTTCTATCCGTCCTATTACCGGTGCTCCGGCTCGTTCACTAGCTGATCCTCCAGCTGCTTCTCCAACTAAGTGAAGCGGTTCCTTGGGAAAGCAGTATAACACTTAGTTTTAAATTGGACTGTCTTATCTAAAAGCAGGGTACCTAATATAGAATCAACATCAGATATATCTGCAAGATCTTTAAGTGAACTCCTAAGATCTTCAAATGAATTTGTAGAACGACCATAGTCGTAGAAGCCGCAGAGATCACATGGGACCATAGAAGGAGAAGGTCCAGGTTCCCGAATCCGACCAGTTGCGTATCGAAGGGCATTTCTTGCCCGAAGTACTTGCATCCCTGCTCGGGGAGTGTATAGACGCTTCTCGTACCCGGCAAACGATCATGTGCGTGGTGATACCACCGCGAGCTATGAAGGCCTTCCACAACCAAGATTCTACTATTACGACTGCTCTGCTTGCGGTCAATGGATGTCCTATAGACTTCTGACATGGGCTAAGAACATTAGAATGAAGATATTTGGATTCTCTGCTTACTCTTTTTACACTTGGGCAAATTCCATGGAATAATTCTGTTAAAATTCACAAATACTACAAATCTTGATCAAATGTTTCTAGGCGTAGAATGACTATCACCTCAAAGGGCTACCTCGTAGAGGCATAATCAAGTATCTCAACCCGAATCCTAACCTCTCCCACTTCACCCTGAAACAAGAACCCAACATCCCTCGTTGAATCAACCAGCTCCACCTCCCTACGCACAAATCGGCTCTTATCAAGACCATCACCTGCTGTCTCAAGCCCAGAAGGAATATCAGGTCGAGCCTCGTCCTCACTATCCTCGTCCCATTCAACGTCCTCCTCGCCAACTTCTTTCTCCACCGGATCCCACTCATCCGTCTCCCAAACTAGCCGGAACCCAAACGCCGGTAACCCGAAGAGCCGCGACACCAGCGCCTTGACCTGGTACGTATCAAACGAGCCAGGGATCTCCTTGACTTGGCTCTTGGATTCGTCGTTTCCGAGCGGTAGACGGAACGCCATCTTGACGAGTCGCGCTGCTACGGACCGCGGGTGGATGACTCTCGCATCCGAGGAGCCCGATACAACTGCTCTTGTGATAGTCGGCTCGACGTATAGCTCGCACAACTCGCTATACCGCGGGTGCGTAGCGAGAATGACGGGTTCTTCTTCCACGGTCGTGGCGGAGAGTTCTTTGCCGATGAGGGATAGGTAGTACATCTCTGCGTTGGAGCGGTCTTGTGGTGAGATGGTGCTGTAGTTCAGGGTGGTGAGGGAGGGTGGGAAGCGGGATAGGGTTAGCATGAAGGCTTCGTCGACGGTCATTGGTTTGGAGGCTTCTGCGACAGATGGTGGGAGGGGTGGTTGGTCGAAGAGGGGGTTTGCGGTAATCCGGAGGGTGGTTAGACCTGGGAAGACCGTAGGGATTGTGTTTAGAATGGTCCAGGAGTGGATGTTGTTGCGGGATAGATCGAGGGAGCGGAGAGTTGGCGGGAATTGGAAGTCTATGGTTGTATCTGTGGTGTTTTGGTTCGCAGTGCTGATGCAGTTCCCACGAACGGAGAGGTGCTCCAATCTTGGAAGTGCGGCGAGATGTCGAAGAGCCAATATTGAGGTGAGCTCGTTGTGCTCGAGGGTTAATGTTGTGATAGTGCTAGGAAGTGGACAGGTTATCTCAGAGAGCTGGTTCGCAGATGCTGTGAGAGATGTCAAGTCAGGGAATCGACATGCAATGGCAGCAATCTATGTCCGAAGTTAGCTTTGCTCAAGATTATCTGTGATGGTTAGAGCGCATACTTCATCCCAGCTAAGAAGGGTCTCTTCTAAATGTAGCTCAGTGATCCCCTTGAAGGTCAGGTCATCCGCCAACGCTTGAAACCGGTTTCCGCTGTTCCCCAGTCAGCTCTACTATTGATGAGTTGACCAAGCTTGACACTTACTTCAACTTCAGCCGTTTCAAGTGCTTAAGCTGATTGCAAATATCCCAAACATCCCGCCATCGACTCAACAAGCTTCGACTGAGATCAAGTTCCGTGATCTTGGGGCAAGTCTCACCAATCTTCTGTGCTGCCTCATTATGTGAGACTCGATCCTGGTCGTAGGATGCAAGGACCCCAACAATCCGTAAGCCATCAAGCAAGACAATGCGTAACTCTTGGAGCTCGGCGAGCTGTTTCCGAATTTTGTCGAAGCCAACTTCTTCAACAACCTTGCCGCTGATTTCAATTGCCTTGTCTCGAACTGTTGCTCCACTGCCCGATGTATTGCTGGTAAGGCTGTTCTCGGATTCAGAAGCATACTTTTCCCGTAGGGCTTCTAGGAAGCTTAAAGGCTGGTCTGAAGGCCTGGAGGGGCGAACAAAAGACCCCGCCGTGGGATGTTTGCTTTTGCCTGAAGCCAGATTAGCAATAATCCAAATTTATAAGTGAGATATTCTTACAGGAGAAGTATCTGACGCCTTTATGCTCTCCAGAGTGCTTGCCTCGACTTGCATCGTCCCATTCGACTCCTAACCAGTCGCCGCTGGTCCCTTGGACAGTGCCCACATAACGAATAGTACATAAGTGACCATCAAATGACCGTCGTTGGCCTACAATTGGGACACTCATAGCTCAAGCCAGACCTAACAGGTCAATCGTTCGAGTGTTTTGGTGAGAGCTACTTTGTACTGTGATCCATGATATCGTCCAAACAGCCAGCTTATATAATCAATAGCTGGGCCCGCGGGCAGACCTGACCTTAATGGTTGAAGACCAGGCACATTCCTTGTAATACTAGACAGAACACCGCATATATAGTATGTGGAGCTCAGTCCAGCTAGCGATCCTTTTTGGGAGGTTTCTTACAAAAACAAGCTGATGAGGAGATATATTTTTGCATACACAATAAAGCTGTATCTCTACTAGGAAGGCGGTCGATGCTGATAATATAGCCGAACACTTTAAGAGGTCACAAAATGAGTTCCTTACATTTGGAAACAAAAGCTAAGACGGTATTATAATGACTGAAGAACCTTGAAATAAGACCATAACTAGATAATTTTGTCATAACGTATGAAGAGCTAGATATGGACTATGCACCAACCTTGGAAGGCTACAGCCATAGTAATAATTGCCGTAGTTGATGGTTCTATATTAACTACGATAGGAAGGCGGTCACTACGCTGTAGATACCGCCTTTGCAAAACACCTTATCGTGAACTCCACCAACTTTCTTCAAGTTACAGCACCGACAAGATGGATTACCAGGTACGTACACACTGACATAGTGCATTGTCACACTTCATCTAGAAGCAGACAAAGCTAACACATTCCCCAGAACCGAGCAGGCTCCAAATTCGGCGGCGGCGGTGTCGCCTCCAAATCCGCCACCAATGCCGACCGTCGCGAGCGGCTGCGCAAGCTCGCCATGGAAACAATCGACATTGAAAAAGACCCCTACATCTTCAAGAACCACCTGGGCACATTCGAGTGCCGACTCTGTCTGACAGTACACCAGAACGACGGCTCATACCTCGCCCACACGCAGGGACGCAAGCACCAAACGAACCTCGCCCGACGAGCGGCGCGCGAGGCGCGCGAAGGCAAGACCCAGGATGGAACTATGCCCGGCGTTGCAGGCGTTCAGGTCAAGAAGCAGCTGATCAAGATCGGCCGGCCCGGATACAAAATCACCAAGATTTTGGACCCTCTGACTCGCCAGCAGGGCTTGCTGTTCCAGCTGCAGTTCCAGGAGATCACGCCCGGTGTTACGCCCCGTGTGCGCTTCATGTCAGCTTTCGAGCAGCAGGTTGAGACGCCCGATAATAAGTACCAGTACTTGGTTGTTGCTGCGGAGCCTTACCAGACTTGTGCGTTTAAGCTGCAGGCTAGGGAAATTGATCGCCGGGATGAACGCTACTGGACTTGGTTTGATGAGGATAGCAAGGAGTTCTGGATTCAGGTTATGTTTAAGACTGAGCGGGAGGAAATCTTCAGTGGTGTGCCTGGTCTAGCGCCCATGCAGGCCTAAAATTTTGATTGTGATTCCCCTTAAGTTTTCTAATGTGATGCCCCTATTGCTCATTTATCTGTCTTGTTCTGCTTTTCTTCCAGACATGCATCGAAAAATGGCGGGATTAGGATAGGCGTTTTTGGGGTTATTGCTATTTAGTTTTTATCTGATTCTTCAGCGACTCGCTTTCAACATGCCGACCACAGTACTTTGAATGTTTCTTACCTAGGTATAGTCCTGTTATTACTCAGTCATAGCATTGCTCAGCCCTGGAGGTGGACAACTAGTCAAGTCATTACTTGTGGCCGAGGCACTAACATGCGCACTCTTCTCTGTTTTACGGCCTCAAAGCGCATTCGACTGTGAATCCGACGAGTGTATGAAGATCGTGTATTGTGACAAGGGCGGATACAGTCAGAAAAGACAAGTGCATTTTAAATTTTTTTTTAGGGTAATATCTTGACTATCCTAAAATCAGCTGGGTCTCTCCGAAGAGACCAGTAGTGTGTGTATCGTCTTGAGAAGGATGCAAGGCGTTAGATACGTATGTATCAACAAGTGAAACCGAAGATGGGTCATGATTTGTGAAAATAACATCGCGCTGATATGCTCAATGATAATGTGTACGAGGTGAAAACAAAACCGAGTCTTTTTCTGACCGACAAAAGAAAACCATTGAGAAACAAAGGATGCAAGCCCTGCTTGCTTCCATTACCCCCAAGAATCGATCAGTCTCGGGACACAACAAACCTAACTGGTTTGGAAGGCATTGAAGGCCTTATAGGTGTAGCCGATGAATGGCAAACTCATCTCGGCTTCCTGCGAGTCCGGCATGGCACGGGCCTGGGCGCGGTGGATCGCGCTGGTATCCTCCTGGGGAATTTCATCAATGGGGAAGTACGACACATCAATGTTCGAGCTGAGGCGCGGCTCGAAGGGAGCACGGATGCCGCGAAGTTGGTCCCAAACGACACCCCTGAAGAAGGGGTGGTTTTTGATCTGTGTCGCGCCTCCGTGCTGACCACCTTCGCTACCAATACGGTGATCCGGGTCACACAAGAAACTAGACAATTCAGTTAGTGGGTGATCCTTTTAGGTTTTGAATAGACACATAAGAACTTACCTTCGGATCAGCGCCTCAGAGTCACGCGAAAGAACCAGTTCGTCAGGGAAGTACAAGCACTCCCTCCAGTTGACGATTTTCCGGTATGTATCATTCGTGTCTTCAGCACAGAATGGAGGCCAACCCACGAGACATTCGAACATGATAGCACCGACAGACCACCAATCGCAGAGATAAGTGTAGCCTTGGCCATTGAAAATCTCAGGAGCAATATAATCAGGAGTACCAACAGTCGAATAGGCCATGGCACGACGGGACTTTCGCCAGGTGTTGATCTGACCACGGTTGGATACTGTCAGATTAATGGCATCATTGAAGTATCCAGAATTGCGGTTCCGATCCTTGGAAGTAGAGTTCTTGAGGAGGTTCTGGTAGTAAGCGTTGTCATGGGTCTTCTTGCCTCCGGTTGACAGACCGAAGTCAGTGAGCTTGACGTGTCCACCGCGGTCAAGCAAGATGTTGTCAGGTTTTATATCACTGCCAAAGAAAGATTCATTAGTATGGGATGTCTTTTATGCTGGCATATGCACCTTATTCCTCATTAGAGAGAGGGGAGAGGGAAAATGCACAGGCCAATGTCCTCGCAATCAAAAACCAAATATCACTTACCGATGGAGGAAACCAAGCTTGTGTACGGCCTCAATTGCCATCACAACCTCAGCCATATAGAACCGTGTGATATCTTCAGAGAAGATCTCGTACTTGATCAACATGGTCATCAAATCACCACCGGGCAAAAACTCCATCAGCAGGTAAAGGTACGCAGCATCCTGGAACGATGCGTGAAGCTTCACAAGCCAAGGATTATCCTTCGAATCCGCCAGAATATCACGCTCGGCACGGACGTGAGCTAATTGATCCTTCTTGAACATTTCGGTCTTGATCAACGACTTGAGGGCGTAAATCTTGCCATCAGTCTTGCGCTGCACGAGCTTGACCTCACCGAAAGCACCCTTTCCGATAATCTTGATGGTCTGGAAATTCGCCGGTGTCTCCTTTGTGCGCAGGAACCGAAGGAAGTCGGACTCTCTCTTGGCAATCCCGTCGGCATCCTGGCGCTTCTTTTCGACGGGGATACTGGGCTCACGGATTGTCTTGTCAAGTTCCGCCGATCTGTAAGGGCGAACATAATAGGCGTAAGCCACAAGCCCAGAACAAGATTTCAGGGCTTCCATTTGGGACATGGATACTTACCGCATGTTACGGTCACGGGCCCGTTCGATATTCTCGTGGAAGAACACAGTCACCAGCTCCTTTGCTGCCTTGCCTCGCTTGTGCACATTCTCGGAGTACCGATCCGGGAAGCGTTGCAACTCTTCGTTCTCGGGGATTGGACGAGGGCTGCGGGCACGGGGGGGATCAAATGTGATGCTTGGGCCTGTGTTTGAGCGGGGGAGCCACCGGCGGTGCGAGGCCGCTGGGCTGGAGAAGCCGCGCGATTATTGAAAAACCCTGCACGGTTCGCGTTGAGGTCCTGGTTGGAAAATTGCTGGATCAAACCGTTGGTGCCGTCAGGGTAGCCGGGGCGTGCTTGGTAGGCGGGCTGGGGCGATTGCAACGCTTGCTGTTGCGCGTACTGCTGCTGTTGCTGCTGTTGGACATACTGCGGCTGTACCTGTTGGGGTGGGTAATGGTTGGGCATAAAATAACCCGGGGCGTAAGCTGGATTGGAGGGGTCGACGTAGTCCTGGGCCCCCTGAGTCTGGTAGATGGGCTGGGGGAAGGCGGAGGGGGTAGTGGGATAGGCGCGGTTATTGGCGTTGTAGTTACGGTCATAGCCGTAATTCATGTTGTTGCGATTGTTATTGTTGGGATCCATCTTGACTCGAACTCCCAAGGGACTTTTCAAGGTAGATGGAGGGGTGAAGAAAGTTGGGAGGGAGAGAGTTGAGGACTAGGGCGGGGAGTTCAAAGAAGCGGTGGCTCAGGAGGCAATCTAGCCCCAGCGTGACTGGTTGACTATTGTTTACATGTTACATGTTCACACCACTCGACTGATCTGAAACAACTCTGTGTGTTCCCAATGTTTGTGATACTCTTCTTTTTGTCTAATGATTTGCTAAACCCAGGCAGCTAAACAGTTCGAGGGAGGGAATTGCTAGTGTGCTAATGGGCTAATATCGATATTGAGAACTGATTTTACATGCATATTCTGCACGTACTATCCAGTAGATCACAGATCTCCAGGCCAGCCCTCGAAGATCACTGGAATCCAGAGCATTGCGTACGGAGTACAGCCCTGGCGGTTTTCTGCAACTTGGCTTCCTCTTTCCCATTTCGTCCTCGGCTCTTGCCGCTTTTACCAGAGCCCCTGAGTGTGTTACATAACATGGTCACGTGAGTAGCTCAGTCAGCGTAAGTGGTCCCGTGGACAAACCCAGCCCTACCTGGCGATCAACTCATAGTTTTTGATCTGTAAGTCTGTACAATAGGCTTTATGTCTTATAGGTACAGCTTGGAACCTATCTGAATTCAGAATCTGCAACTCAAGTGGCCCTATATCCCCTCACCACGTGCAGTCACCACCATACTGTGTACACCATGCCATCTGAACCGGTGCAAGGTTGATTCCCGGCAACACCATCCTCTCTCTAGATCAGACAATCTCACAGCTGCATCAACCTGGCTCCTATTTTGGCCACTTGGAGTTTGACGCCCAGACCACATTTTCTCCCGCGGCACTCGATCGTGGCCAGACCATCGTATCCAAGTTTGATGGGTCACTCTGTTCGCTAAAGATATGGATCTCTCCTCCGATGACCAATGCAGCCTGTTCAGCAGACAGAGAACAGGTTGGATCATACTCCCACACCACACGCCAGTTGTTAATCGGCGAACAGAAGTCAGCGTACAGGTAGATGGCTGGAATGTCGGCGTCTTCGAAATTGAACCATTTCCCGTGACCACAGGCGAGGTACTACATAGTGTTAGAGATTAGGAAAAGATTTGCATGGACAGTTCACTAACCCAGTTGTCGGTATCTCCGAAGAGAGCTTTGTGCCCTTGCGCGGTTACCTTGCCGAGGGCTGAACTACCATCCCAGGTCTGAACTATGACATCTTTCCCTAGGGTGATATTCCATGTGAGAAGCAACTCCTGCCAAACAATTGGTACAAGGCCTGCTTTCCTGACCAAGCGATGACTGTGGTCGATGAACTTTTGAAGCAAAGGGGCGATGACTGCGATGTCCTTAGAGTTGACGGCGTCATCCAGAAGGTAGTCGCTACTTTCAATCTCGTCTCCGCCGTATGCCGAATATGGGGAGAGTCTGGGCAGCACATCATCGAACAGTTTGATGACAAAGTCGTATACTGGCGTGGAGTTGAGCTTGAGTTGTCCGCAAGGGGGCTCCGAGCAATAATCATGCCATGACTGTTGACGGAATGCGGTGATGAGCTCAGGATATGCGAACCCAATGGATGTTGTGTGGCCAGGAATATCTATCTCGATGATAACTTCAATACCACGATAGATTCCGTAGATCTGGATATCTTCGATATCTTGAGGCGTGTAGGATAGTCCGGACTGATATGCGCCTTTTTGGGATATTTCTGGTAGTGCGGGGACATCTAACGGCCAAGATTGTGAATCGGTCATATGGATGTGGAAACGGTTGAATTTGTTCCAGGAGAGCGCACCAATCGTCCGGAGGATGTGCTCTTTGGGATACCAGTTTCTGGAAACGTCCAAGTCCAACCCTCGATGGCTGAACTTTGGCCAATCACTGATGCTGATGGGGGCAAGATTGGAATACACGCCAGTGCAATTGACCGAGTGCGAATAGAATAATTGCGTGGAGAGCGCGGAGAACACCAGTAGACGATACTGCGGAGATGGTTGCTGCACCATTGGTCCCAATTGTTAAGTTATAGGTCTCATCAACTGAGTCTGCGAGGGGCTTAAATGTTGATTTGCTGTCTTCTGTCGTCTGTGTGATCTGGAGTTTCCGTATGTACGTTTTTGAATGGCCAGCGCGGGGTTCGAATCGATCCAGCTCATTGCGTGGGTGGAACTTCCAAGGAACAATACTACTCTTGAATATAGACTCTCGAGCCCTCTGCACGGCGGCCGTGACAATCTCCAAGCTTGAGATCTTTTTTTAAAAAAAGTTTTAGCCTGCGGAAGCTGTGGTTAAACACCATTGTTAGCTGCTTGGTAAAAGAACAAAAGAGCTTCATTGTATATACCTACATCATGCCCATTGTATGAAACCTGAAGGTCCTCTGCAATCCAAACAGTAGAACTTCCGTTGGTGAAAGATTGAGGAGCAGGCCACAAGGCCGCCACATGACCGACAAAGGAGAGAATGGCAAAGACCTCATATCTATCGGAATGCGTGGAAAGTGACGATTCTACTACAGGCTGCAAATGCAGGATTTATATGTAAGTCCAACACTAGTTAGTATCACCCAAGAGACATTTAAGCGATGTCGTGATGCAGCAGGATTGCAGATTGTCCAAGGTTACAGTTGTTAATACCAGAAGATTTAGTTCGCTACTAACCTCCTACGAATCATGTCGTGCTTTTTGGCATTCCTGTTGTTCTCTTACGGAACTCTGTAGTATAGAACGATAAACACAGGCAAAGTGCGCTAACCCCTTTAGTTATGGGGCAGTCACTAGCTTAAACTTACGTGTAAAGTTAAATATAATTCGTCAGTTCGTCTACTCGGTAGTTTCGATATAGTGACGCAACATTATCGATCTTGCCCAGCCAACATCAGTCATGGTGTGGAACTCGTCGGTAATACTAAAAGTCGAAGAGAGGTCAGCTTATGGAATATAGAACATGGTATTAGCCTTCTAACCCCGTACCTGGGCGCAGCGGTAGCGACAATATTGGTGTCAAGTCCACCCAGGATAAGCAAGGCCGTCATGGTGAGGATGATAAGCCAGAACTTTAAGCCAGTGGAGTATTCTTTGGTTTCTCCAGTTGCCCCAACTGAGCGAGTTTTAGTTTCCGTGGTATTCTGTGAACTTGGATCATGGCCTTCTCCCGCCTTGATGCCATCATTCGCTTTGCTGCCATCGACCGCCATACCATCCTCCCGAGGCCATGCAGTTGGATATCGTTGCCCCGGGAGCTTGTCACCATTTGTATTGCCATATTAATGCCGAGAAGGTAAGAGACAGTTGCTGTTTAGAAATTGATGACATTTGTTCGATGATGTGATTACCTAGTCCACCTGATGTGATAGCAATAGAAGAAGGTCTCACTTGTCCCTGTTCAGAACCACGTTACATCGTCGCTTTTGCGGTCCTTAAAGCTGGGCCGCCTGAGCCAGTCGGGTCACTTCTCATCAAAGCCAGTGGATGGCATGCAGGGATTATGAGAGGGCCAAGTGTTTCAGAGATTCTACAATTGGACGATCACAAGTTCAGAGCTGGCAGCTACGACAGCGTGCGTACGCTTTCAGCTTTGCACCCAGTGGCTATTTTCTCTCCTTTGTGGTCTCTTTATTATGAGTTAATCTTCTACTTAGTACACAGGGTTTGAGGCTCCCTTGGAATCATGAAAGAGGCGGCAAACATGGTCGACTATCTTTTTTTTCCCATCAGCAAAGGCAAAACATTGTCCGATAAAGTATTGCAACCTGTCCCCATATATCCTGAAGTGCACCCGCCTGGATTTGGTTAAGAATTAGCAGAGAGAAGGATACGCACTGCTCTACTAGTAAATATCGCCGCTAAACTACTTTGGGGTACGTCTACCGCCCAGTTGGCCGCAATTCTCAACTTATGGGCGACGCTTACTATGTCACTTGTGATCCCCTGTTGTCCACCTGAACAAGCCGTACCGAAGCCTAAATGCAGGAGTGTATATCGGAGTGATCAATGATAACAACCAATATAAGCAGGATATCTATATATATATATAATCCGCACGGAGTACTCCGTACTGCCAACTGTATTCCAGGAAGGGAAGTTTTAAGGAGTGGGTCCGTGGAATCAGACCCACTTGTTAATCTATACTTGGGTACTTTGCTCGGATCATTACCACTGATTATATCCTAATCACCGGTGTTGTCTATCAGAAGACAGTTGGGTGATGTATAGCCTAGCAAAGGATCTGATCCTAATGCAAGCAGGTTGTTGCTACAAGACAGGAAAGCCAACAAAACATCTTGACGTGCGATCCAACTCTATAATGATCTTCTTATTCCCATTTCTTCATCAAAGTATTGCCCTCAATCTCCTCCGCAAAATTGACAAGATGAGTCGAGTGGCACCAAGGCTTAATGGATTCCTCCTTCCGAATAGTACGGGCGAAGAACTCACTCCAGAGCAGGCGGGGATGGGCCTTGACAACTTCTTCCCGAGTTGCGGGATGAACCATGTTCTCAAAATTCCTCACATGTGGATGAATGCTGGTATTGTCATAGGTCGTAGCTAACTGGATCAACTGACCAATGTAAGTGATGGTGCCGTCAACTCCCATATCCTCGTGGCGGATGATCGCTTCGGCGACGGCTTCGGCTTGATCGGAAGTTGCACCGAAGCCCTTCGAAACTTGCAACGCCTTGATACCGCCATATATATCGAAAGACATCCGAGTCGCAGTCAGGTTCTCTTCAGCAGTACCCAAATCGTGCAACAAGGTAGTCAAGGCCCAAGTGCTGGGGCTAAGTTTGGCGAAGATGTCCGGAAAATGCAGCTTGGTGATTGCCATGCCTGGATAGGAGTGAGTATAGTGTCTTGGTATATTTCAGTTTTCATTATAGTACACACCATAGTAGTAAACTCTCATTGAGTGGTTAAGAGTCTCGGGATGAAGGACCCGTTTCACGTAGTCTAGTGTCTTCGCGACTGCAGAATCATCATATGGAAACGGGATCTGATCAAGCGAAAGTGGTTCAGGTTCATTGATCAAACGTTGTTCATTGAAGATAGCGCCAGCGTTAGCTGGTACGCTGGTCCAGCCATTAAGAGCGGTCTCGTCTTGACACATTTTTGCTTGAGGATGGAAATAAACGAAGTGGATTGGAAGAGTTGCAAGGTCTATCAATCTCTTATAGATGATTACCTGTGGACTGGAAGCCAAATTCAATCGAAGTATAAATTAAGCGATGCAATTTCAAGGAACAAGCGAGACAAGCCAGGATTTCCGGGAATATTTGAAGCCAAATGTCGTTGGACCTCCGAAATAGGAAGTTGCATTACGTGGGGCGATTAGGGCAACCTTATCGTGTACCTGTGTACGGAGTACCAACGGAACACCCTTATACACCCAACTCAAGTAAACATCCTAAATAGGATGCATGGAGGAGACACTAATCTTACATGTCTCTCTCAATTATCATATTACTGATAAGAAATTGGATCAATGGAAATAACAATGAGTAATACGAGAATGGATAACGTCCACGGGTGGAGTGTGGTGAGTAACTATAAAAGCATCTCATTTGCGTGCCGAGACTAATCTGTTGACTCTTTTGCTATATCGGCGTGAAACAATTGAAGTGACCATATAGCTATATCACACCAATGGCATCTACAAAGTTCAACATTCCTCTGTATCCCACATGGGACGACCATGTTGCCTATCTATTCAGTCGGCCGTTCTGGATAGTCGATTCAGACCCTGAGGCTGTTGGTCGACATTGGATTTCGCAAATGCACGACTATAGCCCTTCCGCTCCCAGACATCTCCACTTGGACCTCTCTTCCCTGGAGTCTGTCAAATCCAATGTTGTGACCATTTATCAACACCTCCGCTCCCGTTCCATGCCAATCACCAAGAACCCAAATCACTTCTGGCCGGAAGAAGCTTTGGAGATAATGCGTCTATGGGCAAACCAAGGCTTTCGGAAATCCACCGAAGATTCTCTTAGACACCAGGAAGTGATCCCGGAAGCGAAGGATTCTAAGATGCAGTTGAGGATTAGGAAGGATGTTCTTCTCTTGTCGGAAGAAGAGATTCAAGTCTATCGGGAGAAGTTGGACGATATCCTGAAAGTTCGATCATTAAACAGCCCATGGCAGGAGCTCGGGCTGCTTCGTATGTCTTGAAAGTTGAAGTTTCCCAGACAGGTGCAGGTACTAACCAATGCCCCAGATGCCGAATGGTGCCTCCACTACCAAGAAGCCTTTGTGTTTTGGCACCGCGCATACTTGAAATACGTGGAGGAACTGATTGATTTCCCTATCCCCTACTGGAATGGATTTGCTGCAGAATCCAGTGACCCCTCTTCTTCCGACGCTGGTATACCCTCGATCTTCTTGGATGAGTTTTACATTCACTCCAGTGGTGAGAAACGGAAGAATCCGTTGAAATATGCTTTCTCCTTGAACGGTACCAACAAGTCCGGCACATCTCCATATGTGGAGCGTTACCAGGAGCTGGTTGATGGTCGAAGCAACCCCAAGTGGAGCGAAAAAGTTGGCATGTTCGCTCTATACCATCGACAAATTGCGAATGCGTTGAGTCAGAAGGAATTCTCCCTCCAACAAGGACATGGTTATCCATGGGGCAATATTCCTGATTTCTCAGAGAATCAACCAGACAGTCTTTATCCCACAAGTGCGCGTCAGTATTTTGATGGACTATTTGAACAAGTGCATGATAATTACCATGGGTGGATCGGGCCGGATATGGTTCGTTGCTTCATTTCCCAGCGAAGAAAGTACTAACCCTTAATAGGCTGATAACTCCTATACTGCCTTCGACCCTATATTCCTCAGTTACCATGCAAACATGGATCGCATTGCAGAAATCTACCTCCGCACTGGTCACGGACGCCATTTCTCGTCCAACTTCCCTCTTCGTCCCTTCGTGGATAACGCATCCGCTCTCGCATATGATGAGCCGCGGGAGTATCGGTATACCACCTTGGGGGACATGGCAAAGCCCACTCAGGCGATGCGGTACTTGTACGGCTCGCCGAAATCACCTGATTTTTTCTTCATTTCTGAGGATCTTCGGAGCGCAGCCGTTTCAACTGGTGGGATGGCCGTATCCATGTCAGCAGAGAAACAAATGAACGGGCTAAAACCAGAAACTGAACTCGGAGTTTATCGGCCAGGGCATACACCTTATGTTGTCTTCTGCGGCATATCCTGCCTACAAGAGACCTATGTGATTGACGTTTTCATTTCCCAGGCCTGCAATCTTGAGCCTGTACCGAAAAATGGGGATTACATTGGACGGGTGACAAGGCTTGGGATGGGTAAGGGAAGAGGCGAAAGGAGTGGAATTCGCAATCCCCAAAGATGCCAAAAGACACCTATAACGAGGATTTTGGATGCCACGGATTTTGCAGAAGATCTACACCAAAAAGGCATCATACAGACAGTCACTGAGCTCCATACAGGAAGGCGCGTCGATGAAAGTGAATGGAGAAAAATGCCCGGCTTCGAGGGTAAAATCATATGGCTTTCAAAGGGAGTGAACTAGTGTACATTTTTGGTTGGAACTGCAGTTCAAAATAAAATAGCTTAAGCTTGAATTCATTGGGCTTACCCTAGATTCCAATGTTGTACATGTACCAAAAGCTTACGGGTGCAGAGGAAAAGGTAAAATGAGTGTAATTTGTAAAAAGCAGCAAAATGCTCAGCTATTTAACAAGTGTGTGCCTTATAATGTCAAGGTCCAGCTGGATACAGATAATAAATGGCGGGAATGACACGGGGAGAGCGTAATTCCAGCTGACAGAATATCATCTTGCCATTTCTCATCACGACACTAGCAGACTCCCGCATCGCACTGGTTTCCTCGAATAACGCTGTATCCGTTCTGAACAACCACCCGGATTCCACCATTTGTTTCACCCGAAATTGCATTCGCAGTCTGGTATTGCTCTGCATCCATGGCCATACTCTCCACAATCGAGATAAGTTCGCCTTTGGAGATGCAGCCACCAGTGTTCGCGCCCAAATACGCTGTGTATGCCGTGGTGAACAGACAGGCGCCACTATCACCAGGGTCTGCACAAAAGATCCCGCAGGCATAGAAGTTTGCCAGTCCTTGTGTGGCAGATCCGGTCGTGTAGCAACCAGTGTAGTCCGGCGCATTGACGCAGAACTGGTCATGCGAATTCACGTTCAGCCCGTTGAGAATTTGGCTGAATCCATTCTGGCTGACGCCACCGCTGCCAGCGTCGCAAGTGCAGACGTCGGTGGCACCTGCTGAAGATAGCAGTCCTAGGAAGAGCGCAGATTTCAGATAGGTCGAGATGGCGGGCATTTTGATCCTTAGCTTAGGGTTGCTTAGGGATTTGTTGAATGCTTGTAGAAAAAGGGCCCGAAGATCAAAGTAGTTGAAGGATGGATATGTATTCTTTGTTTTCCTTGGAGGAGAACTTGAGGAGGTGATTGACGAACATGGGGGATGGATAAGTGGTCTTTTATAGTCCTCGAGAGTGGCCCTAATTTCTCTTTTGAACGGCCAAGTTCCTCGGAATTAAGGCTCGGTGACCGGTAGGACGCACCTAAAGGAATGAACGCTCTTCAGATAAGATTCAATCGTTTCTATTCAAGACTCGAGGTTTACGTCGAACACTTCCCCTTTGGGTGAATGCTTCGACCCTGTGGCGCTTGCTCCACATGTCGACCCAGTTTACTAATTTACGAATGTCTCGGTTACTTCTCCGGTGGCCCCGGGCACCCGTGAGCTTAGCTCAATCCTACTCCGTAAGGTCGCTGCGAGGTTGCCATTTGCGTCTTTGCTTTCCAATATACGATGTTAGAATATCCCCTATTACTCAATACTTGAGATTGGTGTCGATCACTTCCCATTTAGGTAGGTAAATGCTTCGACATTATAAAAGTTTGCCCCAGGTATTAGTGAAGATCCGTTCTCGTATACCTATTTACCAAATATGTCTCGGTTATTTCTCTAGTGGCATCCGCGAGCTTACATCAATCTTAGTCCGCAAAGTCCCTGCGAGGTTACCATTTCCGTCTGCCCTTGCTTTCCACCGTACGATGTTGAGGTATCCCGACATCAGTCCGCAGGTCCACCTACCTAGGTAGCCCTGGAGGTACACTTGAGTTTTGTCAGCAGAACTCCAAGCACTTTTCTGCGATACTCTCGGCCCTTTCCGTTGCACGCATCTCACGTGGGGGAAATACACCGAGAGAGGCGCCTACAAAATATCGCGCACGTAAATGATCTCAGACGTTGTCCAGTTTGAGGATCAACCGGCCCATTATAGGAGAGATAGGATGACCAAACCCCAAGGTTATCTGGGACAGATGAAGAATCTACGGCCGAAGTATATACCCGTGGACTCGATCATATCAAACCCCTGACTCGTCATGCATCGGGTCCAGTGGACGGTGCTGGAGGTGCTATTCGACTGCGTCTCCCACGTGCTGAGTGTTCCAGATGTTCTAAAGGTACCTTCATTTAAAGACGGTGTTTCCCGACCTCTGGGCCTAGCATCCTACTACTTTCTATGAAGTAAGCTTATTTTATATAGAAAGTACATATATAAATGGCAGTATAGGGAAGTGTATTTTCAGCTCACATACGTTAGTTCATGTGAGTTACTATTGTCCAACATGATATTAACCTATCTATATATTACTGTAAATGTTTTGCCTATTCTCTTACTTCACACACTTGAAACTTCTACTAATGGTGATAGTGCATAATTAGGACATTATTTACGCATATCCCCTCACATTTTAAGGGTTGAGAAAATCTCGGTTATACTTGCATGCATGTATGCATGTATGTTAGATTGTGTGTACCTTTTGTATGTAATTACTACGCAAAAGATACCCAATCTTGAACGATTTGCTATCTTGCCATCTGGTGCAGCCACCACACCGGGTAATAGGTGTTGGTGGGCTTGCCACGACTGTTTGGCCTGGACCATACTCTATATTCTGATCCCCTCGCACACGTGTCTAGCCATATTTTATGCTGTCCCAGCTTACCATCCACTGTTGCAGAGCAAGGGGGCTCTCTATTCTCCGTGCAAAGAACATCAGTTTCTGCTTTTAAAAAACGTGATGGTTTCCCATGGCAAGCATAAACGCCTGCGAGGGCGTCATGTCGTTTTGTCAGGCACTTGCTTCTTGTAAAATTCACGTAGATAATTGAAATACTTTCACAAAGTCCATATTATGAGATTAGAGTAGCCAGAAAACCAAAGAGCCAAGGCAAGGAGTTTAAAATGATAACTATGTTTCAAGTCTCAAATGTATCAAACCCGACGGGGTCTGGCTTGGGCGACTTTTATTTAAAGTCACGTGGGACGGGATAAGGTAATCCCGAGGCAACAATTTTCCCCGAATGAGCATGCCCTCGGATGTACTTTATTTATACATAAAGACCATTTCTCCATTGTACAACCCTATGGCAGACTCCTCGAGCTCTGCTGCGCCATCGGGCGCTGGCAAGCCCCAGGCGGCCTCGAAGCCGCCTAACCCAGCATTCAAAATGATGGGTACATTTCTGTTCCCCAGATTTTAACGGTCCCAAAAATGCTAATAATGCTATGATCAACAGGCCTCCCTAATATGCGTTTCAAACTGCCCTCTCGCAATTGGATGATCTTCCTCACTATTACTGGATCATTCACTGGTGCTCTTATATACGATCGTCGAGAGAAGCGTCGCGTGCAACAAAAGTGGTCGGAGCTCGTGGCTCACATTTCGAAGGAATCTCTGCCAATCGACCAGATGCGCCGGAAAATGACGGTTTACCTGGCTGCACCACCGGGAGATGGCCTGCGCGTGGCCCGGGATCACTTCAAGGAATATGTCAAGCCTATCCTGGTGGCCGCGGCATTGGACTACACGGTGGTCGAAGGGCGACGTGAAGGCGACGTGAGAGCCACCACGGCGGAAAACATTCGCAAGCTGCGCCGAAAGGCCGGAGAGCCCAGCTCAGCCGCCGAAGAGGTCGGCGTGGATGCAGTCGTTGCTGCTACCCGCGCACACATTGGGGTCACTGACGAACCGGGCCCCAAGGGTGACTTGGTCATTGGCCGACACACCTGGAAGGAGTATATTCGAGGCTTGCACGAGGGCTGGCTCGGCCCCTTGGATGCACCATCTCCGCCTCCGGAGGAGTTGACCGCGGATACATCGAAGGACGTCAGTGCTGAAAAGCCCGCTAGTCTCGCGAACCCCGAGATCGCGAGCATCGATTCCCCGAGTTCTCTGAAGAGAAAAAAGACGAGATCCCAGAGCCTAAGATCGAAGAACCTGAGAAGGAAGAAGCGAAGGAAGAAGAGAAGCCTGCCAAGCCAGCCGGTCCTACTCCTGCATACATCTACCCCAACGAATATTCGTCCGCCGTCCTCCCCCACACCATCCCCCAGACCTTCGACAGCTCCACCCCAGTCGAATTCCCCCATCTTCTTGGTTTCCTGAACACTCCGATCCGAGTCTACCGCTTCCTTACACAACGTTACCTTGCCGAGGACATCGGCCGCGAAGTTGCCGCGCTTGTCCTTGCGAATAACGCACGGCCATACCACGAAGGCACTTCCAACACAGAGTCCGATCCCACAAGCCCCAGTGTTGACCCCACTCCTTCTCCTGACAGCTCCTTCACCGATCTCCCCGCTCGCATCTATGAGCAGCAGACCGTAATGGAGGCTGCTGAAAGCGAATGGCACAAGTCTGTGCACAAGCGCGAAGAAGACGAGAAGGAGCGCGAGTGGCTCGATGATATCGTGCTTGATCAGCGCATTGCCTCGCGCATGCAGCGCGCAATCCTTTCTCCGGAAGATGAGGCGCGTTCTCAACGCATCGCCGAGAAACAGGAATACATTCTTGGCGAGGAGCGGCCGGCTCCCGTGCCTTTCTGGAAGCGCATGTGGATCGATTACGGGTACGGTGAGAGTGATGAGGTCCTGAGACGTAAGCCCATCCTGGGTAACATCGACGGAGAGGACGGACAGTGAAGTGATCTTCGGACATATTCTGTCTGACCTTCGCAATTTGAAATTTTGTTATATACTACAACGGTTACGGGATGGATTCTTCCCTGGCATTCAGCACGGCATGTGTTGGTCTTTTTGTTTAGCATATTGTGACTCCCTCCTCGGCTTGTATATTAAAGGCGTTTGATGTCCCCTTTTAGAAATGTACATTGATGGAATATTGTTTTGAATTTTGGAGTAGATTGTTCTACGGTTAGCCCTTGATTGGCAATAGATACTGGTACATTGGATTCTCCCAGCACCTGTATACTCACCACTTGGCATCGGTCAATACCAGAGTATATTTGCTCATCCCGTGTCTTTCTCTATGTTTTTAACCTCTTTTGTTGTCTCAACCTTGCAGTTGCAATGTTATATCGCTAGGCAGCCACGCAACTCATGATCGAAGCGGGAATGGGGGTGGGAGTTTACACGGTCCTCCATTCGCATCGAATTAGTTCAGCTCAAAGACCGATGACTCGGGCCACTTCTTGCCCGCCTTTTCAGCGTAAGCAGTCTTATCACTGCCCCACTTGTTCAGAATATCCAAAGCAGCGGTGGCCTCATCGATAGTGATATCGGGGGAATCGAGGGTAGCAAGCAGGTCCTGCTCGCACTGCGGCTTAGATTCAGGGCTCAGGAATTGACGACCAGACAGGCCGGCCTGCACGTGTGCGACACTGCCCTTGTTAGTCGAGAGGTAAGACTCATTCCACTCTTCGAGATTCTGGGTCTTGGGAAGCAGCTTGTCAAATTCGGCATTGACAACCTCAGCGATCTTCTCGGGAAGAGGCTCGGCGAGGTTCTCGAGAGACTTGCGGAACCGAAGCAATTGAAGGTGGAGAGTGGGGTTGGAGGGATCGATAGAATGGGCGGCAACAAGGCACTTGACGGCAAGGAGGTGCTTGTCTGTAATCGTGTTAGCATGAAGGTCCCGTCTTAAGATTCCAACAAATTAACTCACTCTGTCTGGAGTGAACCTCAAACCCGAGGCACTGGGCTTCGATGTTCTGAGGGCTGGAACGAAGCAAGGGCGCCAAGAACTTCATGGCATCCTTCAGGGGATCCTGAGTCTGAACCAGGGTGTTGCCTAGAGGATCAGAATCTTCCTTCTTAGTCTCTCCGTCGGCACCCTTAGCATTAGCGGCAGCTGCTTTCCTTGCTGCACGCTTGTCGGACTCGACCTTCTCCAAGCGCTGCTGTTCCTTCTTGGCCTTCTTGAGGGCCTTCTTCCTCTGGTTCTCATCGGTAGAATCGAGTCCATTAATTCCGCTGGGCATCGGTCCGTGCACGAGATCCGGCTGGTCATGAAGAAGTAGGTGGGCCTTGACGGCACCGATAGCCATTCTCGTATAGAATGGATGCTCACGCAGGCGATCTTCCCAGCGCACCATGTCCACGTAGGCCCTGATCATTCCCTTGCGGAGAGAGAAGCCGTGGAAGTCGAACTGATCCTCCTGCCAAGTATCAAAGATGTTGTTAACCGAGTGGAAGCGCTTCAGGGCAAGACCAAGCTTCTTCTGTCGGAGGAACGCCTCGGCGTCCTCCGTCAAGAACCAGGTGCACTGCATCTCGTGGAGGTCACCCAATGTGCCACCGACAGTCTCGTTGCGAGTGAACTTGCTCATGAGTTCCAGAGCCTTCTCATTATCGTTGTTTCGGAGCACGTATTTGGCCGCCTTGGTGTTGATATGGCGATCCTTTTCATCAAGAAGTCGAGCCTTCTCCATCTCTTCTGCTGCCTTCCCCGGGTTTCCGTAATGCTTCCAGATCCGCGCCTTGGTCATCTGATATTCCACAGCCTTTGGTGACAACTCAATGGCCTTCTCAACATTCTCCATGGCCTTCGGGAGGTTGCGGCTGAGGTGATAGCTGTAGTGTTGAGCTAGGAAGTAGTATGTGCATGACAAGAACTCGTTGTTGTCCCCGTTCGACTCCGCTGAGCCGTTTGTTGCCTTTCCAGACAGATATCCCTCCACCAATTCTTGTACCACGTCACGCTTGGCCGAGTTGACATAAAGCTGCTTGATGTTTACGAATAATGAAGGAACACCCTTCTTCAGCATGCGCTGCAAATAGGCGCCAGCGGCCTGCTTGAATTCCTCTCCTTCCAGGAAATCGAGAGGAATGCGACGAGCAGCATCACAGCGGGGATTTTTCTCCACCCACTCATCGTATAGAGCCTTCAATGCCTTGTGGTCGCTTTCGGGGATAGCCTTTGCCTTGATCAAGCCATTGTAGTAAATCGAGTTGTCTGGGTTGCGCTCCAGGAGAGCTGTATATGCGACCTCCGCCTCGGCCTTGCGGTCCAGTCGCAGAAGATAATCGGCCTTCATCTCCATGACTGCGAGCACATCAGTGCATCGGTATCCAACAGCCTCGAGGTGCTCTAGAGCTCTTTCGACGTTTCCAGTCTCCGCAATAATCGTGTTCTTGTACAAGGTGGCCTCCGAGTTCTCCATATCGGCGACATGTGGTGTGGCACCCTTCAATGTGTCCTCGTAGGTAGTAAGAACCTTCTCGGCCTCTGCCAGATCCCCGGCCAAGTGATGGGCGATCGCGAGCGCGGTCCAGTTCTGGCGGAAGCCGGGACGAGTTTGCAGCATCGCGCTGCGGCTCCGAATGTATCCCTGGTAATCCCGCATCTGCATCTGGAGCAGTGCCAAATCACGCTGGATAGGTTGCGATTCGGGCTCGAGGCGGAGGGCAAATCGGTATGCTTTGATGGCCTCCTCGTAGTTCTTCTCCTGGCGCAGTAGCAACCCATAGACGTGCCAGGTGATATGCGACTTCATATCATTCTGGAGAGCCGTCTTAGCGAGCGCAAAGGCTTCCTCCAATTGCCCTATCTGGCTCATATTCAGAGCCTTCATAGCTTGCGTGTCACCATGTTTGGGGTTTTTGCGAAGAACCTGGTCTGCAGTCTTGATGCCTGTGAAGTAAAATGTGGTTAGACAGGCGGAGGTAGTTTAAGGACACTTCAGAGGCCAACCTTTCTTATACTGTTTCATCTCAAAGTGGTGAACCACTTGACGAAACAAGGAATGGTCCTTGGAGCTCAATGTTTCCGGCATTGTGGGCGATGCTGACGTCGAGGGACCTGACTTGTGCGAGTGAGGAATCGATGTGTGCGGGGGACGACTTCTCCGAGTCCGATCTTGGCAGAGCTAATAGGCCGATAAGAGATAACTGCACCAACTTCTTCAGGGCAACCTTAGAAGGAATGAAGCAGGTGGACTAAATTTCTGTTTTAGATCAGGCTGAGATGCATGACATTATCGACAGATACATACTTGTGCTCGCGTACATTTTTACCGAGGCGGTATAGTGCGCAAAATCTATATCTCGTGATGCACACGTGGTTTGTTATGTACATGCTACAACTTTTGAGTGACTCTTGAGTGACTTCAAGAGCACAGCAAAAAGTCATGCACACATTTTTTATATGTTGCACCAGAAGTGATTGCTCAGTTGCTCTTAAAATCTTCAAACCGACCATAATCTATGGTATGAGCCACTTCTCTTAGGTAGTACTTCCGGACTATATCATACCATTCTCGCCCTTTCCATACAAGAGCAGAAACCCAATGTATCCTATTACAAGCGAGGTAAGGGTTCAAATTAACAGATAACATGTCAGGAATGTGCAAATATGTACTATTTTGGGGGGAGGCCTCCCCGAATCTAAAGAGTTGAGTTATATAGCGATGCTAGTGTACTGTGGCAAGCCCCTGCCAAAAGTTATTTCTGATGCGAATGGCGCCAGCTATCGAGTGCTTCTTCCCAGGTAGAAGAGACAGTGCATTTTTCTGACACCATCCCCCACGTCCGGGTCCGAACGATCTCCTCAATAGTGCGCTCATTGCGAATTAAATTGGCCAATGACTCAGTCCGTGCTTCACGTGGAAAGAAGCGAGCAGAGTACGGGTCCAGACGCTCATCTACTTCTCGTTCCCGATCTCGAGCGGATTCTGTTTGTCGAAGAATCAAATCGGGATCATCGGGATCCGGACTTGTAGCCACACCAGCGCAGTAAGTGAGAACGTCTGATCTCGTTTGCCATGAGGGGAATAACACATTATCCTTGAAGGTCTGGCAGGCGGCAGACTTGATCCGAGAGCTGGATTCGGTTTGTCGCACCGCTGTTGATGACGGATCGAATCCTTCCCGGGCTGGTGTAATCAACGCGTTCAAGTTCTGTGTAATCGAGTCATCGATGGTAGATCTTGAAATTCGGAGAAAATCTGAACGAAAAGTAGGCAAGTCAATATAAGCTGGTATCAAGATGGCACATTTCAAACGAACCTCTGAGTAGTCTCTCGTCGAAACAGAACCGAGGCGTCAGCGCCGGAGCAGCTGTTGATGAGGCCTGTGACATCCTCCCACGGATTTCCTCCCCAGCTTCACTATTCGATTTGATCCAGAACCACTCCAGTTTGTTGAGGAAGCGAGTATTGCTATTCTGTTATTTGGTAGAGGTAGATCGTCTGATGGCGTTAAAAGTTGTATAGCGTGGCGTTGACAACTGTGATGGGAGAAGTATATTCCACTGAAACCCAGTATAATATGCTATGAGCACAAGTAACGAATGGACAGTTCCAAGGTTGTGGTGAGATTTGAACAGCCCAAGCAAGCTCTCCGTCGACCACCGTCGTCATGCCGTAATCAGCCTTAAGCTCCGGTCCGTTTTTGGACTAGCTCGTTCCATTATATGCACGTGACAGCGCGTACTCGTGTCCAGGGGCGTCGCGTCCCTGCTTATGCCAAATGTTCTTTCGCAGAAAAAGCACTTGTAAATGCCCTTGAATTCATTTATTGCATCTTATTATCATTGATACTTGAAATACCATACCAACATGCCTGAGCTAGCAGAGATCCACCGCATTGTGCATTTCATTCGTGAGCACCTGGTTGGGAAAAACCCTGTCCAAAGTACAAGCACAACATGATGATATTATATTTGGCAAAGTCGGCACCAGTGCTGCCGAATTCCAAAAGTCAATGCAAGGCAAAAAGATAGTGGGAGCAGGTCAGCAAGGGAAATATTTCTGGATGACAATGTCTTCACCACCACACGCTGTGATGCACTTTGGGATGGCTGGTTGGTTGAAGATCAAGGACGCCGACACATACTACTATCGATCCGATAAGCCTGAAGATCAGGAGTGGCCCCCTAAATATTGGAAGTTTCTGCTGGAGACAAGTGACGAGTCGAAAACAGAGGCAGCATTTGTGGATGCCCGCAGACTAGGTCGCATTAGGCTGGTGGATTGCCCCGCTGATGAGATCCGAGGTCATACCCCGCTCAAGGAGAATGGGCCTGATCCAGTCACCGATAAAGACACCGTGGATGAAGCATGGCTGACAGAGAAGCTGGGAAAGAAGAAAGTACCGATCAAGGCTCTTCTGCTCGACCAGGCGAATATCAGTGGAATAGGAAACTGGATGGGGTAGGTCTTCCAGTCGATCAAAGTCATCGAATTTACGGAAGCTGATTTTTCCCAGAGATGAGATCCTCTATCATGCCAAGATACACCCAGAACAATACAGCAACACTTTGAATGCTGATCAGGTCAAGGATCTACACTCTGCCATTCATTATGTCTGCTCCACATCTATTGGTGTATTGGCAGACTCAGAGAAGTTTCCTGAGCACTGGCTTTTCAAGCATCGCTGGGGCAAGGGGAAGAAGAACCAGCCCGCCGTCCTACCCAATGGGGATAAGATCACTTTCCTTACCGTTGGAGGTCGAACAAGTGCCGTTGTTCCAGCTGTCCAGAAGAAGACTGGTCCTGTCGCCAAAGATATTGACGAAGACGTTACAAAATCCACACCAGCTAATTCGAAACGGAAACGTGTGGCCCTGAAGGAAGAGAGCGACTCCGAAGCGGAAGAAGCGACACAGACTCCGAAGAGAGGAGCCCCAAAACGAAAGAATCCCATTGTAAAGAGTGAGTACTTTGAAGAGGAGAAGGCGAAGCCCGCCGTTGTTGGCAGGAGACGGTCTACCCGTTCATCTAAGTGAGGTGTATATGAAACTCAAGTACTAGCCACTACATCTGAATGTAAAATAATGTACTTTTTAATCGCAAGTTCTTACCAGTCTCCTGAAATGACACAAACTTGACTTAAGTACAAGGCCACAGCATATCACAGACTACTCGCCCCTACATGAGATCGATGCAGTATCTATCCTTAGTAGCTTACAAATATGAATACAGACAACTTAATTGCTATAATGGAGACAATACAAAGGAGGCAACATCTGAGTAAAGCTATGTAAGTCAAAAAGCAGTCATTGGCCTTTACCCTTATACTCGCGTTGACCCTGGGTTGGCACTTGTTTCACTGGCAGGTCGACCCTATCCCGAAGAAATTGTAGGATATGCTCTATCTCATCCTCCACGCGATACCAATGCCCTAACCCCTCATAGGCCTTCCAAGTTACGTCCATTCCAAAACCGGCCGAAAGAACATGAGACATCTTTCTACCAAGTTCCACAGAAACCTTTAGGTCTTCAGAGCCGTGGCCAATAAAAACAGGGGTCTGGAGCTGACGGAAGCTTGATTGTGATTGCGAATCGTCTGTTGGGGTCATTGGAAGATCAAGAATATCGCGAACATGATTGATAGCGTGCTCAAGCAATGAGCCTTCTTCCTCGTCGTCAGCAAAGGGATCAAAATCGTCATACGAAAGGCTGCTTCTTTCGAGTAGATCATCATCCAGATCAGGTTCCGAGAAGACATCTGCATCAGCATCTGACTCTTCATCCCTGTTGGACTGTTGCTCTCCATCATCTAGGTCTGAGTCTGAATCTGAATCTGAGTTACCATCAGGTTGAGCTTGCTGGTCGTCCCTAGACGCAGTAATCTCACCGCATCGAAGAATCTCGCGCAACTGCTGCTCAAAGGGCAGCCATCCACTCATTCCAACAAATGCTCCGATCATGCTTGTTTCACTGGCATCGGGCCAGTTACCTAGCAGAGTGAAGACACCCGCAGCACAACCTTGACTTAACCCCCATAGGATGACCTTTTGATGGCTGCCCGTGCCTAAGATGCGAACCTCTTCGCTGATTAAGTCACGAATAAATTCAGCACTCTCACAGAGTCCTTCGACTTGTAAGTCTGTTCTCTCTCCGGGGTTCTCAAGTGAGTAGTTGTCAAACCACTGGTTGATAGGCATCTTTTTGAACCTCGTTGCCCGTCGCTTACTTGCAGTCGGAAAGACGAATTTCACTGTGGGAAGTCGATCTTGCAGGTTCGCAGCAGCAAGAAGTACATGACCGAAACGCTCAGCATTGCTGCCTCTCCCATGAAGCGAAATAATAGTGTGCGTATGTTCTCCGCCCAGCGGTGGGATGACTAGAGGGGCGGGGTATGCATTTAACATTTTCGTGGATATGGGGGAGCGAGAGAGTGGGCGATATGAAAAGTTACAAGGGAAGGACACTGTCTAATAGTTATTTTAGAATGGATGCCAAGGATCAGATTCAAGATCTCTTTGTTATTTCTGTTAGTTGGTGTTATGAATAGCCATGTCATGCAGGGTGATCGAATAGGCAAGACATAGACAATAAGCTTATAGACCAACCTATGCACTCACTTCAATCCCAGACAATGGGCTTTATAACGCATAGTTCTATTTCTCGCTCATAAAGTGTTTGTCTGTCATTGTATGCGAGGGAATAGGATCAACCAAGGGACAGATATATAATGGTAGACGGCCCCGGCCGTTAATACATCAGTCAAGTCCCATTCGATCCTAAGCAACAATCCCACTCTCGGAAAAGGGAAAAGACTTGAGTATTTTTGACCAGGACTACTGATTCATCAGACATGGCTGACTCATGGGACGTCTATGTGGCATTCTGCCAACGTAGAGGTAGTGATCCTTTGCATTGGATGCTTTTGCTTGCTAACCCGGGGTCGCTGCATTGTACTTGGTATCATGTTGTCGGAGGTCCTACGGAGGATCGGGACTACGAGCGCAAGATCCAAGCCGGGAAGCGAATGGACAGTTTCGGTATCTCTAGGAAGCAATACATCGGCTCTATTGCTGCAAGCAAGATCAACAAGGTCAAGTCAGCAGTAGTAGCAGTCCCTGTGCAGGAGTGTCAGCGCTGGACTGTGGAAGTGCTTGCCGGGCTTGAGCGCAAGTGCCTGGTCCCCTCTGGCGCTAGCGTTCATTATTATAATCAGATGGAGCCTTCTCGTGTTGGGAAATCGGAACATGGCTGGGTCTTGCTCTCTGGATCTTCTGATGATAGTGACTAGATGCAGGCAGCAGATATATGAAACCCCGAAGGTATGTTGCATATTCTCTTTGCCCTTGCTATTCTTTCCTTTTTATACGCATGTCAGTCTACTATCGGGTCAATCTCAAGTAATTCATATAAATTATAAACATAAATTCTCATCAACAGCACCGTTACATGTTTTGAATAGCGCGGGTGGGCGAGGATCCCTGTCCACGCTCGGGTATAGTAACAGTGTCCTGGTGAATCCACGCAAAGGTGCTGGCTCACGGTACCGATTGGTAGATTGTTTAGGAAAGCATCAGCGAGAATGAAGGGAGAGAAGAATAGATTAACGTTGTAAAGGTGAAGAATGGTGGTTAGGTTAAAGCCACAAGAAAGCAATCGCTGACCGAATACAAGAACGCCTTAAACCTGTCGACCTGACGTATCATGGCAAGGAACCAGAAGATGTCTATGTATTGTCGAAAAAACTACATGTATGAAAGCCAACATTACGCATGTAGCTATGTATTTACAGTCTAGGGATCTTGATCCAAAGTTCCTTGTATAAATTTGTATAAATTGCGCCTGCCTGAAAAAGTCCCCAGACGTCTCCTAAGTAGGAGAAGCCAACAAAGAGAAATGAAATTGTACCGTGCAAGACTCATGCTATGAGCAAACCATCCAATGTCTCTGAGAAAATTTGAAGATTGTTCTCAGTAGGTGAGTCCCTAATCACGAAATCAATCATCTCAAACCACCCCTTGAACTCCTCTTTCATGAGAACCTCGTACCAACAGTCGGCTACCTCCTGAGCGGGATGGCGAAAGGCCCCACAACCAATGGCACCAAGTATCAAGCGGCGGTGATTGTTGTGTGCTGCTGTGCGTAGAATCAATTGCATTTTGGCTATCATGAGATATTTCTGTGCCTCGTCCTTGTACATGAGTCCGGATTTCACTAATCCAGGCTTGCTCCGCGCTGCCATGCTGATAACGCTAACAGTGGGGTTCTGGTGTAGCTTGTCGTCCACTGACATGAAGTTGTACTCGCTGTCAACGCTCTTTCGGAAAACGATCACATTGGGTGAATAGAGGCACTCCAAATCGTTCATTGGGTAGAACCGGGTATGGAGAGTATCGATGAGAGTGCTTCGGTAGCAAAGTTGTTCCTCTTGAGCTTGAGAACCATTGAGCCAGCCGCCACCGGGGTTATAGGCATTGGCAAAGTTGAGAACACATACTGGCATGTGATCGTGCTCGGTGTCAGCATCTCTCATCTCGAGGGCCCGGTCATATGTGTCTCCTTCCACGACTCTAACCACAGTGGCCGAGTTTGGAAAATCCACGGAATTATAGTCCAGGCAGGAGCGGTCCATTTGTTCGCCATATAACCAAATCGAGTCCCCTCCAATTCTGTTTTGGCCAAAATCTCCTTCGTGGCTTTCTTTGTTGTGGCAATGACATCCCCCATTGTACCCCTAAGGCGTCGTTTCTTGGCCAGACCAGAGTCTATTGCCTCGCCATCAAGACCAGTTGTTTGTTTGGGGTCGGATGTGAATTTCTCATAGATGGTACTCATCACTCTGGTGAGGCCGCTACTGCTGCGACTATTTGTAGTTCTGGCAGGTGATTGGTTCGCAAACTGCGAATCTATTGATTGCCTGGACTGTGTTGACCCGGATGTATTGGACTGGACAGACAATTCCCTTTTTGGCATGGCTTTTTCTGTATTGAAGGTGGTATATATGCGAAAGAAACAGTAGAGAAGTTGCTATTTCATGAAGACGAGGGTTCCGGGGGCTCTTTATGGTCCATGTTCACTCACCAATCGGCTAGATGTAAGCCAGTATATTCCTTACATGGTACCTATTGAAAGAATAAGAGAACACAAAGACTTGAGACTCGAACAGTGGGAAGTAGAAGTTCAAAGAAACATCAAGTAGGTCACGTGCATACTTCATATCCAACCTATCAGGGCAGGTGCATCCCGCATAAGGCGGTGAGCTTATCTCCGATCTCGCCACCATGACAAAGCGAGCAACGCCGTTGGCTTGTCGCCATCTCGCAGAACTATTTTAATTTTAAAGGTTGCGATGTCTTTATTCTGATTATTCCTTGCAATAAAATTACACACAAGTCTAGGCCGTTTCTTTCTCTTTATTCAGGACCGCCCGAAGCAGCACTCCGCCACAATGAGCGCGATCCTGTCAGCAGACGATCTAAATGATTTCATTTCGCCCGGGGTCGCGTGTATCAAACCAGTTGAAACCCTTCCACCCAAAGATACAAAGAATCAAGAAGTATGTCCGCTCATTGATCCCATTGGGACCGTGTGATATTAGGGTTTCTTTTACTGACTTTCTAATTATAGGACGCCTATGAAGTAACGACAGAAGACAAAGTCCAGCCTGAGGATCTACCCCCCCGCACAGATTTCTTTGACAGACTGCCTCGCTTGCTCTGGCTGCGTTACATCCGCCGAGGCAGTGTTGATATCGCTCCAGTCTCACGCCGAGGTCCTCAATACACTCGATGCGCATCCGGAGATTCCCTTGACGCATGACCCTCATGGCGTGAGAGTCAATAATAGCGAAGACTCTGGAGAGGGCAAGATCTTCGTGGCCAGTGTCAGCCCACAAGTCAGGGCAAGTCTGGCAACAACCTATGGGATTTCAGAGAAAGAAGCGGGGTACATGATCGACCAATTACTTAGTGGCCCGCAGGGTTTGCGAGGCGGGGGTGAACACGGCAATGGATTTACATGGGTGGTCGACACCAATGCCATGCGAGAGGCTGTACTGGTACTCACTGCAGACGAGGTTTCGGACTCGCTCAACTCGGGGGAGTCGTCAGCAACGGGCCAGTCAGATGACTCTCTTCCCAAACGACCTGTCTTATCCTCAGCTTGTCCCGGATGGATCTGTTACGCTGAGAAGACTCACCCGTTTATCCTTCCTCACCTTTCTCGACTCAAGTCCCCGCAGGCTCTGTCGGGGACCTTCCTCAAGACCGTTTTGAGCAAGTCTCTCGGTGTCCATCCTTCTCGGATTTGGCATTTGGCAGTCATGCCCTGCTTTGACAAGAAGCTAGAAGCTAGTCGAGAAGAACTCACGGATGTGTCATGGCGACAGGGAGATTCCTCGGGCTCTGAGACACAGCCTGTTCGCGACGTAGACTGTGTTATCACTGCTCGTGAGCTTATGTCTCTGGCTTCGTCTCGAGGGTCCTCACTGCGAAACCTGCCTTTGCAACCTCTGCCTTCGTCTTTCAACCCGCCCTTCCTGAAAAAACCCTCGATTCTTTCATTTCCTTAAAGCGCTCTCGCGCGGAACAATCTCTAGCTACGGGTACTTCTGGAGGCTACCTACACCATGTTCTCATAACTTTCCAAGCTCGCAACCCAGGCAGCGAACTTGTGATCAACCGCGGACGCAATGTTGATGTCGTCGAGTACGTGCTCATGTCTCCAGAGGGCCAACCCATTCTGAAGGCAGCTCGCTATTACGGTTTCCGAAACATCCAAAACCTTGTTCGGAAACTCAAGCCCGCGCGTGTATCGAGGCTCCCCGGTGCGAAACCAGCCGCTAGGCCCGCCGCAGGTCGCCGCCAGCCTATGTCTCGTAACGCCGTGTCCACAGGCAGCTCAGGCTCAGATTACGCCTACGTGGAGGTCATGGCCTGCCCTGGTGGATGCACGAATGGCGGTGGCCAGATCCGAGTCGAGGACGCCAGAGAAATCCTTGGTCCTTCCCAAGGAGAGGCACTGGACGCATCTATGAAGCCATCACCACATGAGCAGCGCGCGTGGCTAGCTCGTGTCGATGAGGCTTATTTCTCCATGGACTCTGAGTCTGAGTCTGAACTGGAGACTCAGTCTCAGCTGTCTTCGTTGGCTGACAAGGAGGCTAAAATCCATGAACGCTTGCGGTCTTGGTCAGAATACATGAACATTCCTCTCTCTAAGCTCGTCTATACTACCTATCGCAAGGTAGAAAGTGATGTTGGCAAGGATCAAACGCCTGCTAATGATACGAGTCGGGTTGTGGAGCTTGCGGGGAAGATTGGTGGTGGTTGGTAACTTTTTTCTGGTTCATTTTGCTACTGGAAGATTCACCCTTGCCATGGACTTCTTCGTGGCCTCTTTTTTGATTTATTTGCATGGCGCCGGGATCTGATATTTCTTGCATGTCTGGGGGATATACCATATTTTCATTTTTCAAGTCACGGTCGATGATACATGAGGTGCTGAATAAGGTTGTTAAGGTTATGACACAATAGATGCATACAAAAAGGTGTAAATAGATTCAGATATGACCAATGATATTAATGAAGCTATCAAAACATTTAACCCAAGCTCTCCTTAATAATTTCCGTACCAGATTAATCAGAGGACCTTCTATACTTCTTCTATACTTCTGGTCAGATCGGGCCCGGACGTGATGACTAATCTGTCAAATGCATGACTAAGCACCTAAAATCCCGCGCTCTAGAAAGAAAAAGAATCCAAGTATCTCAGCCTCGAGCCTAGTTCCACCTCACAACTTCCATCCTCCCATCGGACACGATCAGGTCGCGCGCAGAATAAACACGTTATCACCGCACCACTCTCAACCCCAACAATGTCTCGCGAAACCTACCAGGTCCCCCTCGATGGGCACCCAGAACAACTTCGACCAAGCCGGTGGTTTCGGCAATGCCATGGCCATCGACAGCCCCTCAGTCACCTACCTGTGCGGCGAGTGCTCTGCCCGTGTTCCCCTGAAGCGCGGCGACCAGATTCGCTGCAAGGACTGCGGTCACCGTGTGCTGTACAAGGAGCGAACTAAGCGGTAAGATTTTCTTCCTCGGGGATTAACATGCATATGCGCGAGGCATGGCTGACTTTTTTCTTGCTTCTGATAGTATGGTCCAGTTCCAGGCTCGGTAGACGTCTCATATACGCAAAAAGATCTGATGTTGGAGGTTGCGATGACTCTGGAATAATCGGTCTGAGATCCTGTGGTTTTGAAGTCTTTCCTTTTTGACGAATTATGCATACAATGGCGCTTTGGGGTTGAATTGCACAAACAAGTTTTTTCTATGAACTCGGTTTACATGAACAACCAGATATGTGGATGTTCTAGCCATGCCCTCTAGCCATAGTCCAAGTCTGGACTGAGGACAGGCCTCAGCTCTTTCTTTTTTAGGAACAATTACATTTGTTTTCAGAATTAAATCACTTTTCTCATGGACCCGAGATGCCCAAAATATCCACATATCTAAACGTACATCAGTGCACTCATCAGAACAGACATAACCAAATCCGAAAGCTTCGTGGACCCGAAAAGATTATGACATACTAAATCCAACCCTTACAGAACTAGTAACAAGATTCTACTTTAGAGCTGGTTAGTTACTTCAATGAATTGCTCCAAGTTTTTCAGAGACTGCCCGCTCTCGATTGCCCATCGTGCGCGGCGCACGCCTTCTTTCCAGCGGCCGCCACCAGGGCCACGCTCGGTGATGACCTGGCCATCATCGCCAGGTCCCATGTTGCTGGTATCGGCCTCGCAAACACCGGAGGTGACAAGGAGACCAGCCACATTCATGAGAACAAACTCCAAGATGGGGTCATCCCGTGGAAGTTCATTCCGAAGTATGCTCATCAGCTTTGCCGCGTTTTGCTTGGGCAGTTTACCTCCACCGACCTCACTAAGGGGGTGACTAGAGAGGCCAAAGTCCGATGGCTGGAGCTGGAAGGTGTCGATCTTGACGAGTGTACGGGGATTGTTGATATCATCTTCACTTGACTCATCTGCCTCGTCTGCTGGGGCCTTGTATCCAGGGTTCGGGTACTCAGAGAGCCTCCAGCAGTTTGTCTTTCCAGCGCAGCTGATTTCGTCCATGTCCTCTGCGCCACAGACGATCATGGCTTTCTTCGCGCCACTTTGTCTGAAAGCCTCGGCGAATACTGGACCAAGACTCTGGTATGCCACACCAACTACCCGTGCCTCCAGTGCCCAGTCAACAGGGTTGGCCAAAGGGCCCATCAGGTTGAAAATTGTTCGGAGGCCAAGAGCCCTGCGCACAGGGTTGGAATGCATCATGCCCGGGTGGAAATTCGGAGCGAACAAGAAGGAATAATTAGTTTTCTCGTAAACCTGGGACAGGTTCTCAGCTGTGACAGCTGCGATCTTGGGTGCCAAGGGCTGAATGGCATTGAGGACGTCGGCCGCGCCAGAGGTCGATGTTTGAGCGCGGTTGCCATGTTTAGCTGTCATCAGAATAGGAGATGCAACGATTGAGGAAGTCGTGGAAATGTTAAAGGTCGAATGGGAGTCTCCTCCAGTTCCAACAATATCACACTATACATCGCGGCCTGTCAATATAACTCTGACAAAATGGAGCGGGTTTGCATATCGCATACCAATCCACCCTCATAATTTCCTGCTTTCAGATTACGAGTTTTGATAATTTTCGCAAGCGGGCCTCTCTCAACTTGGCAAGCAGCATCTCGCATGCATTGAGAACATTTCGCAATCACATCTGCTTCCCTATCCTTGCCGGTTGAGTGGAGCAACGTGAGGAGGGCAGCAGTCTGAATATGAGATAGCCGATCCTCAAAGATTAGCGCAAAGGCAGAAGCAATCTCCTCAGCATTCACAGCGGGGAGATCTTGGGCGCTGACTCGAATGCCAGCAGCCGCGGGGTAGGCGAGTCGCTGGAGGAGCGGCGCGATTGAAATAGACTCTGGTCGCTGAGAGGGAGAAGATATAGATGATGTCGCCATGCTTAAAATATTTGTAAGCGACTATATGTTCAAAATAGCCCAGCAATCCCAACGGGGTTTCACAAGCTTAAAAGATACCTGCAACATCCGCCAGAACAATGACTCAATGACAGACGTATATAGACGGCAGAATACTTCACCGCCTCCAATGCGCTTTACCCTTTTAGGACCCTAAAAATATCATTTGCATTTCCCGGGGGCTTGTCTTGACCTGTCTTGACCTGTGTATATCACCTTTTTGAATTATTGGGGGCATTGATAAATTCACCAGCTAAATTCACAATGCCACCTCGGTTAAGAATCTCGTCGCTTCACCAAATTCCTCGATGCCAATATGAACTCCGCATTACCAGGAGCGCATCCAGCGCTGCGGCAGTCACGCCAGCTGCTTCAATTGAGCAGATGACACGCTCACCAGCTCCCGTATCAAAATTCCCTCTTACCCAGCCACCTTCGCACCGCAATCCCGAATACCGCCGGTCGCAGCTCCTACGGTCATACACCTCCCTTCTCCGCACATCTCCTCTCATCGTGCTGTTCCAACACAACAACCTCAAGTCTATGGAATGGGCCGCCATCCGACGAGAACTAACCATTGCTCTGCGAAAAGTGGATGAGAAGATTGCCGCCGAAGGCCGCACAGCGCCTGCCCTCGCTCCTTACATTAAGATCCAGACCATCCAGACCAGCATCTTCGAGGTGGCTCTGCGCATCGTCGAGTACTTCCGCCCCAGCGAGGCTTCCCTGGGTTCAGGAAAGGCCCCCCAGTGCAATTGACCCCGTGACACAAACCTCCGCCGAGATCCCTGCGATTTCCGGCTCGAAGGATGACCCGGCCTTGACGCACGACTTGTCTCGCACTGCCCACCAGGCAGTGAAGAACATGAAGGGCATGCACGAGCTTTCTCCTCTGCTCGTCGGCCCTGTTGCTGTTCTTTCCATCCCCACCGTCTCGCCTGAACACATGAAGGCCGCGCTGTCAATCCTCGCCCCCAAGGAATCCGGCTTCAAGGCCCCTACCCGCAAGGCAAACCCAGAATATCACGAGCCCATCGTTCAGGACGGTCTCCGCAAGATTAACTTGCTTGCTGCCCGTGTGGACAACCAGGTGTTTGATATCGATCAGACCAAGTGGGTCGGCAGCATCGAGGGTGGCATGGACGGTCTTCGCTCCCAGCTTGTTACCGCCTTGCAGAGCATGAGCTCCAGCGTTGCAACTACCCTGGAAGGAGCTGGCAAGAGCATTTACTTTACCTTGGAGAGCCGCCGGAGTGTTTTGGAAGAAGAGGAGAAGGGACCAGAGGGCGACAAGAGCGAATCGTCCTAATCTGGTCATGGTCATTTTGATTCATTTTCCTGTATAATAGATCATATTCTGCGTTTCGTCCTCAAGACACCCTCTTCCTACTTCAGGATCAATGTATACTTGCAAGAAAACGACTTTGGTGCATCATATTTTTGTTTAGCCCATAAATCATTGCATTCCCTGTATAATGTGAGGCAAAATACAGACCGCGCCTAAAAGACAAGTTCCCTCCCAGTGTATGTCGGCAATGTTCACCATCTACTCCTGTCTCAAACGCAGTTTGGCATTCATGCCCACAATGCAACGCACAAGATCCCAATCTCCATGCAAACCAACCCAGTCCGTAACAAGAATACCCGTCGAGCAGTCCGCATCATGCTCTTTGCCTCGGCGACAGATATAGTCCACGATAGCCGGATTGACCTTAGCAGCAACCTTCTCGGGCCAAGTATCCGTCTTCCAGAAGTTACTGGCACTCAAGAAATTGACGTAGAAGGGGAAAGCCTTGGTCGCATGCATATCAGGCTGAACACCGAATGGATAGCGACAGCAGCTAGCCCGATCAATCTGCTCCGAGACGAACTTGATCTTCTTCTCGATATTCATAGTCTCCATCACCTCATAGAAATCCTGAATGCAGAGCTGGCCACTGGGACACTTGGCATTGGGAGTATTATCCGCCCACGCAGCAGCATCAATACCCCAACCATTACCACCATGCTCGCCCCTCAGCTTCTCCTGCAAGTTAAAGCGACGCATAAGGATAACCTTGCCACGCGCCTCGCCCAGAGTCGGGATCTTGGGCCGCACCCACCACCGACTCCCCGCCTTAGCGTAGTGGTCGTGCAGGATACGCGAGAGCTGCTCGTCAGTCGCGTTGCCGGTTCCCTCCCGCTTAACGGAGACGATCAGCGTCTCGGACGGGTTGCGCTCGAGGAACTCGTCGACTTCACGCATCAGGTCGCGGAAGTACTTGTTTCCTGTCAGCGAGATGGGGAACGCGCTGTGGACGAGGACCAGCTCGTCGCGCGCCGCGTCCTCGGGGTATTGCGGCTGCACGCGGATATCGAAGAAGCGAACGCCGTTCTCGAGCTGCTCTTTCGGGCTCACGGCCTGGCAGCGCACCGAGGGAGGCGCGACATGGCAGGTGGGCGAGTTGTGCGTGCCTGGGATTGACAGCGCGGAAACGAGGGTGTCGTCGCGGAGCTCGCGCATCCAGGCGTTCAGGTTCGCCGAGGAGAAGATTGCGAGGAAGGATTCTGGGGTCACGAAGACGCCGGTGAAGCGGTGTTTGGGGTTCTCGCTTAGTGCTTTCATTCCCGCTGACTCTGCTGTTGGGACGGGAACTTGGATCTGGTATCTCTGGCCTTCGGCCTCGAAGATTAGACGCATGCGCTCCTTGTCGGAGTGGATGAAGGAGCGTAGCTCGGTCTTCTTCGTTGCGAATGGCTCGACGTGAATGTCAACATCCTTTTCCTCGAAGGGACGGCTGTCCTGTTCGATGGAGGAAACCTCGTCATTGCGGGTTTGGTTGGTCAAGACTTGGGTAAAGTTCCTGGCCATTGTGCTGAAGGCAGTGAATCCATCTTTCTCCGGTGCCTAGAAGCGCTCAATGCGCTTCAGGGCGATTGGAGTAGAGGTGTTGTTGCGGATAGTGAGGTGCTCGGCAACCATGGTGAATTGGCAATTGGAAGTGAAATCAGTGCAAGTCCGTGTGCGAAGGGTTTGTCTCAATATGGATCGGAACCGGCTGCCTGGAGAGCTGAGATTGAAGTGGATTACCCCTCCACTGGGGATCAGCGGACGATCTCCGATCGGGGAGCCCTTGTTCTTGGCACGCAAAGCTGATTCGCGTGGATGTCTCGATTGCAGGACAGAGCGGAGATCTTCGAGATCTGTACGGAGTACGGCGTCCGATATACGATGTAGGCAATTAGTGTCGCGCCTAGCTCGGCCCTGGCGATCTGGACCTAACACCCCCGGGCTTACTCCGTGCATATTGTACGGATTTGTTCCATCGTTTGCCAGGATTGAAGCCATTATGTCCCTTTTTTTTTATAGAGGAAAGTTCAATGTTTTCAATTTCTCCGAATTATTCTAAGATTGAGGTCATCGGGTTGACAACCTTGGTCCGATTGATGCCTACCATGGGTGTACATCTATACCTTTATCAAAATATTTGAAGACATAGCATACATGTACCTAGGTACAGATTGTATTTATTGATACAGAATGTGTTATCTGGTCCTCACCATCTCACTGAGCTTGCTTCAGAGCCAATTGGAGATTGTCCTTTTCGGCTTTGGTCGCATTTATCAATCTGGGGATTTCCATGGGCACGGCTTCACCTATGTCAAATCCAGCAAGAAGCCTGGGTACCAATTGCTTCTGCCACTGCCGGAGTCCCAACTCGGTCATTGCGTTGTAGCCGCTATATCACTGCTGCTGCGCTGGGGAGTCAAATTTTTGGGGTGTGACCGTTTTGTCTTTTTGGGCATAATGTCGGCTGTATCCCTCGGGTATACGTGATCGGTGATAACGTAGTAAGGCTTTGGACGGCAGGGGACCGAACGACAGGATCATCGCTGTTCATATCTGCCAGCATAGCCGAGAAACTGACGATCGTTTCCAATGTTTTCGGAATCAATCGTAGAGGCGATCTTTCGTCGCTTGGTCGACTGGGCCTGGCTTGGCCGCTGACCGCATTGTCTACCGGAGTTTGCTTTGATCTCCTAGTTTTAACGTTAGTAGACCTAATCACACCTCATGGTACGCTACACTCACAGGTATGGCGTCGTTAGCAGTGACGCTCCAGTAGCGCCGGGGGAGAAAAACGGCTGCGACTAAGTCACAGATAAAGGGCCCCTGTTTTGTCCGCTAGATAGCTTGTCATGGCAGTGGAGTGAGTCCAGCGGGATTCATCACCGTTATCTCGGAGGGAAGGGATATTGAACTCGATGAGCCTTCTTGGCCGATTCTTATATCAGTTTCTATAGGAGGTACTGGATTCCGTAGAAAGAGGTGAAATGGGAATGAGCGGAGTTCCAGTAACTCTGTATTCATTCCCTTAGTCACTTTCCCCTGATGTCGTTTGTTGAAAACATTTTGTAGGTCGGTCCCAACGTTATTTATCCACCGAGGCCAAGACAAGGAATGGGAAATGGGACTGACTGAAACATTCACTTTGGTGTGTGGTCGTAACTTCCCAATATCTTCAGAAGCCGAGAATTGTTTAACAATCTGAAGAATAGATAAATAAATGAAACTATAACATATTTATTGGACAATGGGGGTACCCTGACTTGACTACTCTACACCTACTGACTCTCATTGATTGATTGGTCTGTTAGAGACCTTTTCAATCCAAAAGGAGTCTATCTAGTAGGGAACCTGCTGGTGGAAGTAGTCCATCATAAACTCCACCTGTTTTGGCTTCGCAATGGGCACATTTTTGAACTGGTTACCGAGTTCCATGACCACCTGGGTACCATTGGCACTGTTGGGGCTCCAACGCGGCAACGATTCGCTACCACTGTAGGAGCCGCCATTGTTGGGGTTGAGAGTCTTCGCAAAATTGGCCCAGTAGGACGACATCTTCTCCTGGATCTCAAAGTCGGTCTTGGTGAAAGCGTACGTATCAGAATTGGCATAGAGAGCGCCAAGGGCATACATGATCTCAGATTGGTGGAAAGCTCCTTGGTTCTGGCTTGGGGGCGCATGGGTCCAATAGTACGTATAGAAGCCCGCAGTGGCAGACTTGTACCAATCAGTGGCATAGGCCCATGATCCGACAAGAGAGAGATCACGGGCAGCAGCGTTCCAGGCCTGAGAGGCAATGGTATCGTTGTCGTGGTCGGAGTAGAGCTTGAAGTATTCGCTGGAGAGGTTTCCGTACTTGAGTCCACAATAGTACTCGTACTCTTCAACGGTATAGTCGGTGTTGGGAGAGGCACCAGATTCGTCCTTGGTGTTACCAGTAATCACGGGGACATCGTTTGCAGGGCCATTGACCAGGGTTTCAATGTACTTGGATGGAAGCACATAGCCGTCCAGAACGGGCTTGAAGATCAGAGGATAACCGGCAGTGAGTGCGGTAACCCACCAAATGGAGCTGTTGGTGACGCGGTCTGAGGAACCAACCAGTAAGCTCTCCATGGAGAGCGTGCGCATCTCCTCAATTGTAGAAACATTGTGGGCCTTTATGTAGCTAGCGCCATTGGAGATAGCAGTAGACATGTTGACGTACGAGGTGGCGAGGCCAGCCAGCATGGTATCGTAGGGGTATCTGATCCCGGACTGGGAGATACCGCCGTGGAAGTAGCCGGTGAAGAGAGGGCTATTGACTGCATGGTAGACTTGGGAAGAGCCGAAAGACTGACCAGCGAGAGTAACGCGATCAGGATCACCACCAAATTTGGCAATATTCTTCTGCACCCACTTGAGAACTTCCAGTTGATCCAGAACACCATAGTTGCCTGAGGTTTTGCGGCCAGTGAGCTTGTAGCCTTCTTCGTTGAGCTCAGGGGTAGCGAGATAGCCGAATGCATCATCACGCCGGTTGAAGGTGATGAGAATGACGTCCTTCAAGGCCATGCCACCACCGTACCACCACTCATTGTTGCTGGTTTCGTCAGACCCTTGATTCCAGACCATGACAGGAAGTTTGGCATCAGCGGTCTGAGCGTTGGTCCAGATGTTGAGACTGAGGCAGTCCTCGCTAATGTCTGAAGCTGAAGCACTAGGACAGGCAGGGCCAAAGTCCGTGACCTTCATGACCTTGTTCCATGACTCGCGGGGCTGTGGTGGCTTCCACCGGTTCTGATACCCTGTATCGGCAGCGAAGGGAATCCCTAAGAAAGCGGCGACGTTGGACTCGGCGCCATCGAAGTACTCATCCAGGATAGACTGGTTAAAATACTGGAACCCCTGGACGGGGCCGTAGGAAGTTTGGATGACCTTGTCCCAAAGCTGGGCTTGGGAAACAGCAGCCACCAGGCCCAGTGAGGCCAGGGTCTTGGGCAGGAGGGTCATAATGGCTTTTGTACCGCTAAAAGAAGGTTGAAGCGGTTGAAATCTTGAAGTACAAGACCAGGACTCAATGGACCGACGATGTATTTATACTTGGTAAGCTTCTTCGCCGGTGTAATCGACCTACGTAACTTGTGCAGTAACGTAGTGGTGTTGGTAAGCTTGGCACAGTTATAACTTGAAACCGGTTAAAGGTTTGTGCAGCAAATGTACTCCGTGCCTCGTCATCTGGTGTCCCGGTGTCTAGTATACTAGTGGATTTCGGGCCTCGAAGGGTCGGCCTCGGCTTCCGCATTGAGTTAAGGTGACGAGGATCATGTTGATGTCGTCTCCACTTCTGACAAGCGGACATAATTCGGGGAGATTCCGAGATATTTTCTCGTGTTTCTTGTAGAAATAAAGCGCATTACTGCAGTTGAGCTGTGAGAATAAGCTCGGATTAGAGTAACGGATAGGGAAGAGTTCAATCTGATAAGGTTGAAATGATGGAAAAGTTGAAGCACAAGTGTGATGAAAAGTTCAAGACAGACGAGTAAGTCCAGTGATTTCATATCCGTTTTGGTGACGAAGTCTCGGAGAAAAGGGATATCGAACTCGAGGCAATGCCTTACGACCGGTGCAACTGCGCCGTTGAGAAGGTCTTGTTTCGTTAGGTAAATCGGCCGTTCGAACACCCCGTGAACTGGGAATTTCCCGTTGCTCTTGATTATGTATGCACCACCTGTAGTATTCCGCCCTCAGGCTGCAGCGAGGGTCGACAAGCATTTCTTTAGGGAAGTGTGAGGAAGTGAAGAAAGAAACCTTGGAAGGGCTTGGATAAATGCTCCCAAGATTATCTCCTACCAGAATGGCATAAAAAGAAAACTAAAACAGACATGACAATGCTACATAAGCGGCTAATATGGGCATATTCTTCCAAGGTTGTATGCTACCTAAAGGTGTAAGAACTAAGGCATGGTCCCTAAAAGCCATTGTAGCGTCCACATCATTACACCTTGCATGATGGAGGTGCTATTCTTCACTTAGAAAGAGAGAGAAAGCGGAGGAAAAAAAAAGAATCCGTACCCCAACTACTCCTGGCGCGAGGATCGAAACCCTGACCAGTTTCACCATTGACTGAGCTTCCCAATGCGGTGTCACCCGGGCTCATTGTTCTACCCAGCAATCAGACGACCTTGTGTCTCTCACCCACTCAGCCACCCAGGGAGGATTTTGACTGATTACCTTGGACTAGGGATAAGTAGACTGAATCCCTTTGTTTGTATGCATCTTACTCCAATTGTCCCTACTAATATAACTGCCCTCTGAGCTCTATTTGTTAGTCTGCTTCATATTATACTGCCCTGGTATCCATGTAGCCTATGTGATATATATTTGCTTAACATGTCCCAATTGATACTTCACAATTGACTCTTTATAACATTTCCAACGGCAATAAGGGTCTAGTAATTTGAAAAATAAACAAAGAAGCAAAGAAACGAGGCCATAACGTCAGTGCCATACTTCCCCCATACTTGCATAAATGCGGGGAGATCACGTGGGTAGCATCGGTTAGCGTCGGCGTGCGGGCAGAACAGTCGATGCTCGAGTGCCAAATAAAATAGACACAATGCTCCTTTTCTCTTCAGGAATTTCAAACAACATCTCTTGAATCTGTCTCTACAACTGTATTCCTCTATAATGACTTTCAGCCGCAGCGGGGGTCTCGCTGCCCGCAACTTCAGGCCTTGTCTACCCCAGAATCGCCTCCGCATTCGCTCCACCCTACCTCCGCTCTTGTCCCGGAGATTCCATGCCAGCTCTCTACTATGGGGGATTAAGTCCCAAGTTCTAAAGGATGTTGGCGAGGGTAATCTATACCTAATTCCTACCTTATTGCTCAATTTATTTACTTACAATTACTAGGCATCACCGAAGTCCAGATCATTCAATGGTACGTGGAAGAAGGGGCTCATATTGAGGAATGGAAGCCCTTGTGCCAATATCAGTCGGATAAAGCTGTCGATGATGTGAGTCCTGCCTCATTTTGTTCCCATACCATGGGCTAATGGCTAACGAACCCAGATTACTTCGAGATACGAGGGCGTTATCAAAAAAACTACATTTCGAGACAGATGATACAGTGCCTACGGGAAGGGTGTGTACTACCTTTACTCTTGCGCACTCGCACTGAAATTACCATACTAACAGGCTTCGGCAGGCACTCTGCGACATCGAAGTTGCGGATGGAAAATACCCCGATGATAACCCGCCGCACGAATCAAGGGCAGAGCCGTCTGAACCTACTCCAGCCCCCGAGGTCCCAGCTCCAACTCAAGCAGCCGAGTCCTCTCCAGTAACCCCTCCTCCTACCAATGTTCTGGATGAGACACCGAAGACAAAGCATGCATCCCTTGCAGTTCCCGCAGTACGCGGGCTATTGAAGAGCCACGGCGTGAACATCCTCGAAGTCAACGGGACCGGCAAAGACGGGCGGGTGATGAAAGAAGATGTGTTGAACTTCGTAGCCCAGAGAGACTCTCCAGCGGCTCCAACATCGGTGCCCGCGCCAGTGTCGGGCTCACCAGACACACGGCAATCAGAGTCAATTGTCAACCTGACCCCGATCCAATCACAGATGTTCAAGACGATGACCAAATCCCTGAACACCCCACACTTCCTCTACGCCGATGAACTCAAAGTCAACGACATCACCGCCATCCGCAAGAAGCTCGCCAGCGACAAACGCGATCCTACCAAAATCACCTTCCTCCCCTTCGTTGTCAAGGCCGTCTCACAGGCTCTGACCGAGTTCCCAATTCTCAACTCGAAAGTTGATGTCACCGACCCCGCAAAGCCAAAGCTAGTCATGCGCGCCAAGCACAATATCGGTATTGCTATGGATACGCCGAACGGTCTGATTGTTCCGAACATCAAGGACGTCGCCAGCCGCTCGATCTTCGACATTGCCGCGGAGATTGCGCGGCTGAGTGCCCTTGGTAATGCTGGCAAGTTGACGCCCGCTGATCTCAGTGGTGGCACTATCACCGTGTCGAATATCGGCAATATCGGAGGTACATACGTGGCTCCGGTGATTGTGCCAACGGAGGTGGCTATTCTCGGCGTGGGTAAGTCTAGAACTGTGCCGGTCTTTGATGAGGATGGACAGGTTACACGCGGGGATATGGTCAACTTCAGTTGGAGTGCGGACCACCGTGTCATTGATGGTGCGACAATGGCAAGGATGGGTACCAGGGTTAAGGACCTGGTTGAGTCGCCCGAGCTCATGCTTCTAAACCTCAGGTAAATTAGACAAGTCACTGTTGATAAAAGTACTTAGTTATATCCATATAATAACATCTGAGTACATCTTAAGACACTGCGTGGTTTATCTAGTTTGCGAGCTCCAATATATTATATATTGAGCTTCTTAGTACATCATGTAGAGAAAAGATGCAAAAAACATGAACAGGTCAATTGAAATGAAGATTCTCATCAGAACAAAGGATATCGCGAGGCCTGCCAAGCCAGACAGTCGATATATCAAAACAGAAGCTCGAGATGCGAGTTTCATCGAGAACGCCAGATCTAAAACAGACCGGTGACATAGCCAAGCCGGCCACAACACCAAACACCATTGGGAGGAACAACAAAACCGAAAAGGAACAGAAAAGAAACAAAATGCTAAACAATCCTCCATGCATAGATCATACTCATTTTCGCACGAACCCACATGGCAACGAGAGATGACCGACAATCCCACCAAGTACACAAAGTGAATTCACTCCCATCAATCCACAGAAAGATGGAGAGGAAAAAGAAAAATCACTTATACTCAGCAAGCTTGTCAGTAACAGCATCAACAGCATTCCGCTGCACCTCCTCCACCGTGCCCTCAACATTGATAGTAATAGCATCCCACTCTTCCTTAGGCTCCTCAAGCACCGCAAGCTGGGAGTGCACCATGTTGTTCTTCATGTAGTGTGATTTGCGCTGTGTGACACGCTGCATCAGCACCTCCTCGCTGAGCTTGAGGTAGATGAAGTGGATGTGCACCGATGGCGAGCCGTATGCAGCGACGCGCATCACATCCCGGTACTTCTGCTTCAGCGCGGAGCAGGCTACTACCACGCCGTTGGGTGGGTGGAAGTTGTTGGATTCTGAGGGGAGAGGACGTCGATTGCTGCTCGGCGCAAAGAGATGAGCCAGTCCCAGCGGTCTTCGTCTGTGAGTGGTGTGCCGTTGCCCATTTTGTCTTTGTTTGCCGCGGGGTGGTACTGAGGTTTTATTAGTTATGTGTATACGATTTGGGGGTGGTGCTTTGGGAGTTGCTTCAACGCAATTGGATGGGTTGGGTGTGTGTGATATGTAGTATGTCTGAGTTCAGGTACTTGGTACTTACGTCGTCGCCTTCTCAGGAATGGAATGGCTAGCTCGGTGCGTAGGACGTTGCCGACGGTGCTCTTTCCGCACCCTGCTGGCCCGGTCACGATCCAGATATGTTGCATTTCAGCGGGTTTGGGTGTGGAGGATGTCACTCCGTTGGTTCCGTTGGCTCCGTTGGCGAGGTCGGGCATGATGCGCGCCTTACTCACAGTGGAATCTACTACGGGAGAGTGGGGAGGCTGTGGTCGTTCCCCTGCGGAGAGCATGTTGTAGGAAAGAAAAGTGTTGGTTCTTTTTTGGGGGGGGAGATATGGAGAGTTTATCTCTCTTTTTGGATTTCCGTTAAGAATTGGGTCGGGGTGGAGATATGACGCTGCGGTGATACACGGGAAAAAGTGTTCTATAACAGGTCTATAAGATTCAGAAATCAGAAAATAAGAAAATAAGAAACCCTGGAGCATACTTTCTCTAAGTACTTATATTGTAGGTGGGTCGGGTAAGAAAAAGATTCAAGCAGAAGCCGAGTGGGGGACAACATTCGTACGGTTATTGGTTCTTGATGTTATGTACATGTAGGCTAAATTGGATATCTTTTGGACTATATCCGGGAAAGTGAATAGACAAGCATTCAAAGAATATAGAATTTATATGTATAACTATCTTTTCTGCTTATAAGATGTATACTTTGTTATATTAACTCTTAATTGAACTACTACACATTGATAAAATACATCCATAAAATCCATAAAATACATCTTGACGCAAAAGTATCCTGATGATGTCACGGTATTTGGTATTACCGTAACTCACCCCCCACGCTAGAAAGACACCGCCAGTTGGGATACCTGGATCTGTCTCCTATTCTTCCCAATTCTTCCCAATGTTGTGGGATTTTGTGGGATTTTGAATTGATCCCACTAATAACTGCGTCATTTCAAGGTTCTTTATCTCTCCCGTGCCGAACAACAGGCCGAGTAAGTCGACACCGAGAGACGGCCCCCCCCACACTCTGGGAGATTCGCAGATCCACCCGATTCTTGATCGTACGGAGTACACGGATTGCCGATACTCGATCCCGTGAAACACAGAAACACAGGGGAGACAAATGTCCCGGGAGAGATATAGTCTCATCCGATAGGACATATGAAAAGGATGAAAATATGAGGGAATATGCACGATGATTCCCTACAGTCACACCGATACCCAGGTGTGCCTGGTAAGCATGAGACCCCGGCCATTGCTTTCCCCTCAAATCCGGGGAAGAAGGGAACTTCCAGCGGGGTAAACCAGTCGGATCATTGCTTGGACTAGAGCTCGTTTTCCGTTGGTTTTGTCAATGGTCATGAGGGAAGGTGCCTGTGACGGGAAGCGGATTCCGACATTTCCGATCTCGTGTTTATCCGGTGTGCTTTAGAGGGTGTGCTGGGTTCTGATCCGTATGGCTAATTTGGATTTGGACGTTTGAAGGACAGCGCAGACAGGCTTCAGGTCCAATCGGTGGGAAACGTTGAGGAATCTCTGTCAGTGGATCTGACATGTCTGAAGAGCCAAAGTCCAACGGGTACCTAGGTACTCCGTAGTTGTAGATCAGTAGTATTGGCTTTGATGACAGTTCTGGAACTAATATCGGAGAAGATCAAGTGGAGCTAAGTATGAAGAGAGTATCAAATATCGTACGTGGATATCTATCCAGACAAGATCTCATACAATCACCAGTTCTATACTCCGTACATGTCGAATATCAGTGCAGGGCGGGGCGCGGAGGCGGTATTACATAAGCCATATCCAGGCCACCGCGACAGCTCCAGATCATCAAAGCTCCGACGTATTGGTTCGGGCCTCGATAGCTGCAGCCTCAATTACCTCCACTATGGCTTCGCTCTTCTTCTCCACCCCTGTCGACATCGACGTGGTCCTCGAAGACCTCGATGAGCGCCAGACCGTTGACGTCAAGCTCGACAAGGGCCGCCGCGAGCGGGTCCCTCTGTACATGGATGGCGAGTCCGTCAAAGGTGCTGTGACCATCAGACCGAAGGATGGCAAGCGACTGGAACACACGGGGATTAAGGTGCAATTTATTGGCACGATTGGTGCGTGGGAACTGCCACCCAGCCTCTCCCGGCTGAATTCGCCATCGCAAACTGGCCGCTAACACCTTTTTCGGAATACAGAGATGTTCTACGACCGAGGCAACCATTATGAATTCCTTTCCCTGGTTCAGGAGCTCGCCGCGCCCGGCGAGCTGCTCCATCCACAGACCTTCCCATTCAATTTCAAGAACGTCGAAAAGCAATACGAGTCTTACAATGGCATCAACGTCAAGCTGCGCTACTTTGTCCGGGTGACCGTCTCACGGCGCATGGCGGATGTCATTCGGGAAAAGGACTTGTGGGTGTACTCGTACCGTATGCCACCTGAGAATAACAGCCCTATCAAGATGGACGTCGGTATCGAGGACTGCCTGCATATCGAATTCGAATACTCCAAATCCAAGTATCATCTCAAGGATGTGATCGTTGGACGCATCTATTTCTTGCTCGTGCGACTCAAGATCAAGCATATGGAATTGTCTATCATCCGGCGAGAGACAACGGGGTCCCCGCCAAATCAATATAACGAGAGTGAGACTTTGGTGCGCTTTGAGGTATGTGGCTTATTGAACACACTTTATGTGATATTGGGGCATGAAATGCAGACCATCAGAATGCTAACACTCCTGCAGATTATGGACGGTTCGCCATCGAGAGGTTAGTGAACACCTGAAGACTCTGGACCCCGCCACGGCCACCGAGCCGTGGCCGTAACGATTGTCACGAGGGCTGGCAAGCTTGGGGTAAATTTGGGACATAACTGACTTTTTGCTATAGGTGAAACCATTCCAATCCGTCTGTTCCTCGGTGGATTTGACTTGACGCCGACATTCCGCGATGTCAACAAGAAGTACTCGACAAGGTACTATCTTAGTCTGGTACTGATTGACGAAGGTATGCTTTCAATTACTCCATTCTTTCCCCGGCCTTTCCCGCCCTTGGCAATCCTCAAATCAGTCCATGACACGTCCCAAAATGCGGGGTGCAGAGACAGGCAGAATGCATCCAATAGCCGTCGGCAAATGAAGTTACCCAATACAGCCATACAAATCGGCCCAGGCTGCATCGTTTCGTTTCCGATTTCCATCTGAACCCCCTAAAACCCGATACCCCCACGCTAAACCTCTTCTGGCACTGCAACTCCACATACGATTTACCATACACTCTTCCCCATTCCTGAGACATCATTGGCCTACAATCTCGATGTTAATCTCAAACTAACCCGACAACAGATGCCCGCCGTTACTTCAAACAGTCCGAAATTGCGCTCTATCGCCAAGCCCCCGAGATCGCCCCGAACGCCCAGATCGCACAACAGCAGCAGATCCAGCAGCAGATGCTCCTCGAGCAACAACGCCAGCAGCCCGCTCTTCCACCGGGCTCTGCTACCGCTGGACCCGGCAGAGAAGCCACCGCGCCGCCTCGGCAGGAGCCTCAGCCCGTTCCCGCGCCTGCAGCATAGACGATCTTATTCTATCCTCATTATCTCTCGCGTCTTTCTACAGCTCTTGGTACCTGCGGATCTGTTCTTCTATACCCGCCTCTTGTCTCTGATCTCGATTTCCCCTACTCCTCTACTACTCACTATTCCTTTTGTATCCGTTGATCCTCTCTCACGGCTATGTCACGATATCACTCTGTAGTATACCTTACTCTGTCTACATTCGTGCCAAGCTCTGTTCCAAATCGAACCTCATTTTAGATTCAGATTGTACCATGCCTCCCTTTCTGATGTATTGGTCCAGGAGAATCCCGAATCTATAGTATAAAGTAAAACAATGCATTGATCGCCATAGTACATAGTACACACACAGCCGGGTATTAATTCACATGCCAACAAACCCTACCTCTAATACTCAAACCTACCAATTTCCTGCAACACCTTCCCCAGCGCCTGGAGAATCTGCCCATCATCACGCTCTTTACCAGCGACCTGCACAGCGCGCACAATCAACGGATAAATCCACTCAAGATGTTTCCGATAATGGTTCTCCTCCGCATCCCCAGCCTCGGCAACCGAGACCGTCTTCAGCGAAGGCGGATCCGGGATAGCCGACGGCTCACTCTTCAGCTCCACCATGCGGAGCAGCAGATGGAGCAGGGCCTTGCGGGCAGGCGTGGGCTGGGGCATCAAGCCGCGCAGCGGCTGGTCTGCGATATACGACTTGAGCGAGATCGCGCAGCGCAGGAGGAGGTACGGCGAAATCGAGCGGGCGAGCAGAGTCTGCGGGGACGGGGCGTCGGCTTTTGTCTCGGCCTTGGCTTGCGAGTGTGCCGCGAGCTCGAAGAGCGTGTCTAGGAGGACGTAGGCTATTCCTGGGCGCAGGGTTGGCGGTGGGTCGAAGGTGCGGCCGGGGCGTACTGTGTAAAAGTCTTGTAAGGGTGCGTTTTCGAGGCCGCTGGTGGGTAGGTCGAAGCGGAGGGGGGCGTAGATGAAAGATGAGTGGAAGAGAGCGCGGGCGAAGTCGCGACGGACGGCGTCTGGGATTGCTGCTGCTCCGAGGGATGGGAGAATGAGAGTCTTCAGGCGGGTGAAGGCTTTGATATCGAATGCTTCGTCTGCGGTGATTCGAGCGTTCGGGAGTTGTTGGGTTTGGAAGCCGCGCGCGGAAACAATTCCATTTGTGATGTCGACGATGCGTCGCCAGAACTGGGATGTTTCGGACTCGCTTGTCTTTGTGTATTGCTTTTCCACGTAGGGGACCGCAACATGGAGAACGTTCAGAGATACTGTTGTGGCCTTTTGCCATAGGAACGGCTCGCGGTCCTTCCCTTGCCATGTGTACTTTTGCACAATCAGAGCACCGAGGTGTTCGAGGGATTTTGCAAGAGCACCATTCGTAAAGACGTCTTGCTTGATGCCGAATTCGGCAATGTACCAGCTAACAAGATCGATTGTGCATTTCGAGAAGGCCACGAACGCTGGTCTTCTAGTGTCGCCACCGGGGCTCCATTTTGATAGCGCTGAGTCGGATAGTTCGGCAAGACACAAGAGAATATCCGGCTGGGACTCCTCTTTCTCTCAGGCAGAGCGTCTTGATACAATCAATGACTAACGCTTGCAGGGCCGAAGGTCGGTCAACATCTGGAGAGTAACGCGGGGAGACTGAGTTCCACACAAGCAAGCTGAGATGATGAAGGACGTTTTCGATGTGTTTCATGGTCAGCTGGTCTTTGTAAAGACGATAGACCTGTTGGAATGTATGTAAATAGGCCAAAGCAGCATCCTGATTAGGTTGGTCCAAGTCAAGCATCTTCTCGTCGCCAGCAGGGTGTCCGTTCGCCCAAAGAAGCCATGCACACTCAAGAGCATCGTTGCTAAGTTCACCTCCATTCTGCACCCGGAGGAGGATTGCTGAGAGGCTAAAAAATGTGGCCTCGCTGAAGTCCAAAATATGCAAGTTAATCAAACTTTGCAAGTACTTTAAAAGCCGCTTCCATGATTGATCGAACATCTCATCGTGCATAAGAGTCTCGAAGAAATTCGTGATCAAATTTGATAAACCCTTGATCATCACCACTGTCGTATCCACCCACGCCTTGAAATCATCGGATTTTGCACTGCTCGGATTGTTCTTTGCTTGAAGTAGAGGGGTCTCAATACCCTCGGCCATCTTAAAGAGGACCATATTTAGGCAGAGACGCCACGCTTCGGGGGAGAGTTGCTGCCCGTAGGCGTCGAAGATACGCAGGAGCGTATGGACTGCGCTATTTCGAATCTCAGGCCGACTGTCTGTCGTGATATCGACAATGCGAAGCAACAGCAGCAGCCACAACGAGTTCCGGGAAATAGAAGGGTCTTCTTCATGAGCCAGTTTGGCTAGCTCTTCTTCGCTGACGGATACATCAACATGGCCAATTGAGATCTGTTCAATCTGGCCCTGCAGAAAGTCCGAAACGTTCCAGAAAAACGAGGTGGTGGTGAGGGAGATATTGAAATCCTGGGGTTGAGACGCAAAGCTAGAGAAGGCATTCACCAAGCTCAAGAGACAGGGCGCTGGTAACAGCGAAAGGAAGTCGGATGCGACAAGATGCAAAGACTTATACGCAGCGCGTACCAGACGAGGGCCTGCTGGAAGAGCCGATGATCTGCGCTCTATCGGAGTGGAAGACTGGTCCCCAGTTCCAAGATCTGGAGCAAGTTGGAAAACACCAGATATCAGATCGAAGATGAGGTGCCACCCGTCCACGAAAGTTTCTGCATACTGTTCCAGAATGTTGTTTAACACTTCCAAAGTCTGTTCATGTATTTCAATCACGGTTATCGGTAAAGACTTGGAGGTGTGCATGTCCGATGCATAGAGCGAGGCAACCAGGGCTTTCAGTGTCTGCAGGTTCCTCGTCTGCACTTGATTGTAGACTTTCTCGTCGTCTTCGTCCCTTTGTTTCATTGTAGAAAATACAAGAGAATTCAAAATTGCGCTTGCCTGCAGGCGAAGATTTGGACTGACGGTAGTATTTGCGGAAGCCGAGATGAGACTTTGCGTCAGTAGGTCCCATGCCGTGCTGTCGTCTTCCTCGAGCGAAGACAGCCTCCTAAGATTTGCCTTGGCTAGTTCGTTTCCTTTCTCTAGCACGAATTTGAGTTCCTCATCTTGCATTCTTGATTTTCCGACAGTATGCGATACGCGCCGGGAACCTTGGTGCAAGCGTCCACTCGTTTGGGAGGATTGCGGCGTTCGAGGAAGTTCTGATACTTCCTGGGCATCACCCTGTTTGCGGTGCTGCTCCGTAAATGTTGACAGATTCAACAAGGCAAATAATATTTCCTCAAAAGATGAACTTGGGAAGTCGCTGGTGCTTTCGAGCATTTTGGTTGAAGCCGCTTGAACCGCAATCACCTCAGTCCCAAGGTTGGCAGTTGGAACATCGTTTCCTGGCGTGACCGGAGTCTCCCCAGTCCCACTAGCCGATTTGACCATTGCACTTGAAGACATGCCAATCACAAGTCCAGTAAATTGAAGTGTTTCGAAGATAATGGACCAGGCCGGCTGATCCAATGTCGGCCCCAAAGCAATTCCGAGGTTGAGCAAAGCCCGCATACAAAGTAGGTTCCTTGTGCTTAAAGACACGGGAGGCCCTTCCCCGCCGCAGTTGTTCCTGTGAGCTCGGTTGATAAAGAAATGGGATTTGACAGATCCGCACTTCTCCGTTTCTTTTGGAGCGTGTCACCTTGCTGGGAGCCAGTGGCAGACACATTGTTTGACATGGCACCACCCGCATTCGCAGGCGTGGCAGCCTTTCCAAGGGTTGTCAAGAAAGCATCTCGGGGAACAGTCAATCTCAAAAGACCTGCCACATGAGCTAACTTTTGGAATGCTCGAACGAGGTTGTGGTAATACTCGTCATCTAAGGATGCACGCAAGAAGATGGAACAAGCTGCTAGGACAGCGGGCCAACAGTTCTCTATTATCCCCGCACAAGTCTTGATGGCGGAGTACTGTACATGAGACTGCAAGGCCAGAGGATTGACGGGAACATGTGATTTTCTCGATGACGAGGTAGACTGCCCTCGGGTGGGTTCTGCTGTGAAGTCTTGAGAAGACCTGGCGGAGTCGGGTCCCTGAACAGGGCTCATAAGCCGATTCTTGCGTCTTTGTTTTAGGTCCGGTACCGTCAATGGAAGAATGAACTTAGCGAGCCCTTCAGCAAAGCTGCTGATACAATTAAGAACGAGGCTGTAAATGTAAGTGTCCGGCGGTGTGGGCGGATCTGTTTTGTCGAGGAGATCGATATATGGCGTACGAACAACACTCCACTGAGTGCTAATTCCAGGCACCTTGGTTTCACTTGGAGGAACAGTTGACCCAATGACACCAGCAACACCCCCTGTTTCAAGAGTTATTTGATCCTCTGTGGTGGATCTCGAGTGCTCCGCGCGTGAAGGTACTGTTGATTGATTGCTGACCCCAATCAACGAAGGCTTCTCTGAAGCTAGCCGAACAAGCGCAGCCATGTGGTCGCGGAGGATGTTCTTTCTGCCTTCCTCGCCATCATACAAAGTGTAGATCAACCGCACAGCACCCGGCTCCGAGTATAGCCCTCGGAAAACTTCCATGCAGAGTAGTCGCTTCCAAGGCGCTGTCCCATCCGGTTCAACGAGATGGGTTATCAGACTCAATGCCATCTCACATTCTGTAGTCAAGAGAGACATATGACGCTTCAAAAGAATGAGAAGGATTCGAGCGACTCGGACAGTTTGAGCGAATGAATATCTCTCGGATAGACAACGGACGGCTAGTGGTAACAGCCGAACGCGCAGCACTTGCGAAAGCTCGGGATGTCCCACAAAAAGACGGCCGCTGTTTAGGAGAATACTCTCGATAAGCTCGAGCACAAAAGTCGGGGATAGGGTTCGTGTTCGCAGAAATTGCAGTGGCTCACCATCGATCAGACGACATAGATCATCCAATACTTGCAGTGCATCATAGGCAAAGTAGCCGATATCGAGCGACTGGCCATCGACTTTGATAGTTGTGGTGATTTTGGTATCCTTAGGAAGGTTGTCTTCGCTCGAAACTCTTTCAAATGTCGATACAACCAGCTGTTGGAAAGTAGCCGCGGCAGTACTAGAAACTGCAATCGTTTTGCTTGCCTGTAATGTGGCGCATATTTCCAACGTACTCGCAAGAAGCTCCCCACTCAATTCATTGGAATAAAACTGCAAAAGTGAAGGCAGAGATTGTAGAATTTTCAGCTGGATATCAAGGCCTAGAAAGTGTTAGCGCAATTTAAAAGTGTTAATATGTTTAGTCACTTACTTAAGCTCGTTGTCTCTTTCAGGCCCCCGAGGACATCTTTCAAACGACTCGAGGGCAGTGACCGGGACGCAATTAGTCTCTGTAAACAAATCACACCGATACCGGCAAGCTTCGCATGCCGAGTATGGCATGCAATGATGAATGGCTCGACAAAGTTCGGTTTGCGAACAAGGTCTAATGGCGATTTAGCGGTTAGGGACTGACAGAGGGTGGCCATATAGAATTTACCTGCTGCTATCTGAGCCTCCGAAGTTGATGGCAGTGCTTTGAGCTCATTCAACGATTGTTCAGCGGCCTGTCAGCACCTCATTAGTATGCCATAGCAGATGAGGCCTAGAGAGTGATAACCAACATTTCGCAAATCGGAGTTTTTCCTTCGAGACTCATGAATCAAATTGGCAATCTCCGTCTGCAAGAATTGGGAGGACATTTTTGGTGTAGGGTTGTTGTATCAAAGCATGGCCAGCACTGGCTAACCTTGGAATGCCCGAGGTCCCGATGTCAACAGTACAGGGAGCTTTCGATCGCAGATGAATAGATCGGTGTTTCAACACCAGTCTAGTTGCAAAAAAGGAGTTTATATGCCAGGTTCATGTGAGCAGCAAGAGAATAATGACTGCGATTCTGTTATTACAATGATCCCACGATGGGATCAACAAGGCGTGGCATCTCCAACAGGTGCCAAGCCATCGATAAGCCGTATCGCACGTGACTGTGCTCCAACTTGACCGCCCAGCGCATTGCCCCTCTTGGTCGCAACATCCCTCTTTGGCTTCTGCTCACACTTGTCGTGATATTTCCAGCCTCTGAAACCACTACTCGGTCCTCAACATGGCTGCTAAGGTTCCGAGGAATTTTCGGCTCCTGGAGGAGCTCGAGAAGGGCGAGAAGGGTCTGAGTGCAGGTACGATTTGACTACTACGATCTCCGACAATGTCCGGTCTTAGATCACTGACGTATCTCTCTTATTCTTAGATGCCTGCTCATATGGACTTGCTGATGGAGAGGATATGATGATGAGCAACTGGAATGGAACCATCCTTGGACCGCCTCACGTCAGTTTCCGGCTCTACTCCACGCCACCATCAAACTATCGCTAATCTGCCATCTTTCAGAGCGTTCATGAGAACCGGATATACAGTGTGAACATCCACTGCGGACCTGACTACCCCGATAACCCGCCTACCATTCAATTCGTCTCTCGAGTTAACATTCCCTGTGTTGATCCCAGCTCTGGCAAGGTATCAGGAGAATCGGTACCAAAAGACGAAACCTTTGCTAAGTGGTTGTCCAACAGGTCGACCCGACAAAGCTTCCAACCCTTGCGCAGTGGAAACGAGACTATACCATGGAGACAGTTCTGATTGAGTTGAGAAGGTGAGCACGAAGAAAGGCACAAGACCGGTTATTGTTGGTGTTGACACTTTCTAGGTACATGGCCTTGCCCCAGCATAAGAAGCTGCCACAGCCCCAGGAGGGCTCGACTTTCTAGTCCAGCATGTATGAGTGCAGGCGGATCTCGGAGTATCAGGGCCGGCTTGATTTGAATTTCCTGACTTCTTCTCTTTTTCTATGACCCTAGAGCGTGTACAGTTTCTGCATGAAAGCATCGGCAGGGGTTCTTTTGGGCCCCAACTCTCAATTTCCATCCCTACATTAGGTATTCATCTCTAAAGTGTTCTATTTTGTGGAACTGGGCATTGCGGCAGGCGCCTGTTTACCAATAACAACAAAAACAAATGGTTTTTCTTATCGAGTGGCAACATAAGGAGAGAATGACTCACTTAGCCCACGGTTGTATTGCCATGTGCAAATTTTAGCTGTCTAGCATGGCGCAACCAGAGGGTTGTAGGATCTTAGGTCAAACGTAGGGACAGGGCAAGAACCTTAGGGAGGTCAAAAGACGTCAAACCCACAAACGGCATCAAGGCCATCCAGGAAAGTCAAGAGACCATACAAAAGCCCAAGGGCTGCAGAGGAAGACAGCGGGACACACCTGGGGAGATAGTGGGACAAGCCAAACAATGTCAACATGTCTTCAAGGGAACACATAGTGGGAGATCTACGTCTACATAAAGCTTCTTCTCCAAGCGCCCGGGCAAGCCGAACAGTTGATGAAAAAGGAGTTCGCGTCGATCGGGGGTAGTGTAAGCCCAATGACACTGTGCAACAAGGCATGCGCAAGCACAGGGGCCAAGTCGCGGGATCCAAAAATAGGAATAATCAAAGTGTTTCCTGGACGGAAACTTTCAGAGATTAAACTGAAAAGAACAGATACTACACTTGATCTAAGCCAATAGGCAAAGAGAGCTGAAGAAGAAAGAAAAGAAGAGGAAGTTCGGGGGGGCAGGAGCGAGTACATATAGACAAATTATGATCACGTGACTTTCTGTCAAAGGCGGTGCCCACTGGCATTTTCCACTAACCTGATTGGGCCACCGGCCGTAGACATGTAATGCAGTACGCTAGTTCCTTTACAGTAGGCGGTAGGCGGGCGGTGTAACCAGATAAGATAGTTAACTATGGTTTTGGCTTCGGCTTCATTATTGGTATAACTATTCAACACGGCAGAATGCACAAAGTGCTGGTGCCCAAGTATAATGGAACTCATCGTTTTGCTTGTGAGAGATGAATTCGTACGTTTCCAGTCCTTCCAGCTGATAATATGTCTTCGATAGGCTTGGCACTTTATCGAGCACTTCTCCGACAATGTCGTCCTTCAACCGCAGACACTCCGTGGCTGAGTGAGACCAGACCTCTCATTCGACACAATTTCCGAAAATATAAGAAATTACAAAGCCCATCACAAACAGCAAATGCCTTGAAAGCAGGCTACGAGGTATGCCCATTGAATCTTCATCTAGGCTGAGCTTATATTGATATTTCTTCGCTATATGACAGGCTCTAGATCTCCTCTCTTCGTCCCGTACCAATCAGCATGATGCACACCGAATTACAACTCTCATAGCCGAAGCCAGGTCACAGAAAGATAAATATGCTGCGATGCAAAGGGAAATTCGGCCAGTAGCGCCGGCTGCCAAGTCCCTGACACCCAAGGAAGCCAAAAAAGCACAGTCAATTCGCTTCCAGGAGGAAACAAATCAGCGACATCCCAACGCCACCTCCGTCCTAAACCGACCTCGGCCGTTAGGCGACAAAAAACGCAATGTCCCTGTGCTTGTCAATGCACGCGGACTTCCATTCTTGCGCTATAAAAAGCCGCAGCCGAGAAACGTTAGCAGTGTGATACGAACAAAACTTAGTCGTCGTTGGAACTGGATTGAACGACGAGACAGGCTGAAACTAGAACTACTTTTCGCCAAGGACGAAGAGGAGTGGGATCGCATCACCGAGACTAAGGAACCATCCACTTGGTCTGAGCATCCTGCGAATGCCATTGCCGATGTCAATGCGAAAATCGGACGCTTCGATATGCGTACGAAAGAGCTTACAGATAGCATGTGGAAGATTGTTCTAGCTGAAAAGGCTTTGGCGGAAGAAGAAGCTAGTCAAAAGCAACCAAAGCAATGAGACCGAGGGATCTGCCTTGCCGCGCAAGTCTCTTCGCTCTCCCAAACAAAGTACATTCCCTGGCTCCTACGGCAGACGGATGTGGGCGCAGAGCATATGGCTGGCCACATTACAGTCACCTACTTCTATGGCCATGCCATTGTCAATATCGCCCGAGATCACAATACAAAGGTCGGTTGCTCGAAGCGTCCAAAAGTCATGGTGCATTATCCATGTCAATCCGGGCTGGTATGTCCTTTATTGATCATATCTGATCAATGGGCACCATGGACTGCTACCATTGTCGGAGTCGCCGGACTCCAACATCAAGCAGCTCAGACCAAGACGATAGCTCTCTTTCAAGTCCTGTTTTGTCCACTGGTTGGGCATTATCTTTCCCTGTACCATAGCACAAGTCCATGTGGACTTTCGGATCTGTATATTACTTTGTTTGCCCCTGGAACCGGTTCGCTGATTGATCAGTATAATTACACCAATTCAATGAGGTTATAATACATAATTTCATGAAGTAATGGTAGGTCATTAACATTTCTATGTATCGGCTCAAGCGGCCACTTTGAGCTTCTCAACAGCTGGCAAGGCATCATCGTCTTCCTCGTCATAATCGCCTTTGGCCAAGCCCCTCTCCCACAATTGTCGGCCTGTGAGTTTTTTCTCTTCTTTCGTAGTCTTTTTCTTCTTGTCCTCCGATTCCTTTTCTTCGCGTGCCCGTAGCTCCTCTTCCTCCTGCTCCTTTTTAAACCTGGCACTCCACTCTAAGAATGACTGGACAGTGACTGCTGTGCCTTGGAATTTCCGGTTCTCCTCCTCCTCTCTCTTCGCGGCAGCTTCCTCGATTTCAGCTTGAATGGCGTTTGCTCGCTCAGTCATAAGAAGCTCCGCGCTTTCCTTAAGTGCGCTGACCAGTGTAAATATCATCGGCATACCCAGATTTTCTTCGATGGTAAGCTGAAGAGATTCCATCAATAGGTCCCGGTCTTCCTGGACATCTAGCCGAGGATGCTTCACAGCATTGGGTGGAGAGGAAATGCCGAGATTTGGGCCAACATCGGGGTAGTCTTCCGGATAGGAGACTTCCAGGCATATCACAGGTTGTTCTCTTTCATCGCCGTCATATTCGAGGGCGTCGAGGGTTATGGATACTCGGTAAGAGGTTTCGGATATGTCTAGGTGCCAGGTCTCGCTGTGAGCAAGGATAAAAAGAGAGTTTGAGCCGTCTAGAGTATTACTTACCGGTGATTTCATCAGGGAAGATTGAATCGAGCACTTCACGCTCCTCAATCTGGTCTTCGCGGCCCATAGCTGTTGATCCGCCCGCGGATTGGAGGGGTAATGATTTGAGCGCCGAGGTGCAGATTCTTCGGGGAACACCTCGTGTGGGGATGGGAGCGGTTCTAGCTGGATGAATTGAAAGACTGTCTAAGCAAGACTCTGAGATGTCGCAATATTAATCAACTTGAAAAAAAGATTAGAGCGCAAAGCAAATCAACGCTACAAACGTCGGGGCCAAGCCGGGTCACGTGAATATATCAATTATCCTCCGTCGTCAGTCCTGTAACCTCGAGATGTACTTTATATAAAGCTATTCTATTCCTGGCACTAATGATTACTGCCCTTCAGCTATAACTCCGAGAAAGAAGAATAATCTCTATAAACAGTATATGTAAAAGGATTGGATTGTATATTACGGAGTACAACCATGGTTGTCGGCGTGATGAATTGTCAATTCCCTGCCGGATGATGTAGCTATTGCAATTCCAAGGTTCATTTATATGTAACAGATCTAATAGTAATACTGGCCCCTACATGTTCAGTCTCTTATATGTATATGTAGCTCAGTTCTTCGAGCAGGTCATGCCTTATCACTCTAAGGCGGTAAGAAGCAACAGACCAGCAACAATACTGCGGTCCCACATGCAAACCCGTCAAACAACTCCAAAATTTTGGAGGTTCACTTTTTTTACTTCTCCCAGATACCCTGCGGGTTACGATTGTGAATACATTGTGCTTGATATTTGAATCGACATCCCGAGTTTTTTTTTTTGACGCTCGCTGCATCCTGCCATGGGAAAGCCCAGACCGCAAAAGAAGAAGTCATCCAAACCCCGCGAAAAGTCCGTCCTTGGCCCTGGTGGTTCGATCTCGAAAGGCAACATGGCTCAAAATCCCCCGACGTTACTCGACCAAGCCACAATCCTCCTACAAACTGGTCGAGCCGATGAGGCACTCGTGGTTGCACAGCAGGCTCTAGATTTGACCGCCGACAACACCACTGCACAGCTCCCCGCTATTAACCTGCTTGGAGAAATCAATGTTGAGCTAGGCGACATCGACACCGCTAGAAACTGCTTCCTTCAGGCTGTTCAACTCGATCAAAATGGCTCGATACCGGAATCCCAGGGCGGAGGCGCTGAGAAATTCCTATGGCTTGCACAATTGAGTGAGCAGGGTGGAAAGGACAGCGTCCTATGGTTCGAGATGGGCGTGGCCTCCCTCAGACAGACTATTCAGTCTCTTGAGGGCAAAAAATCACCAGAAGAGATCGCCGATATTACACAGAAGAAGACCAAGTTATCTAACGCACTCTGCGCCGTCGCTGAAACCTACATGACCGATCTTTCGTGAGTTTCCCTATATTCTAAATTTTATGTGGGCCAACGCTAACATATTCGCTCAGCTGGGAAGAAGATGCCGAAGCTCGGTGTGAAGCACTTATTACGGAAGCCCTCCTTGTCACACCCGAAGCACCAGAGGTACTACAGACTCTCGCCTCCATCCGGATCTCACAACTGCGCACCGAAGATGCGCAAGCCGCGCTCACTCGCAGTATGAGCTTCTGGAAGGACCTTGCCCCAGAAGATCTCAGAATTCCCGATTTTGCGGTGCGCATCAGTCTTGCTCGACTCCTGATGGAAGTGACTATGGAGTTCGAGGCTCTGGAAGTCCTCGAGCGCTTGATTCTAGAAGATGATCAAAGTGTAGAGGCTTGGTACCTTGGAGGCTGGTGTCTCTTCCTGCTGGCAGAAAAGCAACAGGCACCTAAGGATGCGACCGCTGATGAGCTTGCCGAGTCCCCGCGACATGTATCACTGGATGCTAGTCGTGAATGGCTCAAGCAAAGCTTGAAGCTCTACGATGTCCTTCAGTATGAGGATGAGCGGCTCCGCGATCATGCATTGGAGCTTGTACAGGAAATGAACAAAGAAATTGGAGAGGATGATGAGAGCGAAGCTGAAGGGGAGGGAGAGGGACAAGGCGAGGATTCGGATGTGGAGATCGAAGCGGACTCTGACGATGAGATGGCGGATTCATAGATACCAAAAGTGACGACCACATGATATGATGTACATGTTCATTGATACAATGTTTGTTTGATTTGATACCACTAGAAGTAGTTTCTTTCATTTTCTCTAACTGTCTCTTTTACTGTCAACACACCTGAACCACAAACCCAAACTTCTTTGATATCGCCACTGCAATTCATTCATCGGTTCCGGATTAAGTTGTCTCCGGTGAGGCAGATGCCCGAATTTTTGTCAGAGCAGATTTCAAGCGCGAGTGAAAACGAGTTTGTCTCCGTGGCTGGCATCTCAAACTCCTGCAAAATGGATTTGGTACCAGCCCCAAAAGGAGAGGCTTCGCTGAAGACCACTGTGGTCGAGGTGGAGGCCGTCGATATGGAGGAACAGTACGACATGGAGGACGACGCGCCGGACCTCGCACTTGAAATCCCATCAGATTTGGAGACGGACAGTGATGATTCTGAAGGATGGGATAATCTGTCTCACTGCGATGAGGCGATCCAGTTCCTACGCGATGACCAGATCCGCGACGGCCTCGGTATGTAACTATATCCACCCTCACCTCTTACCCCGGACATCCCCGCTCCCGGTGATCAGATCGAACATTGGCTGATGCGCTCGCTTTTCTATACAGTTCCCGGTGCCTGTACTCTAGCAGAGGCAACTGCATATCGGCAGCGTCTGCATGAAATTGGTAAGGCGGCGTTCGTTGAAGAGACCATCCTCCGCGAAACCGTCACGGCCAAAAAGCTATGCACGGCGTTCGGAATCGCGCCCCCGGCATTCCTCGAGGGTGCGCCGGATGAGTCTTATCATTCTCTTCTGGCGGTCGCGATCTCGCGCGAGTTCGCTCGGAGGCCCAAGCTTCCCCAGTACAACACTATCGACGATGCCGTTCGGCTTCTTCGCGAGTCTCGGAACATCATTGTTCTAACAGGTGCAGGCGTATGTTCACATTGAAGTGTATTCGGAACCCCCCCTGGACCATAGGTGCTAACAGGTATTTTATCAGATCTCGACAAGTCTGGGCATTCCCGATTTCCGTTCTAAAGATACCGGGCTCTATTCAAAACTGGCGCATCTAGGCCTGAGCGATCCACAAGAAGTCTTTGATATCCATGTCTTCAGGGAGGACCCGAACATTTTCTTCTCTATTGCCAAGGATATTCTTCCAACGGAAAAGAAATGGTCGCCCACCCATGCATTCATTCGGCTTCTACAAGATAAGGGGAAGCTGTTGACCAACTACACGCAGAACATCGATAATATCGAAGCAAATGCCGGTGTACTCCCGGAAAAGATTGTACAGTGCCATGGCTCCTTTGCGACGGCCACCTGCGTGAAGTGTGGTTTCAATGTCCCTGGCGATGCGATCTTCGACGAAATCAGGGCGGGAAATGTCCCCCACTGCACCGCCTGCAAGGAGAGAATCGCAGAAGAAGAATTGAAGCCGCAAGGTCTCAAGCGCAAACGAAGTTCCAATGGTCAACAGAAAGACCGCAAGGTCTCTGACGAGAGTTCGGATGAGGACGACTATGAAATCCCGACTCCTGGAGTGATGAAGGTCAGTGCCCATTCGGTTCCTTGCTTGCTTTATCTCCTGCTTACAAATCTATAGCCTGATATCACATTCTTTGGCGAGGATCTGCCCGATGAGTTTGGCCAACGTCTCGTTCACCAAGATCGGGAACTAGCAGACCTGGTCATTGTGATCGGAACCTCGTTGAAGGTAGCCCCCGTGGCTGAAGTGCCGGGGATCCTACCTCGCAACGTCCCACAGATCTACATATCGCGCACTGTAAGTCATGCTGACTACATTGACACTGTATCGTACTGACCATACCGTGTAGCCGGTGTCACATACCGAGTTCGATATTGATCTCTTGGGTGACTGTGATGTGGTGGTATCAGAACTTTCTCGCCGGGCCGGTTGGGATCTACAACATGATATGATACCAGCCGATGAGAAGGTGGATGTTTCCTCGGTGGAGGGATATGAATCACGACATGTTTTCAAGGTAGTCGGTGCATAGGGGCGGAGTTTTGGGCATGTCTTACTTCTGTCTTCAGGGCGTATCTTTGGGTTTCTTTTCATAGCTGGATGTGGTGATATTTCTTAGGTAGTCTTGGTCTTGTTATTTCTTGTGCGATCATATCACATCTGGGTAGATTATGGGTTTCATCGACTGTAGTTCAATAGATTGTTCACTTTGCGAATCCTCTTGATGCTGCACAATTATCTTGTCCAGTTAGTTCTACAACCCTGTATAGTTAAATCATTAATTAAATGATCTTAATCATATCCCTATGGATGTGTTTTTGCTCAATGTAGTATTTATTTGAAAATTAAATTTGATTCTTGTTGGAAATATATAAAATATATAAATCCATACTTTGACTGGCCATACTCTCCGTGGAGTATATTTCTGAAGTCCCAAGAAAAAAAAAATCTCAACCCGCAACACCCCGCCTTGAAAGCAGCAACGAATTACATGAACTCCCACTGAAGAGAAATCCTAAAGAAAAATCCAGGAAGGTATTCGTCTCGTTAGCCATGGATTATCTGGTTCGGTTCGCCCAGCTCCATGAGACCTTCCGACGGCCGGAACTCCAAGCCTGTGCCACGCTCGCGGGCGTTGACATCGAAATCATCACCTACAATCAATTTGTATGATACCCTTTCTATCAATACTGGAAGCGCCCAAATAATCCCATAAACATTCATCCTGATGATAATCCTCTATCTATCCTTGCATGATCACTCTCAATTTGCAGAAACTTGACTGACATATCCAGTCACCATACTGTGTCGTAAGACTACCAGACGAAGCCGCGGCACGGGCAGTTGCCAAGCGCAGTATCCTGGTCAAAGATATCTTCGAGCTATGGGGCGAAGGCACCAATTATGAAGAGCTACATGCAGATGTCTGCCGACGAACCCAGCATCGCTGGAACGACTTCATTGCCGTCCCATTCAAATTCACGATTGACTACTTCGCAGGAACGCGCAGCCCAGCTCAGAAGGGAGAGATCATTCGATCGTTCTCGTATATGGGGTTCAAAGGCCCGATCCGGCTAACAAACCCCGATGAGGAGTTTTTCGTGATGGAAGAGTACATCGACGACGTCGAAGTCTCTACACTAGGCGTGTCGCGAATTTCAGACCCGCGGAAGATTTACCTCAGTCGCAAGATTGCCGATAGCTGTCGCGAGAGCGTGCTCAAATACGACCTCAAGAAGCGTCGTTATATTAGCACGACTTCCATGGATGCCGAGTTGAGTCTCATTACGGCGAACATGGCTCTCGCCGCACCTGGGAAATTGTTCTTTGATCCGTTTGTCGGAACTGGAAGTTTCATAGTGGCTGCTTCGCATTTCGGAGCTCTGACTCTGGGTGCAGACATTGATGGCCGCAGTTTCCGTGGCAAAGAGACCGGGAAACTGGGCATATATGAGAATTTCGACCAATACGGGCTCAAGAGCAAATTCGTTGATACGTTCACTTCCGATCTTACCAATACACCACTGCGGAGAACTGCCGTCCTCGATGGCATTGTCTGCGATCCGCCATACGGTGTGCGTGAAGGGCTTCGGGTTCTGGGAAATCGTAGAGGGAAACCTGCAGTTAACGTGATCATTGATGGCGTTCCTGCGTATCTGTATGTCTTTTTGCTTCCATTGCCACCTACAATACTGATTTTGACCAATAGCCGACCTGGTTTCGTCCCTCCCAAAAAGCCTTATGGCTTCGAGGCTCTGCAAAACGACGTTCTCAACTTCGCTGTTCGCTCGTTGGTTCCCAATGGCCGTTTGTCGATGTGGATGCCCACAACAAATGACGAGAAAACCGAGTTCCCTGTTCCCATGCATCAGAATCTCGAGATCGTCAGTATCTCTGTTCAGTATTTCAACACTTGTAAGTGACAGCCCTGGTGATGCAATAATGATATTCAAAAGGATTGACTGATCTTGTGTCTGATAGGGGCTCGCCGACTTATAACGTACCGTCGTCTACCCGAGGGAGAATTGTCAGACACTACACTGGCCCGGAAAAAGCTTGACGACCAGGGTACTACTGCAGATGATCTAAATGCATTCCGACGAGTGGTACGTATCATTTGGGACTGGATGGCTCAGTAGCTGGCTAACTTCTTGAATCAGCATATGCTCAAAGGCCACGGCACCAGGGTCGAGAAGGACCAAAAAACGAAAGAATAAACACTCCGATGCTAGGAAGCTTGCAAAATTGCGTAATAGAAAGCCTATATACAGCGAACAGCCCGAAGATGGGACCAATGACCAGATGCAAGAACAGAGGAGAATACCAGACACAGCGTACTTTACAGTTTCCCTCGCTGGCTTCCGTCTGAAACCAAGTCTGCAGCCAAGTCCACCCCCTCGTCCCTCTGAATTCGTTTGATTTCCCCAGCCAGCTCAATCCTCAACTCACGAGCCAAGACCTCAGCCTCATCATCGTCGAGCTCCTCTCTCTGTCCACGGCCGAACATAGCAAAGCTTGTTCTCTGATTGGCCCCTTGAGCAGGGCGCGGGATGATGTGGAAATGAACGTGGGGTACTACCTGCGCTGCTCTTTCGCCTGTCACTTAGTTAGATGGTTGCTGTTTTTCTTCTTCCATAGACAAGAGATAACAAGATGGGTTATGGACGTTAGTGCGGTTTTGGCTTGGTGACAAATGAAATAAGATATCGGTCAGGGGTGTTCAACCTCCTTGAATACCAATATTGATACATAACATACGGAACAGCATACAACGTACAAATACATAGGTGCACGGTATTCAAATCCGCTAAAGATCAAGGGTTTCCGAAAATGGAGAAAAGCAAGGGCAAGACATACCATTGTTCTGCACAACATTCCAATGTCTATCGGGATCATCGCCAAACACAGTCTTCGTTACAACCCTAGAGAGGATAGGAAGCCATTTCCCCATCTGTGTGCCAAATCAAAGACAAGGATCAGCAAAAGAAGCATTTCTCAAATAGGTATGGATAAACTGATGGAAAATAACTACATACCTCCTGTCCCGCTTGAACACCCATATCTCCAAGCAACTTGTAATGATTTCTTGGCGCTACAAGGACATGGCCGCGGGTAAGTGGCATTATGTCCAAGAAGGCGAGAACATGCTCGGTGGAGAGGATGATGTGGGATAATGGACCTGAATCTGGGGCAGTAGAGGCTGGATTGATCTCAGGATCATTGAAGGGGGTTGGGGGATATGATGAGGCGATGCTGCAGAACGGACATGGCTGGGGTGCAGTGGGATCCATGTGGAATAATTTTATTTCTTCCGAGTGTGAGGATGTAAACTTGGTTCAGTGTCAGCCTCAAAGACAGATGTAACTACCTAGGTAGTAAAACAAGATGGAAGTGTGCAAAGTGATTCAGCGGCTCACAGGGCCCCGGGGACTAACCTTGCAAGGACCACGGGACTAACCTCGGTTAAGCTCGCCCAGGTGAGCTTAATTGGACGCATCTACTACAGCCCCAGATATAGACCAAAAAAGAAAGAATAAACAAGGAAATGGTTTCACTAAGCACGCCATACACACGGATCCAGTGTTAGAAATCCAACTATTTTGAACAAAACAAAAGCGGCCCAACTTGTCACTGATTACCTCCTCGACCGTCCATCCGATACCAATCTTGCATGCCTGGAAGACTCAGCTTCAGTAACCAATTGGATCTTCCAGCTGATGAATTGACAAACACCTGAGAAACAAAAAAAGTCCATAGCCGCCTTGGCTCCACAAAAGTTTTCCAATCCGCAATGCCACGCAAAGTGCCTTCGGAACTTGCATGACAAACAAAAAAAAGTGATCCAAAGGGGATAACACTGCATCGTCCAACCTATGACAAAGGTGAACCAGGGTGAGATAAGGTAAAATTGCGATTTGAAGGAAGAGAAAAATAGATCCCGACTCCTGCAACACGGTTGACGAGAATGTAAAAGATATCAAGGCAGGCGGGAGACAATGCTCATGCATGGAAAACAAGCAAGCCGAGTTTGAAGATGTAGGGGTAAAAGAAGAAAACAATAGCACACAGGGCCAAGCGCCGAACACCCCATCACAGAAGACAAATGCGGAAAGCGCAGAAATTCAATCAAGTCGTCGTAAGAATATGCAAAAGGTAGTGAATACCAGCACAATGAAATGCCAACATATGTAGGAATTCGATTTCCCTGCTCAAGTCGTCGCATGGGCCTTAGGGAGTCATGAAAGGCATCGACGTTGGCGAGACAGGAGTAGCATCACATCGTAAATGGTACAATTACTGTTCATCCTTGGCGTAACTGCTCTGCTCGGAGCCGTCGACATACAGGTGGTGATACTTCTTGGCCCATTGGCGTGTCAAGATAGAAGCTGGAAGACTCGTTAGCATGTGATATTGCAGAAGGGAATTATCAATATAGCTTACCCTTCAGGAACTTCTTGCTGGCGTATTTCTTGAAGAAGGCTTCGTGGGAGACAGGGCGGTGGAGATAATCAACCATCAACTGGAAGACGGGGTCGATCTCCTCTTCGGTGTAACCGGAGTAGTGAGCGAGAGTGGCATCCTATGATAAGTTAGTTGAGATGTGTGGGACATGTGAAAGGCAATATAACATACCCAAGGTCCGCGCTCGAGGATGAGGCGTGCAAGATACATGGCTGCGGCAGAGATGTGGCTCTGGGGGGTAGCTCATGAAACGATGATCGAGGAGACTGATCTCCATCAGGTATTTGCCCAGAGTACGGGTTTGGATATCGTAGTTATCGGCCTTGGAGATACGTCGCAGGAAGTTCATGGGGTTGGGGAAGCTCATGTTGTACTCGAGGGTTGCGAGGACGTGACGTTCAGCATCAAGAATCTCCTTATCCGAGAAGGTCTCATCGGCAACATGGCTGAAGTTGGCGACGTGAGGGGAGAGCACCTCCTCATACTTGGAGGCAATGAACATGGCGGTAACACCAACGAGCTGAAGACGATCAAGGGCGACAACTTCAGCAGACAGGAAGCGATCGATAATGTTGACAGCAAGGAACAGGGTCTCGGGGAGGAGACGGAAACGGGTGTGCACTTCGATAAGCCAATCCACGAGGATACCGCGCATCTTCCATTCAAGGTCGGGCTGATGGTCGATGTAATCAGGGTTGGGCAGAGTCATGATCTCAAGGTCCTTAAGATACTCGAAGATTTCAACGACGTATTCGGCGGCCATTAATGGGTCATCCAAGTCCTCAGTGTCCAGATCCTGCACAGCGTCATTCAGAGCATCCTTCACGCTAATCTCTGCCTCCTTCACTGGTGGTTCTTCCACAATCTTCTCGATAGTTCGTGTCTTTCGCTCAAGCTCAGGCTTCTTTCGGGGAGGCTCCTCCGCTTGGAGGGCGGTATCCTTAAGCGACGGACGCTTGTGGGCATTGGCGGCAGGTTTCTTGTTCGAGTCGCGGGGTTGAAGGGCAGGTCGTGTTGCAGTTCGTGAGGAATTGGTGCGGCTGAGCTTTTGGACACCTCCAGTCTGGACAGTTGCCTTTGAGGTCAAACCGGCCTTGGCGGCAGCCGGTTTCTTCCCAGCTTTCACCTCAGCACCTTCCGTCTTGTTGACATTGCTGACATCGCCGAGGGCAGCACGGGGACGTAGGGATCCATTACCCGTGGTAGTCGATGTGGTTCGCTTGGTCTGCAGGGTCTTCTTGGCTCCGGCGGCGGGGGCATCGGTGCTGAGGGCGGCTGTCTTGGCCCGCGTCACACGCGCTGACGGACCGTTCTCATCGTTCTCATTCATCGTGCCTCTGGTACGAAGGCTGCGGGCCTGCAGTGGAGTCAGTGATTAGTCTAGTGAGGTCATAGGACACGCCTAGATCTCGATGCTATGGGACCAGATATCCCGCGACCAGGATATCAAACGCGTGTTTTGGAAGGGTTAAAGATTTCTCACCTGAGGCATCGTGAAGAAAATAAAAGGAAACAGACGCGTAGGAAGAGAAGAAAGGGGACAGGGATATAATGATTCTGGTCCTGCTTGGGAAATCAGGTCAGCATTCCATTTGATATTACCTCGGTGGGGACCTCATACCAGAGGGTTAAAGGACGAGGTGCACGTACCACGCGTGAAAATGCGGATGTGCTGAAGAAACTACAATGCCAGTAGGCAGAGGTAGCTTTCAGACAGGTGGAGATGATATGAGTCGATGATTACGCCTCAAAGATGACTATGTTGATGTGTATCAAGACCGCGCAGAACCCTTGTTCCGAAGATCAAATGGCGCGCGAATCGGGGGAAAAATATGTCAAATGATACAGAAATGATCTGGGGACACTGTACAACAGGAATCCGCACGCGATAATTTGTTAGTTTGGGAGTGGGGGGGGGAAAGATGGAAGGGTAGCTTTAACTGGAATGATGAGGGAAAAGGATGAGAGCTTGAGGGCAAAAGGCGATGTTTGGCCCTAGTACTGTGCCTAGCGTGGAAAACAATCCGCCCCACTCAGCCAGTCGCGTGGATCACCGAATTGACCTTCGAGCCCTTTTTGGTGTAAAAATTCTAGAATGAAGAATTAAGCTGAGCAATGAAAAACCGAATCGAATCAAGCAAAAGACGAGTTAAGATAGGTTAGAAAAGTAGATCCAGCAATGAAGGGAGATACGCGTGAGTATGGCGATGGGTAAATAAACTGGTTGCTCGGACAACAATGGCGTTTCGGTTTCGTATAGTATCGGACCTCCTGTAACAAAGAAATCACGTGATCGAATTCGATATAAGGCGGTCAAACTGGAGCCATGGATGGATTCGCACATGCGCCACATGTGATGAGTGGCGGTGGAAGAGGCGGTGCAGGAGGAAAGTCACGTGGTCGGGTGAACTTTTTGTTTCTGTAGAGAGTCCGGTGCATATCTACAAAGCAGAGGAGAGGAGCTGTTGAGTCTTTGTTGGTCTGCTCCATTGTCATTTTTGGCTTTCATCGACCACACTTTTAACCAATTGATTCCTTCAAACCTCACCTTTCCCCTTCCTCCCCCATCCTTTGGCAGCAATGCTCCAACCCCGAATTGCCCTACGGGGCATTCGGCTGCCCTTTAGGTGTCTACCATCTCTACCCTCGCCAGTTCGTGGCTATTCGACAATTGTGAACGAAATTGAGAAGAACAAGCCCAAGCCTACCGAAACACCATTGAACTCTTTTATTGACCCGAACGTCTCGTTTGCTCCTCCCCCCGGCCGCGATTCTTCTGGCATTCAGCTGCGCACTTACACTCCGCGCACCCCCGGTGTGAGACATCTGCGGCGTCCTGTGAATGATCATCTGTGGAAAGGCCGCCCGGTTCACAAATTAACGTTCCCTAAGCGTGGCCACGCCAAGGGTGGTCGAAACAACTCTGGCCGAGTTACTGTCCGCCATCATGGAGGTGGTGCCAAGCGTCGAATTCGGACAATCGATTTCCTGCGCATGGCTCCGGGGCCGCACACAGTGGAGCGTATCGAGTATGATCCCGGGCGCACTGCACACATCGCTCTGACTGTTAGTAAGGAGACCGGCAAGTTGAGCTACATTCTCGCAGCAGATGGTATGCGCGCCGGCGACGTGGTCCAGAGTTACATGTCCGGAATTCCTGAAGATTTGTGGAAGAGCATGGGCAGCACTGTCGATCCCGGTGTGCTCGCCGCGAGAACAGCCTGGAGAGGAAACTGTCTGCCGTTGCACATGGTTCCGGTGGGAACATTGATCTTCAACTTGGGGTTGCGACCCGGAAAGGGTGGCCAACTGTGTCGGAGTGCTGGAACATATGCTACAGTTGTGGCCAAGGGTAGTGATTCCCGCCAGCAAACGGTTCAAGATGGACAGCCCGAGGCCGAAAAGAAGCCCATGTCGCAGCGCGAGCAGCAGAAGCTGGACCGTCTGGCGCAGCACATTACAGTCCGTCTCTCAAGTGGTGAGATTCGACTTATTCACAAGGACTGCTGTGCTACCGTTGGTATTGCCAGCAACCCGAACTACCAATACGCCCAACTTGGAAAGGCTGGTCGCTCACGCTGGCTTAACATTCGTCCGACGGTGCGTGGTCTGGCCATGAACGCCATGGACCATCCTCACGGTGGTGGACGAGGCAAGTCTAAGGGTAACGTTGACCCGAAGAGTCCTTGGGTATTCCGGTATGTATATCCTTTTATTTCGCATCATCTGAACTGCTTGGGACTGACTCTTAATTTTCACCCCCAGACCAAATCCGGCTACAAGACCCGCCCGAAGTGGAAGATCAACAAGGCTGTTGTTCATCCCAGACCTCGCAACCAAGGAAAGCGCCGTCGTGGATACAACTAGAGATGATGCTGCTTTGCCGAAGTGGCCATTTCACTCTGCTTTGCCCCCGAACCATTTGTACCTCCTCACCCTATACCTCATCCCTACCGCGCAGAGGATGACTGTACGATATCTTTTCCTTTTTTTGGCACATTAAATGTCTCATCGTTTCTTCTATCATGCGCTATTTCTTGGGGATTATTGTTTTGCGCATCTGCCATCTGACTGAAACTCGGGCAATGGGCACTGTACAGTACGATGGCTCGAGGCCATATACATTCAAAGCGAAAGAAAATAGATTTATAAACCGTTTCATCTCTTTGCACATAGTAGGTTTACATAAATGTTGTATATAATGTACTCGGCCTTTACTGTGCTTAGCGCGTCGATCTGGGCAGATGCGTGCCAAGCCTTTAGGCAATGTCGCTGGTGCGTGGCCCTCTGCTGATCGCACCTGTCAACGCTCTTATTGGGGATATGGAAATTCAAGACTTCCCCATGGTTTCAATTAGAATCCGATCGAAACGAACAAAATAGGGGTTCTCTAATTCTATATTTCTTCATAAAGACAGGTCGGGCCGGAGGAGCGCTCAGCCTCTCCTGATACGAACTTCCGTCGTCATTCATAGAACTTCCTTTTCACATCCCCACCTCGGTATATCTCCAACAGTTGGATGTTCCTGGCTCGGACGCCTCAGGTCTATCCTATTCGCGTCATTCCAGGTTCTGCCTAAAACAAATCGCGCCCGGACAAGCCAGAGTTCGCCAAGATCAATTCATTCATTTGAATTACTCAGCTACTACATCACATCTCGAGATCATCAGTGTGCAATCAAGCCCGCCATGGCGGCACTTCCGCCGTCCAATTTTGGACCCGAATCGTCGCAATACTCCACAGAATTCGGCTCGTCTCAAATGGAATTCATGCCTGGTGAAAGTGGTGCCGCTGCCGAAAGTACTAGCACGGGAGAAAGCAACTTCGTTCCCCGCCCGAAGCGCATCGCATGTGTTGTCTGTCGGAGGAGGAAACTAAGGTGTGATGGGAGACGGCCGAGCTGTGGGACTTGCTCACGTCTGGGACATGAATGTTCTTACGATGAAGTTCGCAAGAAGAGTGGTCCCAAACGGGGATATGTCAAGCAGCTTGAAGCGCGATTAGGTACGAACTCGTTGACAGCAATTGTTGCAAGGCTGCATTGGCAGTGAGCTATATCGCTAACGATAATAACTGCATCAGCTCAAGTAGAGACTCTTCTCAAAGGCCAGGATCCGGAACCCACACATCGAAACTCCCCATCTCAACCATTGGATAATGCATTTGCTGCACCCATCACCGATGAACCTATACTGGATTTGCCTGACCTCTCGGACCTAGGAGGGCTAGGAGGTATTGGAGGTCACATGAATGGCTCGTTTCCAGATTCCACTGCCCCCGGCGCAGGCCAGCCAAGTCAAATGTTATATCCTCCGCAGCCAACTACCCAGGGCAACAGCAACTCTCCATGGGACTTGATCAGTCTAGGGCTGGAGGAGCCCCTTCCTTCACAGGACGTGGTCGATGAACTGTACGTGTTATATGCGGCTTTCTACTTGAATTGGTCTCTAATACAATGGTGCCGTCTAGGGATGCTTTATTCTTTGAGAAGATCTATCCAATGATGCCCATCATCCACCGCCCCCGTTACTATGCAGCCCTGAATCTCGCCCCTAATATGCGACCACCAATCTGTCTGCGATACATTATGTGGTGCCATGCCGCATCCGTCAGTGACAAATATTTCTTTCTACATAATCATTTCTACCAGCGGGCACGCAAGTACGCCGAGATGGACGAAATGAAAGGATTCGGAGAGAACATCGTCAGTTTAGCACATTGCCAAACATGGATATTTATCGGCACATATGAATTCCGAATGATCTTCTTCCCGCGAGCCTGGCTGAGCGTTGGTAAAGCTGGAAGACTAGCACTGATGCTGGGATTGAATCGGCTTGATGGCGTTGGTCTCGACGTCAAACAATCGATCTTACCACCGAAAGATTGGACGGAGCGCGAAGAACGCAGGAGAGTCTTCTGGGGCGCATTTGCCATAGATAGATATTCGAGCGTTGGAACTGGTTGGCCCATTCTTATTGATGAGAACGATGTCAGTATCTCGTTCGTGAACCCTCTAGCGGAGGGTGACAGGCTGACAACAACCAGATCATGACCAACCTCCCCGCATCCGAAGAATCCTTTATGAAGAGCAAGCCACAGCGGACACTTCCACTAAACGATATTCTAACCGGAGACGGCGTCTCTACACTAGCCCCTTTTGCATGCGTGGTGGTTTTAGCAAGTCTCTTTGGTCGTAACCTCATACACATCCATCGGCCTCAGCCTCAAGACAACGACCATGACCTCAATGGGGAGTTTTGGAAGCGCCACAGAAGCCATGATAATATTCTTCTGCACATTTCGCTCTCCTTGCCTGATCATCTCCGACTTCCAAGTGGTATATCGGACGTGAACGTCATTTTTGCCAACATGAGCATCCATACTTCAACCATCTGTCTTCACCAAGCGGCAATATTCAAGGCCGAAAAAAACAAGATGCCGAATCAGATTACGACCGAGAGTAAGCGCAGATGCCTTGTTGCCGCGAATCAGATTTCGAGTACCATGAAGATGATCAGCCATGTTGATTTGACGAGCGTGAGTCTCTACTGAGTTACTTGCCCAAAATCAGTTTCACTAACGCCTTGCAGCTAAATCCTTTCATGTCGTTTTGTCTCTATATTGCTGCCCGTGTCTTTGTGCAGTATCTTAAGTCCCGACCAGAGGATTCGAGCGTTCATTCCTCGTTGCAATTTCTCGTCTCCGCTCTAAACGCCATGAAGAACAAAAATCCTCTGACCGAGTCCTTCCTTGTTCAATTGGATGTTGACCTTGACGGAACTGGCATTCGCGCTTTGGACGATAGACAGAAAAGCATGTCTGCTGCACATTCGATTGTAGTAGGTTTCCCTGACTTGTTCCCTAATGGCTGATCGAAGCTAATCTTATTTTTCTCTAGCAAACATACTGCCACGATAAGGTGGATTGCAATCCTTTGTACAACCTCCGCCAAACACAAGGGATGGCGAAGGAGCCCTCCCCACAATACAGTGCCAACCGCGGTGGCAATCAACAACAGCCTATGCCTGCTGGCTTGAGGACTTCCCTCCCTAGCCGGAACAGGGACTCCACAGCACCGCCCACCACAGGACCACTCTATAATGGCGACGACACGCGTCACTTTTTCGGAACTTCCACTCAGGCGACAGGCCCTAAAATGGACCAAGCCGGACCACCAGGTGCCATTATCGATATGGACATGGATTTTCCGCCTGATTTCGGCAACCTCAGCGACAGAAACAACCCACCATCAGACCATCCCACCCCCTCGACCTTGAATTCATCCTCCAACACCTCCTATTCCATCAATGGTGCTGACGACCCACCACCCGGAAACAAGAATCAAAAGACAAGCTCGGTATATCCGAGTCAGGCGTCGGGACCGTCCTTTGACAAGGTCAATTCAAACATCATGCCGCAAGGGAATACAAACCCGCAAGCCACTGATTTAGGTTCTATGGCTGGGCGGTTTTATCCAAGCAGCTCTGATAGCCCGTCAGTTGCCGCAGGAGCATCGGGAATCTTTTCCATGCCCTCCGCGTGGGACCTTCCAGCTCCAAATCCGGAAACGGGCAATGAAGACTTTGGCAGTTTAAACATGGAGACTTTCAGTGAATCTCAATGGGCTCAGATGTTGGATACCCAAATGCCGGGTGAAAATGGGACCAACGCTGGCTGGGAGAACTGGCGGCCATCGTGAGCACATCGCGCGGTGGACTATACTTTCCTACAAAATGATCTTGGTTGAATAGCCAATGACGTCAAAAACCCACCAAACTTGAGTTTTTTTTTTCAACAAATGAAGCCTTCTCATGCTGCCGCTCAACGAACGACATCGGGGCTTTGTATTCTCTGAGCCCGCTCAGAATCCAAGATCCTAGGCTCTCACTAATCAGGACGACCGATAGGCGCCTTTATCAAACTGGGGATCTCATATGAGACTCGGAGCATGTCGTCATCCTATTGGATACTTCTCGTTTGCTATTGGTTTCCATCCCCGCCCTGGGCTGACATTGATATATGCCAGAGACCGGCCTCCTAATTCCACAGACTCGGGCCGAGGACTTTGGACTGAGGACTTGGTTAATTTACCCACCACGGAACTGCAAATTCCTTTGCAATTCTCTTCTTGCCACAGTGTTCGAGCAAAGTGGCAGCCTGATAAGCTTCCATTAAGCTCTGCTTTTGAATGATTTGATGACGAACGAATGAACGGTCTTTTTGGGGCGGAACTCTTCACTCTTGGATAGCTTATGCGGTTGCAATCGGAGTATTTGGGGCCTGTTACTTCATGTTAATAACCAATCTCTACAATAATACATTGAAATCTTAAGAAATCCGTTGATCTTACTTAGCCACCCCTTTGGTCTTTTCACTACGTCCATTCATGATAATTTCTGATAATAATCTAGATCACAGAGGCCAGAGGCAAAAGCAAAGCTTGCTGAAGAATAGGAAGTACAATAGAATGCTCGAGATTACAGACCACCACCAGCAGCACCGACAATCTTCAAGCCTCCAGCGCTGGAACTACCAGGTCCATCAGTGGTAGTCGAGTAAGCGAGCCAGTAGCGAGAGGGATGCCACGCAACAGCAGAGACACCAGCATTGACACCAGCAGTAGGAATTGTGTAAATGCTATCACCAGACTCAGCATGGAAGATCTCCAGTCCATTACCACCACATCCAATCTCATCGCATGCGCCAACAATGAAGCGGCCATCGAAGCTCCAGCTCACGCCACGAATAGCGCCACCATTTTCGCTGGACAAAGTGCGACGACAGATCCAGTCGGTTGTGTCCCAGAGGGAGATGAGAGCGTCGCTTCCGCCAACTGCGAGGTATCGGCCTGTCGGGGCGAGTGCAATTGAAAGGCAGGCCGAGGTGTGGGCGTTGAGAGTGTGCATAATATCGAAGGAAGGGTAGGACATGATTTTGACCTTGCCTTCACCAGTAGTCACAAATACATGCTGCTCCGGACGTTCGGGTGTCGGCATGCACCAGGAGAAGGTTGTCGCATTTGTTTGGACGGTCTGAGGATGAGGGTCGAGAGCTGTGTATGTGGTTGCGCCGGGTGTAGAGGAGGGGAGGTTGAGGGCGTTCACGCCATCGGGGTGGGTGGTAGGAGAGGAGGGGAATTGAACGGAGATGGGGATCAAGGTGTCGTCCTGTTCACATATCGTATGTTAGTGGCTTTCTCATGAGGCATCAAGTCTGCGGAGTCGCAGCGCTGCATGATTACCTTCTTGCCGACGATCATTGTGCTGCCGTCAGCAGACCAGGAGAGTGTAAATGCTTCGCCGCCGACATCGAGACGGCTCACACATGTCTTGGAGCGCACATCCCAGAAGCGCACTGTACCATCAGCCGAGCAACTAGCTAGCTCCGCATCGCGGACTGGGTTGAAAAGAGCCTTCTCAATACCAGCGGTGTGGCCGCGCAATTCAGTAGAGTATCGTACATGAGGACGGTCCGGGTTCCAGATTCGTAAAGTGCGATCTGCTGAGCCAGTCGCAATCAGCTGGCCCGTGGGGTTCCAAGCAAGAGTGCGGATCCTGTGGTCCCAGACCGTTGTCAGTAAATGAGCGATAGCCCCTGGCGCAAAAAGCCAGACTTACGTGTGAGAGCCTGGTCCCTTGGAGACAGGGTCTAAGTAGTTTTGGGTCTTCACGCTCCCAAACACAAATGCAAAGTGATCCTTGTGTAGGAGCTCGCGACGCGGAGCGGGCGCCATCTCTTCGTCTTCCTCCTCTAGCAATTGGCGCGAGACTGGACTACCTGCATTCGAACCAGCGGCAGAAGCAGTAGCAGAAGTAGAAGCGGTAGAACTTAGAAGCTCAGGCTGGATGCTATTCGAAGAATGATGGACAGACGGAGAGTACTCAGATACCGCCTCTGGGAGGCCCGATACTGCCGGGGGATCGTTATCGGGTGCCGCCATCACGATATCCGCCTCAGGCACCCAACATTTTCTGCCTTATTAGTTCGGGTCCAATTTGCGTATTTGCGTTTCAATCGCCAAAACAAAAAAAAAAAGAAAGAAAAGAAAAGAAATTAGGATAAAAGGAAGCGACAAGTGAGGAACCAGTGAGTTCTGTAATTTTCCGGGTCTCACCGTTTGGCACGGCACCTAGAGGGGAGAAATGCGTTCTACACGTTGTATACCAAGGAACACCACCAGGAACTATGCATGTATGTCATAAGACCTAAAGTTGTTTAGGTTGCAATTGGCACATTATAGTTACTTTAAAGTTATTCTATGCATCTTGTTTATTCCAGTGCTGTGTATGTTGGTAGACTTTGCATTCTAATTCACAGTATAGTTATATTCTAATGGATAGCATAATTTTTTTGGCTCTATATATACATGGTTACATAATGAAAGCCGTTTGAGGAAATTTCAATATAGTAGAATTAGAAGGAAACTCCAGGTTTAGGTATCTCTCACAAGTTGACATAAAAGCACTACATTGAGCCATTATACAGGTTACAGTTTCGAGGCTGTTGATATTTATTGATACATATTATCTTGATTCATATATGCCTTCGAATTCAATACATCTAGTACCTCTACAATATTCCTATATTGTTACCTAGACGTTGTGAAAATACTCCAAATTCCAATTCAACAGTTGAATGTGGAAGCTTTGATAGCTGCAGCCTTATGGGTCCGATAAGCCCGAGCTTAATCGGACCTCACCCTTCGGCTGAAAAATTGACCCTGCAGAATTCAAGAGCTTCAATTGTCAACATTAAGCATCACTTCGAAGACTATCAGAGAAAGCATGTTTGAAGAAGTGGACGATGCGTCGCGTCGTGAAAAGTGCTTCACTACCATCGCTCAGCTGCCGGCATTCATCGACCCAAAGCAGATCCCGGGCAAGAGATTGCCCTTTTCAACGATTCAAAATCATGCATTCGTACACTCAGTAGGTGGCCTGTGGCTTGCCTTGAGAAATGGAAGGTCATTGGACTGATCATTGGGTATAGGTCGAGGTTATCTTGCCCAAGGAGTTTTACTTGCAGATCAAGCCGTCGCTCGAGAGCAAACTAGAAAAACCTCGATATGCACGAGTCTTCATGGCTCCTTCGGCTCTGCTTGAGCATGATTTCTTCAATACATATATCAAATCAGGTATTTTTGTCTCCGCCGGATCAGTCCAAAAGCTCTTCCATATTTGAGTGGCCCTCAGTTGGCACCAGACCGCTTTTGTGCCCAGAGAGACCACTTTCTCGAAGACGGCAGACTGACCTGAACTGACTTGGGACATAGGGAATATATTGATGATATCCGAAGGACGTTCAGGATCCGATAATGTCTTCACACTCCGAGATGGTTCGTTCTCCTGAAGCTGTGATTGGAAGGGTCTTGTCGTTGCGGAGCCGAGAATTGACTCGAATGGAAACAGGGGTACTTCGAATGGAACTAGGAAAGGAGATCTATGAGCGAACAGGTCTCACAGGCAAGCCTTGTCGCAGCGGCGGCAGAAAACATGCCAAAGAAAGATTCTGTGTGTGCAACCAGAGCAAATGGGCTCGGCGAATATTTACTAATTATGTTGTCAGTGGTAGAATTGAACTTGCGGCTGCCCTCCATGTTACATGGCAAGAAAGGCTTCGAAAGAATCGTATGGGCATTCACCAATGTTCTGACTCAATCAATGGCCTGGCTCTTCCACGACCTGGAAAGCAATCCTGGTCAGGATGAAGGTGATTATGGCCCGAATCCGAAAAGGGAAATAGCAATAACTTACTAAAAGTTGTAGCAGGAACCAAGCCGATCAATAAGGTCCAACCGCAGTTGATTACCTGCGAGCCACAGGAAATTGATCACGAGCAAATAATCACTCCGCCGTTTTTTAACGAAAAGGGGAAAGTACTTGAGAAAATGTCGGAAGGTGATCTGCAGGAACACTGTGGCTCCCTGTCCGAATGGCTTGCCATGGTCCAGATGGCTTCCCCCCGGTTATCTGGGGAAGATGACGTCGATCCGTACCTGAGTCGTTATGCAGTTCCAGACGCAGATGGAAGCCAGACCTCTGATTTGATGAGCTTAAAATGGCACGGTTTGATATCGTCCCGTTGGATCATGCAGCTGTTCCTGAATCTATTGTGAGTTCCGAATGTTCCCTATGGTATTCTGGTTGAGAACTGACGTCCAATAGGCAAAGCAAGGCTAGCAATCTATCCTGGTTTGCGCTTGCCGTCGCTACTTTGGGCAAAGAGGCCGTGGAGGGAAGGGACGGCTTCACGGTTATGGTCCTTCCTAGGGAACCTAGTGAACCTGAACCCAAACAAACAGAAGAATCTCAGGATAGCAAACGAACCAGTGGATCTGATGGTCGTATGACTCTATGTTGGGAGTTGATGGGGGCATCGGTGACCGAACCCTGACCTAACCCTGTGCCCTTTGTCGACTCACACCCCATGGGGGATTTCTTCAGGGCTTCATCCACACCAACCCCATTATCTTGCCCTGGAGAGAACACACCACGCAGCTTCCCACAATCCTCTTCATTCTTCTTCTTCTTCCTTCCTTCCGTCTTCCTTTCTCCTTCCTTCCTTCCCCATACTCGCATTTTCTTCCCCATCCATTATCCATTCATCCATTACCCATTCATAGCTACAAAATACAATTAGCTATTCCATAGTCGTTGCTCTGAGAGTCTTCCACTCGTTCAGCAATTGACACACTTCATTCATATCTTCTATCAATTTTCATGTTTCTGCACCTTCCTTGACTCTACAATCTACCTGTACTATCATTCACATTCTCTTTTCATCCCATCATTCGTTATGGAGCCTACTCAGTTTTTTACCGACGCATTTATCGAGGAGCCTTCTGAGAAAGCTCCAAATAAGGCTACCACCGACGCCCTTGCCGATGCGCCTTATGATGAAGATCCACAGCAGGCTATCTTGGCCCTCGACGAATGGAAAGTGCCTGCGAAGATTTTCCGCGCTGATGGTTCCTGCATGACCCTCTGGGAACTTGCTCGTGCTAATGGTAAATTACATCCTCCTGATTTAGGATTATCGGACTGAACTGACTTGTGTTCCTAGGATATCGCTTCGAAGGAGACCCCAATGAGACTCCCGGCTCTACCTTTGACAAGGCCTTTCTTGAACTCGGTGTTGACCCTGTCATTGGTCCAGCGACTGAGGATCACCTTGAGCTTGACCCTGAATCATCTACTCCCATCGTGGTTGACGAGGTTGATGACGTGACCCCACTGAGCGCCTGCACCAACCAGCCGACAGTCTATCCGCTGGATACCCTCAACTCCCTCGAGAACGCCGACCTGGGTCCTCCCCTTGCGGTCGTTCAAGTTACTCCCACCAACAATGCTCCAACCACCCAAAACGCTCCGGTCACCATTGATACAGCCGCTGAAGTCGCTCCTGTCACTGCTGCTCCGGTCACCCAAGTCGCTACTTCAGTCACCCAACACACTCCGATCGTTGATCCAGCTGTTCAACTCACTGCTGCCACTGAGGCCTCGGTTACTCAAGTCACCCCTCCAACTAGCCAAGCCACCCATGTTGTTCCAGTCGCCAATGCTGCCCCGGTCGCCCAAGTCGCTCCTCCCACCTCCGGTACAGCAACTGGCACGGTCAAGGTTTTTGCTTTGCCACAAGCCAAATCGCGCACTCAGCCACCCAAGCAGAAAGGCAAGCGGGTTCCCAAGAGGAAACAAGATGATGCGCTACACAAAAAACAGAAGAAGACAAAGGCCCAAAGCACCCCACGCAAGGCGAAAGGGAAGACAACTTCAGTCCCAGTCACACCACCTCAGAAGATTGCGCCTGCCCCGATGGCACAGGCGCCTGCTCCAATCCGTTTCCTCGCCCCGAAGACTCCTGTCCCTGCTCCGGAAACTTCTGTCCCTGCCTCGATGACTCCAGTGCCGGCGGGCCATCCCAGCCAGCAGCAGCAGCTTCAACTTGAAGAACGTCTCCGAAATCAAGAGCAGTATCTTCGTATTGAATGGAAGCAACTTCAGCAGCAGGCTGCTCATCTCAAACGCCAGCCGCGCGGAGATCCACAGCAGCTTCAGATCTACGAACAGCAGCGTCAGATCAACGAACAGCAGTTTAAGCTGTGCCATCAAAAGGTCTTGCAGCACAAAGAGCAGGTCCGTCAATACCGGTGTCAGCAACAGAAGCAGCATGCGATGCAACAACGCCAGCGATCCCAAGCTGCAGCGACTCAGCAAGCTCAGCAGCCCAACCACCAAATGCAAGCAGTTTATCCCACCCCTTCCAAGGAGCGCATGCAGTCTTCCATGCACCAAATCCAGCAACTTCAGGCGCCAGCGGCTCAGCAAGCTCAGCAGCCCATCCATCAGCAGCTCCGAGGTTCACCGGCTCAGCAAGTCCAACAGCCCACCCCTCCTAAGGAGCACATGCAGTCTTCCATGCACCAAATCCAGCAACTTCAGGCGCCAGCGGTTCAGCAAGCTCAGCAGCCAACCCCCCCAAATGCAAGCAGTGTATCCCACCCCTCCTAAGGGACGCATGCAATCTGTGATGCACCAAACCAACCAAATCCAGGCGTTAGCGGCTCGGCAAGTTCAGCAGCCCAGCCACCAAATTCAAGCAGTGTATCCTACCCCTCCTAAGGAGCGCATGCAGTCTTTCATGCACCAAACCCAGCAGCTCCAAGGCTCAGCGGCTCAGCAAGTTCAGCAACCCATCAACCAGCAGTTTCAAGGTTCACCGGCTCAGGTCCAGCAGCCCACCCCTCAAATGCAAGCAGTGTATCCCACCCCTCCTAAGGAACGCATGCGGTCTTTCATGCACCAAACCCAGCAGCTCCAAGGCCCAGCGGCTCAGCAAGTTCAGCAGCCCACCCACCAAATTCAGGGGGCTTATTCTACGCCTTCTAAGGAGCGCATGCAGTCTATGATGCAACAAACCCAGCAACTCCAAGTTTCAGCTCAGCAAGTTCAGCAACGCACCCACCAAATGCAGGGAATATATTCCACCCCTACCAAGGAGCGCAAGCAGTCTGTTTCTTCCCTTTCTGCCGCTTCGCCCAGCAAGAGAACTTTCGAGTTTATGGAGAACATTGTGCCTAGCAACTTTGTGGCCAACCCAGACAATCATGCGCGATGGACTGTTAGCCCTAACGGCAACCAAACCTACTTGAACGGACCCCAGGCGAAGAAGGCACGAGTTTCTACGAAGTAGAATCGGACAGAGATGGTGTTTGTCCGGCACGGCTGTGAAGTTTTCTTTCTGTCTTTTCTCTTTTTTTCTCCCCGAAGGATCATGGTGAGGTGTTGAGAACGAGGTCTTTGCTTTTTGTGAATGAGTTAAATATTTCGAAGGGGGATTTGTTTATGCGGAGGATTCCAAGCTTCTGACCACGGTGTTACAGTAGGTACACATGGATTGTAGCCTACATGAATGCAATTTCTCATTCATCACTTTCTACTGTAGATTCGATTAATAGAGTCTTCATGCATAGTATTTACGAGAAGAGCAGGTGTTTCTAAGGTGGGCCCGGAAGAGCTTGGAAGCAATCTTGAAAAGCAAATGAGGTCTCCAAAGCCAATCCTGATCATGAAGGCACTTTTTCTACAGATAACGAAAGAGAACGATCCGAAAGCCATATCCCCAAGCACATTTGACAGCCAATAACCAACAGGCTGCAGTGTTAGGCAATAGCCAGAGCGTACAGGATGTCCAATGTATTCGCCAAGCCCAAAACATAACATTTGCAAGACGAGTGGCTGTATCGGCGCGCCAAGTCGTATGAGATAAAACAGAACGCCTCCATTTGCATTTAAACACTGAATAAGAGAAAAAAAAACCTTGATTGAAACATGGTACGTTAGCCCGTCAGGTCATTCACTATGTCTCGCAGGATGGGCCGGTTCCCAACCACCTTCGTGCCGTTGAACAACTTTGCACCTGTCTTTGAAGGCTTCCGAAGGCCGGGCGCTGCTTGTCGGGAACCTAGTGGGCTCAATGGTTCACGGGAAAGACGAGAAGAAGGTGATTTGTTCTTGCCCCTACCTTTGCCCTTCGCAGAGCCAGGAGTCGAGGCCGCACCCGGGGACATGAGCTGCGACTGCGTGGTACAGGAAGGGAAGAAATGTTTGTCTATCGCTCCGCTGGGCAAGTTATAAACCCAGTCTTTGCCTTCCATCAGACGCACGTATTTGTAGAGGAGCTCGTTACCGTCACGGAGAGTGGATCTGCTGCCGACAACCAGGAGCTTGGTCTGGGCACGGGTGAAAGCGACATTGACACGACGCCAGTCACGAAGGAGCTCGCCGACGTTGTTTTCAGCGTTACTGCGGACGCAGCTCAGGATAATAACCTCTTTGTCGCGGCCTTGGAACTTGTCTGTAGTGTGCATTTCCAGATCCGGGGTGTAGCTTCGCAGGCTCTGGCGAAGGAGCGAGAGTTGGCTGCGGTAGAAGGTAATCACACCAATGTTGCGGGCGGGAGTACCGCAGGCAATGAATGACTCCACAAGTTGCGAGCAGAGGAAGACCTCCATGTGGTTCACGACTCGATTTCCCTGTGCTATCTCGAGGGCTGCAGGGCCGATGGGATCGGTGTTGACCAGTCGCGTTTTTGCGGATGGCCTCAGTAAGTCTTGGAGCCAGCAGGCGTTACTGAGTGTACCCGGGCAGATCTCTCGCTGGGATTGTGACTGAGCATGGCTGAAGTCGTCGACATGGAATTTATCGAGGGCGTTGATGTTGGGTATATCCAAAGATCGGGCTGCTACCTGCGGCGTGCCGCATTTGAGACGGCCCGAATAGATCAGAGTGTTGGAAAGTAGCATGAGTTCCTCACACATGCGGTACTGGTGCTCTAGGTTGACAACCGAATCTGGTTGTGCATCTGAGAGTAGTTTGAAGAGACTGACATCAAGTCCTCCTTCCTGAGCCGCTTTATTCTGCACAAGCGGCGGCAATTGATAGTGGTCACCGACCAGGATGAAAGTCCTTGCCATACGAATCGGGCCGAGGCAGACTGGGAGCGTGATCTGTGACGCCTCATCCACAATACAATAGTCAAAGATGCGTTGATTGAAAATGTTATGGTTGACTCCGAGACATGTAGTGGCAACGACCTGCGGCTTTTCGTATGAATCCTTGAGTTCTTCAATGGTTGATTTTGGGATTGCGGCAAGATCAGCAAATTCCTGGACATCTGGATGAACTTTGGCGGTTGCACCTATACGCAGCACACGAATGTTGTCGTCTCGAATCTTCAGCAGAATGTTGTCAACTGCAGTGTGAGTGTAAGATGTAAGAAGAACACTCCTGCCTTGTGCGACAAGGGCCCTAATAATATGGGCAATGGTTGTGGTCTTTCCAGTCCCTGGCATTCCAAGGACAAGAGCATAGTCTTTGGCACTCATCACTTTGTCAATGGCTTGTCTTTGATCAACGTTAAGATTGCCAGGATCGGAGATCGCGTATGAAGATGATGTTGTCTTGAAGGCGGGTGCCTGCCCCTCAACAATGAGCCGTCGAAGCTGTCTCGCTTGGAACAAGTCTTTATCCATCATACAAATGAGGTTGTTTCGAACAATGGCCATGCCGTTGCTAAACTCATCTTTGTCGATCCGGTAAACCAGCTGTTCACCTGGGTCTTCCAGAGCAGCAGGCTCTTCTTTCCCGACCTCCATGATTCCTCTGAAAGACTGATTTGTGACTGCATCGAAGCCAGCCGTCCTTGATCGTGCATTGTGAAGTTTCCGGTCCACGCCAACCTTGATGTGTGATGAACTAGTATGCACCACGTATCCGTTGGCAAGAGCAAAATGGCCCTTTTCATCCGAAATGACAATCGGTTCACCCACAGTTATTTGAGATTCAGCAAAGGAGAAACCAGGAGACGCTTGTCTTTTGACGAACGTATAATGGTAGCGATTTATCTTTGTCCCAGTGTTCTCTTCATACACAGAATTCGGATCAATAACAACATCCCCGAAGCATCGACCCAGGGCTTCTCGTTCGCTGCTCAGCAATGTCCAAAGTTCTCGCCGGAACTTCACGAGATTACCTTCTTCTTTGGTCAGAAGTTCATCCCATTTACGAAAGAAGTCCCGATCACCGTTGTTCAGATGACCGACAGCTGCATCGAAATCCTCACCAAGTGCGCTGGTCTCGCCATCGCCATCCTCGGAGAGCTTATGATAGATGAGGCAAGGGGTCCTGGCATAGCATCGAATACATTGGCGGGCTTTCCTCAACATCGGTGGAAGCTGTTGCCTTTCGCGAATATAGCCAGCGAGGTGATTGCGCACCTGGATCATCTGGAGCAGTTCGTGTCGGATCCCACGGATACTGAGTGTTTTTGTTAACTCGAGGTAGTAGAGAAGCCCGAATGTGACATCGATATCTGCAACAATTATAAGCAACTGGTCAACTAGCTGAAAGACGATTGGAGGCTCTGAAGGACATCTCATGACTTACCATAGCGATCCGACATGAGTAAAGTGTATAGAGCTGTTTGAGCCCTATGGGACTGGTTTGTATCCCTTCGCCCAGTCTTGAGCTCCAGCGGGACCACCAGGTTCTTCTCCATTTTATCTTCACGACAAGTGACTTGGACGGTCGCATCGATGTTGCCTTTCAGGCCATACATTGGGGACCAGATGTGCTCCTCTACCTCGAGCAATTTGTTGATACTCAAGTTCAGCTTAGAGTTATTGCGGTCTTCAACCATAGACTTGGCCTATTGATCTTGATTAGCGAAGTTTCTTGGCCGAAAGAGGCCTCAAATCGGCTGTGAGACATACCTGTGGCTTGAGATGCAGGAAAGCGTCTGCCCAGTCGAGAACAGCAGGCATCCTGCTCATGAGATATTCAACAGCTTCAGGGACACTCATTTGAATCGAGTACAGCTCTTCAATGTGTCTGCCCATGACGGTTTCGACCAATGTCTTCAATGACTCCATATCCCATTGGTTCGCTTTGAGGGCCTCTTGAAAAACTTCGTGGAAAAACACTCCGAAGGCTTGCGGTCTCTCGAGTGCGGCAATGACTTTGACTCGATCTTGAAGGACAGCTCGTCGCTGGCAGTCTATCGAGTCTGCTACGACGGTAGCGGAAATGAGATGGTCGGGATGAAGAATGATCATGTGGTTCAAATTATCCACAACACATTGGCCAGCTGCGTTGAAGTCCCCGACCAGGTGGATATACGAGTCTTTGCTGCAGGGAGTGTCAAACCATGACTCTCGCAAGCTAATAGTCTTCCGCTCTCGGGTTCTCTCGTCTTCAACTAGCAAACTCTGTACTTAAAGTCAGCGGACGGGACTAGATCCGGGGCAAGGGCAAGGTATCTAACCTGCTCTGGCTGGGTACGTCCTTTCGGAGTAACATATGTGCTCTTCGTGATGTCAACGACCTGGTAACGTTTGATAGCTTGTCGACCTTTTAGGTTCTATTTGTTTTGACTGTCTTAGCATATATCTAGAAATTAAGCGACTAAGAGTGACTAACATAAGCGGGTCCTCCTTCACCTGCTTGCTTCATAGTTTGCTCAATGGCCTCCAGATCAAAATCATCATCAAACTCATCATCCGATGATGCCACCTCAGGTTTGACAGGTGCAGCGGTTGGGGGTTTGCTATGCATACTGCCATTCACCGGGGCATTCATTGCATCTGGCTTCTGCAGAGATGGCCCAGTAGTTGTTGGCTTTGATGGATTGACCGGAACGGGCTTAGTGTCACATTTTGCAAGTATTTCCTGCAAGTTGTCAGGCAGATCGTCATATTCATCCTCATCAAAGTCATCGAATTCGTCGCTTTTTGTTTCGTTAGTCGTAGTATTATGGGCTATGGGTATGGCAGGTTTGCTGTCGAGAATTGGATTCTTTTTGGGTTGCCATGAAGGAGACTTTTCTGCGTTAAGGGCAGCCCAGCCAGAAGATCCCAGAGAAGCAAACTCATTAGATGCATGTGCCGGCTCAATGAAAGGATCCTCCGAGGCATCGGCCAGGTCCATCAGACCTTGGTCAAGATCATCGTCTCCGAACTCGGAGGACGACTCTTGAAGGACAGGCAAGTTCCCAGGTCCTACTTTGTCCAGCGGTGCAGCACATGGGGATATGGCGGTTTCTTCGTCGGCCTTATGAAGCCTATGGTCCTTCGTGGGTGAAGACGATCGACACCTTCGCGCATCCATATGTTGACGCAGAGGCGACGATCCAGGTGGAGCCGCATCGGCAGGGCCATGTGTATACTTCTCTCGATCTTCTCCATAAGATAGTTGATCCTTGAGGACTTTGGTTTCCCAGACTCGACATTGCTGCTGGTTCGTTGAAATGTGCCGCGATTGGGACCAGCATCTAGTCTATTGACTCGTCGTCGTTTTGTTCGAGAGGTAGGGAAATCGGTAGTGCAGCTAATCGCGCGTCTCAGCCCAGACGAATCTCGACTTTTTCTGCCCGAACCTGGTGTCTGGGGCGAAGAGGAAAGAAGATTTGCGAACCGTGGCGGTGGAAGGTCGTCCGGGCCATCGACCATGTTTTTATCCATGTAGTTATTCCACAATTCAGCGGCCATATCATGCTGTGGTGTCTTGAAAAGGGCTTGTATCGAATGAAGATCAAGAGGTTCTTTTTGCACTTTCTTCTTATTCCCGTTCGAGGGAGAGCCAGCAGGCGAAGAACTGTGCCGGCGCTTCCTGCGGCGACTCCCTGGTGTCTGGGACGAGGTGTCTGGGTTTGAGCTGGCAGGCACATGCTGCCAGATGACGTGCTCGACTGGCGTCACCTCCGGGCCCGGGGCAGGATCAAACGAATCCTCAGCGTTGCTGATCAAATCCGCCAGAGGTATCCTGTTTCCCGGAGTCTGAGGGCATTCTTTAATCGGCTTTGGTTCTTGTACTTGGGATTCAGATGCTTGAGCGTCATGGGACGGAGGACATCCTTTGCCAGAAGACGTCTGCATCAACCCTGGCACACTATTGGAGCCCGAGTGTTCATGTTCTTTGCTCCCATTAACCAATTTCGTCTCGTCTTTCGAGGTAGCGCCGTCGGGAACTCCTTCGCCTTCTTGGAAGCGAAACGCGTTCAATTTTGTTCGTGAGTTTGAGGATATGGGGTATGCATTATTTGTTGCCATTGCTTCGATTCGGAAATATCCAATGACGCGTTCAAAATTGGTAAGGATACATTCCGCGGGAAGCTGGAGCAGGACAACGTCAGAAATGGGGGTATATTGGGTGTTTGAGATGAAACGTACCAGTTAAAATATGGTATTTACCGGTTCAATTACTTCAGATTTTTGTGCATATGCAAAGATGAAACGAATGGCGAGTCCAGCGCCTTGTTGGCGGGCATGGGGAGACGGCCAGATGTGATAAGAACGCGTCGCGTGTTTATTGCTGACACCTATTTTCCAAGGCAGGAGCGTATCTCTGCCTGAAATACCAGGCATAAAGGCGGACAAGAAAATTGCCCAATGTAGACTAGCGCGATAACTGGACAGCTTCCCGGCCTTTTACGGCTTCAACATCAACCCGCCGAAGCACCCCTCCACTCCCCTGCAAGAGGCAAACATATCAATTGAGATTGTCCTTGCGATTTGAATTTAAGAGGATATTCTGTCCCTTGTGACTCACGCCAATTTCCTCACACGCCAGTGTCCCTTCGGTCGGCCTAAACCCTCTCTTACCCCCATCTTCAAGATGACTGCCCGGCCATTGTCGCACATCCTCCGTGCGCGCTGCCTGCCTCGCCAGCCCCAGAACACCCAGGCATTCTCAACTCGATCCAGTCTCCGTGCCGCGGACCACGGTGACCACTATGATCCTCCCACCGGCTGGCTGTTCGGTGTCAAGCCCGGCCAGAAGTACGTGAAGGAAGGCTGGGAGAACATTTGGTACTATGGATTCATTGGAAGCTTTTTGGTCGCTGGTGTCGCATACGTTTTCAAGCCCGATACCTCGTATGTACAACCCCTATCCCGATCTAGCGCCTCAATATTGGCGTCTTATGTTCCTCGCACAACTGGAATATTGACAATTGCAATAGTATACAAACTTGGGCTCTTGAAGAAGCCCGACGGAGACTGGAAGCTGAGGGCATCCTCGAGGACCCTGACAAGGTCAAGAAATAAACGCCAAATTTGTACGCTGTACATAGAGATCAAAGAGGGACTATTTCTATTTATGCCTGTACTACCTGCAACGGCAGATATGATGTTCCGGTCTCGTTCTTAGACAGGTTTTCTTTTGCATGCTCATCTATTTTCGTTTTTTTCCTTGTTGTATCACTTTACACTTTTTCGAAGTTTCTTTACCGTCATGTTGGTTATAGGTGCTCTGGTCGCAAAAAATGCTTATAATTCGCACTGAGTACATCATGAAATGATTTAAGTTAAAGCAGCATGAACTCTGATATCTAATAGGTCTTTGCGAAATGTACTGGGGAAGTAGAAGCGATTGGTATTCGCCTCCTCACTGTTCACATGACGTCCTCAGATCTCAGGATAAAGATCATTTCTCCGAAGCAAGGGCATTTCACGCCTAATCTTTGCCACAAGATCGAGATCAATGTCGGCAGTCGCAATTTGTGGTTCTCGGTGCTCATCTCCCAGCTTTGCTACCACTTCACCCCACGGGTTGACGATAATAGAATGACCATAGCTTCGTCTCTTCTCGTTATGGGGACCTGCCTGGGCAGCTGCAATCACATATGACTGGGTCTCAATAGCTCTTGCTCGTAGCAAAGGCTCCCAATGAGCCTTTCCCGTTGGAACAGTGAATGCTGATGGATATGTGATGATTTCAGCATCCTTCCGCCTCAATGCCAGGCCGATCTCTGGAAAACGCAACTAGATAATCGAGCACGAGTAAGACGTTGAACCCGCTGGTGTCCGATGTAATCCCAACATGCATTGTACTTACATCAAAACAAATGCTGAGACCAACACGTCCTATAGGAGTTTCAAACGGCGTTGGAATTTGTTGTCCTGGCTGGACGCTCCTAGATAGTTGAAGGTCAGCGAAGGGTAAGTCAACTATCGGATCTTGTATCGAAAGATAGGAAAATCTTACGCGCTCTCCTTGAGCACAGGTCCATCTTTGATATCGACATCAAACATATGGATTTTCTGGTATTTTTGGGTAATGATTCCCTTGTCGTCGATCCAGATCAATAAATTCTTGAGCCTGGTTTCAGAAGCTACTTCATGAATCCCGACATTGATGTGGATATTCTGTTCCTCGGCGTCTCTCTGTAAAGATGACACAAAGCTAGTCCTCTCTTCAGACCGGGCGAGGGAATAGGATTGCTCTGCCGAGGATGCGATATAGTCCGATGCCTCGGGAAGAAACAGCACCTAACATATATGAGCTGTCTACCAGAGAGTGGGTAATAATAGAATAAATAATACTACCTTGGCACCTGCTGCAGCAGCCTTCCGAACCAACACCTTGCACTGAGCTAGATTCGAAGTTATGTTGCTAGTCGAGCATAGCTGCCCCACGGCCTATATCAAAACAAGGTTGTCAGACCAGTGGCTCACGCCCAATGGATGGTGCACATACTGCTAAAACCATAGTGATCAGATTTTGGAATCAGAAATGGGTCTAAAAACAAGATATTTACGAGGAAGTCTGTCTGTTGTAGCAATCAAATGGCATCTTTCGACCCCAAAGTGACGAGCCCGTATGCTGACTCAGCTAGTTATCGCGATGATCAGCGATAACCTTTCTTCCCGCCAAGAACTCTCACCTCGGATCTTTCACAAGACACGCAAGTTTTGACGGATTCAGCAACTGCTAGACGGTAGAATTTTATCGTCGCAATGAAGAGTTTAAGGAGAGACTTGTCTGCCAACCCGCAGGCCGCAAATGTTACCAGCAAGGTCTTCGTTAGGTCCACGAAAAGTGGAAAGGTGCAAAAGATTGTCCGCGAGCTCTATTTGAGAGAAGATATTCCTTGCTCTTCTAAGCTCTGCTCACAATGCCCGACGATTGCGCCTGCTGATGCCAATGGAAACAGTAAGTAAATTATTACGGTGATGGCCAAGTAAGTTGCTAATGCGAAACAGTTGCGCCGTTCATCCTATCCGATCGCCCCGCCGGCACAACTGCATTCCCGCGAGGCCACTACCTTGTCCCCGATACAAATGCGCTGCTTAATGGAATGGATCTTTTCGAGCACACTGGGGCCTTTTACGATGTGATTGTCCTCCAGACCGTCCTCGAGGAATTGAGAAACCGATCACTACCACTTTACAACCGTCTTCTAGCCCTCGTCAAGTCAGACGAAAAGCGCTTCTACCTCTTTTTCAATGAGTTCCGCCGAGAGACTCATGTTCGGAGAGGACCGGAGGAAACAATCAACGACAGAAACGACCGCGCTGTGCGCATGGTAGCAAGCTGGTACGGTTCCCACCTGCAACAATCAGCGAAGAAGGGCAAGAAAGAGAAGGCGATCCCGGCAATTGTGGTCGTAACCGATGACAAGGAGAACCTTCGGAAATGCAAGGAAGAAAATGTGACGGCCTTGTCGCTATCCGACTATGTCTCCGGCTTGGAGGGGTCCGAAATGTTGCTGGATATGATCAGCGAGTCAAAGGATGCGCGAGATTCCAAAGAAACAACCCGCGGGCAATTATTCTACCCTGAATATTTCTCAATGTCAAAACTCACAACTGGCCTGCGAGCCGGGACATTGCACCAAGGAGTGTTCAATGTTTCTCCTTACAACTACCTGGAAGCCTCCGTCAAGACCGCAGCTTTCGATAAACCTCTTCTTATTCTGGGCCGCGATAACAGTAACCGCGCTATTGCAGGTGACTCTGTCGTGGTTGAAGTACTGCCACAGGACCAGTGGAAGAGCCCCTCGACTAAGATCGTGGACGAGGAGGCCGTGACCCGTAATGATAACCCTGATACTGAAGAGACTGAGGCTGTGGTGACGGATAGAGAACGCAAAGCTCTCCAGGAAGAAGTCAAAAAGGCCCATGGCAAGCACGCGGAGGGCAGGCCACAACCTACTGCCAAGGTCGTTGGTGTGATCAAGCGCAGCTGGCGTCAATACGTTGGTCACGTCGACACGAATTCTACTGGCTCACAGGCCTCTGGCAGACGGCAACAAAACGTTTTCTTGCTGCCCATGGACAAGCGTATCCCGAAGATCAGAGTGCGCACAAGACAGGCCAGCGATATTCTCGGTCAGCGTATTCTTGTCACTATCGATTCTTGGGATCGCGATTCTAGATACCCTACTGGCCACTTCATCCGGGCTCTGGGAGAGCTCGAAACGAAGGGGGCCGAGACCGAGGCTCTATTGCTTGAATATGATGTGCAGTACAAACCCTTCCCGAAGTCTGTATTGGACTGTCTCCCATCCGAAGGACATGATTGGAAGGTCCCAGTCTCGAAGGAAGACAAGGGCTGGAACGGCCGGAAAGATCTTCGAGACTTGCTTATTTGCAGTATCGATCCACCCGGCTGTCAGGATATTGACGACGCACTTCATGCGCGTGTCCTGCCAAATGGAAACTATGAGGTCGGTGTCCACATTGCGGATGTGTCGCATTTCGTCAAGCCCAACAACCCAATGGATCTCGAGGCTAGTGTTCGTGGAACCACTGTTTACCTAGTTGATAAGCGTATCGACATGCTCCCTCATCTTCTTGGTACAGATCTGTGCTCTCTCAAGCCCTATGTTGAACGATATGCCTTCTCAGTTCTGTGGGAGATGACACCTGATGCCGAGATAGTGTCTTCGAATTTCACCAAGTCTGTCATTCGTTCCCGGGAAGCATTCAGCTACGAACAAGCTCAGTTACGCATCGACGACAAATCACAGCAGGACGAGCTAACCGAAAGCATGCGCGCTCTCTTGAAATTCTCCAAGGTTCTCCGTCAGAAGCGTATGGACGCTGGTGCCTTGAACCTTGCGTCCCCGGAAGTCCGCATTGAGAGCGAGGGTGACGAAGTGGGCGATCCTTTGACAGATGTCAAGACTAAGGCTATGCTTGACACTAATAGCCTGGTCGAAGAGTTTATGCTTCTCGCCAATATCACTGTTGGCTCGAAGATCTACGAGTCATTTTCTCAGACTGCCTTGCTTCGTCGACACGCCACTCCCCCGCCTCAGAATTTCGAGGACCTTCAAAATCAACTTTCGAAGAAGCGGAACATGGAGCTTGATGTCTCCAGCTCGCGAGCTCTGGCTGATTCCTTGGATCGCTGCGTCGATCCCAATAACCCGTTCTTCAACACCCTGGTCCGTATTTTGGCGACCCGCTGCATGACCTCTGCCGAATACTTCTGCGCGGGTGCGTTTACCGAATCTGAATTCCGTCATTATGGTCTCGCCTCACCCATCTACACTCATTTCACTTCGCCCATTCGACGATATGCCGACCTGATGGTCCACCGGCAATTAGCTTCTGCCATTGGATATGAGGGCGAGGATGGACACGCAGTCATCGAGGGTGTCACCACCCGCAACAAGCTCGAAGACATCTGCCGGAACATCAACGTCCGTCACCGCAATGCCCAGCATGCCGGCCGCGCTAGTATTGAATACTACGTGGGTCAGGCTCTCAAGGCCCGCGGAGAGAAGATGGCCGCCGACGGGGTCGATGCAGGTATTGAAGAAGAAGGATATGTGATGCGAGTGTTCGAGAACGGTGTTGTTATCTTCGTTCCCCGATTCGGCATTGAAGGCGTCGTTCGTCTGGAGGACTTCGTCTTGCCCGGTGAATCCGGAGCTCGTTCCGTGGCCGAAAGACGGGAGCTAGCTCCTCATCGCACCACGGAGTTTGATAGCGAGGAATACACCCTTCGTGTGGAAGAGAAGGGTCACCCGGAGAAGGAACGCAGTGTGACTGTCGAACTCTTCCAAAAGGTTCGTGTCAATGTCAGCTCTGTCAAGGAAGAGGGTCGTGGCGCCGGCAAGAGAAGGGTCCGGATTCTGGTTACGGAGGCATGAACAAAAGGCTACATCCATGTAGATTACATCTAGTGTTAAAACGGCGTTCAAATCAAATGAATGGCAGACGATTGTCTATTTTTGTATGTTCATTTTGTCTTGCATATCTGTGCTCTGCGCTATGCAACTATATTTATACCTTCTTCAAAGTGATCATTCTGCGAACCAAGCTGATCGGGGCCCATAACGGAGCACCTGTTTCAGTGGCTTCCAAGGTCGGAGGAGGAGCCGCAGGGCGGTTTTCCTTCTCATTTCCACCATGAGTTCCGGTCAACGGGCCAGGCTGGACGGTGGAATCAGGGCGTCCCTGAGCAAGCTCCAACTCGCCGACTTTCCAACCACGCACGATCCACAAACATATGGAAGCGCCAACATACATGAATCCAGTAAATATCTGAACGCGCAGATATGAAGTACCTCCACCAGCACTATGGCTGCGGAGCTGAAGCGCGATAGCTTCGGAGACAGTACAAGGGGCAACAAGGGTGAGCCAGGTAATACTTAAGCCGGAAGGAAGATCTCTGATACCAATAATCTCCGCCAGCACGGGAGAAACAGTAGCCCAATACGTGCCTGCGACAGTGCCAACCAAAACCGCGAAGAAGCATACCACACCCATACTATCAGCAGAAGTCCAGATAGCGAGACAGAATAGACCGCAGAGGAAGCTGAGAAAAGTAGCGATATTAATGCGACCAAGCCGGTCACTGAACATGCCAACAAACGGACGACCGAGACCCTGACCGAGGTTGAGCAGCGCAGAGACAATACTCCCCTGGTGCGGCGAGAGACCAACGGAGAGAGCGAAGTTGGCAACACTGAACAGCAGCGCCACATAGCCGAGCATACTGAACACACCCCACCCGAGGAAGAGCAAAAACTCCGGGCGACGCAGCAGGGGCAGATGGAAAGCCGTGAATCGACTGCCGACGGCCTTATTGCGATCTCGGAGCAAGTTACAGCAGACCAGGTTCACGACGCAGGAAATGATACCCAAAATGCGGAATGCCCAGCCCAACCCATAGCGCGGGATGATGGCACCCACTGCGAGGGAGTAGATCAGGCCGCCCAGACCAGACCCGGCGGCGTTGATGCCCATCGCTACACCGCGGTGCTTGTCGAACCATTGCGGGGTGATACCGACGCTGCCCACGAAGAGGAAGCCCATGCCCCAACCGAAACAGACGCCTTGGCTGAGGAAGATGTGCCATTTCTGGGTCGCGAATGACGACCCTATTAGAGAGAGGGTTTCGAAGAAGACGCCCAGGTTGAGTACAAATCGTACACCCCATTTGTGGATCATGTGAGTAGCTAATGGGGCCACCAGAAGGGCACAGGAGATACTCAAACCGCCTGTGAAGGCGTACGATAGGGCAGATGTGTTGGGAAATACATTGTGTGAGAGGTAATGGCTCAGAAAGACCCCGTAGCTCTAGTAGTTAAACTTGTTAGTAAGATGACAGTGAAAGGGAAAATATATGACCCACGCTATTGATACCCCAGGTATGCGCATTAATCCAGAAGACACAGGCAACGCAGACCCAACCATAGCCACCGTCCGGGGCAACATCGCGCTTATATTTTTCATCTTCATCGACGTCTAGTGGTGCCGACTGCGGATGCGATCTCTGTTCCTGTTTTGCACTCTCTCGGTCCAGATCGTCCTCGCGGGAACGGATGATATCAATTGGCACATTATCTGCCATGGTAGCTCAGGTACAAGCCCAGCTTGTTTATGAGATAACGAGCTCCTGAGAAGATCGAAACTGGTTGTTGTTTCCGTCACGACATGCAAGTATGTAGTGAAAAGAAGCAAGAGACCTAAGTTAGTACGCTAACAGAAAAAGGGACTAGATTTCGACCAGTTTATCATTGGTAATAATTGGAGTCATCGGATTATCGGATTATCGGACAAAACGCCGAGTTCAAGGGAACCTTGGAAGGAACATTGTTCGTATAGAGAAAAGATGTCCAGGGCCTCGTGGTTGATTCTTCCTATTCGGCGATATTCAACCAATGAAGGAAGTTCGCAGCTACATTGCATCGAAAGCTGTGCAGCTCCCAAGTCAGGGTTGCTTGGCTGTGGGGTATCTTGTGCCGAGAAGCCGATGCGGAGAGTTCCAGTCAAGTCCCAGTCGAGGCCAAGTCGGGCAGATGTGGGGGATCTTTTTAGTCATCCCAAGGATTCAGGAATGGATGTCTAAGTTTAATTAGACAAATGTATCCATAGGGCTGAGTCTCCATCAAGTATTAACTGCTATATATTCGAAATATATGCTCCGATGTCCAATATAGGGCTTAATAGGGTTAAATAGAACCAAGCCCTTATCGACACGTGGGCAGATAAGGAATCTGAGTCATCCGTTGCCTCGCGACGGGGGGTTTGTTTGGGAGGGGGACCCAATGACGCTAGCCAGCTCAGACCGTCAAGTGTAGATCGCAACTAGACTCTTCTCATCTTAGTCCATCTTGGTCCCTCTTTCCTGTACTTATCCGTATATCTCTTCATATCCTTGATCCTTGCAATTCCATGATGCATAAACATTCCACTGGTCACAGGAAGGTCTCACCTCCTGGCCCATCCTTCATGTCCAATGATCAAGTTTGTAAGTGACTCTTTGGTCTTGCACGGATCAGAGCTGATATGAGTCAATAGCATCGTACTTGAAGGACCTGCGGGCAAATCGTCCTGCCCGTCCAACAGGATCTCGTCCATACCCGGGCAGAGCAGCCACATCAACCAGCGATCTGCCCGATAGTCTTCCTCCAAGGGCATCCTCGGCATTCTCCATGCATAAACCAGTCGAAGATGAAATTGAAGATCACCGGCGCTCAGGCAGTGCAATGTCCCATCGCCGGGCGAATTCCCATGTGCCCAGTGGCGGGGCCATGGGTCGTCCTTTAGCTCAGGAGCCACGCACGCACTCAATCCGGAAGAACGTGTTTCCAGCAGAAATTCATGCACGTACTATTCCAATCCCAGCATCTCCAGCTCTGTCGTATCGTGAAAATGGTCAACGACGACACGAAAAGGAGGAGGCACGGGCATTACGAGATGCCTTGCAGAAAATGGATATTGAGGACGACATGAGTCTTCACCAAGCAGCTCAGGATGAGGCCACAGAGCTAGTTTGGATGCATCAAAATCCTGGTCAAGCTTTCAAAAACCCTTATGCGCCATACAAAAATCCTGATGCCAACAGGCGCAGCCAGAGCCCTGTCCGAAATGATTCCCGAGCGTATAACCCCTCGACAAATAGATTTAGCCAGTCGACAGGCTCGAGTGTATCCTCCGATGGTAACTCTAGCCCCGAGTCGACGCGGAAACGATCATCTCTGGCTGGACCCTCCAAGAAGAATCTCAAAGTTAACTTTAAGCTACCTGACGAAGAACCCGAGCAGTCTGTTGCTCCCAAATCGCGAACTGTCAGCGGTGATTCATCTAAAGGAATCTTCAGGAACCCTAGCGACCAAATTTACGAAGAGCCCAATAATACTCAGAAGGAACCCGAAGCAAAACCAGACTTCTCTAAGTCTGACTCGTCGGCTTTGAAAAACAAACCACGCAACGCTCTGGGGCGTGTCCCCAAGCCATTGCCTTGGTTGCAGAATAGAGCTCACAGCAGCCCTGTGATGGATAAAATCTCCCGGTTTGAAATCCAGAAAAACCCTCCCACCCAGTCGCGTAACCCCGGCTACACTCGAAACGAAAGCGCTACTCCTCCTCCTACTCAGTCAAACAACGCCGGTTACACTAGAAATGAGCGTGCAACTCCGACTCCTCCCCTTGAAGAAAAAGATCAGTCTGTCCCCACCGAGGATGTAAGAGAGAGACGCAGCGACGATATCCGCGCAGCTACCAGCAAAAAGCGAGGAGACCGCAGTGAAAAGCTACCGATGCCTTCAGCCGTCAGTGATCGAGTCGGACGCCCAATCGTGAGCTTCGACCAAAGTTGGAAACCAACCGAGCAGCCGAAACCTGAGCGTCCAACCCTACCCGTGATTGAAGTGGCAGCACCGACCATTGAAGTCTCAGCCCCTTCAATTGAAGTCTCAGAGCCGCCTCCAGTCCCCGTGATCAATTTCCCGGACATCAAAGTACCCACTATCTCCGAGATAGAGGCTCCTTCCAAGCAATCGACCAGACCGGTGCCTCAGCCGACGAGAAACAGCCCAACTAAACCGGCTTTCCCGAAAAAGCAGGGATCTGATTCGCAGAGCCGTTGGCACTCGCCCTATACGCGATCTGGTGTCCCGACTGCAAGCTGCGAGCTTTGTACGCTTTCGATTGCCGGAAAAATTGTAACCGCCGGCGGATGTCGATTCCACCCGGAGTGCTTCACTTGTTTCCACTGCCACACAGCCCTCGAATGTGTGGCTTTCTTACCAAGAACCGGAGGCCAGCAGAGCTGAGAGATTAGAAACAGAGGCCACTGACCTTGAGGCCCGTGTGCCACGTTTCTACTGCCATCTGGATTTCCACGAGCTGTTCAGCCCCCGTTGCAAGAGCTGCAAGACCCCCATCGAAGGAGAAGTGGTAGTGGCGTGTGGTGCCGAATGGCATGTCGGCCACTTCTTCTGTGCAGAGTGCGGTGATGTATGTGTGAATTTCCTTTCTGATGATTTCGAACGCATGACAGCTAACTATTTCTCCTCGTAGCCCTTCGATTCCCAGACTCCCTTTGTCGAGAAAGATGGCTTCGCATGGTGTCTCCGCTGCCACTCGCGCCGTACCGCACCACGTTGTCTGGGCTGCAAGCAGCATGTCATGGACGAGGTTGTCATCACCGCAATTGGTGGCCAGTGGCACGAACGCTGCTTCAATTGTCACGAGTGTGGTGATGGTTTTGGTCCGGAGGGCCGATTCTTCGTTCGTGAAGGCGAGCCCAAGCGAACAGCTAAGGGCCGCATCATCGGTGGTCCCGTCCAATTGGCTATCTGTGAAAGATGTGAAGGTATTCGTCTCAAGGCGCCTGGGATGTGCTAGACTTTTGCGCCGTCTAGTCGTGGGGCTACGACCACCATGATTTAACGAGATTACAGCTTTTATGATAGATTCATGCATGATGTCGGTGTTTGATTGTTGCATCACTTGATTCTTGATTTGTCTGCATGTGTTCTACAACCGTTTTTTCAGTCCATTTCGGGAGTTTGTTCGTTTTTATGTTGTGTTTGTTAGCCAGCGAAGATTGCCAGCGATGTTGGAGTATGATGTTGAAATGCATTTAGAAAGGGTGAAAACGCCTCAAAACACCTCTCTTTTCGTCATATCATTGAGATCAATGATTCCAATAACGTTATTCTCCGTTCTAATTAGGTATCTAATTCTCTTCACTCCTTTTTCAAGCAGGCCACTCAGGATCAGCTTTGCGTCTGAAAACAGCAACATACTTGTTTCCCTTATTTCTCGTAACTTTCTTCGACTCCTCGGTCTCGTACTTCATAACCCGTACACAAGGATCAAGAGCAAGCTCCTCCTCAGAAACCCGCTCAAACAGATCCTTACTGCTCGGAGCAGGAGCCGCACCCTCCGGCTGCTCCCCATGCAGGAAATGCCGCAGAACCCAGTGGTGATACTCCTCGACATCGGTAATGGTGTAGAGCAGACCGCCGGGCCGCAAAACATACGCATACTCGGAGTTCAGAGACTCGGAGACAATACGGGCCTTGTGTTTACGGGCCTTAAAGTGCGGGTCGGGGAAACAGATGAAGATCTTGGAGAGCTGGTGGTGGCCGAAGAAGTTGGGGAGGAACTTCATAGTGTTGCTGCGGATTGCGGTGATGTTTTCGAAGTTTCCTGGGAAGATTTTCTCCGTGCCGATTTCGTCGTCGTTGGCTGGGGCGGGAGCCGTTGATTCTGTACCTTCGGGTTGTGTCGAGGCGTCTTGGGGTTCGGTTGATGATGGGTTCGCGGCTTTGTTCTTGAGGCGTTGTTGTTGGCTGCGTAGAGCGTGGATGCGAGAGCTGAGGTATTCCAGCACTGAGGTGCGGATTTCCATACCTGTGGTTTTGTTGTTAGTTTTGTGTTGCTCGTTCAGCAGAGTGCGATGTGTCTTTTTGATTCGCGGCGCTGTACTTACCGACCATCAGGGTATCTGGCAGCAATGGCGCCAGGCCAACCATCAGTCCGCCGAATCCGCATCCGATATCCACGACTTCGACCTCCTTGGTCAACTTGCGCCCTCCGCTGAGGTTCGTTTTCGAGGTATCTGGGTCCACGAATGCAGGGTAATGGGATGACCAGTCCATATGCGCGGGACTGAGGGGACTAAGTACTAGTTAGCTATCAGTTCGCGACCGGATTAGGAATTGTCGCCAGTCAAGCTCGGGAATCCCGCATAAAGTTCCCTAGAAGAGAAGACCTGACGTGAAATAGGCAAAAGAGGATACATACTACTCTAGCCGGTGGTCAGAGAAGGGATTCGCATGCGCGCGCTGGCGGAAGAATTTCTTCTGCGGCATCTTAATGACGGCATCGGTGGATTCCTGCTGGGCCTGTACATTGCGACGGTACTCTTCGCGCTTCATGCGCTTTGCAGGTATCTTTTCGGTGGCCATTTTGAATTGACAAAGGTGAAGAGAGAAATCGAAAAGGTCGAAGTCGACGAAATTGAGAAAATCCCGGCCCCACCTTTTACTCCACATTGGAGTCTCTCTTTACTTTCTCTCTTGTTCTCGACTTTCTACTCGTCTTGTCTTTTTACTTCTTTTTGGACTATCGGGGCTATTTGATATTCACTTTTCACTCTTCACTCTTTAATCCTTTCCAGCATGACAACAACACCCCCTTTCCCCTTTCCACCAACCTACAACTTCCCCCCCTTCTTCACCCCGCAACCAAACACAACAACCCGCCACTCGCAGCTCGAGAAATGGTCCTCTCTAATCCAGTCCTGGTGCCGGCACCATCGTCAATACCGTCTCTCCCTAATCGATGCTGTTGAATCCCCGCTCTTCCACAACACAGCCCTGCGCAAGCGCCTTGATCTGCGTGAGGCCCGCGCGGTCGTCGACTGGATGACCAAGAGCGAAGAGGAAGGTGGCGGTGGGCGGCGAGCGGAGTGGATCTCTGATGCTGGAGGTACGTCTTCAGTGGGGTTGGGAAATGGTGCTGCGCAGGGGCCGAAGACTGTTGCGTGGATTTGGTGGAGGAGGCCTGAGGAATGGGCGGATGTGCTAGTTGACTGGGTTGAGGGTACTGGGCAGAAGGGCTCAGTTTTGACGGTCTACGAGCTGATTCATGGAGAGGGGGCCATGTCGCAGGGTAAGATTCCTCTCTTTGGTTATGGGTGATAGTGTATAGGGTTGTGCTGATCCGCGTCTACAGAGTTCCATGGCATGGATACTGATGTCATGCTGCGCTCGCTGAATGTCTTGGTCAAGAGGGGCAGGGCACAGATTTTTGGCGGTGAGGGGCAGGAGGGTGTCAAGTTCTTTTGAAGAGCTCAAGATGAGATGCTGGGATTTCTCTGAGATAAATCGTGGCTATTCGTGACAAAAACAAAGCGCTTATCATGTGCAGGTCAAAAGACATGTCAAATCACGTCGCCAATACTCCAAGCTTATACACAAAATCCATGTTCTTGGGTTGAAAGCCCTAAGTGGATAAAGGGGTGTGGACTCAATACCTTGGTATCAGTCTACTGGTCTGTGTTCTCAATCATCTCTTCAGTTAGCTCGTACTCGTCGGCAGTACGTGTCTCCTGTGACATGGCCATGTCCAGGAGCCAGTCAACTCGGACGATCCGTGGTGTCTTCTTGATATCGAGCGCCAATTGACGGAACCGAGGCCAGACTCGGGCGTGATTAGCTCCGGCGCTGCTGAGAAGAAAGACATCCTTGCGGGCAGGCTTGTCATCTTCCCCTTCGCTTTCCTCGTCGCTCTCCTCACGCCGAGAATGGTTCGCTATGGCCAGTCGGCCACGGAAAAGCATGCACTCTCCTCCGTTTGTTTCAACGATCGATTTGAATGCATCGAATCCGCCTCGAATGTCCTCAACGCAATAGATGCGATAGCCCTGCAGCATTTTATTCTTGTTCTTCTTCGCGTTTCTTGTGACAGAAGACAGGTCAAAATTGTACTTCTTCTCAGCTTCCTTATCCTCCAGAGGGAAATCGGAGGGGTCCAGCAGTTCCTCCTTCTTTAGGCAACTGGCGATAAAGTCGGTGCTCACGATCATCGGCGCATACGCGAGTGCATTGACAAATTTGGTGGTTCGTAAGATCGACGGTGCAGCCAGGTGAGTGCATCGTCTGGCATCTTGGACAACCATAATACCAAGGTCTCGAAGGCCTCGCTGTGAAATGTCAGTATATAGATCTCGAGTTAATCATGTTCATAACTGCCGTAGCCAAACAAACCTTGTCTGCATCCTCTTTCTTCTCGTTGCCCTTCCCTACCCATCTCTGGTAGCCAGTAATCAAGAGGTGCATAGCAATTGGTGGCCGAGACTTTTTCTGTCGTTTAGTCTCCACTGCTTGCTCGCCATCGCTCTCATCCTCAGCTTCAAGTGAGGCACGCTTCTTGTTCTCCTGAACCCGGCCCTCGTCTGACTTTCGTCTGCCACCGTAGATAACACCCCCCCACACGTTTCCTTTCCTTTTCATACAAGGCAAGGTCCGGGCATACTCGTGGAGTCGGGCAGTTGCTGCCTCTTTCGACTTACGGCTACTAGTCGACGACGGGGTCTCGTTCTCTTTGCCCTCGGACATGATTCGGGTTCGTGCGGGTGTTTGGATAGTTCCGCGCGACTTTCCATTGCCCTGCGGAGTACCGTGCGAAGTTTCCGAGGCATCCTCATTGGTCTTCCGTTTCTTCTCAGCGGGAGGCTGCACTGAAACCATATTTTGGTTCTTGCCCTGCATTGCGCGCCGTGGGCTATGAGCAACAGCCTCTCCGGACGAGAAAAAGACCTGTTCCAAAACATTGCGGTCGAGCTGGGTCTGGCCTGCGACTTCTCCGAGATTGGTTCGCAGAGGGAAGTGGCTGTAGCGCAGGTTTGAGGCCGGCTGTAGCTTCCATTTTGCATAACTGTCCTCCAGCCACAGGTGGTTGACAACTTCAAGGCCCCATTCCTTCGCCGCGTTGCATTTCTCACTCGTTCCATGTGCCGTAATCAGATGAGTATTTTCTTGTTTTAAGGTTTTGGTACATTCTGCACCTGCTGCTGCGATCAAATTCTCCAAGTAGATTCTTGCTTCACCAACATAATTGGACAAACTGATCTTCAAGCCTTCGAACCCGGGAATGCCACTGCGAGAGATCGGGTAGTGCAGTAGTCGTCTGAGGGGTGAAGTATATGTGTTGAATGTCATGAGGCGGTAGAGCCATGCGAGATTCCCAACGTCTATGTTCAGTCGCGATGCCGTGCGATACGCAAATCCTTCCCGGTAACGACATATTAACATGTCTGCTCCGTCGACATTTGATGTCATTGTGGCACCGCCTTGTTCGAGGACAGCTTGAATCGATTCCTGCAAGTGGGAGCCGATTCCAAGGTCCGAGGACAGCATAATGGACTTCCCTTCAAAGACACTCCGTTGGCCTGAGTTATAGGCCGAACTGGATGGCGTGGGCAGCTTAGAAGGATCCGTAGTCGATGCGCCGACCAAATCCTTATTCTCTTGCCATCGGATTGGAGTATCAGGACCCACGCGCAAGATCTCTGGATCGGGAAGTGTATATGGACGTTCATCGATTCGTCGACCAAGTTTAAGGCAGTCGTCGAACCTGTTCTCAGTCAGCGATGGTCACTGCCTGCTGTACCAAGAAAACTCACCAGTGCGGTAGTACAATCTTCACGTTCAATTTCTTCGCCTGGACAATGCGCGCCTTGTCGGAATCGGCCGTGAGGTCCACCAAGTGTGTAACCATCTGAGAGACTCTTGGAGAGTACAATCCACCTTTCGCGACAACACCGCCTATGATTGCATCCTTGTCTCCCTCGGGGATGTCGCCGCAGGTAACTACCACATCGTTCATGAACAGACGCGGGTCCGGGCTGTATTGGCGGGGGTTGGCCAATTTCCGCTTGGTCAACGAGTTATTCACCCACTGTGGCTTCACCACAGGGATCAGCGCATCGCAGGTAGTATCGTAGGCTTCGAAGTCAATTGTGGTAGAGATCAAATGGCTGAACTTGGCTACATCGGGGACTTCGGCACCAGGTTGGACAATCAGAGGCTCGCCGCCGTTTTGCTCGAGGAGAGTTGCCAGCTATGCGATTATATTCTGTCAGTCTAGTTCAGGCTATATCAGTCGCAGGAAAACACGTACCTGCTCCGCGGATTCTCTCGAGAGATCCTTGGAGCATACAATACAGAGGCAACACTGCTCGAAGAGCTTAGGCTCTCCATTTTCCGTTGCCATGGCCAAATTTGTAGATAAATTATGCGACTGAAGATTGGCTTGTTGGTTGGGGGAATCTCCAAGAGAGTCACATCCAAGTGTAGAACCAAAGATGAGGCAATCGGGGACGCGCCCACGCGTGTCAGGAACGCCGAATCACGTGTACCGTACCAAAGCGCGGGGATCGGGATCCGATAGATCTACTAGCTTGATCTAGCTAGTCTACACTCAAGTAGTATGAACGATTGCCAAATAAATTTGTATTCGATCTATGCTCTTGATCCAACAGGCCTAGGCATTTCAGACACATTTTGACTAGCACACTCATATGAAACTCTTGCCACAGTGGGAAATCAGATCAGGTGCGAAACACCCATAGTCTGATTGGCCGCGACTTCCTTCCTCGTCCATATTCAGTCCATTTCTTCGGGCATAGGGCCGTACGCCGCGTCCAGTTTGCTTGACAGTAGATACAGCCCAGCGAAGATATCAGTGACAGCGTCAACAGGCCACTCCTCTTGCTCCTCGGGCTCGGAGTCGACCTCGAAGACAACCTTGGCAGACTTGGTCACAATCTCGCAATCAAGTTCAGATCCAGATGTGGAACCAGGGTTATCATTGGGGTCATTGTCGGATATGGGTTCAGTCAGAGTAGACTGCTCACATCTAGAGGATGTCACCGACTCTTCATCACGGGGTGTTGACGGCACAACCAAGGGCATCGGTGGATTGGGAGAGTGATAGATTAAGGGCTTAATATTGTTAATATACTTTCTCTTGGATTCTTGCTAGGAGTACACTTACATTCACGGTTTGAAACCACTCTCGGTGCCCAGGTCGATGAAATTGGGTTCCGTACTCTGCCGCAAACTGGGCATCGTTGCGCCTGGTAGAACAAATGTCATCAGTATATGCTTACTTCCTTGCCCCGGAGAGTAACAGGAGAGACCCACGCAATTTCCTCCAAAATACCACAATAGTACCCAATCAGAGAGCCAGAAATGATCTCCTTGTTAGGTTCCTTGTAATAAAGGGCATCACGCCAGCCTCCCATCAGCACCCAACGCCTCATCGCGTTATCTCCAGCAGTTTTTTCCTGGGTGGTCAGCTTCTTATTATCTGGCTGGTTGGCTATACACTATCAGAATGCACTCAGAATATACAGAGCTCAAAACAACGGAGTAGGCTCTGTACGCACCGGCACCAGCGTGCTGTGTACGAACATGACCCTCGACACTATGCAATGCCCTGAAACTCATTCCGCACATGAAAGTGCCTTGCAACAAAATATCGCAACTATTTTGATTAGCCTTGATCTGACACAAAAAGGTCGAAGGGTTTGTATGATACACGTAGGTGTTATATCGGTTCATGGTGACCATCGGAGCTTGTAGTCTATGACTAGCAAGAGCAAGTGCGAAATCTCGCCTCGTCACGTAACCTTTACCTCGTGACTGTTTAGGTTGCCAATCATGATTATTATTTGGAATAGGTCCTGTGAAGGTTCAATATATTGCCATTGCCAAAGCAAATTACATATATTATTCTGTACCCACCGTGTGCGTAGCCCCAAACTGGATGGGGGTTTACTGCATTCAGTACATCCGGATTAACGAAGTCTCTTTTAGATAACTGTGGCAGAGCTACCTGGCGGCTGTCCATGGTGGCTCGCGGATGGACGAGCTTGCAACGAAGATGCGAAAGAAATATGCGCAGCAATGATGGCAAGGAAGGAGAAAGCAATGGCCATCTTGGAGCGTTTTTATAGACCTCCTGCATATAGCGGGCAAACAAGGAGGAGCATGTGCGGAAGAGGTCTTGGTCAGGCAAGTTCCCTGTATGTTCGACGGGGGAGTATGGTCAACACGTATGTCCCTACATAACTTACCTTCAGACAGCCTCTCTATTTTATAGGAACACCTTCTACCAGCTCCCCCAGATGAATATCAAAATCTAACTTCCTGAAAACTGCATCCCACCATGCACATGTACACAGGTATGTGGGCAGCTTCAAGCATACAACGAGACCAGTTATCCAACAGACACTAAAGGCGAAGTTTTGCCACCTACAACGATCATAAAAGAATATCCGTATGCATGCATGCTTTAACTGCTATGTATGAATGAATATGTAAAAACCAAAGAGTCGGGGAATATCAAAATCCAACAAATGAGGCCCAACAACTCGCTCAGATAACCACCAAGCTACATGCAAATAGCGAACAAAACAAGAAAAGAAAATCAAGCTGCCATCGTCAAAACGTACGAGGTGATACTATCCATGCGCTCCGTCGTCAACTTCAAGCTAACAGTCAACAGCTCACGAGCAATGCGCGGCTCCTTATCCTGTAATGCCTTCCACTGCACCCCGGTCAAACACCAAGCCACACAATCACGCTCAGCCTTGACCGTCGCCGTGCGGCGCGTATCACTAAAGAAAGGCAGTTCGCCGCACGGTCGACCAGCGACTATGAGCTCGAAGTAGCGGCCTTGTGGGAGGTCGTAGCCAGCACGCAGCATGCCAGACTCGAGGAGGTAGAAGGCGCGCGGGGGGTCGCCTTCGTGGTACAAGACTGTGCCAGCGGGGTAGGATTCGCGGGAGAAGTAGGCGCAGGCGGGGAACCAAAAGTCTTCATTTTCGGTTGAGAGGCCTTGGAAGGTTTGGAGGAGGAGGGGAGTGGTTGGCGCATGGCGGACCATGCTGGTGAGGCCATCATTGCTGTTTCGTGCGCTTGAATCGTTGAGGTCGCTACGCGCTGCAGGTACTGGCGGCGAGGTGAGCTGACGACGTTGTCGGCTAGGGTGGGGGGTTCGGGTCCTGAAGGCACGGGGACTGAGGCGGGGATTTGAAGGAGCTCGGAGTTTTCAGTTGATTCGGCGGGCGTGGAAAGTGCTTCCTGGCGGCTGTAAAAGACTTTCAGGTAGTTATTCTCGCAGTACTCAAGGGCTGAGTTGAGGTCTTCGAATATGGGGACACTGGACTCCGACTCGAAGAGTCCTACGTTTTGTAAGGACTTTCCTACGTCCCCTTCGACATCCAAGCCGGAGATAGCTATCTGTACGTTGCGCTTTCGGAGAACGCGGTTGATGCGGGTAAATGCTTCTGCGGCTGAGAAGTCGAGTCCGTAGACCCGGGAAAAGTCGAGAATGATGAATCGAATGGGACGCCGGTCGAAAGCTTCCTCCTCGATCAGGCCACGCATGGTGTTCTCGACATTCACGATGGTTCCAAAGAAGAGATATCCACCAAGCTTGATAATGAGGGTCTGCTGTCCAGCTTCGCGAAGAAATTCCTGTTGGATAGGAGGACGTCGGACCGTCGACCCGGAAATTTCGCCCGAGAACTTTGCTCGAATGGCAGATTTGCGAGACGTTTGGACAACAAAGTTCACGCAGGCCAGAATGATGCCAACGAAGATTCCAACCACGAAGTCCCAAGCGCCCATCGTAACAACGATGATAACGACGGTTAAATATTCAAGCCGAGTAAGTTTACCCCATGTGTCCACCAATGCCTCTTGTAAAAGCTCAATGCCCAGCAAGAAAATCAAGGCACCGACAACCATAATGGGAATATAGCCGATTATAGCTGGGCCAATGACCATAATCCCTGCAGTGGCTGCGGCCAACATCAGGCCGGCCAACCGAGATGACCCGCCACTTGCAATGAAGAGAAGACTATTGGTGTAAACAAGGTAGTTCTGCTTTTATTAGCTCACTAAACACAGCTCTAACGATGGGAGTCACATACCTGAATGCTTCCTACAAATCCTGAAAGTGCATTCGTCACGCCATGTGCCATGAGCTCTCTGTCCACGTTGAGATTGTCTTCACCGGTGGATATACCCAGAGCAGGTACATTAATGGGCACATGGAGCACACCAAAGAAGGTCAAAGCAAACATGGCCGGGATTGTCTCACCAAAGGCAGTCCAATTGACCGCCGAGAGATCTGTAACGAATTAGCATGACAACGCTCAAAGTACTGTAGCCAATCGACTCACCATAAAGAGAATAGAAATGATACCACGGGTTGTTCGAAGATGGGGCATCAAAGACCCATCCATTGTGGCGGAGAGCACCCATAGAGATCCTTGCGCTTAGAATGACAATGTAGAACACTGCAGCAACAGCAATAAAATAACCACCGACAAGGAAGTTTGAACGAACGAATCGTTTGAGAACAAGCAGGCCAATGGCAAGGAATAGGGGTATCATCCAAAGAGGGAAAGTATCAAGATGGAAAAGTTTCTGGATGGTGGGGATGTTGTACTCAAGAGACCCGGGGAGCCGGGCTGAAACCTCCATTCCAGTTTGTAGAAGAAAGTAACCCACACCGCCGATGCATCCAATGAGAATATGACGTGGGAAGAAGCCAATGAGCGAGCCCAGCCCACAGACACCCATTAAGAAGAACACCAAGCCAGTGAGGATCGAACTGACCGAGAAAGCTAAAATGGTCGTTGCAATCACTGATTTCGGGTTGTCCTTGCCGATTGAATTCATGATGGTGAAAGCCATCTGGTGGAAGAATGGTACTACTTCAATCATTTCACTTCCTATTCCTCCTTTGAAGATTGAGCCGCCACAGGAAAATACCACTTGAGAGATAATGGTACTGACATAGAACATCGAAATACCGTCGGTTCCTAGGTGAGCGAACAGGGGTTCTCCCAGAGGGAACAAGATCATTCCATAGGATAAGGCATCAAGAATGTTGAGAAGTAGTCCCAGCAATACGGCAGGAACCAGACTGGCGGGGTATAACACAGCCTCTTTCCATATCACTCGCTTATCCCATGACTTTGGGCTGAACAGGATTCGAGTACAGAGGGCGACAGATGAAATGCCTTTCGTTATTAAGTTTGGAGATCGTTTGACAGCCGGCCTTTGGTTCTCGGCGTCGCCTGCAGTTCCATAATTTTGTGTAGATTTGGATCGTGGTTTCGATAATAACGAGGTGTGCTCATTGTCTCGTTCGGGTTCCTCATAGATCGTGGGCGGCGGGGGAAAGGAGATATCACCCATCCCGGGTTGCGTGACCTGGTCCTCCACGGTATCTGTTGATGGACGGCGAATCATCTCTGTCAAGGCCGAAGAGCCAGAAGCCGAAGCAGGGTCGACAGAGGCATATCCTGGCTCCAACAACGCCTCACCGACAGCATGAGAGCTTGTAGCTTCATCCTGGGAGTAACTTGCAGAATTCTGGCTGCTGTGGAATATATCAAGGCTGGGGGGGCAAGCCAGGCCCGTCCCTCAAGAGGGATTTTTTATTCAACGAAAGGCCGTAGGTAGCGAGTTCCGCGGTCTGGTCGCGGAGACCGTCCGAAGCATAATGAGCCGGGTCTACGATAGGTCCAATGGTCAGTAAAAGTCGCGCAGTATCACTAGCAGCATATTATGCACAATGACCCACCCATATTGCTATTGAACGATTTGAACGACCGGTGGTAAAAGGAACGGTTTGGTGTTCTTATTGTCGATCCGTTGTAGCTCGATGATTCCGCTCCCATTGGACCGGGTGGGCTGCCTAGGTTTGCATGTTCCACCAGCGTTTCCGACGGGGCGTTACCATGGACGTCGCGGTCAAACATCAGGTTGCGTGACAGCGCTGATGCGCGAGAGTCGCGACGGCCACGGGGTTGCAGAACCCCCCATGGTCTCTCGCGCAATTGCCGTCCAACCAAGTGTCGGAGTGGGAAAAGTTAAGAAATCCGGAAGATAAACGGGGCCACTAGTGCATGGGGCGGCCGTTTGGACAAGATGACGCAACCGGGACGAGCATGCACAGAAGGGAGCTTCAGCGACCTATATGTATAGAAGAGACAGGTCAGTCACTTATCAACACAAATATAAATTAGCAACAGACAAGATAGAAAAGACCCCTCCGAAGTACCGGTTTTTTGACTAAATGTCTCTTATCTCTAAACAGCCGAGCTAAACCACATCCGGACTGATACGAATGAAGATAGTGGTCCGTGCGAAGGGACTGGGAAATAGCCCTGGCCTGGAGCCATGTGGGTTAAGCAACATCTCCCAAGGGCTTCCAAGGTAATCTCTTCAACGGCACTAACTCGAGACTAAGTCGAGACTAACTCGGCTTTTGAAACTACATATGCAATTAAAATAGTATGCAGCAAGCTGCAGCTCCGTGGTCGGAACGCAATGCTCTACGGTGCGGGATCGGCATTAGCACCATGCAGTAGCCTCAGCCTTATTATTCCTTGCATAACGCCATTAACCAAATGCCCTAGTTAATAATCCATCATCTAGATTTTTACCAGCCACTTCTCGAATGCCTAAATGTGTCTACTAGCAGTCTTGCGGTGTTAACCCCATTAGACCAAAATTGGGTAAAAGTTGACTTGCAATAAATAATGATGTTTGTATCAACTCAATGGGGAATATAATAAAGAGGTAAGAAGCAAAGGAATTCCTAGGAGCAAGCAGAGAGAACACGCGAAAAATCTCAAGGCTGAAAAGGCTTAAGGCTGCGTGGGTTGGGGTATTGAACAAGCTGGTTATGATCTTCAAAGAAAGGTAGATGCCCTTGGCCATGCCCATTGTGCATCGCTGCAAGGATCTCAGCGAGTGCTTTGTCTAGGACTCCCTTCCTGAGGATTGTAGTTCTTTTCGAGAGGCGAAGGACGTAGACAGATATTGGAGTAATGTCATTATGAGCAGTCTCATAGACATAGTCGACATTGTTAAGGTCTAACCCGAAATAAGAGTGGCGACCGGGGTATATGTTCACAGCGAGGAAGCAAGTCTGGCTGTCTGGGCGATATTCTCGAAGGAACCCTCAACCTTTGACACTGATGGACGTATAGATCCCAGGTAATCTCTGGAGTCGAGAATGCTGTTGGGGACATCACCAAGTATTCGAATTGCCGTTGAATCAACCGTTCGAAGGAAATAATTTATGGTATCTGGGATTTGGCCCATGATACCCGTGGACGGTCGCGAACTTGTTGCTTTGAGTCATCCATTGTAAAGCTACGAGGTTGCAGCAATGACCTTACCGAGGAACAAACGAAGCTTAGAATTTCCCAATCTGTGCAGATCGAAGATAAAGTAGTGCTATACACTATATTATTAGCACTGGCGCCATATAGCAGCCTCAGCCTTCGTATTTCCTTGGGTAACACTATAAGCTAATGTGAGCTATATGCTCATCGGCCGATAGTCGGCCAAAAGTCTGCTTGGCTTTGAACATCTTCGACGCCTATAAGTTAAGTCTTTCTCGTCTTTCCATGGTGATTGTCAAGACTGCGTCTAGACCAATGGGTCTTTTACCATAGGCCAATCTAGCCCTAGAGAATAAATTCAAAGAAAAAGCCACTGGACAAACCAGCAGTCATGCATAATCAGACTGGTGTCACACTGTTGCAATGCAGAAAATCATCATTTTGGCCGTTAGGTCTAGACACGCTAACGGCGGGGGTATCTCAAAGTACATGGTCCCTTCGTAAAACCACTGTAGATAGCCAACGCCAATTCATGTTTCTTGTACTCATATAGAACCTGAAGATGCCAGGTAGTTCCGACTCAATTCAAGTCAATCGCTCCAGGAAACCCTGAGCAATTAGCCGCTCCACATCACCCTGACGAACATAGAGCTGACTGTTCTTGGTCAAATTGATCACACTAAACCGGAATTAGCCACCAGATGCCCAATGAATATCAGGAAGCGAAAAAAAAAAAGAACGTACCCATATTCCGTCTGAATCTCACCAGCATCCTTCAACACCCGTACATCAATAAACAAATCCTTCGGCGGCTCCAGCGTTCCCGTCAAATCGATATCCGTCCACTGCCCCTTATACGCAGCAAGCATATCCCCGTACTGGCGGAAATACTCCTCCTCCTCGGGGCTCAGCGAGCTATGCCCGCTAGCCCCAAGAGCCGTGTGCTGCGCCGCCCCGCTCTCCTCGGACGGCTGCTGCTGCTCGAGGATATCCACTCCCGTCCAGCACAGCTCCTCGAGCTTCTCTGTGCGCACGCAGTGATACGCGAGCAGGCAGCGCTTGTTCCGGCGCATGCACAGGTGGTCGACGAGTAGTGCGCAGGCGATGGCTGGGTCGGCTGAGGGGTTGAACCCGCCCTCGAAAGGCTCTAGGAGACGGGTAACATCGCGGTCGAGATCGCGGACTTCGCGGGTTACCGCGCGCACAATCTCGGTTTGGTAGGGGGGTAGATGGGCGAGGGATTGGGTGCGTTTGGCGTGTTGGACCTATCGCGGGTTAGGTGTTGGTCAGCGGGGTGCGTTTTCCTCTTTTGGTATTTGGTGGTCGGTGTTGGAGTTGGGGTTGTGAACGCCCAAGAGTGGGATAAATCTATAGCCCACGTACCAATTTGTTGCCGAGTTCGCCGTACATGGTGGCCACGCGGTCGGGGTCCTGGTTAGGGACGCGACTTTGATCCATTTCGGCGAGCGCCAAGATTGGCTCTTAGTCAGGTGGAGTGATCGGCGCCAAGGTCAACCTTGGAAGTATAGAGGCACTTTTTGGGTAAAGGCTCTTGATTCCCGAAAAAACATAGAAGAGTACTTTGGAAATTAAAGTACCACGTAGGATACTGTGGAGGGTTGAAGTTGTACAAGACGGCCAAAGAGGAGGAGGCAAAGGAAACTGGAAGGAGCACAAATGGCTTCAGGTCTAGACGCATCAGGGGAGAGTGACCAATGAGATTATTTTCGAATTCAAGTGGGCTAATGACTGATATTACTATCAGTACTGCATAGAAGCCCTCATCCGGTTGTAATCAGCCTGTGTGATCGGCTCATACTTTGCAGCACCTTCTCCGACACACGGAATACATTCAATCACCGAGTCAGAATCCGGTGACATGAAATACGGAATAGAGAACCGCCTACGGGTCATACGATCAGTTCCTTTGAATCTATCAGGAAGAGGCGGCAAAGTGACTCGATGGCTGGTAGACCTCAGAAGATCTAGACAAGTCAGCTTTGAGAGCAGACCAGGAGCATATCAAGGGACGAACCATTGCTCCACCTCTGCAAAAGATCTCCCACATTCATCACAATCGCATTCTTAATAGGCGTGGCAGAGATAAATGTCCCGGGTAAGAAAGCATCCTCGACTTCCAACCCACCACAGTCATCCTGAAACAGCAAAGTGATCGAACTCCAGTCGGTATGTGCGGGACATCTGGCTGCACGCTCTGTCTCAATTGCTTCGGCTGGAATAGGCGGATAATGCAGTAGGCGTAGCTGGTTATTATGACCTGAGTGTTTCGCGAGCAGATGGTTCTCGTCTAGCTCCAAGCCAACAGCAAGCGCTTGTAGGACCTCCCCTCCGACACGAAAACACTCCCAGTAGAAGCGGAGCATGAAGTCACGGAATCCGGGGAGACTGTGTTCGGGCAGCCATTGATTAGGCTGGGTGGTATTCTCGTCACTTCCTATGTCATAGCTTTCCTGTGCCAGGTCAATGAAGCTCAAGATTATACATAGATGAACTTGGCGCCGACGGGGAGATATGAGATTACAGCGGGTTCTTACTTTGATGTCTGTAACCTCCCTCAGCTGGTCCATTTTGCCCTTGTCGTTACCAGTACTCATCGCCTGTGACACCTTCTCCAGCCCGGGCCAAGAGTACCCTCTGTGAACCGCCCATCCTTCTGGATGGGGCGCTTTTGAGTTTCTCTTCTTGTGGTAGTTCGAAGAATAGTTTTGACCAGCTGAATGCTTCGTCTAACATCGACTCTGGCAATGAGTGGTTGACGATGTACACAAAACCCACCTTTTTGCAGGCAGCGACGATATCTTGCGCTATTTGCTGACGACTGGACTCCGTCTTCCAGCCAGCAAAGTCCACGACAGGGATGTTGGGGGACTTGGTAGAAGTCATGACATATGCAGGTTTTAGTGTAGGAGGTAATGGAGAGCCCATGGGGGGCGCCGAGGTCTTTTTACTCCATCCGATTTATTTGACTGCCTAGGTACCTAAGTACTAGTAGTTTTAGCGCCTTACCAATATTCTGACGCCGTGATACCCGACGGCCTTGTTGAGAACTTTCATTTGCCAATCACATGCAACCCTGAGCAATAAACTCCGAGGTTGATGCAAAGAGTGTGTGTTCAGTGGTGTCGACATTTAAAAAGCCTAGACTAGTTTGATTGTGATAGTACGCCAACTTTTACTCCAGTTCCTAACGGTAAAGTCATCTGCTGTTCTTTTGAGTTCTCTTTTTGAGGCTATTGTGTTTATCACTAACAGACGACCTCAGGAATTTGCTATACTTTCAATAGTCTACAGTTCATGCAAAAAAGCATTCATTCTTCCGTATCTCTCAAAGAACGTCCGACAAAGATGTCACGAGAAGGTTTCCCGTCGATGATATTTTTCGATGTCTTGGGGACAATTGTGGAATGGAGATGTTGCATCGCGAACGAACTGAATGCCGCAGCACAAAGGGCTCTGCAAGATCAAGTTCGATCTCTGAGTTCCGATGTGCGAGCAAGTGTCTCTGATATGTCTACTTCGAGCTGGCAGGAAATCGCTGAGGAGTGGCATCGCGCATATATGAACTTCGGAGACACCTACGATACATCTAAGCCCTTTGTCTCAGTGGACGAGTACAACCGCATTTCTTTGGAAAATATCCTCAACCAAAGGCTTCTCCGCGGCTTGTTCAACGAGGACGATCTCAACAATTTGACACTCGCTTGGCATCGACTTGACTCACACTCTGACAGTGTGCCGGGCCTTTCGTTGCTGAACACTAAATTTTCGACCTCTACATTATCCAATGGTAATGTAAAGCTTCTCGAAGACCTGAAAGAACACAATTCCTTGCCTTTCAAGCACATCACTAGTGCAGAGCATTTCGGTGCGTACAAGCCGTCGCCAGAGGTCTACCATGGTGCTGCTCGCAGATTCGGTTTCAAGGATTCGCAATGTTGTCTAGTCGCAGCCCATCTTGAAGACTTACAAGCCGCCAAAAAAAGTGGGTTTCAGACAATCTATCTTGAGAGAGAATCGGAAGAAGCTTGGGATAGTGAAGACATTGCACGAGCCAGAGAAGAGGGGTTTGTCGATCTTTGGGTCGGACTTGGAGGCTCAGGTCTGATTGAAGTTGCTCGATACTTCGGAATAGAAGGTGTTGAATGAATCATCTCCCAGTCGGGCCCTGAATCAGACGCAATGAGAGAAAACTAATGTACATAGCTACCTAGATATCTGTGAATTTCCTTTTCTGGTTAGTTCTGCCTGTTTGGGTTTGGCGCCTATTGCTGCAGTGCCCTCAATAACCTTATCACGCTTGAATCTCACCTGGGCAAGATTCCAAGGTTGCCTCTAACATCATAATGAATACCACACCGGAGCAGATCCTCAACATTGAGGATGCACTGGTATCGGAGGCCAACCCCGCACGCCTCAATGGCCCCCTCGATTACGAGCGCTGTGCGGGGCTTCACAACTACCTGGTTGCGTATGGATGGATGGCCCGCCACGGACAAGAAACACCCAATCTCGATGAGTTAGCTAGTCAGCCATCCATTTTCGCAGACGAAGATACGCAGGCTGTTCGCGAACGACTCCACCCGTCAGTGAATTCCTTCCTGGATTTGATATTCTCGCCTGAGCCAGGCTTCTTTTACTGGGTGAATCATATTTCAATGCAATTGGTCGACGACATCTTTCCAGATGAGGAAAACGACCTAGACAACCTAGAACGATTTGTTGTTATTTACGGCACTGTGGTTGAGTTGGGCTCGCATTGTGTCCGGCGTCGTCTATGACCAACAGCTGCACCGCGCTGCTTTCCCAATGACCCTTGAAAATCTGGATAGCGTGGAGCCGATCGATGAGCATGAGGATATGTGGTTTCCACTGGAAACGATCCTTACAAACTGGATTTATATGCTTCGAATCGGTAAAATCACAGCCGATTCATCAGAGGGGAAAGCGCCCGAAGAGCTGTCAAGGTCCCGATCGCAAATCGGGCTTTGGTCTTGGCTTCCATATTCTCCTAGCCAGATCGATAGTACTGTGGCTGCTATAGATCGCTACTCGGCAGCTATCGAAGCTAGAATGCCCTCCGGATCACTTTTGCCTATCTCTAGAGGTGCGCCGCTTTTCACAGATGTAGAGCTCGATGCGGCATCTATACCGGAGGAGTGCTTTATTCGGTCGGTTCTGACGAGAATAAAGACTCCCCGTTTCAAAGCTATTGCACCCGGCTTGGAGGTTCCGCACGATACCGTGGCTTTCACGGCTCGGCAGAGGTTTACAGGGGTACCACGCGAACAGGAGGAATGGGGCAAGAATATCCCGCCCGTCCTACTTTTCGCAGCTGTAGATAGCAGCCGCACAGTCAGCTTTGGAAAGGAGATTCGATGGCTTTTCCTTGGGCCAGAAGATGACGTACCGTTCAACGAGAATGATCTTATCCCTGTGGGTCTGTATATTGAGTCAGTACGCCGGTGCGAATATGATACTGAGGAGGCGGGCTTCCGTCTACTACTACCGTTTCGAGCTCACAGTGAAGCGAGAATGAGTGATGGGACATCAATTTCGCCAAATTCCGTAACACAGCTCTTTCAGCATGGCATTTTTCATCCGTTTGGTGGTGAAAGGCGGGCTCAGAGATTGGAGAGGCTGATAGACCGGTGGAGAGAATTAGTAGAGAGTGGTGTTTGGACGGTCGGAAGAGACGGTGTGGAGGGAACAATTGATAAATTCTATACTGATAGTGCGATCGATTATTGGATTGCTCCTGACTGGTAATATCCATGGATTCATGGATGATTTATTGAAATGCTAAGATGCCCAATCAGTCCCGGAAGTACCCAAGTAACAATAACTGCAGTGAATAGTTGAGTGCCAAATCGTATCCCACGTTTGGTTTCACGGGTTGTATTTTAGTAGTTATTGAAATTATTTTAATACATATTACCTGTGCTCCCATTAAGAGAGATTAATATCGAAACTAATATCGCCTTGGGCTTCGGGTCTAGAGGGTCGGGCTGTGGTTGCTAGGGCATCCTGGTGGAGATTTGTGACCTGACCTGGGAACTACATCATTTGTTCTTTAAACCCTGATCTCTTCTAGAATCTCTAGAATTTCCCTTCAGACAGCAAGTATCCGGGTATGTTCAAGTGGCGAGTCTTCAATTATACCCCTCGCGACCGGTGAAAAGCTAATCTTACTCCTTTCAGTAGTTTGTTGACACCCAAATCCAACCCCGGATAACGCCTCCAACGTACGAAGCATGAGAATAAACCATTAAACTCACACAAACAAAAGCCTCGAGTCCATTCCCCAAACCGACTATTCCAACCCCGCCCCAGAACCCCGAGAATGCGGACTGCCCGGTGGATTTGGATTGCCGCCACATTCCTCACCTCGACCGTCCACTCAACAGAGACAGCACCCTTCACTCCAGCAGAAGAAGCCACGGCCAACAAACGAGCCTTCCAAGTCCTCCGCATCCTCCGACGAGCCGAAGATAACTGCCCGGCTGGCTTCACCCCCTGCAGCGAACTAGGCAACGCCAATGCATGCTGTAAGCACGGAACGAACTGCTCGCGCGACGATGCCAACAACATCGCCTGCTGCGCGAGCGGCGCAAGCTGCACCGGCAGCCTAACAGGAACGAAGACGACGGGCACAGGCACTATGTTCATGTTCCCCAGCGGCGCAACCGCAACCACCACCGAGAGTGGGGCGGCGGCCATTACTGGGTCGAGACTGGACGGCGCATACCCATTCGTCGTTGTCCCGACCACTTTTAGAAATGCTGAGACTTGCTCATCTTACTACTCGGTTTGTCAGTCTGAGTACGCACAGTGCACTGGCGCGCTGATGGGCCGCTACGGCGTCACGATTGGCGGTGCCGGGGAGGGCAAGACGGTCCAGGCTGTTACGGCGGCGTCGCAGGCGACGTCCATTTGCTCGAGCTTGAGCGTGGAGGCTTGCCATGGTATTAACTTGGGGTATTGTAGCTCTGTTGCGACACAGACTGGTGATGCGGACGCGAATGGGAATAACGCCTCTCCTGTACGGATGTCGAGTCTCCATGATCTGGCATTCGGGCTAGCGGTTGGGGTTGCGGGGATGTTTATATGATTTACGGATTTGAGATGACACTTTGAATGCGTTATTTTTGCTTGTATATTCCTTTTTTTCCCTGTGATTTTCTATCGCCATGTGGAGTCATCAGAGACCCCTAGAATCTATGATATATTATCGAGTCTGGGTGATGTTTCTGCCAAATCCCTCAATATGTACGCTACAAGAAAGCCAAATATATCTGACCAAATCTGACCAAACTAGATCTGAGTTATTGCCATCCACCGAGGAGCTATTTGTAGCTACATTCTGTTATGCAAAGTAACCCTAGAAAGCCCCAGAGATGAGACCATATTTTGAATGCATTTACGCATGCGGTGCCCCGTCTAGGCTTGCAGAATTTCTATCTCTTAGAGGTCCTCGACAGATTTGAAACCCGGTCACCAGCTTTATAGATAGCTCCGTGGCTGGATTAACATACATATATTTTTATCCGCATCATGTATCAGTCAATCCTCATCTATGTTTTCTTCTTTATCGCCCAAAAAAAATATATCCAGTAATCTTTCCTGTCTATGGTTCTCGTTTCTCGCTGCTAGGCATCATGCTCAAGGTACAGAAACAGTGGTTGAGATTTGATCAGGCTAGTAGGCATCGCTTTCAATCTAGCCTGGTTAGAAATCCACTGCACTGTAGATTGATTAGATGAACCCCTCTGTTAGTACCCGTGGACCCGTGAACAATGGCTGTGGGCTGATATCCGATATGGATCCACCATGGCGCTCATAAAAAGTACCTAAATCGCTGGTAAAAAATATACTCCACTTTTATTATTGACCAACCCGGAGTTCGTACACCGGCCGTGGAGATCTGATAGGCGGTGACTCCTAAATGCGCAGGACCAATTATATACCATTAAAAGGGCCCACATCTGTATACCCTCAATATAGATCTGGAAGGGAAAAAAAATAGGTAGCTTCTCTTTGATTGAGCGTGTCATCCTTAGTGCAGGGGCCATGCTAATCTTCTCTGTATATTTTCAGTTGACCATATGCCCCGAAGGGCGAAATATCTATATGTTTAGTTCATTATAACTTCACTTTCCGGCAGAAAATTACCGCCTAAATGTCTCTAGCAGTGGTTGTTTGTCATAATGGTTCTGTGAATTTGCATGATACGTAGTTTGATAATGAATCTATTTTCCAGAACAAACGCTTTCTCTTTCCACTGTAAGCCTCGTGTTTGGTGTCAACTTCTATATGGGTGATTTACACCTGGGTAAGGAACATGTGAATTTCTTAGGCTTATCTACAAGTATCTTCAAGGCTTCTGGGTCATTGAACCATACTGCAACACGTTTTAGGGACTTCGGCTGGAAAGTTGAGAATAACTAATTGCCCGACAGTCTCAGTAATGCAACCAATGGGAATCCATTCCAGGTTGGTAATGGAGCATAGATCAGCACCTCCTGCTCGGTGTTTGTGTTGAGTTTCTTCGTCTTCGGACTCTCAGAACCTCGCGAGGTTTGCCCAGCTTATTGTGTCCAGTCGGCATGCCAGCTAGGTTATGTGGCCGGTTTCAGAATCCCATCCAACCCACACACAGGCTGAGGATCCTTCAACCAAGGCTTCGGCAGTATGCTTAGCATTAAGGTCAAGGGTGATGACACGGTGGGGAGCAAGATCGTAGATAGTCCGAAGCTCATTTTGAACGTGGCCAATGTTGGCGATGCGGAGAGTCTCACCATTCATGGATGACCTAGAATGAGCAGCTGTCTGGTGCTAAGACACTGGCTTCGTACAGGACCTGCACCTCCGATGGAATCGAATACGTTGATGCCATTACCGCTAGTTTTGAGCCATCGTACCAGTAACCATATGGACAATAAGTGGTTCCGCGGCACACACAACTATGAGTTGGATATCAAGTAAAGAATGAGATGTCTAGCAAGTGGTATGCTAGAGTGAGAATTTCCTAGACAAGCATTACAGGATCGCCCAAATAGTGGTACTTTCCTATTGAAATGACTCGCCTGTGGAAGCTTTGATCACCGAGTTAGTGAACATGCGAAAACCGCCTTTGGTCTCTTTCAAGGTAAATAGATTCATCAGCATCCGATGTATGAGACATTTTAGGGGATGTCCCTTGGAAAGATGTGAGTACCTATAGGCAATATATTCCTCCAGCAACTCTCCGGGAGTCTAGCTGCAGGTTCGATCGGATCTCCAGGGCTTTCAAAGGATTGGGCAATTCATCATAGGGCGGCCATTGGTGGCACGGAATATCCCCGACCATGAAAACCACAACATCCATGCTTTGCTGCGATTCAAGGGACTCATGGCTGCCCAACGTATACACAATTGGATTGTGTTCCTTTTGATTCATAGGTCTGAGTCATGACAATTCTGAAATGGCGGTGTTGGACATAAAGCTGATTGCTGCCATGCGGGTGGAGAAACCTGCATTTCAACCCGTTGATCGCTCTGACAGGACGCAGGGAAGGGGGCAACTCAGGGCTTGTTTTTCGAGGTAAAAAGTATCGCTAGACTAATCAGAATCAAGTAAAATTCATTTAATATGAAACCCAGCCACCACGAAAATAAAAAGAAAGTGTTGGGTGGATTAGGCGATTGGTAGGAAATCGGGTGGTTGGGTATACGGAAAGAGGCTGGGAGATGCTGTGTAGCTAACAAACTGGAACACTCTCCTCTCTTGACTTCTCTCATTCTTCTTTATTCCTTGTCTACATTCCGATAATCTCTTGACGTCTCAGGAATTTGGGATCTTTGTTTACCGGTGATCTACAAGATCTCTCGAGTATACAACTGAGACAAGACTACTGAGAAACACCCCTCCAGTCCAAATTTCAGGCTTTCCGACGCAAGTGATTTCGCCGCTGAAATTCTGGCATTTGTTGCCTCGTTCTTCATTTGCGATGCGGTCTTCATCCGTCCTGCCGGTGCTCTCGACACTTGCCCTACTTCTCAACTACTCGACCCACGCAGCCGCAACCCCGCTCGCATTCGAAGCAAACGTCCTCGAAGAAAACAGGCTTGAAAAGCGCTGTGCGAATCCATGTGGCTACAACGATTGGCTTTGCTGCGAGACCGGTCAGACGTGTACTACCAACAGTGCCCAAGAGGCCGTCTGTGCAGATGGCGGTGGTAGTGGCAGCGGCGGAGACTATCAATATTACACCACGACCTACGTGCTCACCAATACCGACCTAACAACTATTACCTCTGTGTGGAGCAGCCAGATCGCAGCACCTACAGGCACGGGCAAGTGCAGAGTTGACCTCGGCGAGACAAAGTGCGGCTGGAACTGTTGCGAGGCTGCGCAAGAATGTGTAGAAGGCCAATGTGTTGCTGAGAGCTCTTCGGCTGTTGTGACTGCTACAGAAACAGGATCAGGATCAGAAGCCACGCCGGGCGTGCGAGGGACGAGCAATGGGGCAAGCACCGTAACAGCAACCTCGGCCCCAACCACCACAGAAGGATTCACAGCGCCGGTTGGAACGGACGGGGCAGATTTGATCGGGGCTAAAGCCTCAAGCAGCGGTGGACTGAGTGGTGGCGCCATCGCAGGCATTGTCATCGGCAGTATCGTTGGTGCGTTTTTGTTGTTGCTCCTCTGCGCCTGCGTCTGCTTTAAGGGCGTCTTGGAAGGCCTGCTTGCAGCACTCGGCATCGGCAAGAAGCGCCGCAGACAGGACACAACCTATATCGAAGAGCGCCATTCCCACCATTCGCATGGCAGTCGGCCTCCTCCCCTCCTCCTGGCCGGACGTGGTTCGGAAGCAAACCAGCGGGAGGCAGTGAGGTTAGCGAAAAGAAAGAGTCCAAATGGGGCTTTGGCACAATTGCCATTATCCTCGGTGCTCTTGCTCTGTGCTTGGGATTGAAGAGGAAGAGAGATAGAGAGCACGATGACGACAAGACCGAGTCCTCCTACCCAAGTTCATACTACTACTATTCCGACTATTACTCGGGCACAGGGAGTGCGTCTACCCCCATTTCCCCCCCCCCTAAACAAAAAGCCTTTACTGACTCTTTCTCCTTTCACAGGTAGCCGAAGTTCTGACAGACGAACGAGAGATACACGACGGTCACGACGATCGCGCACTCGCTCCGCCCGTCCATGATAGTTTCTGATGCCTCGGGTTTCAGCTCGACGACCTCGGTTTGATATGCATTTATGGCGCTGGATTTATAACGTGACTAATGTATGAATATGATTTACACGATGATTTTTGGTTTTTGAATTTAGGATTGACGATATTGCCTTTTTTGGTTCGATGTCGATATGAGAGATTTATGGCACACTACGATGTACATATGAGAGATTCTGAGTACAAACTCGACATGAGAATATGATTCTTGAACTTGTCCTGCGTCATAAGTATTGACATGATATAATTGCTGGTCCCCGGGCACCGGCATGAAAGAACTATGGGCAACCTGGAAATTGGAAATTGCAATGCAGAGAGCAAACAGCTTGCAGAAAACAATGTGCTCTGTTTGGATGCCTTGCAGGTTTGACAGCACAAAGTATGCAAATGCAATAGATCCGAGTCAAAATAAGATAAAAGACTAGAAAAGACAGAAAAGAAAATAATTATAGAATAATAATATGTATACTCCATATGGAGTACTCCGTAAGACCGTAAGACATGCCCAAGGCCAAAAGACCACACAAAAGTTAAGGCACTTTACCCTCCCCGCCTTCACTTCCGCCTTTTCCCTCCTCCACACTTCTCTATTCGACCTGACCCATTCCAACCCATTCAAGCACTCTCCTTACGACTTGTCTTCAGTCATCAATGATTTCAGTTTCGGGATTAAACTCCTGACGTTATTAACCCTATTTCAACTTTATCCCAGCCACCCCATTTTGCCGTCGCTTCGCCTGAGTTCCGATCCTTCGGAGTATTACGAGTCTCCGAAACGACTCATCACCCACCATGCTTCAAGCGCAGACCCAACACGTCTTCTCCCACCAGCATCAATACCCTCAGGCTGATCCTTCGTGGATGCAGCATCAGCAACAGCAACAGCACCACCAGGCTCAGCCGCACCCACACCAGTCGCAGCAGCAGCACGCTTCCCTAGTCGCCCAACAGCATGCTCAGGTGCAAGCTGCAGCAGCAGCAGCACAGCAACAACACTATGGCCGCATTGCCATGAGCGGCAACGGTGCTGGAAACCCCGCGCAGGGAGCCGGTGGCGCCGGCATGGGTGGAGATGGTATGTCAAATGCGGTCTCCGCCATGGACGGTGGAATCAGTGAGGAGAATCGCAAGGTCTTCATTTGGGTCGCCGAGCTATTGGATCCAGCTCGCAGGGAATCGGCCTTGATGGAACTGAGCAAGAAGCGGGAACAGGTCCCCGAACTGGCTCTGGTTATCTGGCACTCTTTTGGTATGGCTCCGTTCCCGACGTACACCCAGTCCCGTCTACAATAACTAACGGTCGGAAACTTGCAGGTGTCATGACGGCGCTCCTTCAAGAAATTATCTCGGTGTATCCGCTCTTGAACCCTTCTCAGCTGACTGCTGCCGCGTCAAATCGAGTCTGCAATGCGCTGGCGCTTTTGCAATGCGTCGCTTCCCACAACGAGACCCGCACTCTCTTCTTGAACGGTGAGCAATATATCTACTATGACCTATACAAAATCGATTGCTAATTTTTCCCTCGTTCAGCTCACATCCCTCTTTTCCTCTACCCCTTCCTCAACACCACCTCCAAGTCTCGTCCCTTCGAATACCTCCGACTAACATCGCTGGGCGTCATCGGCGCATTGGTGAAGAATGACTCCTCTGACGTGATCAACTTCCTCCTAACTACGGAGATCATTCCGCTCTGCCTTCGCATTATGGAGACCGGATCAGAGCTGAGCAAAACTGTTGCTATATTTATCGTACAGAAGATTCTTCTTGATGATATTGGCTTGGGCTACATTTGCGCGACATATGAAAGATTCTATGCCGTGGGCACTGTCCTGAGCAACATGGTTACTCAGTTGGTGGAGCAACAGACTGTCCGCCTTCTGAAGCACGTTGTGCGCTGCTTCCTTCGGTGAGTCCTCTCGCAATCTCCCTCTTTTTGTGGGCCCTCCTAACAGCAGCATACAGTCTCAGTGACAACAGCCGGGCCCGGGAGGCCTTGCGGCAATGTCTCCCCGAACCTCTCCGGGATGCCACGTTCTCATCCGTCCTCCGTGACGATGCAGCCACCAAGCGCTGCTTGGCTCAGCTCCTTATCAATTTGTCCGACACCGTCTCGGATGGAGCCCCGACAGCCATGTAACATACGAAAAGCATCTGTTTCTTTCTCCTGAAATATTTCACCTTATGATATGCATGGGAAAGGCTTCTGGCGATTAACGGACACAAGGCGCAAAATTGTGGTTGAAGAACTGGATGGATCCAGCGCGTGAGGTATGTCATCGATTGAAGGCATCGGATCCAAGTCTGTTTTTTCTTCATTCCTGGTTGTTTCTTTCTTTGCCGCATTTATATCGGGTTTCTTGAGGGTTCGGTGATCTGCGTTGGGGGAGGTTTAATGTATTCTCGTCCCTTTCTCTTTCTTCTCTTTTTCTTTTCTTTTCTTTTCTTTTTTCCTCTTTATCTTCGTTTTGCATTTTGCTTGTGGGAAATATGCTTCTTCTCTTTCGATTGTCATTGATTTTCATTTTTTTTCGACAGAACTATTCTGTCGCGTGGCGCGAATTCTGGTTGGCGCTGTCGTCTGTGTGCATTTTCTCCTCGTCTTTGACGACCCCCAACAGCTCTGTGTGAGATAGACCTTTGAAAGCGAGAGATATCCAAAGATCCAGGCGTCTGCTTTGTCTTTTTTTTTCCTGTTTTCTCTTGTGTATATGCGACTCTGTTCTCAAAAGCATGAATGTACTTGTCTCGGATTCATGAATATTCGATCTTCCATTGCCTGCATAATGTCATTGTATAACTTTCTTCTCATTTAATAATTAAGATTAAGAATTAAGATTAATCCAACGTTATATGATCGACAAGATAAAATGAATACATTCCCATTCTCACTTTTCCCCTTGTTAAATTCGACAAACGCATCTTCTCACGTGATACGGTCCTTGACGCGCCGCCTTACTGATCGTCTTGCCTCACGACACGAAAAAAAGCCCAAGACTCAGCTTTCATATCTCTTAGACTTTTTTTTTCCATTTTTCGCACTCAAATTTCTTATTTGAAAGTTAGATACTATCTGGCCTTCATCTCCGCCGGAATTTCTTTTTAGTGAACCCCCTCATTGGACACCTCTGAGAAAACCGGCCTTAACGGTTGTCCCGCCGCGATGGGATCGCGAAAGCGCACCCACTCCGAGGTCGCCCCGGTGGCCGAGCAACAGGTGCCAGAAGAGCCTGGGTTGCTCTCACAGCTCAGGAGTAACTGGGCATTTGCAAGCCTCATGCAATACATTGCCATCTTTGGCCAGGTCATGAAGATTGACGAAGAGTTTGGGATTGAGGTATGTGTCTTACTAGCATTGTCTGGGATGAGATCGATGCTGCGCTTCGTGTCGCATTGATGAGAGGATCTACATTCGCATTCACTTGATTGAATTATTGCTGATATCTTTTGCCCTATGCTAGGACCTAGAAGTCGAGTGCCTCAAACCCGAGCCCTCTCATAAACTACTAGAGATTGGATTGTGTCTCCTCAAGTGGATTTCGTCGCATCGCGGTCTTACGTACGTATACTGCAATACCTTTCTTGCTACCCCGGGCGGTTCCACTGACGCTGCTGTGTTGGCAGATTCGACAATTTCGATGAGTACACCCGACGGCAGTATAATGCGAAAGCACCCAATAAAACCAATCCCTTCGGCTACGATGAAGAACCCAACAAGTTCTTGTATTTCGATGTTTTCACCAAGATCCGTGTCCTCCACCAGCTGACGGTATGGACATTCTGGAACGCGGACCGCATTCGTGACAAGATGCCCGAAAAGAAGGAAACCGAGCAGACAGAATGGGTAAGTTAGCTCTCGTGTAGCTTTTTGGCTCCTGATTGTCGCATACTGACCTTCCCCAGCGTATTGAAGAGTTTGGCTGGGACCGCGAGGGGCGTTCATACTACGTGCTGGACGACAACCGTCTTTACCGTCGCACCGACCCTCCCCCCCCTCCCCCTCCTCAGCGTCCCAAGAAGAAGCCAAAGAGCCGGTCTTCTCGAGCATCAAGAACGTCAAAACGTACCTCTACAGCAGCGGCGGAAGAGGTTTCCGACGAGGAGAGCAAGGATACCAACGATGCAAGTGCCGTCGCAGCCTTTGCTGAAGATCCTTTCAAGTGGGAGTGTGTGGCTGTCACACTCGGGGAATACCAGGCTTTCTTGGAAACACTCCAAAAAACCAAGGACGCGGACGAGAAATACCTACGCGATAGCATTGTTGAGCATGTCCTGCCCATCCTCGAGAAGGCGGAGGAAGCGCAGCAGCGCAAGCGTCAGAAGCGTGAAAAGGAGCTTCTGAATCTGCAGCTTGTCGCAGGTGCTAAGAGGTCCAGTCGACTTGCCGCCAAGGAGGAAAAGGAACGACAGGAGCGAGAAGCTGCTGAAGCCGCCCAAAAACGTGAACACGACCTGGCCGAGGCGCGTAAAGAGCAGGCGAGGCAACATCAGCTTGAAGAAGATCGGCAGTCGCGTACAATGACTCGCGAGCAGCGCATCAGAGACCGTGAACAAAAGCGGCTGCTACATGAGGCGGAGCTGGAAAGGATCGCGGAAGAACAAGAAAGAATCAGTAGGGGTGAAAGCAGGGTGTCTGCCCGAAACCTCCAGGCTGACCTGGAGAAGTCCCAGAAGAGCCTGGCAGGGCTTACCCAAGATGACCAGTGGATCTTTGACTGCTCTGGCTGTGGAGTGTATGGCGAGAACTTGGTGAGTTTCAGTTTCCAAGCACATGGCAGCCTTAATCTAACCTTTTCCCTAGGATGACGGAAGTCATAGTGTTGCCTGCGAAAAATGCAATGTTTGGCAGCATAGCAAGTGCCTCGGTATCTCACAGGAAGCGGCCGAAAAGGAAGACTTTCACTTTGTCTGCCGAGACTGCAAGCAAAAAGAAGAAGATGCCAGCAAGCCCAAACTTCCACCTCTCAAATTCCGGGTGAGCGCCTCAGCATCCCCTTCAGCAGCTCCTCCAGCCAGTAAGAAGCACAAGTTAGAGGATGACGAAGACCATGCTCCGCCCTCGCCTGTGAAGAGATCCCACCTGGCTCTATCCAATATTCAAAACGAATCCTCAGGAATACAACCTACTCTACACTCGTCCACTGTTGGTCATGACAACTTGTATCCTCCTCCCTCGCCCCAGCGCCGGGTCCATCACACAAATCACACTCCCCTTCCATCTTCAAGCCCTCCTCGTCCACCATTCTCCCCGCCAAAGGGCATGAATGGCTTGCTGCATGCCAGTACGGAGCAACACCCGCGGCCATCCTCGTCTCAGCACTCCTTGCCGCCTATGCAACCAGCTCCTCACCTTCCCCCATTGGATCGTTCCCTGTGCGGCCCTCCTCCTCCCACTCTACCCAAAGTCCTGTCCAAAACCAGCCGTCTATGTCACCTACACAGGGCAACCCTGATGTTGGCCCTATTGCGGGGTTCCCGTCTGTTGTTCCAAGCCATGCACCCTCTCCGTGGAGTTCATTCGAAACCCCGCGTCCGCAGTCAGGTCATGCAGCCACGCCGTCGATGTCTAACAACTACCCGTCTTTCTCTGCCTCAACGCCCAATGGCAACCACTCTTCGCCTCCTCAGAGTTCTCACGGCATGGCTATGTCGGGGATTAGCCCAACTAAGCAGTCACCTCGTCCGCTTACTGGTAGTGGCATGGCAGGTGCCCCAGTCCTGCCGCCCATCCGCAGACTGGAGCCGAGCCCGAAGCTCATGGGCCGTAGCTCTCCAGATGCTCCGATCCCCCCGCCTGTCAAGTGCATGACTCCTGAGCAAGAGGAACGCCGACAGAGAGAGAATGCTTCAATGCTACACCAAGCCCACCACTTCCAGAGCAATGGCCAGCATCTGATGTCGTCGCCATCGCTGAATCGCATTCCTCCCTTGGCCTCTGGGACCACATCTCAGTACCCTGATCCTGTTCCTTCGCCTCAGCGCGAAAGCAATGGCCAAAGCCAATGAATCCCTTGCGCAACGGTGTGAACAGCATGTGTTTCTTTTTTTTCTTTTTTGTCCTTTCAAATACCCTTTCAATCGGCCCGTTCCTGAGTCTGCAAACATATATGATCACCATTTTGATACGTCCCGGAATCACTATCGGAATCCAAACCTACCACCTGTACTGCAGTGCATTTTGAGCAGGTGTGATCTGTGCTTTCGCACTGTTATCCGACGTCTGTTTTAGCTCTTGCATAACGTTGGACGAGTGGGTCATTGTGCGCAAATGACATCTATCCGGAGTCATTTTCCCTGGACACGACATGCCATACATCGAACCTCAACATCTGCCAAATGAAGCCTTTCTGGCCTGACAGATGCTTGTGTTCATTTGTTCTTTCTTTCCTTTTCCAAAAGTTCTGCTATTGCAGACAAATCCTGTGTTTTGATAACGAGTTTTCCCTTTGTCGTTGTGCCGGGGCTCTGTCTCTTGCGGATATTCCTTCGATTCTTCTTGGAGCTGCTTCAGACTGTGGTGGGCTGGCGTTTTGAACTCTTTATTTCTTTCCTGTTTTACAATGCATCAAGATGGATGGGGACTCGAGCGGCGTTTTCAGATGGTCTGGCCCTGGGTACCATTGTTTTGGTGGGCGAGTACATGTGTATTCTAATAGACAATGTTATTTGATTTTAATCTTGATATATTTTGATGGATGATGAAGTTGGTTGAAGACTAGATGGGAAATGTTGGACAAGGTAGAGAGGTATACATTCCAGATCTATACATTTGCAGCTTCCCATCCAAGTAGTAGAACAACATGTGCAAAGCAATAACCACAAAGATTGTAGTTCTAACCTATTGCAACCCATTTCAGTCGAACCATTCCACCATCTATTTCCTTTAGAAAGTTGTTGCATATTCATCCTATCATCTATCTAGGTAGTCAACACAAAAGTATTACGCCCAGCCCAGATCGAAATCGACCCATACGTCGATCGACATATACCCCTGGGTACAAATGCAACGCCCAAACGCAGACCTGCCCAGCTCAACAGCCAACAGCATGCGCCTGCTGACATACCGAGCTGCATACTACCTACATCCCTGTAGGACACGACCGCGGCTCGCGGCATTTGGACCCTTTCTCTCTAGCCCCTGTCTCTCAATCATATTATTCCGTTCCTTTATTAATTGTCTCATTCCGTTTATAGGCACAATAAAACATTGGGATCCGCTACGGAGTAGAGTAAATTAATATGAAAAAAGGAGAAACATAAGAAAAAAGAAGCAAAAGAAGCAAAAAGAGCGTTTACCCGCCCCCTTGTCGCAATGTCCCACTCCGCAAGGGTAGATTACATCGGCCGATGAGCACGGTCAAAGATCACGATAGTACGGAGTACGCCGTAGTACTCTAGACATATTGTACACTAAAAAAAGCAAGCAAACCCGTTGGTAAAAAGTATAGCAAAAAGTATAGCAAGATCACCTAGCCTACTCTGTCGGGTCTAGCATGTGGCGCAGTCAACTTACATACTACTTGCTAGCGATTGAGTGATTGTCCCAGGCGCTAACTGGAGGCGATCGAGGTAGATCACGCACTAACTTGCGTAGCGCTAGCGGCATGCTCATCTTTCCCCCTATCACACAGCAATTTGGAGTTCGGGATAGGGATGACTAGTTGATCTGCCGTCCTGTCATGTGTCATAATTCCACTCTAAAAGGGGGCTTGGGCTGGTTCAATTCACTTAGACTGCGTGGGTGAAATTAATGATAGATGAAAATAGGAGGACTTCCAATTAAGAGGATGTACTCCGTACTCCATACGGAGTAGGAATTTAGGAAATTAAACCAAGAATGAGTTTATACATCAATACCCAGGTATCACCCGCAACCTTCGTAAGATCTGCAATGTCCGCAATCATGTCCGCAATCCGGGGACCGAGCTAATTCCGTGGAACGTGAAGGGGAACGTGTGGATATAAAATGTAAATGTCATTTCCCCACCTGTTTCCCATGGTTTCTCTCCCGAACTTAAGATCCAGTGGACTAACTGCAAATGGACATATGAACGTTAGGGTATATCCAGCATAGCCAAATGGGAAGATGTATACTCCGCACTCTATATAGAGTATAGACAGAGTATATTATATGGAACGTGAATCCGAATCCCGCTCTATCGTATTAATTAGTATTGGTGCCGTAGGCATCCACACATGTATGGCTTATAAGTTCTAACTCTTAGCCGAGAGTCGAGACCAACAGGCACGGACATCAATTTTGGAGGGCGATGATTAGCTATTAAAATAAAGTCCAATGATCCAATCAGAAAATAGTCTATCATATACTTTCGGGATCTGGAGATTTAGAATTATACGTTATTCCGTACGGAGTTCGGAGTTCGGAGTAGTACTCCATATGTACTCCACATCGGATACTCCGTAACTCCTTTCGTACTCCTGACATAGCTAGAATAAGCTTAGGGTAATCTTAGTACGGCACATAGACAGTATTCCATGGTTATTAGGCTCACACGGCAGATGCGATCATGATCCGAGCTTTTTCTTTCTTCCCCACTCATGCACCTCATTCTTGTCAAAAAAGTAAAATGTGGGAAATAGGGTGGAGATCAGGTGTTTGGCCCGGCCACTCGTGATGGTGCTGGCTCCCGCGCTCCTAGAAGTCTGGACTTGCGAGTTCATGACAAATAACTATATTTACTGCCCAGGTGTGTTGTAGTTATGGATTTGGATAAAACTGGTAGATGGCGTTATAGAAATATAGACGTCATCACTATAGAGCATGAAATGGGAAACGAAATAAGAAAAACCCTAAGAATGCAATCGGATCTTGGCTTGGGAAGCATTTGTCACTGTCGATTTTAGTCTCAGACACGGGTGGCCACAGGCGACTATTAGTCCACTAAGCTAATCCCCTTGGGAAAGACAATTGCATTCGTCTTTTATCTCTTTCTTTGATCAAAGTACGGAGTACATACTCCACCATATGCATAGATCAGGTACAGAGTACAATATCTACTTCCCATATCTACAAGTACCTCATAAACAAGCATGGATGCTATACCAAGCACTGGTCACTGCTTCAAACCCCCCCAACTCCCTGCATTTTTAACCGACAATTACCCAGCTCCATCTTTTGCCCTTCAATCCACCAGACCAAAATAGGAACCCAACCCCGTTCTACAAATTGATGATCAGACTCCCCACTTCCATTTGGATATTGACCAATATGTTTCGTGATGAGGCAGCCATTAATTTCTTTTGGCGCGTATAGAACCCCTCGTATCCCGTATTCGATCTATGTTTGTTTCTGGGTTGGAAATGAGTTCAACTCCTACCTAAAGTATACAAGAAACCGGAACCAGCCGACATCCCGCGTAATAGTCCACTTGTAGCGCACCAATACCCGCAGAGGTGGAGCAAGACCACAGTTGTGCTCTGTAGACAAGGCGCCGTTGGATGCCACGGAAGAGTGACCATCACATTTGTCGCGCCAAACTCTGGTACCCACGATCTGCTTTCTCGCCCTTGTCTCGTCCGGTCTCGTCCCTAACTCACGCCATAGGCTTCCGATTCGCCTGAGTCATGTATTTGGACTTTTAGTGAACTCTAAAGCCCTGACCCGCCGTTATTGGGATAAATGGAGTAACTCCTTTCCCCGTTCTGTTCATATATGGACAACGTGCATCGTAAAGGATAAATTAGGGCTTCGGGTGGTCCGGAGATAAACGATGGTCCGCGGATCTCTGAACAGGTGACCGTAAGCCAAGCCGACAAGGGTCCTGGATAGATGAAGCTAGGGACTTCTTAGGTTAGTACGGCCCGGGGTATGGATGACTAGTCCAGAATTGTTTTTGATTAGTGACTTGGGTCTCGGTTCATCCGACGATATTCTGATCATGAAGTTGTAATTGTTGATTCCAGGTAATTCCGAGGGTGATGGAGAAGAGAGAAAAGAGGAAAGAGAAATGTCGCGTCCGATAATCCAAATCCGGCAGCTTGATCATGGAGATAGAAAATGAGAACGCTGGATTCGAGAATCGACGTATCTCTCCGGATATCTCTCCGAAGGCATCTTTTCGAAATATCTCTCCGCCACCTCTCGGGTTGACCTGTAGAAAACACGGTACCATCTTGAACTCTTGGAAAATACAAGCGAATTTCAGCCTATACAAGTTGACTAATATACGAACCAAGAGCCGCTCCTCGCGTTTCGGTCAGTCCGAAGAGCAAGCCGGGCGTTAAAGTTGTGACATCCAAATCACACATATCAACTTTCCACATCTGAGGGGTTCGAGGGGAAAGTCTGTTTCCTAAATCGTCGATATGACGATCGACGCTCATCGCTCTATGCAAAGCTAGCGGGAAGTGGCAAAAGAAAAAGTAAAAAAAGAGAAGAGAGAGGGGGAAGAAACGAAGAACGTGTATTCAACGTAAAGATAAACCATGATAACATGACTTCCATACATTAACCACAACGGGTTAGGTGCAACATCACGAAAAAAATGCCACAGGAACAGAAAGAAAGGAATCTACAAGCACGAACGCCAGTTCAAGAACTGAATTCACAAAGCTCTGTCGTCCGTGCGCATTCTGGCAGATAAACCGTCAAGGATCTCAGTGTTGAGCCAATCGTGGGGAAATCTAAATGTTTGTTTTGTTGGTTGAGAACACCGCCATGTTTTTATTTTTTCTTTTTGGCTGAGGCTTGCAGGTTATTGCAGTCCACCCTTTCTCCATTTTGGGTTACAAGCGCATCAGACCCTGGTATATATCGACAAATTAAATATCTAGCTGTTCCCAGGTTGCGCAGGAGATACCTCGTGGCGGTCTGGGAATTGGCACAGATCAGATCTCCATATTACCCACCCATATGTCGGTAGTGGCTTGTTTGCCGTTCCAGTATTATTTATTGGGTATTTTCGAGGTATTCTGTCAATATTCTGTCAATAGGGTTTGATAGGATAGAGTTAGGCTTTATGGGGCTCGAGGTCGGGGACGGATGA